TTATTTGATCTTTGCTAAAGTTTACCAAGCAAGGTTAAGCCCTGATAACGCATAGATTGTCATATTTTAATAAATTATATCTAGATAAGCTATCCCTACCTCTTATATATAGAGTACTCTATATATAAGCCGCTTTATAACTATAAGTATAAAAAGAAGCATTCATAATTGAGATAAAGAAAGAGCATATAGTATAGATGATCTAGTTATATGTTTAAGAGGTAGGTTAACTTATAGTCTGTGGCATTATGTAACTAACAACAGTTATGATTGTTTATTTGAAGATAAGACTATAAATGACAATATATTGCCATATTCACAAAATGTCTGGTTGGCAACCCTCACTTACTCAGGGTTGGTTGATTTGCATGTCGACTTGCAAATACCCCCTCATCATACATAAGTATTATGGATGTCTAACTGGCTTAGTTTTAGGAATGAAGAAGACACTTCATAGCCATCGATGTATATTAACTACCTGTAGGTAGATACCTATTATATTAACATTCAACTCTGACAAACGCCACATACCTACCGTTAAGACCGGGCGTCAACTATCGGGATTCATCCCTGAATCCTTGTGGCCGCGTGGAATTGGCCCATGCAGTGTCCCTCACCTGCATTCTACCGACCTGTCACCCAAGCCCAAGCCCAAGCTCCCATCAACAAATACCCAGCTTTTGCTTTTTTTTTACTGGTGAAACTTATCTGTCTACATACACCACCTACAAACCTCAATTCCTTACCGGATGCTGCACTCGCGGTTGTCCTAAATTGAAATACTACCTCATAAGCTAAGTGTTTGCCGTTATAGCAACAGAAATACAAGCATTCGTCAGAGTAGGATTTCTATAGCCAATCACGGACAATAAAGACGCTTCACCTACCAAGCGCTTTCACTTTGCATAATACGCCTAAAAAAGATCTATTGTAGCATTTGAATAGGCAACAATTTGATAAAAGTATGCTCATGGTATCATCGGCACTTATCGTAGCGCTTTTCCCTAATTGCCCACAAACCAATGACTAAACGAAACAAAGTTGATAATGACTTCGTTCCTAAAAAGTTGTTAAGCGGGAGAGAAAAGCTGTACTGAGAGGAACGTCCGAAAATGTTCCCTAAAAAGTTGGCAGATGATCCTATGTAATAACTGACGGATGTTGCACTACCTTCTGCAGTCAACGCAAGCCGTTGTACCGCAGATGCAATGAATTTAATGCCAATTCATGTTGTTGACTCTGTCGCGAAGTATTAACTCTGTATGTAAAATGCGGCTGGGCCTGATCGTCCGATAAAATGCAACAAGGGAACCCTATCCAAGCGATCTACGGTACTATAGAGCCCCTATTTATTTTACCGGATTTTGCTGCATATTCGATCGTATCTATCTCGGTGGGTAAATAAGATCTACCTACCTGAATGCGGTATTTTATTTTCGCCACGAGATCTATTTCTAGGAATTCTCCCCTCCCGCGGCGTTGGAATTTTCTAGCGCTCTTCCAATTTTTACCGCCGAGGATTAGGTAGATCTTTTCCTCACATCCCCGATTTAGGAGTGTTAAACGCCGTTTGCTGAGATTCGAGCGTATCGCGCAGATCTGACCGAACTCTTCCCTTTTTAGACATTTCGCGTCTAAAATCAACCACATCAAGAATGCAGGCGTGATCACATTTGACTCTTCAATCACCGTTAGCTAGAAAGCCATCACCAACATCCTCCAGTTCCAATGAAACTAGTCGGACCCGAGAAGATAGCCGAATTGGTCTGGATAGCGGCTACCTGCGATTCGTAGTGTGACAGCGTCTCGGCAATAGTTCCGGTGACATTTTGTCTGCCGTGGAGCAAAGGTTAACGAAGTGAACTGGAATGTCGAGGTATTATTCTACATTTTTCCACATTGATAGTATTCTATACTGTGATGAAATGAGTGAGAGTTGTGAATACTTCCTGTTTGTCTTCCTCAACACTTATTGTCTCTACCTTAGTATTTCATAGGATATTTTACTTATTCGCCACTCACATTTCGTATATTTAATTATTTCTTCTGCCTCTGGGGATATCTTCGAAGTCGAGTGCTTTTATTTTAATATATTATAAAGCTTGACTTCAGAAATATTTCCGACCTCTAGTTACCTCAGAGTTCGAGTCAACAAGGTTATATATAATTGTGCTCCTGAACAGATTATCTATCATACAGGTTGTGTGCAACAAGTAGCCATATACAAGTACTCATCCCTGCTAACGCAAATCGACACAGGACCGACAGCGCGGGGGAGTCAACTCACGTAGCACCGCTTCCGCTCCCATTCACATTGGACTGATCATGCCGGACGGCAAACTGCCTGAAAGCATCCATGTCGACCATCCCCAGCGCACTGTCTTCCGTGGCGTCCAAGTCGACGCGGGGAACGCCTAGATTCGTAACCCTACCGCCACGATATGCCTGATAGGCCTCAAGCCAGCGGGCAGTGCACAGACACCACCTGCAGCCGCCTTTCAAGCCGACCTGGCGTAGATCATTCCCGCGTGAGGCGGAGAAATCAAGGAATTCGTCAGTAACGATACCGGCCACGGCATGATTGCCCGGATCGATGCCTCCGCCGGTGCGACAGTAGCCGTCACGGAAGAAACCAGTCATAGGTTGCTGGGAGAACAGCTTGAGTGGCTGCTTGAATACTGTGATCGGACGATCCCCAAATATGTGAGTAAGTAAGCACTACAGAATAAAAGCTCGTAATTGCGGAGAGGCTTAGGCGGGTGAGTTGTTAAAGCATGCAGGTGTTCACTCCATACCGTTAAGCGGACTTGATGCCATGGCTTCCTCGGGCTCCTTCAGCAACCAAGTGGGACTTGCGGCTCGTATTTAATACGCTACTTTAGATAACAGCAACTAGATATATGATCGTCAAAGAGAATGAAGGCGATGTTATGTATATATTATTCGCTCTGGCAAGTTTTTTAGGAAGTGGATCAAGTTAGAATCTTTTTACACCACAAAGCTAAGAAGTCTGCTAAAGCCTATGGTCTTTGTTGGACGAATTCTCGGCAACATACAAGTTATAATATGGAGCCTCCTGTAGTGTAAAGGTGACGTCATTAAAACGAGTACGAAATAGGGCCTAAGACGGATGTAAGGAGGTTGAACTAAGAGAATTGTTACGGCAATACAATTCTCTCGTTCTTGTCATCGTGATTCGATTTTTCTTTTTTTCACTAGTTTGAATATCAACATCTCGTAACAATTTATTTCACCCAAATAGTTTCCCCCAGGCTCCCAAGGTACCTTGTCCACTAACCCCATCGGCATTGAAATTGCGTACCTTGTTAATCATAAGCCCCCTTGTCCGACAAAGCCGGTCGTCGCAAATCGGGCCAATATTGTTATCCATACTGAGCCACTCTCTCACATACTCCCCTAGCGTCGGTGAAAGGGGGATTGCGTGTAATCGCCTATTAATTGCGTAGAAGCGAGCTAGAATAAAAACAGAACATGAACAAAGCCGCGGGTTGTTTACATGTATTTTTATGTAGGATGGGTGATATACCCCTATACCCGTATTATGATTACCTCAGTCTCCGTGCCCCTGAAATATATCCAGATCGAGAAACAAGACTCAAGAACAGTGGAACCAAGAAATATAGCTGCATATGAAAATTTTCACTTGGCCGAGAAGTACATAGTAGTTGAGCATGCTTTGAAATACACAATATATACATACTAGGAAACTCCATCGCGAGTAACAAACCCCTCGGCCCGGGTGATATGCAGGTCAGGCCAATGCAAGTCAGCGTCATGGCGTGGACTATCACTCCCGCTAACGGGTGTATACGCTTAAACTAGAGTCCCGAAGACTTCTGAAGAATTCTACTGAGCATCTTAAAGCACACTATGTAGAAACAGGATACTATGACAGAAAGGCAGCCTTATACACTACAAAACACGAGCCGAAAGCCGCAAATTAGTTGGTATTTCTAACGTTTTCCAACGGCCCCTATTCCTATTCCAGATTGGGAAGACGCCACCCCGGCACCACCCGGATCTACTGGTCCACCTAGATCTCTATTCAGCTACTACGTAGCATTTTGTGAATATTATGTAGATGCATACAGTATAACAAAGGAACACTGAACGAGATCTTGGGACTAGTATCACGATAGGATGTTGGTCCACGCACGACAAAGGCTATGTATGCATGTACACGGTTGGGTTCTCGATGATCTCCGCTCTTTTTTCTACGAAAGAGGACATGACCGCCATTTAGAGCGACTTATCATATTCTACGCGTGTGAATTAGGTATTATCTATCGTATTTGACTGGAGATTAAAGATGCTAAATTTGGGAATATTTGGAGCGTGCGCTAACGTATTCAAGGGGCATCTGAAGATGATAGCCAATCATTCTGCATACCATTCCAATAAGAGCATTTAGGTAACAGTATGTACGGTGTCGCGGCCAAAGCGCCAACGGCTAGGCTTATTGGTGGACAGTAAAGATGGCAACTTGGCATGGCACCCTTCGCAGGATCTACACCAATGCGAGTTAAGCATTAACGCAGCTCCACTTGCTTTGCTCGTGTCTGTGTCGTATTGGGATTTACGAGAGGTACAACCTGCGCCAGCCTCAACGTCAGCCCACCCGCCGTCTCTGCGGAAACAATAGGTGATGGATCATGTCTTCATGGAATTTACGGGGCTTTGGTTCTCTGTGGAACCCTAAGATTGACTGGTAACGACGCCCCGGTCTTTCACTCTCCTTAAAGCCTACAGCAGAGCGATGTCACTCAATCGTATGGATATTAAAGAGTCCCTCGCCGCCCAGATGTTTTTGTCTCCTCATCGGCTTCTGGCTTGCTCAACTGTATAAACAGCCAAGTTCACTCGCTTTGACTTGCGCACCACAGTCGCTTCAGATCACGGTCGTTTCTTGTCCCTCGCTAGGAATATATTTTTAATAATACCTAATATAATACTCGTCCGAGTACATAAAAGTCACCGATATGCAAGGTCTACTACTGAGCCTGGGGGCTTTAGCCCTCGCCGGCTCTGCCAGCGCTGACTCCAAGCGCAACTACCCCGTTGCGCCTGAGCCATACCCAACATACCCGGGTTACCCGACGTACCCCGAGAGCTCGACCTCAACTGAAGTCAGCACTCCGTCTTCGTCAACTTACCCCGTGAGCTCCTCCACGTCTGTTTCCGTCCCAGGATACCCGACATACCCCGAGTCAAGCTCTACATCAAGCTTTGAGGTAACGAGCTCAGCTTCCGCTTCATCCTCGTCTGCTGTCACATCCTCTTCAGCCGTCAGCTCCTCTTCGTCTATTCCGGGATACCCATCGTACCCTGAGTCCAGCTCCACCTCAAGCTTTGAGGTGACGAGCTCAGCTTCAGCTTCGTCTTCATACGTCGTCAGCTCTAGCTCAGTTTCATCCGCTGTCAGCTCTTCTACGACTATCCCAGGATACCCGACGTACCCGGAGTCAAGCTCTACGTCGAGTTTTGAGGTGACGAGTTCCGTTCCGGCTTCATCCTCGTCCGCCACGTCTTCGTCCGCTGCCAGCTCCTCTACGTCCGTTTCGGTTCCTGGATATCCGACATACCCCGAGTCGAGCTCTACTTCAAGCTTTGAGGTGACTAGCTCCGCTTCGGCTTCGTCGTCGTCTGCTGTCACATCCTCGACTGCTGTTACCTCTTCCGTTGTTACTTCTTCATCCGCTGTCAGCTCCTCTACGTCCGTTTCCGTTCCCGGATACCCAACGTACCCTGAATCGAGCTCCACTTCAAGCTTTGAAGTAACAAGCTCAGCTTCTGCTTCGTCTTCTTACCCGGTCAGCTCCAGCTCTGCCTCTTCGTCCGAGATCTCCAGCTCCAGCTTCAGCGAGGCGACATCTTCCACGTCCGTCCCCTCGTACCCGAGCAGCTCAGTTTCAGTCTCAATCTCGAGCTCCGAGAGCAGCACTCCTTCCTCCAGTGCTATCACTCTATCGACCTCATCTGTTCCGTCGTACCCAACTTACCCCACCGGCGGTGCCAGCTCGTCCTCGTCTGAAATTAGCTCCACCTCAAGCTTCGTCCCCAGCAGCAGCTCCGTTGTAGTCTCTTACCCCACCGCTCCCACCACGCTTCCCACTGGTGTTTCTAGCACTTCGGGTACTGCCCCTACAACTCTGCCCACTGGTGTGTCTTCCTCCAGTGTATCCGTGTCTTCTGGTACCACCACTCTTCCGACTGGCGTTTCTTACAGCGCATCAGTTCCTACCGGTTCTACCTCTGTCTCTACCGCGACCCTGAGCTCCACCAGGTACACTACTTCCACTATCTACACGACGACCAGGTACACCGTTACTTCTTGCGCCCCTACTGTCACCAACTGCCCGGGTACTCCTCACGTCACTACTGAGACCGTCCCTCTCACTACCACAGTATGCCCTGTAACGTCTACATCGGAGACTGCCACTGTTCCCGGATATCCCACCTCCAACACTTCCGAGGAGCACCCGACCACCAGCCCGACTAAGGGACTCCCGTCTTCCAGCCCCACTGCTCCTGGCTACCCTACGTCTGTCCCAACTACGGAGTTCTCTACCTCGACCATCTACTCGACCACCATCCGCACTATCACTTCTTGCGGACCCGAGGTTACCAACTGCCCCGGCAAGCCTGGCAAGCCCCACACTACCACTGAGACCATCTCTGTTGGTACTACCGTCTGCCCTGTGACCCCGACCGCGACTCCTACCGTCACTAAGACTCTCACCCCTTACCCCACCGGTCCCGTCGAGACCCCTGGCGAGACCCCTTACCCCACTGGACCGGTTGAGACTCCGGGTGAAACCCCCTACCCTACCGGTCCGGTCGAAACCCCCGGCGAGACTCCCTACCCCACTGGCCCAGTCGAGACACCCGGTGAAACACCTTATCCCACTGGCCCGGTTGAGACCCCTGGAGAGACACCCTACCCTACTGGTCCGGTCGAGACTCCGGGTGAGACTCCTTACCCAAGCGAGACTTTCACTCCCTACCCGACTGTAACTCTCACCCCTTACCCGACCAAGTCTTTCTCGCCCTTCCCGACTTTCACCTCCACGCCTTTCCCCACTGGATACCCGACCGGCCCCAGCAGCTTGACCACATCTATCAAGACCCCGCCGCCGTACCCTACCATCGTGCCCAGCGTCAGCACCGAGGTACCTCAGCCCCCTGCCGGCACTGGTAGCCCCGTCCCTCCCCCGGCCCAGTCTTCCACCACCCCCGGCTACCCTACCATCCCGACCGCCGCTGCCGCTCACGTGGAGCGTGGTTTCGGATTCGTGGTCGCCGCCGCTGTCGCTGCTGCTCTTCTGTAAGCGACTTAGGTGCATATAAAAGGCTTGCATACAAAAGGGTGTTTTAAGGTTTGGTGAGATTGCTTTGTTTTAAGCAGATTTGGATGAGGATACATGATTAGGAACAGGTTAGAATGGCTTAGAAAAGGGGTTTAGCCACCATTTATATAGCTATTTAATTTCACGATTCATTTGTCGTAACATTCGTATATAAAATTATAAAAAAACCATTTTGGTAACTTGTTTTTGTCATGCGTTGCTTTTCTACCATTCGATAATTGTTTCGATATGTTGAAGTGAATGGCTTTATTTGTCAGTTATTGATGTAAGTATTCTTTGCTTAATATAGTTTAATCCATTATGGTGCTTCTAATTATCTTGAAATTTTCTATCTTTCTATTGTGTCGAGTATTACTTGGTTGAATGAGGATCTTCTATTATGTACGTTTGTTTTATAGGGATACATTGCAGGAACACAGGGTTCTTAACAATTAGCTATGAGATTATTTAGTTGTAGTTTGTAGATAGCACTAACCTATCCTATAATGTGCTTAGATTCTTCGATTTTGGCCTACCTACTACGATATATCTGAGATAACCAGCCGATACTCAGTTGCCAATGATTTCATGAGACCGTAATACTCTCACACTCTTGGTAGTTTATATGGTACATACTCCGCCGTATGAAAGCTTGTTTTGAACAATTACTCGAGATGATTTTAATTTTATATGATGCTTTCATTTTCCCCTTTCTTACTGTCTTGTTATTTTCACCGCTTGTGAATATTTTTGTCTCTTTTAAGCACGATATGATTGGAAAAATGATTGTTTTGAGATATCGATGAGTTGACTGAAGTATTAAGTCTGACTGATGAGCTCTGATTAGTGTTAGATTGATAATCTTTAATATTCCTAAGTTATCAATTTTGGTAATAGATCCTAGCAATCGCAAATACGATCCAAACTCACATTAACTGTTAGTTAGCTACTATTCTTATCATAGGTTTACGATCTATCGTATGATTCCCTATTCGAAGTGATATGCTATGTCTGTGGTGCTCACGGTGTATGTACTCTGATGTAGCAAGACTCATAATTTTGGTGAGGTGTAATGACATAAGAAGATTACACGTGTGGTTGACCTTAAATAAACTCAACATTATGAGTGTATAACCCTGTTGAGAAATATCGGGATAGTACCTATGTAGAACTAGAATTTTTGAAGTTAACTCTTTAACGTCGTCATCATTTCTACTATATTCCAGATGCCGAGCTAAAGTCTAAGTCGGTCAGCCCTATTATGATTTATTTCTCACAGTGGTAGTCATGTCTAGAATCTGGATATATGTCCGGCGACCATATTCTTAGGGGTATTGAAAATGGTGGATTGACTTATATTGGTTAATGAGCCTACGACTTTCAATTTTGTTCGGGTGAAGGTTCTGTACACTGTGAACGTATTCTCAGGTTTACATTAACACAAGTGACCAGGTTGAGGGCTTGGGCGGATGAGGACTCAATAAGAATCATAGTGATCCTCCGTCACATATCAAAAAAGGGTTTCGTCTTAGATTGCCCTGTGATCTACACTACTATCATTCAAATTATAATCACATCTAGCACCCAAGATGGCATCTAGCGCTCTTGGCGGCACAGCGAACAGCAACCAATGGAGCATCACCCAGCATCCTCTGGAAGCTATCAAAACGGGAATTCAGAGTTCCACTATGGGAGAATCGCGTAGTAACCGGGTAACCCATATGATGAGCGCCAATGAGGGACCCGCGGATATCGCAGCAAAGATATCAGGTTGCGTTGTAGGCGGAATTCGTACCGATGACGCCTCCTATTTCACTAACAACGAGGCAATTCCGTTCCTAGATGCGTTTGTATAAAGCTCCCATCGACACGATTCGGAGCTAATTATATCTTAGGTGCCATAGTAAGACCGTTGGTGGTATTCCCGTGGCTAGCGACGTGTTTCTTTTTCAGTAAGAATAACTACCTTGTTTAGACGATCTGTGAGTGAATATGGATCACTGATCCGGCTTATAGGAAGCAACAGACTTTCAACCGTTTAAAGAACTTAGAGTGCGAGCTATTAGATATCGAAGAGAAAATTTAAGATATAACTACCTATCTGCAACTAGGTATGGTGCATCCTTGCGAAAGCGGCGCATTTGGATTTTTCGAATGTACCAAAAACGTATCGAATCTGACGGTAAGATTGACAAGAGAGTAGAAAGCCAATTTCCTTCAGAAACCTGGCGAGAAGACCCCTATTTTCATCCGCTTCTCCACCGTAACCCTTGGTCGGGAGTATCCTGACGAGGCACGAAACCCGCGAGGCTTTGCAATTAAATTCTATACCAAAGAAGGAAACTATGATATCGTGGGACTCAACTGGCCGGTCTTCTTCTGTCGCGACCCCATTCAAGATCCGGACGTAATCCGTTCGCAGTTTCGCGATCCCAAAAACTTCCTTCTCGACCAGGATGCCACATTTGATCTGCTTGCTAATACCCCCGAATCAAACCATGCGGGCTTAATGTTCTTCAGCGACCACGGAACTCCCGTCGGATGGAGATTCAACCATGGCTACGGATGTCATACTTTCAAGTGGATTAACCAAAAGGGTCAGTTTGTGTATATCAAGTATCATTTTATCGCCAAACATGGGCAGAAGTAGTTTACCTATAACGAGGCTATGAGAAAGATGGGCGAGGACCCAGACTATTCGAAGCGCGATCTTTGGGAAACTATTGAGCACGGCGAGCAAGTCGAATGGACGGCCAAGGTCCAGATTATGAGGCCGGAAGACGCGGATGCATAGAAGATAGGTTTTGATCCGTTCGACGTAACTAAAGTCTGACCGCGCGACAAGTTCCCAATGCAGGAATCCGGGCGGCTTGTTCTGAACAAGAACCCGGAAGACTTTCACCGGGATGTGGAGCAAGCGGCCTTTTCACCAGGTAGCATGGTGCCCGGGATCAGTGATTCTCCTGACCCACTGCTCTAGTTCCGCATGTTCTTCTATAGGGACGCCCAGTATCATCGTATCGGCGTCAACCTGCATCAGATACCTGTCAATTGCCCATTTATGGCCCAGCCTTTCTCTTCGATTAACTTTGATGGGCAGATGCGTGTCGATGCTAATCACGGGGGAAACCCTCCATACGTGCCGAACAGTTTCGTGCACAAGTTCCGCCTGAATGGTCGGAGGGTGTGTATGAAATGCTTCCTAAGAAGGATTTCGACTTTAAAGAAGTTGAAAAATTATCGCAGACAGCCTAGGAGTGGTATAAGGAGAAAAAGTTCCAGCCGAGTTAATCCTCTGATCGTCTTGTTGGATATGCGCCCTCTAAAGCCGTGTATAACGTGTGAGGGGTGGGGAATTAGCTACACTCGTCAATTAAATTACCTACCTCACTGGTATCATTATTCTAAACTCAAGGTTTATTGAACAATTGTCTACCTATTCATGACATGGTGTATTGAATAGTTGGTAGGTAGCATCTAACAGGATATTTCTCACGAGTTTAATAACAATATAGTATTGTTGGTCAGGTATGTACAATATATAGTAGGTAAGATACCTAGGTATCCTCTAGTCATTAATTCTTGATCCAGCCCCTAATTTGTATCATAAGGTAAATTTCCTAATTTTTCCTTCAGAATCCCCTCCACTAATCTCCAGCACCTCTCCTCGAGTTCCTCATCCTTGGCCTGATTGCTAACATCTGAAACTTTCTTGTCTGGTATGATATATTGTCCATCGATCTTCTCATCCGCGACGACATCGCTCGTCGTAGCGAATAACATGGACCGACACCCTTCCTCGACTGGCTCCTTCATGAGCGGCCTCACGGCCTGAATAAGTATGCTGCCGACGGTTCCGTATGCATCAAGAGCCTGATCTGGCTGATCTGTATTTACGCCGCCAGGGTGCGTAGCATTAATCCACGGTCCCATCCCAGGCACGAGGCCTAGCTCGCCACGCTGTTTGCGTCGATTGAACGCCCTGCATAATAATACCTGTGCAAGTTTAGAGCGCGAGTATAGTTTAGTAGGCCCAATATCCTGATTTATCTCCGCGACGTCTCTAAACTCGACACCGCCGGTGCCTAATCGGTGCATCTCGGAAGATTGGAAGCATAGTCGGCTGTTACGTGTTGCAATAAGCTTCGGAAGCAAAATTCGCGCAAGGTGGTGTTGTGCGATTACGTTGACTTGCATATGGCTATCAAGAGCGTCCTTGGTCTCGTTGTATTTCCCAACACCGAGCCCGGCATTGAGAACAAGAGCATCTAGCCGATCGAGTTTAGATGCTAAGTTTCGCGCCACCATGTCTGTATGCCTAAGATCCTCGAGCTCGCACTTGATAAATTCGACACGCGAGACATCACCGTAGTTTTTGAGATCCCCTTTGGCTTCAGCCAGGTGTTCCTCTTTTTTCCCAAGAAGATAGAGCTTCGCAGGTCCGTGCTGTAGGATATGTGCTGATATTCCATACCCGATGCCCGCGCTGCCGCCCGTCACTACGAAGACCTTCCCGCTTAGATCTGGAACGTCGGTGTTGGGATCGAATGTGTTGCTTGAACCGAACATTATCGCTAAGATGCGATATTAATATTAGGGTTGTAGAAAATGCCAAACGAACACCGGACTGTGTAATCTACACGCTCTTCATTCGACGATGTCATGATCTTTATGGTTTGCCAGGTCTAAATCCATGACGTCAGGGTAACGTCGCTTGGCAAGATGTTGGGAATTCAGGTCGATGTATAGAACATAATAATGATTTTAGATTTCAACCGGGACAAACAATCTTACGATTATTCTCAGTATGCAGCAATGGTACGGTAATGAAGCTTATATCTTATCCATATGTATATACGTAAAGGGGAATGACTACCCCTATATTTATTCTATAGGCTGTCTCACTTCTTGACCTGGCATTCCTTGGTGATGGAGATGGTAGGGTCGGACTCAGAAGTAGCTGTTAATCTAACAACTGCACTATCCGCGGCCTCTGCAGCAGCACCAACAGCCACATTAACTGTACTCGATGAGCCAAATTTAGCAGTTGTCAGCGCGTTTGGCACCTCGACTCGCCACCCTTCGCTATCTACCTCAGCGCTGAGTCGATAGATATCTGAGTTCAGATATGCGGATAGATCTTGAGGATGCGTCGCGTTACCATCCACGTATGTACCGGAATTGGTTAAGCTGAACGCGCATGTTATCCCCTTATTAACGCTGGCCCTAGCTTTTGGCCCCTCTGCAATTTGTCCCTCACTTAAATCTACGCTGTAAGTGCTAGACCCGCTACCGTCAAGCGATCGTACACCCACAGTGTAATGAAGGATGCCAACGTCGTCGCGACGGATGTCAAGGATATAGAAATGCAGCCGATTCGCTTCGTCCGTGTATTCATACTCACTTCCTGATCGCGTACCTGCATGGAATAACGCATCGGCTAATTGGCGATAGTCGCCAATAGTCAACTTTGAGGCTGTGCCATCGGGTCGGTAGAAATCAATGACATCGATGTCCTGCGGGTTGGCATCGATCGTCCACTGGAAAGGAGCATTATCAACATCTTTAGTCTTACTGATCATAACTCCCGAGTCAGGGGTAAACGAATCGGCACCCATTCTGTCAATCACTTCGATATCGTAGTTATTGTAACCGCCACCATCGCAAAGAGCATCGGTGCTGACGTTACAGAATGGGGAAAGATCCTTGCCCAGAACGACGTGTAGACCTAACAATTCTCCTTCTCCTGGATTGATGCATCTTGCGGTGATTTCAGCGACTACGGGTCCAGAGCTGGATAAAGCCTCACGCGAGACTGTAAGCACGCTCGAGTTGTCAGCTAGATTAATGCGCAGCTTATCTGAAACGGTATGAAGGGAGCCCAAGCTTCCGCCAAGAGTTGCTGGAATTTGCCATCGCGTGTGCGGACCACCCGGACCATTAAAGCTACCTCGAGATAACATCGACCAAGGGCCCGTGTAAGCGCGACGCGGGGGGTCGCCGTACGGGTTGTTATAATTATCACCGATACCTAGCAAGTGAGTTAATTCGTGAGCGTAAGTAGACATGCCCGAGCTTTCTCCCTGCGTGGATGAGCCGCCGCCCGCATTTGGCCAGATTACGCTCGCTGCCTGCCAAGATGTCCAGCTAACGTATCTTGTTGCGGCATAATTGGGTAGACTGTCATTACCCGGAGGCCCGAACTCGTCCGGCACGTCCTCGGGGGTGAGAAATTTCATCTCGCCAAACTCTTGCCATGTGGAAGACTCATCCTGACCAGCCGAGAGAATAAAGACTAGCTCAAAGGAATCGGCGGTGTCGTTACCCACGTCGGCGCGCCATGCTCCTAGAGCGTCTGTTCGCAGGTCTATGGAACACGGCCCTTCAGATGGACAAGCACCCTCGTTGAACCCGCCGCGCTCATCATCAACACCGTACTGATATGAACGGCTAGGTAGTTGATAAGCACCAAAAGCTGTCAAATCTACTCCAAATCGCCCACCCGAATCCTCCATCCAATACTCATGGAGAGTGTGATTGTGATTGAGATCGCTAGGCTTGTTTAGAAAATCGCGATAAAAGGCCGGGACCTCCGTACGGTTGAGACCAGATACAATTGGCTGCGGGTTGCCGAAAACAGTCGAGTTTGGCGCTTGCGTAATAACGAAGGCTTCGTCCGGGTAGTCAACGGCCACGAGGGCAATGTTGAAGTTCCGAACGGAGCCTTTACGGCTTGGATCAGACCAGGACGTTCCCGGAGGTGTTTTGTAGTCTGCCCAGGTCATGTTATCGGGATTTACCCAATTCTGCGGATCCAACACCTTGAACGGATCGCTCTGTGGAGTATACGGCGCAGCCCAGGTATGACCCGACAGAACAGCGCTGACCAAGACGGTCATAGAGACCGCCTGGTGGCATTTACCAGCTTTCTTAAGTTGCATTGTCTATGACGCTGGGCTATGTATTTTCGCGCCCTCAATGATGAAGGACGTGAGGGAAGGGGATCAAAAGATAAGACCTTGAGCTTCGGGGCATGGCAGGTATTAATACGACTACGGTGAGCACGACATAAGATACGTTCACGTCGATCGTATTCGCTGATCGTAAAATGGCTTGGCGCGTTGATGGGGACCTCATAGTATCACCGTAGGTAGGTACCTACCTACCTATATTCAGCACGGCAATCCGATTAACGATCTAGCCTTGTTCCACTACCGTAGTCGAATACTAAGGAGACAACCCGAAATTAGTTAGCATATGTTGGCTCTTATCACTGCTACCTGCTGTATTAGGTAGGTAGACAAGGTGCATATAGACTTGGCGAAGATAGGGGTATTTGGCTCCGAGCGACACTACAATTAAATGCGGAGAACCTAGTTAATATAACATCGAAGTTGAGACTCTTAAATACGTCGATATTGGTCGGACTTCTAGACATTCCTAGCTTGATTCTGTGAATAGTTGAATAACTATATTAAGCAACTCATTTAAGAGTCAGTCCCCTTTGCGTGGGCAGAGGCGTTTCGCGTTGGCTCTTGAATTAGTCTTAAGCAGTCAACCATAGATTATCCTGTGTTATGAAAGAGGCGCATCATTAAAGAAGAGAACGCATCATGCACTTGTGTCAACTGTGCGATGAAAGTTATAATATTGACGGCTCTTGCTAGCCATATTAATTGATACAATTAAGAGGCCGTGGGGGCGTGGGCTGGCAATTTTCTATGCAAGCATATAACAGTTTTTAAACCCCTTATGGAATTCTGTCTAATTAATAAGAATTCTAACAAGTTCAAAGTCACGATTAAAGTATTTACGAGAAGTACACAGCTATGGGTCTACGCCTAAGCATTTTTGACGTCCCACTGCTTCTGGCTGAGGTTAGGGTAGGACCGGTTGACTGAGCCGTCGCTGTTGGATGGTCTATATTGGTGATATGGGGGCTGAGGATTGATATACTGGGGAAAGCTTCTACTAAAGTGATTGTAGTAGAGGTATGCCTTGTGGTTAGAGGTTGAAGTATCGGTGGATAGAATATCAGCCCAGTCGGAAAGATAGTCTGACACGCCAGCTGTGGCTTTCTAGCTATCGGCATCAAACTCCTCTATGTCGGTAGTAACGGCTGGTGGTACAACGTGCTGCGCTAAGTAACGACCCTCGACCTTTGCAGTCTTGGTACGCGAGCTGAAGTCTGGATCTTTCATGGTGATTATACAGCGGCAGTTTGCATGCGAGAAGCTAACACTCGCCTACTTCACATCTATATACAGTTGGCACACCTCCAGAACCACCCGTCCATCAGTAATATGCCGAACTCTCCGCGTGATATAGCTGCACAAGGTATATACTGGAATCGCGGCGAGCGTCATTCTCTGGTGAGCTCGTAGCCAGAAAGTCGACCTGGTAGCCCTGACATGTCATTATGAGGCTCGTCCTGATCCCCTCAGAATATGTCTTGCTCTCTATGATATATGCTTCCAAACTCTTAGGGATCGGCGTTACCTGCTATACTGCTATGATGGATTGTGCTTCTTGGGTAGCAACATAGTAATTTAAAGGAGTAGTATCAACAATGACATTAACCACTCTTCAGTCTGACTGCACCAATTTTCGGCATCCTACTGAGTGGTGGATAAGTTCCTGTTATGCCTGATTAATCTTGACAATGCTCACTGATCATAAGAAAGGAGCATATGAGTGAACTTTACTTACAGAGAACTGAAAGCGATACCGAACTGAACTGGCTCCTTTTCATCCCCATTCCTAATCTGAGGGCTATTCCTATGCTTGTAAACGTCTTCATAGGTGAGTTAATTCCTTGGTAAAGTGAAATAAATAGATGACTCGTGTTATCCCCGGCTGGGAATGCCAACTAATCAGCTAACGGGACTGATCTGTTGAACTAGCTCGGCTTTCTTCCTCTCTACCATCTTAACAATCTTGTGATTCAAACCGAGCCTATTTCCACCCACATCTCTAAGCGCTATAAGGATACTGTCGCATAGCCTTAATGCGCCCGCGGATTTACCCTGCTTGTCTAAACATTTGACCTGGAACCACATTGCAGAAATCCGATCCGGATGGTCGCCATCCTCATCTGTGAATAATTTGTATCGTGCCTTCTGCGTGACCAAATCGAATATCTGCTCCGCTTCCTCGTATTGATTTAGCTCTACGAGGATGTTGGCATAGTGTGTCTTCGCGGCTATTACAGCGATGTGATCGTCTCCATGATTTCGTACGGCAATTTTTAAGTTCTCGTCCATGATTTTTTTTGCTTCTTCGTGTTTCCCTAATGAAGATTTCAATCGAGCTAAATGTAGTATTGCAAGGAGAGTGAAGGGATGTTCCCTCCCTAGGGTCTCCCGGCGTTGTTTGGTAATGAAGTTTAAGTCATCGTGGCTCTGAATGAGCTGCTGCGGTGATGCCTTGGTGGAATGCTCATCATCATATCGTAGATAACTTGTCGCTAGGTCCTGAAGGAACCACAGTGTTTCCGCATCGGTCTCACCTAGAAGTTCCTTCATGCTTTCCCAGGCCATCTGTAGCCGCCCTGTAGCTTTCTCGTAATCCATATTGCGATAGTCCACGGCAGCACAGTTCCGAATTGCTTTTAACGTTTTCTCGTGCTTTGGTCCATACACCTCGCTAAGTCTTTCTACATTTTTCTCGTGTATTTTAAGAGCTTCTGCCCATCGACCCTTGAAACAAAGCGTCATCCCTAATATTTCTGTCACCTCTAATGTCAATGGGTGGTCTTCGCCTAACGAAGTCACGCAAAGCTGACGAGCACGGCGCTGTAACTTGGTCGCATCATCTATCATCGTCGATGATCGGAGGGTTTCTGAAAGAAATAGAGTGAGTCTGATAGAGAACTGGTGATCCTCACCAAGCTGCTGGATAATCCACTCTCTTGTTTTTGATTGAAGTTCCTTAGCCTCTCGGTACAAACCGCAATCGTAGTACATGCGGCTTAAGCGTCCTGACTCGTCAGCTTGTACTCTACTGAAATCACCATCTGCTTTCCTCCAACTTGACTTCCTAGGATCGCGATATTCTATCAAAACCCCCCTAATCTCCTCTCGGCGTTCGCGAATGTGAAGAGCATGGGGAAGGAGCTCGCGTCTCATTTGCCTCTCAATCTCCGTCTCTCCAAGCGGGGGCAGAGGAATACTCCTTGCTAAAGTTGTTGCCGCGACTTGACACCAGAGCGATTGCTCTGATATCGATATCTCGGGGCGTTCCCTCAGCCACTTATGAACCAGCGGGTGCATACTGTATCGACCAATTTCAAGTCTATCTTGCCTTATAATAAGTGATCGCTTCGTGAGAACCCGTAATGCATTAGTAAGTCGAATACGCACCTCGCCCTCGAAAGCAGCGTGGGACATGTTATTCGGTTTCCTTAACGCCGCTGGTAGAGGTAAAGGAGTCCAAAAATATTCTCGCTTTAGCCAAAATGCTGCCTCTCGGAGGAGCATAGATAACGGCTTCCGACTGGAAGTTACTGGTGTTTGAACTCTACCTTGGTCCCTTTTCTCTTCACGTTCCCTTTCTTGCTCTTCTTTGAATGGATTGCTGGCCGCGTTCTCTAGGATATCAAGTCGAATATTTTGGAAATGGAAGTAGGAAAATACATGAAGCAAGTCGATTGCGTCCCGAAACTCCTGTTCCGGCCTTTCCAGCGAATGATATAAGATCTCATAGGATGAGAAAACGTTCATACTTTTGTCGAGATATGATTTAGAGTTCGATTGACTCCTGTTCTGATGGCGGTAATCACGGCGGATCTTATTGACGTATTTTTCATAAGTATTCAGATATCCCTTCCAATCGGAAATACCTTCTAGAATAGCCCTGGCTGCATGTACTAAAGCTAACGGTAAGAAACCCAACGCACGACAAATGGTAGTCGCGTAGTCTACGACTGCCTCGGACCATGGGCTCGGCTCTTCTGCTGCCTTGAGGATAAGTTCATTAGCCTCCTTTTTCTCCATGGGATGCAGTTCCAAGTATCTTTCACCAACGGTACCGTATCTCTTATGGGCTGGGTTGCGGGATGTGATTAATATACATCCCTTTTCTCCTGGTGGTAGCATGTCTTCAAGTTGAACTTCTTCTTCATCAACATTATCAATGATAAGTAACCACGGAAGAGTGCAGGTAGTTAGCCAGTTCTTGGCAGCTTTTTCGTTTGGCCCAACTCCACCGATGGCTGCAATCTCAGCATAGCTACTAAATACCCTATCTCTACTGCCACCATCGATGAAAAATACACCCCAGTAGTCATTCCGATATATTTCTGCATACTTAAGTGTTAGCTCTGTCTTTCCAGAGCCCCCTAATCCATATATGACGAATCTTTTCTGGCCGGAATAGGTTTTGTCGCAGAATGCACCCCTCAATACATCCATTTGGGGCTTTCTACCGGTGTAAAATGAGTTGGCTCCTCTAAGGATATAATGTTTATTCGTATACATTGGGAGATGTAGTTTGAGGTCGCTTACAACCTTGACAGCATCTCTTATCTAAAACCAGTTAGGTATATGATCTAAGACCGACGTTCATATAAGGAGGAAATACTCTAATTGATTCATGCTCATCAACCCTACGGATTTCTGACTCGATCAATTGGATTTGGTGGTCGATTCTATATGCACAAGCCTTTGTTTCGGTAGACAAATTACCATTTTCATCGGTGTTATTCTTGTGGTAGAGAAGAGTAATCGCTGAGAAGAGCATTCGTAAAGCTTCCGTGCGAAGTTTCCACGCCTGGAAGGTTTCATCATACCACTTCTCGCCCCCTACGCGGCTTTCGTAGTGATTAGACTCTTTGAGGATAGATTCTAATGGTTCAAGGAGCTCGATGAATTCATCTGTAATCACAGCCGTCTCGGTACAAATGCGACACAGGTGGAGTTGATCGCTCTCTGAGAGGGGCTGTAGAATCAATGAGGGATTCCGTCGTTCCCTAGTCACTAGGTTATCTAATGTTGAGGCGATATCAACAAGATCCTTAACCTGCTCGAGTAAACTCGTCACTTCCGATTCAGCATCTGAACCACTCAATTGCTCAAGTAAGCCATGAATATTTTTTAGCCTGGACAGTAACCGTGCTGTGCCCAGGCTATTAACGTTATTTAAAAAGCTCTCAATCATATTGAATTGGATTATTATGTGGGACTGCGAAAGTTCGAAAGTGACAAGGGAGGCTACCAAGGGGTACCTAATGTATTGGCGAGCTGAAATTCGGACTAATGGGAGAATTAATTCGACAGCCCAAGGCGACAAGAGGTACCTAAGTACATACTTAGAAAGTGGAAGTCTATCAATTCAATAGAAGTGCTCTTACCGCCCTGAAATTGTGGTGGTGACACGGGAAGCTGTAGGCTACCGCTTCGTCCACTGTACATACTCGATATATATAATAATATCCGCCGTTATTCATACTGTAGATAGGCATGATACAGCCGGTGAGGAGTATTGATAAGAATGATTGGTAGATCGAAGTTTTGATACGCGTGAATGCAAGCCAGTGATTCAGCTTTAGCCACAAATCACCTATGGACCTCCTTTTTTGTAACCACACTGAATATTAAGTCGATTATTTTAGTTTCGTCTCTTAAAATATTCACATAAAAATTCCGTGATTGGAAGATACCTACCTGCCACTTCGAATATATTTCCTAATCCACAGCCAGTATTAGATATATAATGTTGTTAAGCGTCTTTCTTCTTTTTCCTCTCACATCAAATTCCAATTCTCCTAATGCCAACCACGAAGCCTGTTCTTCAGCTATACGAAGTTTGTGAGCAACAATGGCTGTGTCGCGTTCCGAAACCCGATTAGAGGAGTTTGTTTACTTCTCAGATGTACTCGAGACAAACCTAAAAGTCGGCCTTCGTACTGGTCTTCTGACTCTGCTGGTAATAGTCGGGTTATGTGTATACCTTAGACGCAAAGATAAATCCAAGGTATGTTATCTTACTTAAGTTATGAGGGAGTAGGAGGCCATTCATATAAACCAGAAGTGTTTAGCCCTACAACAGCCGTCTGACCACTGCAAGGCGTGGTGCAAGCTCATCGACGGAGGGCCAAGATCGTTTAATAGTCATAGGCTAAACCACTGTCTCTAACAATTTTTAGGCTGAGAAACTACTCGTAGAAGAGTTTAATTGCAAACCGGTCATTGCAAGAGTACCATACAAATTGCCGTTTGCGCTTGACCTCCTTTTCCGCCAATACAAGATCTTTTTCAGCGACTACACCTTCGAACAGCTTACTCAATATTTCGATATTGCTGGAACCGCTAGGATAGAGCTTTTCGGAGTAACCGGATACTTTACATCGGACCCAGAAAATATAGAGGCTATACTCTCTACAAGATTTGAGGATTACGGTCTGGGAAGCCGTCGTCTTGCGAGCGCTCCTTTACTTGGAGAAGGCATCTTCAGTCAAGATGGCCCGGCTTGGAAACATTCACGCGAGCTCATTAAGCGGCAGTTTTCACGCGTCCAGAAGCAAACGATCCGAGTATTCGCACCTCATGCAGAAAAGCTAGTCTTGGAACTCGACAAGGCTTCAGTTGGAACAATAGTTGACTTGAAGCCATTCCTCTTCGAATACACTCTTAGTACAACCACAGAGCTTCTATTTGGTGAACCGCACGATAGCCTGTCAAAAGAGGAACAAGAGGCTGTGAGGTCAAACTTTGATTATGCTGCCACCGGTATGGGAATTCGTGTTCGACTGGCTGACTTGGCAGTTCTCTACAACCCTCCTGAATTCAAGAAGGCCTGCAAGTCTGTCAAAGATTGGGCTACCTTTTTCGCAAAGAAGGCATTGAAGTATAAGGACGAGTTTGGTGAGGAAAAGGCCTCCGAGAAATACTCGTTCATAATTGATCTCTGGAAGGAGATGCAGGATGAGCAGCTAGTAAGGGATCAGTTACTACATGTTCTGGTTGCTGGACGAGACTCAACAGCTGCTCTCTTGTGTTGGACGTTGTAAGTGCCAATGTAACCCCGATAACCATCATATTGACCATGTTACTTCTCTAACCGCAATGATCAAATAGCTTTCATCTTGTTCGCAATCCCGACAGCTTAGAGAGACTGAAGCAAGAGGTATCCGCAGTTCCTCAGGGTTCCGATATAACGAGAGAACATATCCAAAAGCTACCTTTCTTGCGCTGCTGTCTTAATGAAAGTGAGTTCGTTCGCGTATAATTAATCTACGAGATGCTAAATGCGTACAGTCCTGCGATTATATCCTTCGCTTCCCATGAACATCCGATTTGCCAACAAGGCTACGGTTCTACCCCGTGGCGGTGGCTCTGACGGTCAGTCACCTGTAATGCTTCCGAAGGGAACGGGAATTGCTTGGTCTGTGTACCATTTACATAGGCTCGAGTCAATATATGGTGTCGACTCCAGGGAATTCCGGCCACAGAGATGGGAAAGTGGAGAGTTACTCAAGAAAGCCCGTCCAGGATCTGGTTATATTGACTTCAATGGAGGTCCAAGAACTTGCTTAGGAAGTATGTAATGTTGTCTCCTATCTTTCGAAGTGTTACTAACTCAATCATTATAGAGGACTTTGCTTTGACAGAGGCAAGTTACGCAATCATAAGGATGCTCCACGCATTTCCGGGGATTAGACTAGCCCCAGGAGTACTGAATGAGCCAGTCGGAGCAGAAAGACAGAGCTACACCATCGGGTTGGCTCCGGCTGACGGAGTAAAGGTTTCTCTGGTTTGATGGTTGTTGTTATTCTACTGTTTATAATAGGTTTTTCTCCTTTACGCCGCCATCAAGCTGCTAGGGGTATGACATGGGGCTGAATCGAGAAAATAGAGGATATAACTCGGAGTTGTTAGAGGAGATGGCCAGCGAAAAAGAGAACTTTATTAGATACCTAGATAGGTAGCCCCATAGTCCTATTAATTCTCACACTTCTATTGATTTTATTAAATACTGAACATGCTCTCCATAATCGTAATATTAACTCTAAGAGCATATTTGTATCTTAGCCTTAAGGATGAGATGGGGTGTAAGGCGTCTTATTGGAGTAGTCAGTTAAGTTAGTTTATCTTAGAACCCGTAATCCATCGGAATGTTGAATTACTTCCCCCATAGCTTAAGACTTTCCCCGCCCATATCAAGCGTTCTTAGACCCTGATGGCTTGCGGTATCGTCGTACACGTCGGGGAATTAGTAGAACCGATAGGCATCGAAACGATATGAGATCGGGTCCTCGATGGGGGGTAGAGGCATACATAACCTTCTCAAATCACTGACAAAATAATGGCCACAGCTTCAGAGAACTTTACCTATCCTCCTCTCCCAACAGGAGAGAACGCTATCCGTATCCTTAATATACAGCCAGGAGACTTTTTTAGCCCACTGGTATGCTTTTTGATCCCTGCTACTTTCAAATCTAGGCCACGCTATATAGCGTTGTCTTACACTTGGGGCGAGCCGTATTCAGAATGTGTCAAAAAGGCATCGACGCTGTCACCAGCCTCAAAGGCAGATACCAAGAAGTCAATAAACATCACCGTAAACGGCTGCACATTTGATGCGGGCAGCAACCTGAAGGTTGCGATTCAGCACCTCCGTTCTGCAACTGTATCTCTATCACTCTGGGTAGATGCTATTTGTATTAACCAAGATGACAACGTGGAAAAGAGTGCCCAAGTCGCTATGATGTCTTCCATATATAAGCGTGCCATTGCTGTTATAGCATGGATAGGACCGAAAGATAACGGAGATATCGCTAGTTCTATGCAGTGGAAGGCCAGCCAAGTCCAGCATTTGGTTTCTGCCGTTTCAAACGGTTTGAAAGCTGCCGACTTGGAGGTACGATCTTCTCTTGGGCCTGATAGAAAAGCTTTTAAAAGAATGTCCGAAAGTGCATATTGGAAGAGACTGTGGGTTGTCCAGGAAGTATGTTGTCCTCTACGATTGGTATTTATGTACGGATCAAGTATTTGGACCTACGAGGCTCTAAGGCAATCAGAGGCGTTCAAAGAGGAACATTCGACACTACAACGATCTGGAAAAGGCTTGACGAATGAACTTCAAGAAATGCTCACTTTGCTAGAGATCAGGGGACAGAGGCACACCCCTATGACAAGATTAGAAAGTCTCGTCGAGAGCTGTGTTAGGAAAGACTGCACCGAAATAAGGGACAAGATATATGGGTTACTCGGGCTTGCTAATGATATCCGTACTCCAAGTAGCACCGACCAGCTACCTGATCAAGTCAAACGGTATGCCGAGTCATTGAATCTTAAAGATGAGGACTCATTGCAACTACTAAGAAATACAAGACCACCTGAAGTCGACTATGATCGCTCGTTATACGATATTTGGACTGATGTGGTTGGGTATATATACTTTCAAGTCCGGGGGAATAATGCGCCACTTGGCCTTAAATTCAACAATACCCCTATTGATGAGATTAAGACTGACATATCTCCTATGGAGGTCGAGAGATACATCACTGTAGTGAGATTCTCGGGTATAGTTCAAGAAGCACTCGGCCAACAGGTCGGGAAGGAAATTGGGGATATGGATAGATATCAAGCAAGTTTCCCCTTATTCAATTACCAATCTCCATTTAGCTTTTTTTAAAAGCCGAGAATTATTAATGCTAACTCGGAGTCAATCACCTATGTATAGGGCTATCCGGTAATTAGAGTGATAGGATTCTTGTGTAGTAAAGTTTTACGACTGGGTCCAGAGCTCGAGTCGCTCATCGAATCACCCCGAATCGAACGAGAATGGCAGGACTGCTATGGCGACTATTATAACGAGCCTGACCTGGAGCATATCAGAAAAGCGGGCGAGAATTACATGGCTAGAACTATGGAATATGATAATAGCCAGTTGATGAGGATCCATACGATACAGCATCCTGATGTTATAGCGTGGCCTATCGCAGATAGCAAGCCCCGAACCGATGATCCTCGGTACCTTGCCGAATACGCCAAAGGTTGGGAAGGAAATCAGGGACGCCAAGAAATGGGCTCTGATATCGGGCTCGGGCCCAGAATTTGCCTTGGCACAAACCGCCTCATCGCACTCGTTCCATCCGTAGCAAGGCCCGGCGATGTTATTATACGGTTTTGGGGCTGCGACGCTGCTATCATCATGCGGCCCGTAACGACGGACTTGACAAAGACGGCCGTGAAAGAAACACCAGAATCAGGGGCCCCCTATATGATAATAGGCAGAGTAGATGTGGCACAAGAGATTGAGCAGAGAAATGATGTACAGTCCCACAAAGTTCATACGGAGCAAGAGGTATCAAAACCCGAAGAAACCTGTCATGAGGGCAGCTGCCGGAACTTTGAAAGCGTTTATGTTGATTTGGATTTTTGGAGTCTGCAAATGATCACAGCGTCCATCTCCGTATCGCATCATACAGGGACTTGGACAGATGTTTAAATAGTTTATCGAATTCTCCTAAGGGATAATTTCCTAATTCTATATGATACCCATTATGAGGTCGTCTTTTAGTATACCATGCCTAGTTGGCGTCGGTATTGGATAAAGATGCGGAGTTTCCAGCTTTCCCTCTTCCTGGGGCCGATGTAAACTTGTCTCCCCACTGACCCTCCTGTTGAAACATGGCTAGACAGGCAAGTGCAGAGGGTGAACCATGCTCCGGATCAGCACCGCCTTCCAATAGCGCCTACATCGTCGCGAAGTTAGATCATGCAAGTTTTCAAGGGTGATTACTGGACATGGAGGTCGAACCTCGATTACACTATCCTCCTTCTTAAAAACGGCACCTGCTAAGGGGCTTTGACCCCTATCGTTAATACGATTCGGATCGGCTCCATGTTGAATAAGAAGTTTGACAAGGTCAGCATGCCCATGATAAGCCGCGAGCATAAGCTAGAAATAAACAATATAACATTAGTATTTTGAGTAAATTTTAAATTGATAACTCTTCTCATTAAGAAAGGTTGCTTAATCAATAGTTTCATACAAGTGAATCCCCTTTTTCGTTAGTCAAATTAGGAGGGAGACCAGCTGGTAAAGCCTGTTGAAATATCTCAATCTCTCCGGCTCGTGCGGCGTTATACATGCGTCCTGCGAACTCGATAGCTTCCGGAGGAAGGGATGCTGCCGCCGAATCACTGGCCATTTTTAAGGCCGATTAAATATTGAATATTGAATTGGAGGTACAGGAATATAATAGGTTAGGGGGTACTTAATAGCTTTTCTAAGTGGAAACTTCCTTAAACGTTTGAGTCCCCCCGGGTCGGCATGAAGTGGAGATATTATTGATGACATACTTGGTTCATTGATTGGACGGACCTCCGAAACTCCCGAGTCTATTCGGCAAATGATGTTTTTAAAAGGTCATTGAAGGTGACCTCAATTGATACAAGATACTGATAGATTAATATTATTATCTAGGTACCTAAGCTCTAACCTAATATCCTCATAACCGATATCTTTAAATATAAAACCCGTTGATAACCGCTATTAATTCCGTTATCAAACCGAGATAGCGACAACTCTGACGTCGAAAGCACCTGTACGCATTTACCTTAGGTACAACTTCTTTTAGTATCAGTATCCATCTTTTTTATCAGTGCCTCACCTATACGGATATACCACTTGAATATCGCAATGCCACCACGATTAAATACTCGATTGGCATCTTCTGCTATTCGTCTCCTCCGTCTTTACTCAACCGACGCCGGTCCTCTTGTTCGAGTTACCAACCTCCAAGCTCCAAATTCCGGTCATATCCGCATTCTCGAGCTTAATAGACCATCCGCGCGCAATGCTATATCAAAAGCCCTCCTAGCTGCCTTACGAGCCGAAGTTGAAGATATTCAATCGCAATATACCGTTGAGGGTCAAGAAGTGCCGCCTCCCCCACGATTTGGAGGAGCTGCTGGTATAGATCAGAAAGGGCCTACCAGAGCTCTGATCCTGGCCAGCGCCGTTGATGCAAGCTTCTGCGCAGGCGCCGATCTTAAAGAGCGGCGCGGCTTTACGCAAGAGGAGTCAGTATATACCTGTTATTATCAATGGTTTAACATTTTAACTAATACTTGAGGTTTGATCTACTCTAGGACCGCACAATTCCTAGCAGATCTCCGCGGCACGTTTTCGTCCCTTTCATCTCTCCCAATCCCTACAATTTCAGCCATCTCTTCCCTTGCGCTTGGCGGTGGTCTTGAACTTGCCCTTTGCACACACTTCCGAGTATTAGCCTCATCTGCAACGGTGGGCCTTCCCGAGACGCGACTGGGCATAATTCCCGGTGCCGGCGGCACGTATCGATTACCAGCATTGATCGGACTCCCTCGCGCTAGGGATATAATTCTAACTGGACGGCGTGTTTCTGCCCCCGAGGCGTACTTTTTAGGAATTGCCGATCGGTTAGTTGAGGTGCTGCCCGAAGACGAGCGGGATGGTGTCGCGCAGACCAATAACGAAGTCGAAGACGGACTACCAACTCGAGCACGAAACGCGGTTCTCTCGGAGGCGGTGAGGTTAGCAGGTGAGATCTGTGAAGGAGGTCCGATTGCGATTAGATCTGCTCTCCAGGCAGTGAGCTGGGCTAGGGAGGAAATAGAGAACGCTATGTACGAGCGTGTGGTGAAAACTGAGGATCGAGATGAGGCTTTAGAAGCTTTCAAGGAGAAGAGGAAACCTATATTTAAAGGGCGGTAAATCAATGAAATTAATGGTAGGCTTTCTATTTTATACCCATTTAAGGCAATCTGACTTGTACATAAGTGGCGCGCTAGATGTGTGACTTATGTGTATGACAGACAAGAGAACTATGAGATCAAGAACTTTGGGCTATTATTTTGAGTCCTTAATAAGGCTTTGATGATAATTGTACAATTTTATATTAGAAGTATTTCACCACTTTGTGATGGAAGTCTTAATACGATATCTACGCTAATTTTAGCTACTAACGTACTACGAATATATTGTCTTATTTAAACAAAGTGCAGTATGGGATAGCTATGGGCCCATCAAGGCAGATATGCTTCGTATTATCGTCAAATTTTCAACCTTGTCCCCAAGCAATAACTACTAGACTACAGAGGAAGACGAAACCTACCGTATCCCTACGATGATGCTGTGTTCTAATGCCGAGCCACTTTAGACTTATAAGTGGCGCATACCAACATCTTATTCCACATGCCTAGTCCTGGCGCGGGAATCTGACACTAAAGGGATAATGAATCATCAACATGACGCAACGAGGTAGTTACAATGACAGAAATTGCGATTTTATTAAACGACTTAACCTACTTTTCTCCTCTCATTTTTGATCTTCGATTTCTATACAGTGCAATTTCAGATCTCCTAAAGAAAGCTCTATAAGCAATTGGTTGCGCCTTTCATCATCCACATTATATATTCCAGTCCTTGACCTAACGTCATGGCCAAAAGCGACAAGCCAGAAGAGGGAGACAAAGGTATGCAACAAATAGCACTTATTAGAACTTCGCGGCTAATTACATTATCCACGGTAGTCTCTTGGAATTGGGGCAACGGTACTCCTGGAGGTACGGTAGCAGAAACGAAGGATCAAGGGGCGATTGAGATCAAGACGCAGCACGGGAATACTGTCAAAAGAAAAGCCGACGCGAGCAACCCTGCAGTCCGAATCGAAAGATCGGGCAATGATGTCGTCAAAAGAGCTTCGGAATTGACAACCGAAGAAAAGAAAAAGGGCGGTCGGGGCAGTACCAAACGCAAGGCCAACGGTCAAGATCCCGAAAAGTATGATGACGAGCAAGACGTGGATGAAGAGATCGATGTTATCTCGGACGGGGTTGACGAGGAACCTGATACGAAGAATAAACAGGACAGAGAAGTGAATAAGGGCGGCAAAGAGACTAACAAGAAGCAGAAAAGGGGGCAGCAAGATGTATCTGACGAAGAAAACGGAGATGATAAGAATAAAGGGGACAGTGATGAGAATGAGGAGGAAGAGGAGGGGGTAGAGGTAGGAGAAGATGAAGATGCAGATTACGACGAAGTCGAAAGTATTGAAGATGATGATGATGTAGAGGATGAAAAGGAGAACGACAAAGATCTGGGTGGTAATATTGGCAATATTGAGGAAGGATCCAAATCAACACCTAATGTCAATGGTAACGCGAAAAAGGACTCGACCCGACAACATTAAGTCCATTTTACATAGATTTGTTGGTACCTATATTTTAGCTAGTTAGGTCTTCTATACACACAAATGTTATGTCTATTGGTCTATAGAAATCACTCAAAGTATGTCATCAAGAAGACTTTGAAGCTTTCATTTGACCAGGAGGTCGTATTGGTTTAATTAACATCTGTAATATAAAACAGCTCTTTCAAAGGCTCATCCACTGACTACACAGACCCCATCACCCGTTGGTGTTAAGCTACCTAGGCTCGTGACACCGGGTAAGGAGATAGAGACGGTTTTCACTACTAGTTCCACAGCCATTGCGTTGGCAATTTAAAAAATGATAAGAAATCGTTAACGTATTCAGTGGATTCTGAAGTATGTGTAAAGTATGTGTGCTACGTGGTTAATAGGTGGGGTTTGGGGGGCTATTATACATGACCTTCACATATAAACTTACTACCGTACATTTGTAGTCTACGGCGCAGCATTCTTGCTATGTATCCACTGTCTGTGATGTAGCTAGATGGGGAGATACCTTGTATAATATATGTTAATTATATGCCTTGTTGGCCAATCCGGTAGTAGTATTATACGGGACTATCTTAGGTACCTGTTCAGTAGCTTGTTTCGTACGGATAGCCAATGTGAGAACATGCATCTTGGTCTTGGTTTACCTTGGAATATTATACGTAAGCGCTAGTAAAATTGTATATAGGTCTATAAGCACTTACATCGCCCTGCCTTTATAACATGCCACCTTACATAAAAATATTTATCTCCTCATTAGTTCTTCTTAATGACATAAATTTGATACATTTCCCTTGAAGATAGACTGCAAACCCCGAAATGGAGTTAATTCCTGCGGTGGCTGCATGGGCTCTATCCTCTACGTGCCAGAGCATAGTGGCAAGGGATTGGCTTGGAGGAATTTGTCCGCAGCGAATAGACGCGGAAGAACTTAGCTTGAGACTTTCTTCAAGCGCTCGAGTCTATCTTCCGGGTTCCGATGGCTTTACTAGAGCAACAACACGCTGGTCTGTTCTAGATGTCCCAGGAGTTAAAGTTGCCGCTGTTCCAGGAACTGAAAATGATGTCGCAGAGATTGTGAGCTTCTTGTCTGTAGAACAAATAATATTTGAGCAGTACTTACCTACAACCAGGTGAGATATGCAAATCAGCAGAACGTGCCATATATTGCAGTTAGCGGTGGTCACGGAGCTATAACAACTGTAGGAAAGATGAAGGACGGCATTGAGATTTGGATGAACCAATTAAATGGCGTTGAGGTTTCAGACGATGGCTTGACTGCTAAAATCGGCGGAGGGGCTTTGTCAAAATCTGTTACGGATACACTATGGTCGGCAGGAAAGCAGACAGTTACTGGTGGCTGCGAATGTACCAGCATTCTCGGACCAGGACTTGGAGGTGGTCATGGTTTTCTTCAAGCGCGCTATGGGCTTATTGGGGACCAGTTTGTTTCTATGAATGTGGTGCTGGCCGATGGGACCATTCAAACAATCGACAAGAACTCCGATCTTTGGTGGGCAATGAACGGCGCTGGCCACAATTTCGGCATCGTAACCTCTGTCACATCAAAGATTTATGATATTCAGCATCCCAATTGGGCATATGAAAGTTTTACGTTCACAGGAGATAAAGTCGAAGACCTCTATGATAAAATCAACACTCACTTACTTAAGAATGGTACCCAACTAGTGGATGTCATGAACTATTCGTTCTTTTTCAACAATCCTGATGTTGATCCAACTAAGGTACGTGACCCCCTCAAGATAAATCTCGAATTAATCATTAGGTATATGGCTGCATCCTAACGTTTCGTTTAGCCACTCATCATATTTTTCATATTGCAAGAAGGAGTAAATGCCGTCGACGCAACCTACACCGTTCCATTCCATGACCTGGGGCCGATATCCACTGACGCCGCTGGAGGAAGCTACCGGGATTTACCGGCCTGGACGGGGAATGGAAACGAATCGCCACCGTGTCAAAAAGCTGGTCTGAAAAACATTCGCTTTCCCATCGATATTGAATCGTACCATATCCCCTCCCAACGTAAAGTGTATGACTTATTCGCATCCGCGACCCAGGAAACTCCTGCCTTCAACAACTCCCTCTTCCTGTTCGAAGGATACTCTTTACAGGGGGTTCAAAGTATTCCTAGCGAATCAACAGCTTACCCCTTTCGAGGCGATAATCTTCTCCTTGCACCTCTGATCACGTATGCGCCGGGTGAGCCGGACCTCGATAAGAAGGCTGCCGAGTTAGGTCATGCTCTTCGTAATATTATTCACGAGGGTACCGGTAGGAGTGAGATGCATACATACGTCAATTACGCGTATGGAGATGAAGCAAAGGAGAATTGGTACGGGCATGAAAAATGGCGACAAGAAAGGCTCTTAGCTCTGAAGAATAAGTATGATCCAAAGAGGAAATTCAGCTTTTACGCACCTATTGCGTAATATGTATCTAGAGGACCGCGAACCCAACTGAATAGACAGGTAGTTATATTAAAGTTATTCTACGAATCGTTATAGGTCTCATCAACTTTATCATTTACACATACCAGTATATTGCGTATGGCACTAAACGATGATCGTTCTAGATATAACGTCCCAAAATATATTATTATTAATCAGTTTTCTGCTCTAGCCATATATATATCCATCTTGGAAGATTCCCGTATGTGTCCAAAATTAGTCCACCATGGTCGTTGCTTTAATATTTCGTGTCATGATGCCTGTGAGAACAAAGAGTAAGGTTACGATTATCTCTTCTATAACTTCTAGACCAACTCTTAAACCAAGGCTACCCGTTACTGGGTTTAACTCCTGGCTCTGAGTAAAGAAATAAACAACTCTTTCTAGTACTCGAATTCCCAGGAAAGGGATAGCAATCGCGACAGCTAGAAGTAGTTTCTTCCCTGGCTCACTCCCCGCTAGCTTTCTTGACTCGCGGGCTAGGGAGTCTCGAAATGTGGTGAGAGTAACTACTGCAAGTGAAAGCCAACCCAAGAGTAATAGAATCATGCCTCCTTTTACGAGAGCAAGGCTTCGCTTAATCTGATCTGGTGGCAGCGTGTCGTTGTTGCTTTTTGCGGCACCGGCAGCCACAAGAGCAATTGCAGTCGTAACAAGAATATGAAAGAAAACGAGGTATGGAGCGTCAAAGGGTCGTCGTGATTTCGGAAGGATATAAGCGCGCCTGGAATATAGTGAGCTTTAAAGAGACGGTTGGAATTACTTGAGTTCGTATAGGACTTACGACTCATGAAGAATACCACAAGCAGCAGCAAGGAGAGGAGACAGTCCAATACTAGAAACTAGTGCAGCGCTTGAACTATGAGCATCGTGTATCTCAATAGCGCTCGCGACGATTCTTAGAGTACAGAAGATGAAGAGAAATGACCAGCCGATGACCGCTCCATGCTTCAAGCCATGCTTTATGGCTATATAGATTAAGGACGGAGATATTGTAAGATATATGACCAGGAGGGCAACGGGCAGAGCCGGTGAAGAGGCCATGGCATGAAAATTAGAAAGATACGTGATGACTATTCTGATTGAGAAATATGTAGCAAGTCTACACATAACAGATCTAAATAAGAGAGTTTGGTTCCTTGGGAAGACACGGGGCCAAGACTTCATTATATATTTTACCTTTGCTCATCCCCTGAGTGATGTTTGAGGATCCTTCTGCATAGCTTGACTCCATAGTCTAGCTTGAGTCAGTAGCACTGCCCTCTAATCATATCTTAATAGGGTTATGCTTCAATTAATGTCGATCAGGTTGCTACTTTTGATAACTATAACTCTGACTGTTAAGTTCAAATGCGTGTCATGAAGCAGGTTATCGCTCAGTTCGGTTGGTCATCCAGGGGCAGCAATTTTGAAGCTAGCTCACCTTGCTGGGGCGCAGCTTCAGCAAGCTGGTATAAGGCATCAAGTTTTCGCATCAGGCATCGAGTTATGCGGAATACCCCCACTACGAAAAATATCCCACGGGAATACCATGCACCTACACGCTAAACGTGCCTTTATTTGGGTACGGCGCGTACTGTACGTAGATGCTACTAGATCTCGCCAACTCTTGATGCCTTATGCGAAGAGGCCCCAAGTTGTTATTTAAAATAAAATACAAGGCCCGTGACGTACGCATATGTAACCTAGCATTAAAACCGATCAGATTTCGATGTAGTTAATTTGAACCAATTATATGAAAATCAAATTGACCATTGTCAATTGATTTTAGCCACACCTAAATATTGTTTCAGTACCCTCAACCCATTAAGCCATTTCTATCGAGAACATATCTCCAAGTAGGGAATGAGAATACGAAGAATAGGTACTTAGGCTGTAAGTATAGTTAGAGTTATTGTAAGATACGTACTCATTATGAGGTTATGCATAGAATTGGCTCTTGAGAAGATGTCATATTCGTGTCTTAGATTATCTGATACCTCATTTATCTACCCGCCTTCTTAGGTGTCGTTCAGCCTGCCAAGCAAAGATTATTCAGGTTTCACCAATGCACCGTTCTGCAACAATCGACACCCCTCTGCGGCTGATGCTGCTGCTAATGAGGGGAAGCGAGTCCCCCAAAGCTCGAGGGTTTCTATTTCTCGAGCTCCGAGGAGTTCCGACTAACTCTCCAAGAAGCGATTACGTACCAGAAACGACTAAATGCTCGTTATTCAAGGGTCTCTACTATTACCATGACCTTCAAATACCATGGCGGGGCGTTTATCATTATCGCAACCCTGCCAGACATGTGGAACAAATGCCGAAAAGACGTTTACTTGCATCCAGTGCAATAACTTTGCCTTCTGCGATGTGTGTTGGCCAAAGTGGTTCTTGCACACTCCGGGCGCTGTTGGTTGGTCAGTAGATAAATCTTAGAAGCTTTTACCCCTGAAAATTATACTATTATATTTTATATATCTATGAGAAAGCTGTTCATAATCGCATGATCGAGACTAATCACTATGGATGATCGATAGGAACGGCAAACCGCACGAGAAGGCAGACCCCCTTGTTGTCCATCGGTTACGTCAAATCTTAGAACCGATACGTACGGAAGCTGAACACGAATCCGAGCTTCTCGAGGACCGCGATACGACTTGGTTCGGATTCGGTCGCGATGCCTTCGGCCACCCCCTATTCCACGATTTTGGGCGGTTCGCCGCCATAATGAGCGAGACTGTCACCGACGAGACGGTCGAGCGATATCCTCAGCTGACGACGTTTATTGGGGAAACTGGTAAGTCACGATACTTCTATATCTACATTTCGACTAACGACATCATAGGCGCTGGGAAAAGCACCCTAATCAAACTCCTCATTGACCGTCATGATTTGACGGCGCCTGAGGGTTCCAATTACTATGCGCCAGTAACATCATCTAGTCATGATCGTATTTCCACCACAGGTGATGTCCATCTGTATGCAGATCCATCAACTCTATATAGCAGTCACCCACTACTATTGGTGGATTGTGAAGGTCTGAGTGGAGGAGAAGCCATCCCAAAGCAGCTGCGACATCACCCACAAGGTACAAATGCAGAGTCGAACAATACCAGTACGAGCAGACACTATATGACAAGAAAAATCCTGTGGGCAGATACGCCTCATACTCAAAAGAGAGAGTTCGCCGTCAGCCAGCTGTATCCTCGAATTCTATACACTTTCTCTGACGTTGTAGTCTTCGTTCTGCGAAATCCAAGGTCGTTTGAATCAATGGTTCTTGATAAACTAATACGTTGGGGTGCGGCCTCTAGTATGTACCTCCTTTTTTTTCTTTATTTACTTTCATTTTCCTGCTTTACCCTTTTCTCCAAGCGTTATATGCTCGTCGAGAAGTCTCATATTTGCATTTTATATCACGTTGACTACTAGGCATAGTCACTTACTTTTAGTATTTCAGTTGATAAGTCACTCAACCAACCCGTACTTCCTCATGCGATAATCGTATTCAATGCCACGGATATCAATGTCGACGAAAGGGAATGGGATATTACGATGGCGACGAAATTGCTGATGGCAGATATCCACGACGCCGTCACACGTGAGCCGGCCTTGCAGGAATATGGTGAGCAACAAATGTCCCGTCACTGCATCTATCGGTAAAGCTAACCAATTCACAGTGGGTTTGAGTATTTTTTGGCCTTACTCATCGCTTTTTTTTTTCTTTTCCTAATTTTCAAAGACAAGATAAGTGAATAGTACTTTGTACTAATATTCAATAGGTACAAACATGGCGAAGGCGCGGAAAGCTGATAAGGAGCACCAAGGAGCTTTTGGAGTGCTATTATGGTTCCATAAATGTCATCAGGATCCCATATAAGGGATCGTATAGTAAGATATTTTATCTCGGCCTATTTCCTTCATCCCGCACCCCTAAACCCACCCCTCGGGCTGCCTCCCCTAACATAATAATTGGTTGACCGTCGCTAACATAAAGTCATTCAGTGTTGATAGACGAACAGGTTAGCAAGCTTTCTGGCTTGCTGAAAGACCGGTGCAAGGCTTCATACTTGAGGAAAAGGGAAGTGCGCATGCTAGCTAATACGGAGAAGCTTCAGTTCTACCTTCAAGCAGCATATGATCATTTTACTAGAGATCTCAATATGCCGTTTGATTTTGTGAAGGAGACCCTTCGACACAGCCCTGTCTCCAGAAATTTTGAGGGTAACATATTGAACCTAGCATTAGCGATCAAACAGAAATCTAGTAATTTGATTCTTAGCTGCGATACCGAACAGATATTTCGCGCAATAGGGCCGATGATAGCATCATGCGTGATGCTGGACGCTGTTCGTCAGAATCTACCAGGTGAATTTAGATCTGCCTTGGCCGGTTCGACACAATCTGGCTAATTAGTATGCAGGTACTGCAAGCCGCCTCCTGGATGATCGATATGCCAAGCCTTGCGCTGGTGCGCTACAGACATTTGCCGATATGTACTGCCCGTGCAGTTTCACGAACCCGTCTTTTAGCGGAGACCTTGGTCGATGTTATAATGTTAGATCGGGCCATAATCACAAAGGGCATCAGAACAAGCAAGGAAAGATCATCGGAAACGGCGACTACGAATCTAGATTTGATATTGATGCCTTTCGGCCAGTCTGGGAAGAACTACTAAAAGCAAGTCTAGCTCAAGTTCAAGCCTCGAGCTTCAAGCTTGGGCAGGAGTTCCCAGATAGGAGCGAGCTTCAGATTGCTGCTCTTATCCATCAGGAACGTTTGAACGAGCTCTACTCCAACGTACTAGGTGTGGCGACAGACTTTATCAGCTATTCATCTTGCCTCTGCTGCTTGAGAGAATTGCCAGAGTGCGCACTGCCATGTGGTCATGTTCTTTGCCTCCCCTGCGCCCAAATATATGGGACCAGAACATCGAAGACCACTATTGAGATCAGCCGGTGCCCTCTACATGTACGGGATGTTATTGCTAATCCACCATGGGTTATCATGACGAAGCCACGTTATGCAGGCAGCCGGGTGCTTTGTCTCGATGGGTACGCGATCCGTATCATGGCAAGATGCGTTAAGATATGCTAATTAAATGATTGTAGTGGTGGCGTGCGGGGAATCATAGTGTTACAAGTTCTCGCCGAGATAGAAAAAGTCTTGGGTCCAGACTTACCTATTCAATTGTTCTTCGACTTGATTGTTGGTACTAAGTAAGTTTTCAGAATATTATTTAGCTGGGGATTTTGCTAACTAGGTCAAGCTCTGGAGGTACCATTGCAATTGGATTAGGAGTTAAGAAATGGACCGTCGAAGCGACAATACGGAAATTCAAGGATCTATGCAAGGAGGCTTTCGTACCTCGAGAGATGACTAGCATGCCCCTTTTTGGTACACTATCAAGTATTTACCATGGTAGTCTATACAAGACGCAACCTTTTACGAAGGCACTGAAAAAACATTTATCTGATCAACCTTTCTTTGGTACTGCAACCCATAGATCTCTTGTCACAACTTCAACGAAAGTTGCTGTTACTGCTTCGACAGGCCTTGAGCGACAAGCTGTTGTATTTGCCAACTATAATCGCCCGGATCTACCTGAAAAGAGTGAGTGTGCTCTGACACATCCCTAGGAGATTGTCTAATAAAATACCAGGACTTCCGTATAGGTTTATTAGATCAGATACATCATCAAAGGAAATGCGCATATGGGAAGCGTAAGCCCCCTACTCCCTATAACTAATGACTCAATGGCGAATATCATAGAAGCTAACCAAGCCTTCGAGATAGGGCCCGCGCGACATCTGCAACGCCTCCTTTTTTTAAACCGTATATCAAACCCGAAACTGGTCAGGAATACGCCAACAACGATATCCGTCATTCATGTCCAGTGTTTATTGCCCATTATGAGGCCAAGTCAATATGGAGCGACGTAGCAGATCGCCCACCAGACCTGATGCTCTCTATCGGCGCGGGTCGTAATGTAGGCGATCGCAATACGGACGACCCAAATACGTTTCAATCATCACGGTCTATGACTAACGAGACCGTGACGACTGCAGGTTTTAGTACGAGTGCTGTTATCAGACAAGGCCGAGGAGGGGCCGGGAATTACAAGCGCAAAACCTCAGCAACGATGTTACCTTTCGATGATACAAGTTCGGAGAACACAGCAAGCGGATATGTTGTCCGTGATCCCAAGACGCCGATGCTAGTCTCTTTCAACAATCCCGTCCCAAACCAGACAGACAAGTTAAACAATCCGCGACAATGTGATAGAACTTGGAATCGCTTCATGTCTAGCAGTGCGATGAAGGAAGAATCAACTCGACAGCGCCACATGCGCATCTGTCCCGAGCTCTTGACTAAGTTACCGAAATTTGATGAGTTGGAGAAGATAAATTCCGTGGAGCAAGAGACCGCTGAGGTGTTGCGGCAAAACCGCCAAGATATCATCGAAGCCGCACATAGACTAGTCGCGAGTACGTTTTTCTTCGAGAAGGATGCTGGTAGTGTGAAACAGACTGCTTCTGGATATAGCTGTACAGGTAAGCCCCTCCCCCTCCCACTACATTTACGAATCCCTCTTCATAACGGAGTTTTAAGTAACCACTTTACCTTAGGCTCTATCTTTTGTAGATTTAGGCTTTCATCGCACGAGTTGAAGGCTCTGGGGTGGTTCCTTGTATCTCGGTTGGACGGCGACTTTGGGCCATACTTCCTCCTCGAGATACTTGATGAAGGTGCATCTTGGCCTCCGCGACAGATTGTACTCACGAGCTCTGTACTACAAGATATGCACTTACAGGGTGGTTTCCAACTTAATCCTATCCGAATAAGTACCGTAACAGAGAATGCACAGGTCAACATATCCCTCTGCTTGCAGACTCGTCCTTATCACAGTGGGGTAGTAGTCTTACCCATCAGTGGATTCCCACGGAAGCTCATGAGTGAAGATGGCAGCGGGCTCATGTATCGGGCGAGTAAGTATTTAACTAACTAACTGAGTAATATGAGGATAATAAGTGAAATTATCAATAGCTAATACCCGACTTTACTAGATAGCATCTCATCATCCGGGTCGTTCTTCTCCGCTATAGAAAAACGATCATCGATTACGACAAACATAACTTCCACTCCCCGAGCATCTCTAAACGAACCAATTCCGAGTCCTGCTCCTAGCGTCGACTCGTTCGAGAAGCTATCTATAGAAAGACACTCTAATTTTCGAGCTGAACTGGAGGGTTAAGCTAATAAGAAGTCATGAGAAGAGAATGAGAATATTTCACATCTAGGTCTCCTAAATGTGTGTATTATGAATTGGAGATCCACGAAGGACATTGTACAACTTTAGGGAGATTTTTAGCACCTTTCTTACACTATATTAAAGTAGCAACTATTAATGTTATAAAATAAACTACATCACATAAGCTTTTTACTCAGCACTCTATCAAATGAAGATCCTTGGCAAAGACCCTTTAGTCGCGGTCATGTCGTTGTAGCGGGCGAATCAAAGACGTTGGAAAATAATTCTCCCTAAAACATGTAAGCCTAACCCACCATGAACCCCCGTCCGATTTGGAATCATAGTAACGGGACGATCTCTTCCTCTCGGATACCATTCTATCTTGAGTGCTCTCCGAGATGGCGGGGTTCAGGTCGCATCTGGAGTGGATGAACGAAGTAAGTTTATCCCAATTGGGAAAATGGTATTTTCATCCAGCATACCTCATCTCACTAAGATAAGCACTTGTGCAAGGGACCAGACTCCATGAACACTATATCTGACTAAGTACATATCCACCCATCCGTGTCTCGATTAGCTAATTCCCTATATCCCAAGAGCAATACGCGTATATGGAAGCATATCGACTGGCTTAGTTATTAGGTATAGGCGCCCCTTTCTGGATTTGATATTGTCATTTCGAAGAAATAGACCCCAGAAAGAAACCACACCGTGGCGGAGTTATGATAATCCAGGGGCGAAGCCTCTTGCGAGATGACGTACGGGTCTTTGGCATCAAATACGTGCCCGATTCGGATGTAGCACGTTCGGGATTCATTGAGCAAGGACAGCTTCAGCTCTTCATCGAATATACGTCAGCAACATGTGGATATTCATCTCACCTAGCAGGCCTAGTTTCTACCCATGGTCGATCAATCCTTGCATCAAAATTATTGATGCTCACCTATTGAGTTCTTCTATCAAAATATTAGGGTTAGTTGCTCAAGGATAGATATCTACATATATAGATAGATCTATTAGCAACTTTTGGACATCAGTACTCCTCACTCTCATCCTCACCCTCTCATCTCTAGTCGGTACTTGTCCATAGCAATCAATATGCTCTCATACGTTGTGTCGGCCTTCATTCTCGCAGCAACAGCTTCCGCCGTGCCACAGTATCCGCAACTTGGATGTAGAGAACTCTCGATACCCGTCACCGTTAGTGTTCCGCGTTTCATTGTTAACACAACGGTCAACGACAACTGGGATGCAATTGCTTTAACCCTAGCCCTTACGAGGCGGGATTTTAGCGAAAGCACAGATCCGTTACCGATTTCCGGGCAGACATCTGAGCCCGTAGAAAGCAAATTCAAGGTTGGGGCAACACTATGCGGGAGAGGAGGTCCTACGTTGGTTCTGACTCACGGCATTCTAGAGTCTAAGCTGTATGTCTTATTTAGTCTCAAGTTGAAATTACGGCATGATACGCATAAGTACTAACACTGTCATAGGTATTGGCAGCCAACATTCCAGGCATCAGAGAAATACAACTTCGTTAAGGCTGCCGTTGCTGCTGGATATTCCGTCCTCAATTACGACCGTATCGGTGTAGGGTCATCCTCTAAGTAAGCCCAATCTATATTTATTAATGGAAGTCACGGTTTTTACTGACTTGTCTTCCTTGTAATAGGGTGGACGCACTTTCGGATGCCCAATTCCAAGTAGAAGCGGCTGTACTTGACTCACTGGTAGACTACGCGCGATATGCCACGAACGCCACGAAGGTAGCACTCGTAGGTCACAGCTACGGGGCGTATCTGACAGTTGCATCCGCGGCCAGCAAGAAGACCGCTGTTGACGCTATCGTCCTTACCGGGTTCGCGGGTGGCTTTCAGTATTTTGGCCCCTTTCTCGCCGGGTCTGGCTTCAGAGTCGCACGGATTCAAGACCCCATTCGCTGGGGCGCTTTGGACTCGGGATATCTCACATCGGCAGACCTCTTTGCTGAGACGTATTCGTACTTCGGAGAGGAAAATGATTACGAGCGACGGGTCGCCGAGTGGTCTTATTTCAAGGGTAGTGAGCCATTTGCCGTAGGCGAGTTACCATCCCTTATTGCGAGCAGTCCCCTAGACTTCGCAGGGGTCACGGCCGCTGTACTCGCTATCCAAGGGCAATTCGATTTATCAGGCTGTGGCGGTAACTGCATCGGTCTCCTAGATGGCCTTAAGGATGACTTTGCTGGTGCTAAGGTCGTGAAGACCGTTGATAATCTACCCGCGGGGTAAGTTATACATCTTCTAACAAGGGTTGAATATCCATGCTGACCCTGCTTCACAGACATAACCTCAACCTACATAAGGTCGCTCCACAAGCGTTTAAGGCGATTTTCAGCTTCTTGAAAAGTCAAGGAGTGTAATTTTGATCTATTCATCATAAATCAGTGTCTCGATTAGAGGAATATCTGTAACTGTTAATTTTCGGCCTTTATTTTCTTTACAGTTGTAGAATCAAAGATCCCTAGCGTATGGGGTGCGAACTGTTACCAACCTAGGTTTAGGAAATTACTGTTGAGATTTATTTATGTTTAGACGGCATACAAGACCGGCAAGATAGATTTATAGGGGAGGGTTCGATGGAACATTTTAGTGTAATAAAATACTGGTAGTGTTTGAATAAAGACGATATTAATCAGGAGATACTCTCAGAACTTCATAATTCAAGAAATATACACAGTGTAAGCAATAATCTGGCTTTCAAATTTCCAAGCTGCTTGGCTATCAAATATTATACAATCCTCCATGCTAGATGGTTTTATACTAGATGGTTTTTTTTTAAATCCGTTTCCCTGATCCCGCACCCTGCGGATACTTTAATACCAAAAATCCGAAGCCGACTAACGGCAATATGTCTAATAGATAGTAAATGTTACATAGAAAAGAGCATTCGACGCCCATTGCATTGCCCCTCATGCCAACGCTCGTACCATTCCAGGTTGGTCCTCGTTCTAAAATGTGGGACCGTCCGAGCGTCGCCTTGAACTCGCTTCGACCCCGCCTGCGCCACCGTCATTATCTCGACATTTCTGGAGCTTTGTGACAGTGATTCGACCATGCGAGAGTCAATCTACGGCAAGATTGCCGTACCTGAGCTAAGGAGCGTTTTGGTGCTTTCGAGCATCTGTTCCGAGCACCCATCGTGACTTCTAGTGGACACGTTTGTGGGTAAGCCTGGAAGCAGAAGTCGGTGTTTTTTTTGTGTGTGTGAATATTTATGAACTGATGGGAAGAAAGGCCGTGGCCATGGAAGAAAAGGGGTATCGAGAAAGTGAGGGTGATAACTATTTTAGTGTCGAAAATGATGCGTCGGCGTAGTAGTCACATAGAGTGAGTGATGCGATCCGACGAGGCGGTGTGGAGGATAGTGGCCGTTAATATTGGCCGTAGTTAGTCTCCCTGTATAACCCGAGCCTTTTCCTCCCATCACATCCGGACGTTGCTTAGAACACAAGGTTTACGCCGTCTTCCGGATGTTCGTAGTAGGATCCGCCTAATTGTTTGATTAAACGGCAACGTTCCTCCATGTTGTAAGTGTTGTTGATTCTGCCGATACCTCTCGACGACGCGTCTCCGTGTGTTGTTCTCAGAACCCAGACACCACCACCAGCGGGCCAGCCAACGTAGACGACCGGTTGATTGTATCTATCTGGGCTCATGAAATTCCTCCTGTATGCATCTTCGCTTTCCCACCACGTAGCTCCGAGTTTGCGCATATTACCGCAATGGATATCTTCATCTGCTTGATCTAGAGATCTCATGGCGATGTGGAATCGGTCTAGATTTAAAAAGTCAAGTTCGACAGCAGTGCAATGGAGCACATAGATTCCTCCATAGCTAGGATATCCGCGCACGGCAGCACCAGGTCCTACTCCGAATTGTGTTCGGAATTGAGGTTTGTCAAATACCATGAGGTAGTCATCTTCTTCGCCAGAGTCATAGATTAGATTTCGCGACTGCGCGTCTGCAGCGAAATCATCCTCCTCTGCGGAATCATAATCATCAAACCCTCGCGATCGAGAGCTTGACATAAGATCACGGGTAAGGCCATGAGCTCTTGAGCGACGTGCTCTAAATGAAAATAGATAGCTTCCAGACAAAGCTGCAAGAAAAAAGATGGCGGGTGTTATGAGGGACATAATGCCCGGAGTAGGTTGTGTTCGGACTGTTGGAGACATCTTGGCTTGGAGGTCTGCACACCTACCTATAGGTACTCCCGGCTCCGGTAGATAAGCCCTAATAAATTCACATGGATGCAATATGAAATGCAATATGGATGCGATATAGATGCACTACGGATGCACTACGTGGTTATGCCCACGTCATCTAGCGGGTTACCTACTGGAAATGACTTGGGCTCTGACGCTTCTGACGCTTTGCCCAGTTGTGTTATGTGTGTGTTATGTGTTACGTGTTATGCCACTATTTGCATAAAGAGCATTGAATAAAATGATTGGAAGGGCAAAAAAGGAAAAAGGGAAAAATACCATTCTTCACTTCTTGTTAGGCATTGTTTGGCACCACATCCGAATTTCATCTCTCTAACGTAGGGCTGATAGGTAACCGAATAAACACCAAGGATGTCATGGTAGCCAATCAAATAACCGCTCGCCTTTCGGCATAACTAACTTGCATATACGTGGCCACGAACAAAAAAATTGTGCCACTTTTACTGTGCTTCTTATTGACCGCCTCAACTCTTCCCGCACAGCCATCGCGAGTCACGCAGGTACAAATCCTTACCCATGCTGAAAGGAAGCTATGACTTCATCAAGATATAAATTATGACATTTTTACTGGTTGCCTCGTTGGAAGAAGGTAATCCAATGGCCCTTTGACGCCCAACACAAGAATAAGGTCCCGTGAGCTTTAAAAGTCTGGCCGCCAATGTTTACATTAATAAAGCACTGTTTCCACTTATAGCTCGGTTATACATTGCATGCCAAGCATTCCGTTCATGTCTTCTATCCACGTCAATACGACCTAACTCTTTCTAAATGTTTACAGGGGCTGAGCGCACAAAATTGACGAATGCTGGCGGGTATTTCGTCTTAGCAGAAAACTGAGGCAATGGAAGGATAAGTGATACTCGCTCCAGAATCAATTGCGAATAGTGGGACATTATATGCCATTGGCTCCGAGAGAAGAGCATAACCACCATCTATCTAGCAGTTTTGAAGCTCATGAAGCTTATGACTTAATAGCCATTATTGAAGATATTATAGGACCCTTAACATTTCATAAGCTCAACGTGAAGAGTGAAGTATATGAAATAACTACGGCTTCAATTGACGTGATATGATATTTCTAGGACATTGGTAGCTACAGTATGCCTTTAGCATGTGTTCATACACTTGAAGCCTTACATATGAGACGAGAAACGCGATTAGACAATTGCTGAAGAAATGAGGCAGCCCATACTAAAATGCGGTTTCTCATTGGTATCCAAATTTTAGCTCGATCATAATCTCCTTCATCCGAAACTCATAGATGACCATCTTGAAGCATGGCATTTGGCTTATTCGCGTGTCAGTGCCGGTCCCAACCATCTGGCTAGTCAGGAACAGTATCCAAGTGCCCTGATCCTCTACGAGATGTGTGCATGATTGGTTAAGGTGAGGACCATTGGTTGCCTCCCATGTCCTCGGACCCGTTGTGTAAACTGACAATGATGGGTTAGGCGGTCTCGGTATAGACTTGATCCTTATTCGAGAGTCTTTGTAGACTCCACATAACGGGAAAGTAGAGAAATGAATAAATGCCTAAACTGCAGGTAGGCTCCACTTACTGATATAAGACTATCCGAAGCTTCGTGGGCTTTCTTGAGTTCCTGAGATCATACCTGACTGGAGCGTAGTTGATATTCGCATATACCTCTATAACCTATCTGCAGGCAGAGTCAAAACAAATAATTTGCCTACTAAAGTAGAGTATAGTCGGGAAGGGATTGAAAGTAAAGACCTGGTAACTAACCCACCATGGGGTTGTGTAATTTTGGAATAATAAGACAGTCACGCACGGTTCCTTACTTAGGTATAGTAGGTAGGCACTTATATACAGAAACAGTACGTTGCTCAATCGATATTATAGCCTTATTATAGTATTATAGGCATAAGATACTTATACTATGGACCATGTATACTAGAACTAGAGGTATAAGTGGGTGGCTTGTAAATATCGGGGTTACCCCTGGGCCCAGAATACCGTTACTCATCCTATCAGCTACGTACAAGGTTGGCTCCGCATAGATAAAAATGGGATCGTTCTAGAATTTCAATATATTGCGGCTCATTGTCTTTACTAAGCCGTAACCTCCACCCTAGCAAATAAAATGACATCCTGATAACCTCAACTCCTACTAACCCCCCGACTGCATGGTAAAACTGCTGATTATAACCGTAGTAGTACCATCTTATTGCTATAATACTTTTATACTTTCCTATCACACATTTCCAACTTGGCTGTTCATCTTGTACCCCCTGAGGACTGGTTGTCCAAGATCACAGACACGTTGTGTGGCGGAAGCATTCAGAAAACTTCCGAAGCCCTTAAGTTAATACAATACTGAACCTATATCTCATTTGATACTGGTAGTAACTATAATGGAGGGTGTCTAGTGACGGATGTGAGTGACGGTACTTTTATGGTATACCGTGATTTATTTTTTGTGTGATCTCCTATGTGACGAGAATGACCCACGTAATGAGTGGAATCGGAAGTGAGAGAACGAAATAGAGACTCCGGACGACGAGCTTGAGTCCTAGCGAAACGCTTATCGCAATTTAGAACTTTGTTGGCTACCTCTCAGGGTGAGCCCTGATAGAATCCCTAGAGACTTAGAGAATTCTAGTTGAAGAGAAATTTATAGTCCTTCCCATTATGACTAGGAAGATGCCCGCGTATGCTAGCCATAGTCATCTCAAAACACCGCAAAGAGCTTTATTTCAGCGAACTGATGCTGTAAAAAAGATGTTGTTAAGCAATGCTAGAGTGGTAGTAAAACAAATGACACCAAGTAACTTGAATTAACCTAATAAACATCGAGGTAGTCTAGTCGACGCACCCAATACTCTAGAACAGTTCAATCCCCAGACCGGCCTCAATAGAGCTGACTACCTTACCTGGGTACCTACCCCACCGGATTCCGAATCGATGGATACTACTGCACCGTCGAAGAGCCAGACCGTGGCCTTGGTATCGGTTCTGGAGCTAGCATAGATGGATATTGTCACTGGCATATAGAAATTACGTGCAGGGAGTTCAAAAGACCCACGATACGATTGCCCTACGGCGCGTCACCACCAATGCGTAGTTTTATGCATATGACCATACGTTAGGGCGAAGTACAACACAATTACAGGGCAATTCTTGGGTAGAAAAATACTGAATCATGTATACACAAATCCAGGCTTTTATCCGTGATCATTACATTGCAGTTACAGCGATATTCCATATCGTTAGTTATCAGCAAGCGAGAACGATGGCAATACGTTATTCATGCGAATGACAGCACTCTTGCTTTTATCGGCAACCGGCCAGTTCTTGTACACTCTTTGCGAAAGCGAGGGAGAAATGTGCGGATAAGAGGATTCGCCGAGTGTTCGAGACATGATGTTGAGAAGCTCCTTATCACCCGTCTAAACCCTCGCGTCATTGTACTGCTCATTATCCTTCTCGAATGACACTTTCATAGTCTTCCGGCAGACTTTCTGGATGACCTCCCAAGATTGGACTAAACTTGTAGCATTCTTTCGCAGGGATGCGGTCACATCCTCCTTATCTACCTCGGCCATCCACTGGCACTTCTGAGCTTGGTCTAAAATCTTTAGTACCATTGTATGCGTACCAGAAGCGCCGTCGTATGCTTTAATATCTAGGGTATCATAGATCCACGTCCAAAATTTTTGGTAAGTTTCCGCGAACGAGAGCCAGCTGAAGTAGAGATCCGAGGTTTCAGATACGATATAAAACCCTAGGTTTCCCAATATGGTGGTCATATGTCGGTCGGGGTCAGACCAGGCCTTGCAGCACTTTTCTTCAACCGCTGGTGATAGTCCTACCTGTCTCGCTTTCATGGCAATAGCTTTTGGGTCCCCAATGGCTCTTACAAGATTCAGAATCATGTCGTCAGTCATGACCTCGCTCCTACACATCTAGTTTGAGAATATATCGTCAAGCAGGCAAGGATTGGACGCCCACCGCCCCCTTTCTATGTTCAGTTTCGGTTTGGTAGACCTTCTGTTTCTCACAAAGTTCGATGCCGTCACACCTGAAGCTAAAAGGAACTTATTATGCGCTTCTTCCATCGATCTGGGTAGTCCGCCGACGAACATATTATCCAAATTTTGCTTTTGAAGGAAATATTCCATGTCGGGCCATACTGGGTCGTTAGGATATAGAGAGCGGCCGGCAATATATAGATGCACCATGCACGTAATACCACGCTATGCCTCTTCAAATTTACACCCGTAATTATGAGATTGCTGATAAAGACGATACTTCAGCATGCCGCATTTCACGGGGTTGATCTTCAGGAAATAGTCCGGCTCCTGCATGAATTCCGGTATGTCAGGTTTACCCCTTAAATCGTCTAAATCAGGATAAATAGTCCTTCCCGATGGGTATCGTATACTACCGCCTGAAAGCATCCTACGGAAGTTATCTCCCAAGACATCCAATTCATAAGCAGCCAAAGTTGTTGCGAGCCACTGCGACGCTTGTCCAATGAGAGCAAATGGCTCCTGGTTGAGCTTCTTGCTTCTAAACGTGGACAGCATGTTACGCGTGTGTTTTTTGACTTCATGAATCGGTTTCTCCGACATGTCCTGGAGCTCATCTTGAATATCTAAGAGAAATTGGACGCCAAATGCAACCGAAATGGGTATTGTCTCGGTCCTGAACATGCGACCAATCCCAGATGTGACTTCGTCGCTAGAAAAAGACTCCGCCATGGCCCGCGCGACACCTTGGACACATGGTATCATGCGTTTAATGCGACGGAAGTTCTTTGTGCTATATTGACAAGTATCTACTTTCTATTCGGCATTTCAAGATACTTTGCTTGAAGAACCCAACTCAAAAGAGTCCCGAATTACATAGGCGCTAGCTTAGCATACCTCTCATAGAGTTATAGCACTATCCACCACTAACTTTGAGATTCTTGTCTATCCCAAGTAGGGACCTAGGATATAGCTTATGACGTTGGAGTTCCGGTGCAAAGGTATAGAATATAGGTTAGGTACCTAAGGTAGTTAAGTATTATGCCCTCAACAATATCTCATGTAGCGTCTTCTATGGTAGATCCAAGCTCCGGTGGCGTTTTATCATCACGATCGGTCATCGGCGTCCGCACGAACAGTGCCAGGATTAACATCATAATACATGATATTGATACTCCGATATATGGCAAACCAATCCAAACCCCGCCCAATCGCATACCCAGCGTAAAAAGGCCAGCCAGGGCAGGCGTTGCCCAGATATTGCTTCCTACATCCAAGAGCGCCATGATGCTAAACAGCCTAGACCGATGTTCAATGTCGATATGCGAGGTCGCGATACTTTTGATGAAACTTGCCGATCCGGAGCCAAGAGACATAACAACAAGGCCGGTTACGAACACAGGTAAGTTCGGAGATACACCAAGGATGAAACTACCTATAGCGTAGACCACGTAAGACCACCGTGCTAGTATTAGGTCACGGTCTTTCTCATTTGCTACACGGAAGAATTTCGGTGTTGTTGGTTGAACGACTAATTTAGACAAGCCTGGAACGATCAATAGAACGACGACTATATGAGCGATCCCAAAGACAGATTGAATATAACCAGTTTTGGCTATTGGGATATGATAATGCTTCGAAATATACTGGACCATGAACTGGAGTGTACACATCACGACAGGCATTGACAAGAGGCATATGCAAAGAATGAGAGTAACAGAGCCTGTTCGGATGATAGACAAGGAGTCTTTCAACTGGTTAAAGCCTCGTAATACACGCGTTTTGAATGTTAGTGTAGAATCGGTTACATCTAAATGCATGGGTCGGCGGAATGTTTCTGGGGTAATCGCAATTAGAGCAGCGGTTAGGGCCCATAGTACGATGGTGAGCCACATAACGGGCCAAGGACCTGTTGTAGACATCACAGCAGATGCCAGTGCCGGTGAGACTAAGTTGCCCGCTAGGCTTGCAACATGAATTCTCATGAATGCAATTGACCTATGACTTGTAAGTAAAGCTACTGAACATTGGAAGTTAGCTTATTAGATTGCTAACTTACCTACTAGATTCGGGAATTATGTCGCTCACCATACTATACGTGCAAGCACCAATAACTGGTGGACCTCCAGATAGATGCGCTACAGATGATATCCAAATCCATCGAACCGGGAACGTGTCTGGAAACCAGCCCACAATCATAATCAACAGCACATGGAACATCATGCCCACTGCAGCGGTAGCATATACCGGTTTGCGGCCGATGCGATCAGCGAGGATCCCCCAGAGAAGGGCAACAAGACAACCGATGCCAGAGTTAAGAGCCTCTAAAAATGCAAACAGATACGCTAACTCGGACTGTATAGGATCCTTTTTGCAGAGCACCTCATCAATCGGTTCGCCCGAGGTTGGTGATTGGCCGTAATATTCATGGCAGATAATGTCTTCATATATCCTCGTCATAGGAATCTGCTGGAAGCCACCGGCGAGAGAACCGACGAGGACGATCAAATAGCAGAGGCTTAAGATGATATTAGGATTATGCATCCATGATATGGTGTTTTCGGCGCTGGAGATAGAAGATGCAAGCGTAGTTGACCTCGATCGACCGGGCTTCCAAGCCGAGGCGGAAGCTAACGCGGGGGTCCCCTGAATCGTCGAAGTCCCCACAAGAGGAGTACGCTCTGTGATAGCGTTCTCGTCATCATCGGACATTGGTTCACTCATTTCGGGGTCGAACAGACCTTTCGGATCGTTCGCGGGATTTAATTGTATTTATATCTTGGGTTGAGTGATGATGATGATGATGATGATGGAAAACCGTAAGGCTACAAGATAGTCTCATTATCTTTCCGACGTAACCACCCACGCCAGGATCATATGCTCCAGCCTATCATATACCGGAAAAGAAGCTATTGGTGGCACATTATACAGGGGTAAGATATATGCCAACTTATATAATTTAAGACATAATTTAAGACATGCTTACATTGACTTAGTGCATCCATTATGACATTTTGTTAATTTTTAATTCTTTTTTTTTTTTCGGGAGAATGACTCTCTACTCCTCATTTTTATGTATTTCCCATATCCAGCGCTTCCCTTCCTATATCACGACCGTGCAAATCACGAAACTAGGTACATAGTCGACAACACCATTTAGTTCCTTTGACTCTACATAGTATCGAGGTACTTCCGGTACCTTCTGCTATCCTATGACGATCGCGACGAGCCGAGCGACATGGTGAATTCTATGAACGATGATATTCCGTTATAAGCCCTTCCTTTCTACGAGATCTTCCCCGATTCGCAAGCTGAAAAGCCTTGGCAAGGGCAATAAGGAACAGTAGTTGTCGTCATCTGTAATACATACATTCATAGCAAGGGATAAACTCGGGTCGGTCCGATAAAACAATGGGAGAAAGTGGAACATATAGAACTCTATGTTTCAATCAAGACCTTTACCGCTATTGAAAGACATACCTTTACGAGGAGACCGAAGGAGTAAGAATCAATAATGTGTTTATGACGTGGCCGTCTAAAATATGTTTTCGGCAGAGATACAAGGCGTGAATTAGAGATATCGGAACCTACGAAGACAGGTGAAGCATTACTATGCGAAGTGATACGGCCCACCCTAAACTTTGGTCCTCTGCGCCGGACGTGCCCGTATGGCAATACCCCCGCGACTATTCATATACTGTCACCCTTGCAATAGCCAATTGGCTATTTTTCTCGAGCGTCACCAACTACAGCGCCTCAGAGCCTAAAATAGATGAAGAAGAGTCATAGAAGTGGCTTGCGACGTTTCCCGCGTCCTTATTTCAAAGAACGCAGCAGCTTTCTAGGACTCTGCCATACACCAAGTCAGCGAGTTTAATTCTCAGGATATGGGATATGAGTCTCGGCTCGCTGAAGGCTGTAGACTTCTAAAGTTGAAACGATAGGTACCTATTCTACCCCGTTCTCGTAAAATGGAAGACCGGACTGGGCAAATGAGGAAGTCCTCGTAGCCCGATATGACCGACTGTCGTACTAGATCAGCCATAACCTGCAAGTTAAATTTACAGCCTATGCTATCCTCTCACCAGCATCTCAGCTACGATTCGATCACGGCCGGGACGGACCACATCCCCGCCGATAAACAGTAGAAATCCTGCTCATAACCATTCGTTCTGTAATCAGACTGGTTGAAATCCCGAAGGCGGCATTGAAGTTGATACGATGCAGTGATGTTCAAGGCCAGATGTCGACTTATACCGGTCCCGGGAAGCCTTTTCAAATGCCGTTTATGCCGTTAGCGATGATAGATAATATTAATTATCTACCTACCTAGGTAGGTACATAGGTAAGATTGTGGGTATGATGTGCTAGCAACGCATCGTGAGAATGCGCCCCTATAATTTAATATTATAGAGAGCTGATGTGAATATTATTCGCTGTTTGACGGCCCTATTGACACAAAGGGTCTGGAGCTTCTTCTCAATCCTACGGCTGCGGTGCGATGGAACGCGTAATTCGAACTGTCCCACGTTTAAATTCCAAGTCGGCCTTTATCGTGGTGCATCTTGGAGATTCCCTCACATCTTGATCCTTGCCCGATAGCTAATAAGCCGAATATGAAGAAGGAAGATTGGGTTAATGTAGCAAAGATCCTACCCGTTTGGAAGATGCAAAGGCTGTTATAAATTGGAAGAACATTTTTACTTCCGGAAGGATTATATCCCCTTCGGGAATATTATTATTTGAGGTACGTTTCTTATTAGTTCAAAACTATCACATGGTTGTATGCCTCCTAATGGGAATCGATCCCGCGATAACTTCGTCATGCTAAAGATAATTCAAATCGTGACTTACTGAATGTATTGGGTACCTCTTATTCCAGGCCCAATTTTTAGCTACCAGCCTTGATAATGACATTAGGTGCGAGGCGTTAGGTGGCGTGAGGCTTGAGCTATGATAAACACAACAAACCCAACTGATCCCAACTGAACCCAACTAACATGGAATATTCTGTCTAAGATTCTCTGATTTGGTTAAGGTCCGGACGGCTTTCCGAAACGTGATGTCAAGCGCGTCGCGAAAGGGAAATTCGCGGAATATCATTGCTCGTTATGGTGAGACACGTACAATAATTCAAATTTGGATAGACTGACATGTTGGATTAGTATCACCAAATAATCAGCCCATGTCTACCTCTATTTCCCCTTTGTATATTATCTATTACACGTCCTCAATCCCTATATTGTACGGTGAGGTCATCACTATTCAATTATTAGGTAACAAGGGCAGCCTCTGAACTTCGGGACCGTCTAGATGTCTTTCGATGCCCCTCGCTGCTCGGCAGTGGATACGCCTGAAAATACGAGTGAGCTAGTAAAGACGTTAAACGACATTCGGTGTGAGCTACCGCCATGCATAGGAAGTATTCAGATGCATGTGTGAAGATACATTATGCATTAGTTAGATACATAGAGTCAGGAGGATCTTCTGGGCAACATCTCCGAAGCAGACGCCACACTATCGATTAAAATACGATCCTCTTGCCTACGTGTGAATCGACTAGATAGGTCATGTCTGATTCCGACCTTCGTCGGTCCCGAATACCGCGGCACAGCTAGATAACTGTAACATGACCAGCAGTTTACTTAGAAACACCATAAGCCCATGGGATCTTTAAAAAAAATTTGAGGCTCATGGTTATACCGGCTGTTGTGCGACAACGATCCTCAGCAGGAATGCTAGGCCGATCAACAATTCCCTATATAACGGGTAGACCTGACACCTTAGCCGTACCACCGCTTGTTGTCTTAGTGCAATGCAAGGAGTTATCGTCTTTTTTAATTAGGTAGCTATAACACGGCCAACAGATTTTCGTCTTCCTAGGCTTGACAGAAAGTCCACAACTTCACTTACACCGGATCCTCGCAGAGAATGCATCTACTTGGGAACTCAGTCGTAATAGGGGTATTCGCTGCCTTAGCAAGTCAATCCGTACTCGCAATACCTGTTGGACGTGACTCGGGCCATGCCGACGGGATACCAATGCCTCGTGATTTCAAGAGGTTCGAAGATACATATCATAAAAATATCAGAGCATCCCTGGGACCCCGTGGTTGTACGAGGGGAAGCATCACCATTCGCAAGTCGTGGTAAGGCAACACAACTACTCGCGAATATGAAGCTTCTCTCGCAACTCATAATTAACGTGAACTATAGGGATAACCTCGATGACGCGACAAGAGCAGATTATCTACGCGCAGTAAAATGTCTGGCGGCTGAACCACCAACGATGGATACGAGTCTAGCGCCCGGTGCTGTCAACCGCTTAGATGACTTCACTTACATCCACATTAACCAGACTAACATAATTCACCAATCAGTGCGTGTTCCTACCGAATAATCCGTTCTAGCATACTAACCAACTCAGGGTTACCTCCTGCCGTGGCATCGTCTGTTCCTCTGGCAAATGGAGCAAGCGCTGCGTAACGAGTGCGGGTATAAGGGGCATCTACCTTACTGGGATGTCCCCCGGTTCTCAGAAGATCAGACTAAGTCTAAGGTCTTTGATGGTTCCATAACATCTTTTGGTGGTAACGGCGCCCAGGTGCCCCATAAGCCCCATAAAGTCATTCTTCCCGGATTGGTCATAGGAAACTTCTCGCTGCCAATGCCTGCCGGCACGGGAGGTGGCTGTATCAAGGATGGCCCCTTTAAGGACTTCACAATCAGCTTAGGTCCCGTAGCGAAGGAGGTTATTGATCCAGCTAACAAGTACGGCTATCAACCTAATAAGCGATGTTTATCTCGGGATTTCTACGACCCTGTAAGCAAAGGCGTATTGACATGGGCCAACGCGACAACTATCGTGGCATCTAAGAATATTAAGGAACTTAGGAACAATATCGAAGATCTATGGCATCTGAATTCACACACGTTCGTAGGACGCGAAGCAGCAGACCCGTTCAGCACGCCTAATGATCCGGTCTTCTATCTTCTACACGCGCAGATTGATCGCCTATGGGCCATATGGCAGGGCCAAGACCTACAAGAAAGGACCTACGCGATTGATGGGAATAGGACATTCCTAGGGATTGCCCTCGACTACGCGCCGGAGGTACCACGAAGTCTGGCAACAATAGAGGACAAAATGGACATGGGTTTGGGTTGGAACCCCAAGACCAAGGAAGGGATGCCGGCGACGGAATTCGGACGATGCTATGTATATGAATAGATCTGGGGAGGATTTGATAAATTCCTTTTGAAATAGAGCTAATATCCGCCAGATAGGTGCTTATGAGACATGACTTATAAACGCAATAGAAGTGTATCCCTGCGGAATGCAAACAATGCTCACGTAGATTACACAGAAATGTTGAAATATCAAGATCATATCATCAATGCATCTACGTGAAAACTCCGACGAGAAACGGAGAATCTGGCGTTGAAAATACCTCTCTATACGGATGCCTGCACTGCTTTCGGCAGAGGATCAGGCCTACTCTGTGTTCATAGCTAGCGAGTTACCCCCATCTCTATGTCTGGACCAGCGGAGCTTCTCATAAGCCCCTTCGTCCCCTCCTACACTAAATAATCTATAACTGCTTTCTATCATGGATAATAAGCTCGGTGAAGAGGTGGAAAATATCTTACCGGCAGACGACATGACGATGCAACATTTTTGATGAGTGGCGTTTTGAATCATTCGACTTAAAAGAGAAGCTGGGCGTGTGGCGTCGCAGATGGCTTTCAGCCAGATCTTAGCTACCCAAGGTACACCTACATCCATTGTATATACCTCGCATATACGCGCTTACCGCTTCGACGTATATATTACCTGACTGCAAGTAATAAGAGTATGCCCTATCACATACCTTCAAGACTCGCTCATCTCACCAGTCTAAGACTTATTGATAAAATGTGATCCAACCAGCCAGGTATTAAAAACATTGCAGGTAGATGTATCGATTAGCAAACAATGACTTGTCTATTTTTGAGAATCTGCTGGAAGTGCAGCCATAAGCACTACATAGCATATATCTCGTATCCTTCATCACGACGATGTTACACAGCTAGCCACTATACCCGCGTGATAGGTACTATACAGCCTAGTTGCCCCCTAACTTTCAGGTTTATGGAAGCGTTTTAAATATTCCCTATAAAATCTTACTATACTTGTATCTCTGCTCCAACTTGGGCGTAAGGTCTATAATAATCATAAACCGGTTTCCCATATTTGAAGAACACCGTGTAACTGGGGGTGGTATGCTTAGTTAACCGCGCGGCACCCTACATATCACAAATCGTAGTCTGTTCGAGATACTCCTGTTGCGTAAGTTATCATTCTTTTGACCCTCAATGGCCTATCTACCTTAGTCTCACATGCACCTCAGAATTAGGTAGTTGATCACATAGTATAGGTATCTTATGGCAAGTCATAACGTCACTCCTAGGCTGCAAGATAGGCAAGGTGTGTAGAAGTTCATTACCTTGACTATAATATGGCGTACTTGTTTACTTAACCTTGCTTATTTTATCTGGAAGATTCTAATATGTCTTGGATATGAATGTTTAGGCTGATTTAGAAGTGATTCAAAAGTCTAACGCACACTATCTTCCACATCAGGTGATACGTTATATGGATCTACCACGGAGATGCGAAATTCAACACACTTCTTCCATTCCAATAATCGTAGCTTTGTAGAAACCACAATACTATGAGTATGAGATATGCTTCGGGGGGGTTTTAATTCAATAAATATGATTTCTCTCAAAGATTATGTTAATCACTTATGGTCAGCCTAGATCTAAAGTTATTATAAAATCTAGTAACACCTGGCTTTGTCCATCATACTATAGTCGTCAACTTCAACAATAAATATGCCTTTGTAGCACATGATACCCGGAAGCGGCTTGAAAGTAAAATATGGAAGTATTTTATCTATTACGTAAATTCCCACAAGATACGCCAGAGCTTTAACCGCATTTCCAGAATGTCTCATCAAAAATGCAGCGAAGGTGTCATGTACTAAAGGGCTTCCGAAAAAGCAAGTCCTCCGATAGATATTAGAAAGAATCTGTGAACAGATCTTCGTTGCGATGGTTGGCGTAGTCTTGAGACCTAACTATGAACTCTTTGGGATAATAGAGTCATCTATTACTAGAAATTCTAGATTTTAATCGTCCACATATTGTCTATAGAGTGCCTGATGCCAGTGGGGACATCCTAAGAACCTTCGATATAGGGGTGAACGTAGCGGCAGTTGGCTAATATTAGTCTGTCTTAGATGTCACTAGCAGAGCTGAAAGTTGACCGCATCTCTGAGCTGTTCAAAATCAAAAGAAAGTTGCGCTTTAGCAAGCTGAATTGTGTGGCCCCACTTACTTGCCCATTGCATTAGCTCTTGGTTAAAATTCAGGGGTAGAATTCTGGACAAACTATCTCAGCTACGAATAGAAAGTGCCTATATAGCTTTAATTCAGAGATTCACTTAGTCCAACCTAGTAGAACTGCTGCCGAGAAAGTCCGTGATTAATGAATAGGAATTTTACTTCGAGAATTGCTTGATAAAACTCAGGTAGAAGTGTGTACATAGATAAAATGTTAAAGAGCTTATCATCATTCATACTATATATGATCTAGTTACAGTTTACATCATAATAGTACTATAACGTCGTTAGACCAAGGCTTCAAATACGGAAAGACGAATTTCTTGAAATTAGCTACCAGTTAGGAACATGTAGAATGACTTTTAGAAACCTTAATAGCAGAGTTTGATTTGGATATTAACTTATATCATTTAAATAAAATAATCCCTAGGCTTGTAGAGCACCGAAAATATCTACGTAAAACTTGTGTTCTTTATCAGATTACTTGCTTAATACTGGGAATTTTATGTAGGGTCTTTTGCGTGGACCTAAAAGAATTCTTACTATGAACGTTCTTTCAGAGGTGTAGGTGTCACATATCTAACTATCAAAAAACGGAGAGGGAAACTTTGGGAATAGTGATATCGGAGCCGAAGAGTGAAGAGGAATAATCACATATTTTATCACAAAGCAGTTAATTTACACTCGCACTTAGACTAAAATTGAATCTAACAACACAACTTTCAAGACATCAACTATTGCTAATAGGCTACCGAGGTATCTTGGGACATATAACGGCAAATATTATAATCAAACACGCAATGCTCTAATATGCTGTTAATAGGTAGGCTACTGAGCTTGCCGACGTACAACTTTCTGAGGGGTACATTGGGCCGAAGCCACAAGAGAGCTAAGACAGAGTGGATGGATGATAATGATTTATTACATAATTATCCTCCGGATCATTATAGCAAATAGAGTGCTTATAATGTGTGGTAAGAATGCAATATGTGTTAACCTAATTTTAGTATACTCAGTATGTAAGATGTTTCAGCGGCTAAGCAGGAGACTATATCATATATTGTAAACTATATATTCACATTGGAGGTATGCCCTGACCTATATAACAGTGATTTCTGTAATTTGGACGCGTCGCCCTATCAGGTGCCACCCAAATGATGCGAGATGACAGCATTTAGCCTATTGGAGCTATACTTACAGCAAGGGCCCAGAACGTACCTAAGGTTCCAGAGCATCGGAGGGTTTCATTTATCAAAGTCACATGCAGGGTCTTATTGACGAGAAAGGAAGCTCTTTTAAACTTACAAGTGCCGGCATACTAGACAGAGAGGTGATTTGTGCTGTGGAATAGTTGAAACTAGCTAATATACCTCTCTTCACATTTTCTCGATTTATAAGTATGGCCACCTCCCTTTGGGTAGAGATTTTCATCATTCGTAGGGGATACTGGATCTTGGATCTTGGCTTTACCTAGAGTAACATAGCTATAATTTACCTTATAGAGCTACTACAGCGACGATCGGTCTTGGCTTCAATTATCCTCTCCATCGATAATGAAGCCATTATTCTTATTTGGAGCTACTTTTGCGAAGATTCCTGCGGCAAGCCAATTGTGCAGTCAAGATAATGGTCCTAGTCTCACGGTGAGAACCCTAACCGGAACGTATACTGGCCTGCAGAATTCAGAATATACGGGTGTCAGAGAATTTCGAAACATCCCGTATGCCGAACCTCCCGTTGGCAAGCTCCGATGGAAACCTCCCGTGCCTCTCCGTCCTTCACAGAGCCATCATCACTCTTACAGATTTCCATCTTCATGTCCTCAATATTTGACCTCTCACTTATCATTATGGAATGCCAATATCACCGACTTCTCTATACCGACGGGTGATCAAAGTCACTATGCGGGGGAAATGGCGCAGACTACAGCAGAGGATTGCTTGAGCTTGGCGATTTGGACTCCTATTAATGCTACGTCGAAGGATAAGCTTCCTGTGGGGTTATTTTTGCCAGGCGGTAGTTTTAGGGGTGGTGGCTTAAATGCCCCCTATCATATACCGGCTGGATGGGTCAACCGTAGTCAGAAGCACATCATGGTTACCATGAATTACAGGGTTAACATATTTGGATTTCCAAATTCCGCCGCGCTTGAAGATAACGATCTCGGTATTTTAGATCAGAGACTAGCGTTAGAATGGGTGTATGCGAACATTGAATCTTTCGGTGGCGATTCAAGCCGTATCACCGTATGGGGTCACTCAGCTGGCGGAGTATCGGCGGACGTTTTAAACTTCGCATATCACGATGATCCGCTCGCTGCCGGATTTTTCTTGATGTCTGGAGCAGCGATGCGCACCTTTGCGCAGGGCGATAACGCACTACAAACAAACTTCACATATGTTTCGAAGGAGCTTGGGTGCGATTTTCCAGATGATCCAAAAGCTGAGGTCGAGTGTATGCGACAGGTCCCTGTAAATTTAATTACGAATTTAATTGGACATTATGGGGATGAAAAGAAGAAGCCATCTTTGTTCTTTCGACCTACTGCCGACAACAAAATTATATTTGAGAACTATACAGAAAGGGCAGAGAAAGGCCTCATCTCGAAAGTTCCAGCACTCATTAGTGACACATCGAATGAGCAATCAAGTCTCATTGCCTACCCTATTGATAACTTAACTCAGGGCCCTAACAAGACGGAGGTCGACAAAGGAACCTTGAACGATTTTATTTGTCCAGCATTTAACTCTTCAAACGTCAGAGGGTTTAATAATCTCACAACATATCGTTATCAATATGTTGGAAATTACTCAAACTTGACTCCTTTTCCTTGGATGGGAGCTTACCACGGAGCAGATTTACCCATGATATTTGGAAGTTATAACCTTACAGGAGGAGCCACAGACTTTCAGAGACAGGTAGCAGAGACGATGCAGGACTACGTATTAGCTTTCTTGGCGGATCCGAAAGATGGATTGAAGTCTCTCAGTTGGTTACCAGGCAGTTATAGATCCGGGGTTGATGGTACAATGGTGAGGTTTGGAGCAGGTGACATTATAATCCAAAGCATTAACGCTTCAGACGTGGATAGTGCATGTATGGGGAGAGGGTATTATAACTCACATCCATAGAGGTGGAATTGAAATCTAGGTTTGTTGGTCAGAGTACCTAATGAAATAAAATCTTAGGGATCCTTGTCTTTTGAGACTATTTACTTACCCTTTGACCCGTGGAAGGGAATATGCGTGAATCATCCCATTATATAAATAATTCTTGGAGTGTCGACAAACTTCTTATGGTCTTCACGATATGCATGAATGGTTGTGAATGTATAAATAATAGTATATGGATACTTACAGAATGTTAACCTTGTTTGTACATGTGTAGAATATGCTTAGAGTTACTAAGGCCACTACATTTCTAAGGGGTCAGATCAATATGCTACCATAGGCTCCGAAAAGAAAATCCCGAGGCAGTGAATATTCACTCTACTTAAAGTAGCACACTGGTCCTATAGTTTAGTTAGTAACTTCTTAATTGTAGTTACCAAAGAGGCTTTACCCGACTTAGAAGCATACGGCCAAGTTCAGTATGGCAGATTCATCAGATGGCAAGACCCAGAAGGATGGGATGGTAGTCCTTGCTCTGCATGATTCAGATGATAAATCATCTATTGACCTGTTAAGGCTCGCCGCAGCTGATAATCCCATTTATCATGTTAGAAATTCAGTCACTCCACCTTTCCGTGTGCCAGAACTTCCATCTTTAGGCCATCCAAGCCTGTCGCAGCATCCCAGCTCAAAAAGGAGTGAACCTTCCCTAGTAGATACCAGAAAAGGTTCTCAAAAGTAAGTCTTTACACAATACATAGTTAACTATACCTTAGAAAAACCTTGATAAATCTATATCCTAAACTAATATCATCAAACCTAGGAAGCCGCGATACTGGATAAGTTGCCAACTGGGACCCATCATGGATTCGTATTCAGACCTTCCCATCCAAGAGATTATGTCATTACAAGAGAAAGAGGCAAGTCAATCATCTTTATGCCCCGTTAAGAAGCCACAGCCCAATCCACAGGACTGCGCTTATACGGAACTGCGCTTTGAAGTCGACAATTCCGCCCAACCTACCAATACACCAAGCAACTCGGAGGAAATTAATGGAGGATACAAATCAGTATCCGGCTCCCCAAATCTCACAGAGTCTGAAATTGCGTCTCTACCGTACGGCCTTGGGCTTATTTACGCCGAGACCTGTAGACTGGAGGCTGAATCGAAGCGTCACGAGGAAGAGATGGAAGCCGAGAAAGCGCGTCTCGCCGCAGTGAAGAAAGCCACCGAATTCCGATGGCCTGGTGACACTTCGGCGTACCCAGCAGAGTCTTTCGTATTCTTAAACCCCCCAGGCAGCAAGCTCCGCGCCAAGGCTATCCATATTGGCACCCCGAAGAACCAACCCTTGGCTTCACGCATCAGTGTCTACGCCGTCAGACAAGAAGGTAGCGCTGATATTGAGTTTAGAACGGCTCAGGATGGCTCGACTCCGGAAGAAATACGCCAGGGCCCTTTATTTGACTATAAGCATATCCGCCTCAACGACTTCTTCAAGGGTATGAAACAGAATCAGGCTGACCTTTGGGCTAGGCAGCTGTTAGCTCAGGTTCCGGGCATCAACGACGCTATTGTCAGATGGAAATAAGGAACAAATTGCCTATACAGGGGTGAAAGAAGGTTCTTTAAAGTTCCCTGGGTTGTTGCATTGTCTCTTATGTCCTCGCATGACGAGCATCACTTGCTAGACAATCCCCGAGAATTATATTCGCCTGAGCTATACGGTCGTTAAACAAACATGGGCGTTGTATTCTGAGTTAGATTAAATAAAAATGAATCCCAGACAAATCAACAAATATCCTTAGGTACTACTTGTCTTCGTATCTTGACTATCGTAACCAGCAACGCCGTATGAGAGGTCAGTTGCCTCTAACTACGAAGTAGAATAGTAGTGGCTCCGAACACATAGTTTTGTTATATCCACTTAATACAATGTCGTTCTTAATAATTTTGATATTTCATCCTAAATAACTTACACCTATGCCGTCGAAGAAGTTATTGAGGAAGCACAATTTTCAACGCCACCTCTGTAGCGAGTGCAAAAAAGGGGCTCATGCCCCAGACAATCATCACACGCTCCAACTAATTTATGTTACAAAAATTTCAACATAATCATACATCTAGTTATGTCCATATAATTAAATCAAAAATAATACCCACGTACCTAGAAACTCCGAACAGCAATATATCCCAAGAACAGACTGCCCAATGTGACCCACAGGCTGGAGACCGCAAAGCCACCCTGAATATCACCTTTAGTAACAGACCAAGTAACCCCAAAGACGCCGCTTCCGGAAGCAATCAGAACGACTATGACGAAGTATATAGATCTCCAATGCCAGCCCTCTTCAAAGTAGACACCCCAGCCAAACTCAACCCGATCTTCAGGCGCCTGCAATTGTCCGCACGTCCGCTTGGGTAACTGATTATATATAAACTTCTGCGTAGGGCGGATGCAGTCGGGATGACTGAAATGATGCGATAAGTATCGTGGACCGATAGGAGGAGCGTATTTCGGTTTGACCTCCGGCGCCGGGCGGCAATTGTACTCGGACCCTATCCTGTCAACCGGGGGCAGACAGACACAATCCGAGGTACAGACATGCGCGTGCCGGTGGACTTCGGCAAACTCGCTTGAATCTACCATGAACTTTCCTACGTCAGCTTTATATGGATAGTTGCTATGATAGGAAGGCATACCCTTGCCAGAGAGACTCCAGTAACGCTCCGGAGTGTCAGCCAGGAGGTCACTTTTCTGTATTTTAGGTATTCTTTCCGGAGGAAGAGTAAGAGCTCGCGATCGGAGGTAATACCTGGGATACGTTCTTGGTGAAGCCTCAATCCGGTCTCGCCTGTATGGATGCAAAATAAAACGTGCAGCAAGTCAAGTGATCGAGGGGGACTCGGTGGACTGGTAAGGGAAGTAGCCTGGTGATGTAATGGCAAGGCACTATTATTTGTTAAACTCTGGGTTGTTGAGAATGCCCTATTCAGCATGTCGAAACCCCGTTTGATACGTTCTCTCATATCTTGCAGAATATAGGTATTCGGATTATTCTTTCCAGGTGCTCCTTTTTGGGCTATCCCCTGCAAGGAATCCTGAAGCTTTCGCAGGGATCCTGGCTCTATCTCGACGAAATCATCGAAGAGCTTAGCACCGCATTCCTTGGAAAGAGATTAGCTATATCCTGCCATTTCAGTGTTGGTAGGGTGATGATTTAACTCACACACGTCCATCTTATACGAGTCTGGCCGGGAAAAAGCTGTGGTTCGGAATGTAGGAATGGGATAATGTCAAGCATAGAATCTAGGAGATGTGGGAGAGTTGAGGGGGATGTAAAAGTTACACTTTCTTGTTTACTTCTATGAGAACTCAAATCTTCCTTTGGGTGACTATTGTTCTCCCAGGACCTGCGTGAGCTCCCCGCAAGGAGTTCTTCTCGCTTGCTGACTATTGGTTTCCTAGAATTCGATCCCTTGAAATAATCTTTACTGATATTGATATTCGAATTACTTGCTGAGTTGGGTTTATTCGTGACTGTTAGAATTAACGCAATGAAGAAAAAATTCGACGTCATATACTTGATTAGGTGCTTTTTATATGACGGGAGGAGTGGGACAAGAAGTTGGTTGATGCTACTCCGCAAGCCAATCCATAGGACTACCCATAGGAAAATGAAGGCGACTATCTTGTAGAGGACGAAGGGATCAGGTGTGGACACCATTTTGGTATACGATTCTGTTTCAACGGGCTTCACCTCTGGATGTGATCGGTTTAATTCCGCTTCTCCTGTTTTCTGCCTCTTAAGGCTGATCCCTAATATAGAGAGAAATGACCTCCTAGCGAGTCTGTTCTTCTCTAATCTCATTTCAATAGCTTTTCGACAATCATCGACGTGGTCGATATGGTGCAACAGTTCTCGTTCTACATCTACGTCTTTTATATCGCCCATCACTCCGTAGTGGAGAACTGAGACATTCCTAGCTAGAATGGCTGTGGTGATTCCACACCAGTATGCCTGTTCTGCCGTTGAAACGCTAGGTCGCTCCCTAATCCATCTGTGCACTGAAGGATGCATACAATATCGATTCTCCCCCTCTTCTATCATAATAAGTGATCTCTGAAGAAGGACATTTATCGCTCGGTCGAGACGGACTCGTAGTTTCTCTTCAAACTCATCTTCGTTGAGGCGTTCATCATTTCTTAGAACAAGAGGAAGGGGCGACGAAGCCGACGGAGAAACCGAGTCAATAAAATGGCCCAGTCGAGTAGTAACATATTCTCGGAAGCACCCCAACAAATTCCGGTTACGTTCTTCTGCTGTGTTCGTTTCCAAACTTTTTACGGGATATTTAAAGGCCGCATTAGGTAGAAATTCGAGATAGATATGCCCAAAATGCATATAAGATAATATGTTGAGGATTTCAACTGCATCCTTAGAGCTTTGTTGCTTATCATCTTCCAACGACAAATAGAGTATTTCGAATGGGGTAATAATACTAGTATATTCATCCCCTAGATGAAGAGATCTCACAAGCTCATGATGTTCACGGAGTTTCCTCCGGTGAGAAATGATCAAACTTGAATGACGCTTATGGAAGGTTAAGTAGTCGGTCAAAGAGCAGATGCCATGCTTAACTGCATTACCAGCGGCGACCAAGGCTAATGGGGAGGAATCCACAGCTTTAGCTATCCCTCTTGCTGACTTCTTGTCGTTAATACTCCATGGGGTTGGAAACGCGGCTGCCTTGAGGACGAGGTGAATGGCTTCCTCCTCTGCCATGCGCCGAACCCCCATGTACTTCTTACCGGCAGTGCCGTAGCGATTATACCTAGGGCTGCGGGAAGTTAATAGAATACACCCATTACGGCCAGCAGGAAGTATATCTTCCAAGTTAATCCCAAAGGGATCAACATCGTCGATTATCAGTAGCCATGGCATGTTCTGTAGGGCCAACCACTTCTTAGCAGAGTCTTCGTTAGGCTCAATCCCTACGGTCCTGGCAATGTCCGAGTAGCCCCCAGACACACGCTTCCGAGAACTACCATCAATCAAGAAAACGCCCCAGAACAGTTGTCGGAAGTCTTCTGCATATTTTAACGCTAGCTCGGTCTTCCCCGAACCTCCCATGCCGAAGAGTACGAATCTCTTTTGGCTAAAACATGACTTATCCTCGAATGCGGCTTTAATCATAACATCTTCTTCTCGTCTTGTGTAAATGCTTGAAGGGCGCCTTGGTATAATGAAATGCTTGTGAATAGTAGGCGTTTCGAGGGCGCTTTCTGCAATAATCATAGCCCTTCGAAGCTGGGTTTGGTAGTCAGTTACGTGCTTCTATTAGAAAGTCCATAACATACCTCGGCTCTATCATCGTCAAAGTCGAGATGGGAAATTTCCGTTTTGGTCAAAGAGATACGATCATGGAGTCTCTCTATAATAGCGAGCGTCTCGTGTGGTGTCGCGTTCTCATTTGTTGTCATCGCATACGGCAAAATGTCTATAACAGAGCAATAAATGCAGATCGCCTCCATCCAAAGCCGTAGCTCTTTGCACCTTTTGGCGAGCCCACTCTCTTCGTCGATATGTTCTAAGGCTAGAGCAAGTTCTCGATTCTTTTTGAGAAGTTTCAATCGCAGTGCGGACTCTCGGATAAGCATACCGCAAGCATAATAGACCTTAGACAATCGATCTGCAATCTCTTGCGGGGGGTTAATATCATTTTTCGCCGGGGTTTTGAGTGAATAAGCGATGTTGAAGATATCATCTAGTAGTAGTTCTAGCGCATATAGAGATTCCGATACAGATTCCAGAGAATTGAGTCCTGTCAGGGAATCCCTGAGTCGTGTCACACGGTTTCTTAAATCTGTAGTGTCGAGCTTTTTATAAAATGAGCAGCTCGTCAGGTCTAAGCCGGCCATTCTTAAGTTTACTTGGTGATGGAGAGAATATGATAGCTAAGAAAACTAGAAAAATTATACACTTGGGGATAAAATTGGTATGAAATAAGCAAATGACCTTCGGCTTCAATTCATTTGGTAGCTTGGTTTTTGTAGCGGGCTATGTTAAGGTGGCTTTGCAGAGGTAAGCAGGCTGGGGCTGAGATGCAGTAGCAATGGCATACCTACCTATTCAATGTTCAATGTGCTCTTGTATAGGGTATAAACCCACTCTTGGAGATGAGAGTCGACTGAATCCTTCTTTTGTTCCATCTCATCGAGGCTTTTAACAAATTTGCCTAGCATATCTTTATATGTATCACGATAAATAATCTAGCTATCACGCGAAGAGTTGCAAAATCATTGCCTGCCCCTCAAGATCAGCACAGGCCAATACTAAGTATCTATCACAATGAGTTGTTAGGTTAGGTTAGGTTAGGTCAGGTTACCCAACCCACTCTTCATCAGATCTTTATAAAACTTAATGTAATATTATCGCCTAAGTCAAAGGATTAATCGATCGCAAACTTGAGTGAATTATGTTAGCGGTATCCCGATTCCCGAGCATGAGAATGTTTGCACTTTATTCTGGATACCCTAAGCCGTGCATCGTTTGCTCTGTCGATCCCCCAGAAGATTTGTGGTGCCTTCGGTGGATATTCGTCGCATTTTGTATGCACGTCGGCATCGTGACATCAGGATATCAGATGCAACTGCTTTTCTTGTGATGTTACTTAGACGGTTAGTTCTCTTGAGAACTAATATAAATAGCAGCTTCCCTGACAAGGTTATTGATTTTACTCTTACTTATTTCTACTCTACTTATTTCTACTCTACGAAGAAATTCTACGACAAGGTTGCCCCACAACGAATCTAACTTCTCCCAATTCACGATCAACAACAACACATCGTCAAGTTAATATCAATTCCACCACCACACTACGTGAAGAGAAGGCTACCTAAGGTATTCGACCATAACCTACACAATGCGTTTGTCAACAACTTTCAATTTGGCTGCTATAGCCGTTCCCGCCTTTCTCCAATCAGTATCAGGATGGTCCTTCACTATGTATGATACTGAGGACTGTAGCAATTCGACAAACTCGGACGCGGTCGCAGATAGAGTTGAACGACAAGGCGATGTCGATTGCGACAAAGTCCTAAATGCGGACCGGCATAAATCGGTTATAGGTGGAGTTCCGGCCGGAAGCGAATGCCGCATTTCATTCTATCCCGACCAGGATTGCGGAGGTAGAGTCGCGTTTAGCTTGACACAATATACTACGTCTTGTCTCTCCATTGAGGACTTTATTGCACCACTGGCATATTATAGCGCTACGGACTGTACATCATAAACCAGTTTGAGTATGAAGAAAATATGGGGAAATTGAAGAAGTAGGAGGAAAGATAATATGGAGGATAGAAATTATCTGATACGAAGGTTGAGAGAACAGCATTAGAAACGGTAACTAAAGTCGTGTATTTCGTACCTATCCTTACCTTACCTATTAGGTATCTGACAATGTATTCCGTATTTCGAATTGCAATCACCATAACAATTGTGTACCTTGTAATCCCTTGTAATCGGTCACCCCACTGCAAAATAGGGGTTATCCTTGTAGAGACTAAGACCCCTGCTCACATCGCGCTTAAACGCGACTTGTTTTCTTAAGGTACAAAAATAACCCATCTTCATAAACCTTTGAATCCATAACTGTATTACTCTTGTTAGAGGCTATACACGGGTTGTGTTTTCTCAGTTATGCCTCTACCCAATAGCAATGCCGATTCATGGCTTGACCGCAGAGCGCGAGAGATAGCCCAAGAAGTGCGAATACCACTTATTACACCCCCTTATTAGGCAATACCTAGGCTAACTGTACATTTATAGGGCGAAGTCAAAAATAAATTAGTTTTGAAGCTCAAGGAGTATGGCATACTCTCCGATGCCCAGATGGAGGCATTTAAACGCGATGTAGTCATGTACTACCAAGAGCATGACAATATGAAACAACAAGAACCATTGCAAAATACTCAGTCTCACCAACTTGAGATAGAGAAAACGTTTAATAACTTGTCCTTATACCATTTCATTCCCGCCATCTTGGATTACTTTAAATCCCACATTTCCAACAACCGTTGTATCCAAGTTTTTGAGGATGTCGTTTCAGTCCTTCCAAATGATCAAGAAGACCCGCCCGAAAGCAGACGTAACCCTCGCGAAAAGCCCGGGACGCCATTCTCCATATCCAAAGCGGTAAAGCTTCACTTGTACTTCACTCTAGACATAGATTCTTAGTTCTAATATCATATCAGAAACCCGAGTCTGTCATGTCTAATGCCCAGTTAATCGACGCTCTTGTAGTAGCAGCTGGTATGGAACCACGGGATGCGATCTCGATTCGTGGCCAGATTGTATGGTGTGATTCAATGAGTGGCTCAACCTCAGGGATGTTGCAATTCGGCAATGGACTTGTCAGTAGCGGCCGGCTCGGTCGCAATCATATGCTTGCAGATGTTCCCAACCAGTACGTCAGGGATCGTCTAATGGATTACATTATTACCCAGCTTGAGGAAGACCAGCGAGAGTGCGCAAAAAAAGCCGTATTCGCGGACCTTAGCGCCACTGAAATCGAACAATACTCTGCTTTAATTGAGAAAAAGATGGAGGAAAATATGCCCAAAACTCGAGATGAGATGATTGCGCGAATAGCCGGGAAGAAGCCGCTGAGAACCAAAAGTGAGATAGGACGCGTACTGGATCAAGCTGATGCCATGGACCAAATTGAGAAAGATATTTACCTGACTCCTCAGCCCGGATTTGCAATCCGGTATTACGGCCGCCTAGGGCCGCTCACTCGCTCGGTAGTCCAGCCGGGTGTCAAGGTGTTGACTCGGGAAGAATCAGAATTAAACGTAGGTACAGATATCGACAAGGACTGCGATCAGATCCGGGCCATGATCGCGTGTTTCGTAGACGGGAAGCGGTGGACTGCAGATCAATTCCGCTCAGCGCTGGGGACTTTCTCGCGCCCACAGCTAACGGCATTTCTAACTAAGAGAGGTCCTAAGCAAGGGGATAATGATCCTATTTTTCACCTTGCATGGGAATTCTTCAAGAAGCGCGAGATTCTGGGTCTGCCTTTGACGGAAGTGCCAGAAGAAGACACCGTTATCCTCCAAGAACACGATAGCAATCGTACAAATAAGCGGCAAATCACTGACGATGAAGGGAGTAGTTCTAAGAGGATACGTACGAGCAGAATATAACCAGATAAGGTAGAAGGACCACGGAAAACCTGAAGTATGTCGTCCGTCAATGTAAACTATTGATATATAGGGTATTCAATGTAGAATAGGAAGAAGGCGGCTGCAAAGCTAATATCATATCATGGAATAGTGTTCCTTTGGTAACCTCCGGGGCCTTAGATTTTGTCTAGAAAAAGGTGGGCCATGGAGATTCAGGGGCAGATGTATTAGAATTGGGTATATAAGAAGCGCATGGTGTCCTTGGAAGAGGATAGAAGGGCGGGTGTTAATGGTTCGGTTAGTCTCTCCTGGCACTTTATATTAATCCAATAAAAGGTTCTGCCTAGCAAATTTAAATCGACTCTGTATCATCGGCCTCCAAGTCAACAGCAAACTGGCATACCTCTAACGTCTTTTGGAACGGATTCATATCATCAACACATAGCAATCAAGTCACATTATATTCTATGACATGATGAACAATTTCCCCCTTTCGATCACACTACTCCCTATAGATAATTGTAAATTATAACAATTAAGAATTAAGTTTCTAGTTCGTGACTAGTTATCATGTAACACAGGCAAGCGGAAAACATACCTAAGGGAGGGACGTCATTTTGCCCGCAGATACTTCAGACCTTTTTTCTTTCATTGTTTACCTACAAGGTACATACATACATGCAGTAGCTCATAGTTTCTTTATCTAGGAAACAGTTTTCTTGGCAGCTCGACTATCCCTTTAGAGATAATTAAGAAGAAAGAAATTGTCACTAAATACTAATCGTGTATCTAACACAATGGCCTTCATGCTTACTAGTTCAATATGTATGTTTCCAATTAGTTATAAAGATGCTTGCTTAGCTTGTTCCTATACATAGCTGGCCTTCGGCCCCTTTTGGTGCTGCTCTTTTTCTCTCTTGATAAGATTATATAAGATGAATCTTTCAGAAACTAATGCTACCAAGATGTTATTGAGAGCCTACCATCCTCTCATAGATCAGTACAGCAGTTATCAATGGCCTAGTCACAGTTATTAACGGTCTCTAATTTAGTGTTAAACTAATTTTATTAAGGTATTCTATATTTATAAAGGTAACGAAGCTCGCACCCTATCTTCGTATTGTTCTTAAATTACGCAAAGACTACCTATTAGGGAGCTAGTGATAATTTATGGACAAACTTAGCTAAGAGAACTTGTCTCTACAACCATGTTTCATTCGGCCTTACCAAGCTTTAAATATTAGGAAGTGTTACTTAACGATAGAATTGCATCCTTCCTCTATAGGCCACATCATATCTTGATGTATTAACATTATTCCTTGCTGGATTGTTCTGTTGGCCTTGTTCTGGTTGAGATGAAGATGAAGATGGGTTAGTCAGCCAAGATACAAACCTCCTCCAGGGAGACGGAGATACGGTTGGCGCTTTAAACGTACCGAGGCCTTCATCAGTAATTTCAATCCCTCGCTGTTTAGCTATCTGTCTCTGGATAACCCTCGCCTCATCGACTAGGCCTAGTTCAAATAGTAGATCAAAAACGTCATACCAGGTTGGGTGTTTCTCAGCTTGTACAAAATCCGTAATCATGATCCACAGAGCACTAATGTCAATTTCACACGCGAACTCACATAAGCGCACAGCTACTCGCGCGTGAGCGACAACCTCATCGGCATTAACTGTACCTGTAGCTTGCCGGAATTCAATAGTCCGCTTGGGCTGCGCTTGAAGAAAGGGTCCGGCTCCGTATATATGTACCGCCCCGTACGCACCAACGTCGTAAGCCGCGAAGTTGTACGCGCAACGGCGCCAAGTCTTGTGCTGCATCAATACGGATATTACTGGTCCGCTTAGGGCAGACAGGAGCTCCCGAACGCCAGATATGATATCTAAAGATTTACCTACCTGTCGCTCTGGTAGATATCCTCCCTCTGCTGCCCATTCAATTTCACCTGAAGCAAAGTAATTCTTGTCAAACTTGTAGCCTTCGAGAGTACCTCGTTTAAAGATAGGGATAAATCCAGGACGTTTTGTTTCAGGTTCAGGTCTTGATTCAGGGGGACTGGGTACCGAGTCCTTCTCATAATGTCCTTCGTCAAGGTTACCTACTCGAAGGTGTCTACCCGCCTGTGCCGGTGATACGCCGTGTGCTAAGGCGCTGTAGTGCCGATTACTTGGGCAAAAATTCTTTTCTGATTCCCGGCGATGAGGAGGGTGCATCTGAGTTAGGATTGGATCAGCAGCGTAAAGGAAAGCAGCAATCCGGCGCAGATGATGGATTGGTATCCACTCCTTGCCTCGTCCATAATGGATATGCAAGCCGGCGGTCTCTGGTGCAAATACCCAGAAATTGTTGTAAATTGCTGTTAGGACACGATGAACCTCGGCGAAGGACTTTTCCGTGGCGAAGAGCGCTGGCGATGTAATTTCTAGGTCTTGCCAATCATACGCAGACATATCGCGTTCAAGGCCATAGTCTAAAACGCTCAGATCTCTCCCAACACCCCAACCCATATATCGCCTCAAATGACTTCCCTCTGCGTCGGTCGATTCTTCAGGTCTGGTGATAACGCGGTCCCCCTCATGTCCCTGTAGAGCAATACGAATGACTTCTTCTACTTGTCTTTGAACAACTTCTGTGGTTGTCTGCCCAGGCTCAGGGATGATTGGCTTACCCTTGGATAACTGAAACATTCGCGGTGTAGCCATTATTGGGCCTGTCCTTCTAATACCTATCAGAAGCTCGACTTCGACCCCAAAACTACTTTTAATATCGTTTGACATTTTGTAAACTACCTACGCTACGTGGTTAGATCTCAGTGGTGCAAGTTGGTTAATGTGATATATGAATTCAAAGTAGACGTCACTATTGTAGTTCTACGTTTAGGTACACAACAATTTGAAGTCATCTTTTCCAGGGGAGAGCCATCTATTATAAAGTCTCCTATCACATAGGCTAAATAATGAGTTGTTCGTAACATCCGTATTTGTTCAAGAAACACTGCTTTGTTCTTGATCGTGATTTTCTCTTAACACCTACTCTCTACATACAGAAAATGAATTTTTAACTGTTGGCGTACATTTATTTTAAACTGTGGTATTGTTACGGTGGCAAGAAAGCATCTGTGAAATTTAAAAGAGGGTACAACAAGATGTTGAACTACTACAGCATGAACGTTAGATCATTACTATGATAATGATACCTAAATGAACTATACAGGGAGAAGAGCGTAAAAAATACTCTTCATCTTATCAGTTCTTATAGAAACTCTGAGTAATTAGTAAAAAGCACTAGACTAATTGGCTGGGTTTATTAAACTAATATATTAACGCCTGCTTCAATCTTAAGTTAAAGGGCTTACGTTTATCATATAAATCCTTATATTATCTAGATATAAGCTCTTTGTTTGGGGTATATGCCCAATTTTTCTGGCATTCTTAGGTATCTTTATTATTCTTATAACATCAACATAATTCATTAAATCAAAACACCCTTACTAAGGCCACCTTAATAAAAGCTACCTTAAATTTTTAAACCTTTAAAATAAATATACCTATTTTAAATTAATAATATTTAATTAAATTAAATTTAATTAATTTATAATTTATTACGTTTTAATAATAATATAATCTTTTATTATAAATTTAATTAATAAAGTTTTATTTTTAAAATTAACGTTAAAATTATTAACTATAACCGTACCATTTAATTTTTAAACTTTTAATTATTCCTTTTTTTTTATAATAACCTTAATATTTATAAATGTTAAATTAAGGTTTAATAATATTTTATACTATTTTTACAGTTTTATTTAAACTAATATCTTTTTTAAATAATTAGTATAAACTTTTGTTATTGTTAATTTTATAATAATACTATTAAAAATCTTACTAATTTTTTTAAATAAAAACTTTATTGTAAATTTAAAAAATGTTATATTAATTTTGGTTAATTTTTTTACTAAAATATTAAGATTTTATAAATTTAAAAACGTTTTTAAAAATATTAAGGCTATTTTTTTAATAAAATTAAACCTTTTAAAATTAATAATTAAATTTGTAATTATTAAAATAATAACTTAAGTTTTTTAAACTATAAATTAATAATTTAAAACTTTATTATAATTTTTAAAATAAATTTCTGTAACTTTTTAATTAGTTAATATATTATTTTTAATTAAACGTTTTTTTTGTACTATTTAATAAGCCGTAATAAATTTCTTTTTACTAAAAATAAAAATATAATATAATTAATATATTTTAATAAATTTTTAATAATAACCTTATTTTATTAATAAAAATATACCTATGTTAATAACCTATAAAATATAAGATAAATATATTAAAATAAAAATAATATAAATTTTATTTATAAAATATTTTTAAAAGAATTTTATTGTAATATAATTATTATAACCGTTAAAAATTAATAAACGCTATTACCGAAGATTTAAAAATTTTATTTTTTATAAAAAAACCTTATAAAACTATTTTAAAATAATATTATTATTAATTTAACTGTTAAAAAATATAATAAAATATTAGCTTTTAAATTTAACGTTATTTTTATTAAAAAACTACTATTATTATATATATTTACCTACATATATAATAAAAAAATTTAAAAATTTACCGTTATTATTAATATATTTAATAATTAATATTTAAATTTTATTATTATAATTTTTAACAATAATATATTTTTTATAAACTTTTTTAATAACTATCCTATTATTTCCAACCTTTTCTATTATTCTTATTTTATTTATATTATAAGTATATATAATAAAAATATTAATAATATAAAAGATTTTAAATTAATTAAAAAATATATTAATATTATTAATTATAACGCTATTAACGCATTTATAATTAATTAAATAAACTTTAACCAATTTAATATTAAAATAATAAATTAAAAATCGTATATATTAATATTTATTAAAAATATTAAACCGGTAATTATAAATTAATAACTTTTTTATAATATTTTTAAATTAATATAAAAATAATGTATAGCTAATATAGTTTAATGTAATAATTTATTAAGCTAATTTTTTTTTTAATATTTTAATAATTTTTAATATTTTTTTAAATACTTTTTTCGTAATTTATAACCTAATATTTGATTTATAAAATAATATTTTAAAATAAAATAATTTTTAAATATTTATTATAAAAATATACTTTTAAAAACGTCGTTTATTATTATAACATAACGCAATTAAGCTAAAAAAATAAACATTTTAAAATCTTTAAAAAATAAAGAATTAAATAATATATTTTATTTTTTAATAGACTAAATATTGGTAAAATTATATAATAATTTATATATAAACTTTATTATAAACGTGTTGTAATTTTGAAATGGCTCCCATTAGGGTGGCCCTAATAAAGGTGTTTTGACTTATAACGCAAAACGTTACATATAAAGACATTATCTTATACTAATCATAACTAAACAATCGCCTAACAAAGAACCACGTGCAATCAATAATGAAGAATAAAGGGAGAGTTAAATGAAACAAAGAAGGAAGAAGTGCCCCTGCGATTCACCACCTTCTTCTATAGTTCCTAATGTGCCCTAGGTTTAATTTGAACATAGGTAGACTATGTACCCCTAATGCCATTCAATTAGCCTGCTATCTGGGGCCCACGTCAGACGAAGATCTTGGCGGTGTTCTCGTTCTCGGTGGCTATCTCTTCTCTTGGGAGCAGTAGTTGACCGCATCGCCGTGCAGTCGTGACAGTAATCCCCGAAGTATATCTGACGTCGCTGACAGCCGTGACACATATAAATTGGGGGTGCTGTTGTTCGCCCGTACGATTCGGGTGCATGGTGCGAGTTGTGTTTAGCTTTCGTATTTGTGGCAGACTTCGACGGTACGAACCGTAACGTTGATCCTGGTGCATTGTATATAATCGCATTGCTCTGCTTTAGCGATCTTTCGTGGATGGTCATCTTCCCTTCGTTTACTATGTATTGAGTCGGATACTCGCTGTGCCGTGTTTCCCGCGAGAAACGATTGGCTAGATCGCGGGCCTGGCTGGGGTTTTGATAGTAATCGTGATAATGAGGCATTGTGAGGCTGTGCTTTCCACGCTGGGAACTTCAGTTTATTCAAGGGTAAATTAATTGTATAAATGTCAAATTTTACGCTTGCCAACACGGAGGCTTTAATATAAATAACAAGGGAATTGGAAAGGAGGGAAAATCAATTGCACCAAAAATAAGGCTCTACTGTTAGTCTATATTTATAGGGCGAATATTCTGCTTGTTACATGTTGCCTGCCTTTCGTGACGTCGAGTAGACGACAGTTGTAAGCGTTAATATGCCTAAAAAATCCCCGACGCGGGGCGAAGCTGCGGACTATCAACTAACACAGCCCCCTTTAATTGGTGGAAGTTTGGGGAAGCAATCATTCTAGGCCCAAGCTTGGCGACAGAAGCCTAATGCGGGTTCCCAAAGATATAGTTGACTTGAGTCTAGTGCATAGTATATCCAGTCATCGGCGAGGCTCTCTACACTTACACAAACGAACACGTAGCACCGCACCTCAGCGAAGCATGACTGGACCGGGCGGTGCCGTCTGACAGTGAGATTTAGGACTTGCTTGTTGTTAGAATTGCGGCTGAAATCTTCAATCTTACCCACCTGTATAGAGATATTTCTAGAAACCCGGTGTAGATTTCAATGCAGCAGTCACATACCAAGGAAGAATGGTCGTTTATGGATTATGACCATAATAATATTGATCTTCATAGAGTAGATTTAGAGGGTAATAGAATGAGTCATTTAGGTGCAACATAATGAATCCTATAAAATTATTTGGCGAAGATAGGTAGCCAAGTAGGTGAAAATTATACCTCAATTAAAAATGTTTTAACCCGACACGATGCAGGTAAACTACTTGAAATAGATGTCTGTGATGCGGATACGTCTTTCTTCGGGGTGTACCACGACCCAAATGGATGAGATGGCGCAACCGGGCATTTTGGATAAAAACCTACCACAAACAATAGAGGACTCGGTATCGGTAACAGAGTCTCTGGGAATAAAGTATATCTGGGTAGATTCTTTATGCATCGTTCAAGACGACGATGAGGACAAGGCAATACAGATAGGCGCCATGGGCCAGATATATGGTTTCGCCTATTTCATAATCTTAGCTGCATCGTCATCAAGTGTCCATGGAGGTCTACCTGGTCTTCGCCCTGGAAGCCGTTCTCTAGAACAGGTGGAGTTAATGGTTCTGCTTGAGAGCACAGATAGAACCACCGGGCATGTGTTACCAGATCTATCCCTTATGACAATACTAGACCCTCTCGTCAATTCCAATGAGCACTTCTAAGAACGCACGCCCTGGAACAGCCGAGGTTGGACTATGCAAGAGCGCGTTCTATCTCGCCGCGTACTTGTTTTCATACAAGAGCAGGTATACTGGATATGCCGGGAGGCCATGTTCTGTGAAGAATCCTATTTCGAGAATAGTCTTCTCCTATTCCATAGATTCCACGCCAACGCCACCGAGCGGACTCTAGCAAACTCCTTTAGGAACTTCTATGAGCCTGAAGACGGCCAAGTACGCTTCTGGAAAATGTACCAGAATCTCGTAGCCAGCTATACCCGTCGGCACTTCACTAACGAAGGCAATATCTTTGATGGATTCCTTGCCATTCTTCAAGGGATGTCGGCTCTTTCGGATAAAGAGTTTTCGTGGGGTTTACCCAGATCCTGTTTTGAGTAGGGCCTGCTCTGGAACTCCTTTACCGACCCAAAGCGTAGAGAGGCTAACTCAACCCTTCCGATGACGTCCTTGCGTATTAAAGTTCCTTTCCCTAGTTGGTCGTAGATGGGCTGCATAGGCGAAGCATTCATCTGTATCGGGGACGACCGCTACGATATAGATCTGGGGTAAGCTTAACTCCTCGAAGGGTTGCAGTGAGATCCGTTAGCTTACATCGGTTGCCAGAGAAGTTCCCGAGGTACTATGTTTTGAGCATTATCATTCCCCTCTCCGTCTCGAATGCGTGAGAAAGGAGACAGTAAGGTATGGTTTAATAGCATCGCAGAATCGTGCAAGCTAGAAGGCCTCATTGCAGTCAACCCGTCACCCTATCCGATATTGCTACCCAAAATCCACAGCTTCTATCTGCAGGGCTTAGCAAGGTTCCGGAGACGCAGATGATATTCTTCTGGACAAGCTCTGCCTTTCTGACTCTGGCCCCTCTAGATGACGACGCAACCGATGCTTGAAAGCTATGGACTCGTATGGAAACGAAATCGGCTCTACAGGGAATCTAGAACCTAAGCCAAACGGAATTCAAGGGCGGCATGAATTCATTGTTATAGGTAGCCGACGAAACCAATTCTCAGATTCGATGCTGTTACTAATCCAGATAGAGTAGCGAAGGTACATTGCCTATCGTGTTAACAGTGGAGAGGTTAGAGAAGAAGCATGGGAGGGAGAAAATCACACTTGGAAACTGATTGCACTTTGGTAGTTGCATTCTTTTGTTTATATTAATACTGATGAATATGTGATATATAAAAGGATATCATATTGTTAAGATCCTTATATACCAGTTCCAATTAGGTAAAATGTAATATATGCACTTATGCATTATTATTGGTATACGTAAGTACCTAGGTACTCTTCCCCTTTAGCCAGAAAAATCATCAACAGGTACTTATTTTTCTTTTCGCTTCGGGCCGTAAATATGCAGAATTAAATCGGCATAAAACTCGGAAAGCTGCATGTTGGTTCTTGCTGAGCTCGGCATCCTGCATTTGGTGACCAAGGATGCGACCTGGGCCACACCACTGCTAAGCGCCTGGCGTGATGAAGACGATGGAATGATAGTCCTACCCTCATAATTCTGCTATGTTTCTGGTCTGTTTACCCCAGCGTATTGAGCTGGCAACCTATTTGCCATTCATTCAAATGCACCTCATAGATTGTGATACATATTCCGTAAGGCTTTGGACATATGGCCAATCTAAGCCAGACCGTTTAGAAAGGGTGGCATTTAAGAACGAAACACTATTTTAAAATCGACGAATACGAGCATTGATTAAAGTAGTATTATTTTAGGTTAGCTTGTAATGCATGCCCAAGCCAACATTTATAGATGTTAGGTATAAAGCGATGAAGATCTTCTTATACTTGATTAATTTCGCAAATACCTATGCCCCTTACATCAATAATTATCATCTCTTGGTGCAACTTGAAATAAATCTTCCTTCTCATATATAAATTTCCGTGCATCCTTCTTTCCATTCCTTCAAGATATACCTCCAGTTTTCCCTTGCTTCTTATTATACTACCCCCCGTTGAGTTATCCGCCTCGCAACCTGGTCGATGAGGTAACCTTTCGAGAAGATGGCGAACTTTCAACGTGAAAAATCCCTAGAAAATGACGAATACGACCCTTACGAAGTTGCATTAGCAAGGCTAGACTCGATTCAATCGGAATACATGAAGAAACTGCGGGATGCTAGAGATGCGTTTGATGATAACCGCATTTCACTCCAAAAGGATATTCAAGAGCGTCAGCGAGAAGTCCAATTACTTCAACAAGAACTGCAAAGGAAGGAGACTGAGATACAGGAAAAGGAACAAGAGTTAAAGGATGAAGAGAATAAATTTCATGTACTCTTGAAACAGGAGAAACAAAACCGTAAAAGAAAGCTCGAGCCTTATCTAAGGATTTCTCCTGTGAGTAGAATAGTATCGCTATGATACAATGTTAGTTGCTAATTCTTTAAAGGCACCAACAGAACAACACGACAGAGAACATGACAGAGAATCAACTGATATAACAAGAGGGCGAACGGAAATTGATTCTCCCATGCAGGGAACCAGTGATAATGCTGGACGCCAACTCCAGGAAACGATTGTGATTGATTCGGAGGATGTCTCAAGCGATGAATGGGGTATGGAGCCACTTGTAAAATCAAGTGGCTCACCAAGTAAACGACCAAGGATATCTGAAGTTGGTCAGTCCCTATGACTAGTAAACACCTCGTGTTGCTGGTATCCTACATTATCTGAACTGGACAGACTAATAATCTACAAGAAGGTCAAAATGTAAACTCAAGTTCCAGGCAGCGAAACCGGAAGCGACAGAGAGTGCGAATCGAGAACTCTTCAGAGGATGGTGAATGTTCGAATACAGCTCAACTAAGGGAATGCCAAAGCGAGGTGGAAACGACAACTCCTGTTGCACATTTGTCGCCTTCAGTATTAGCGAAAAGTAATCAAAAAAAGAAGAAAAATAAGGCGGTCTTCAAAGGTATTATTGATCCTATTGTGGGCGAAATTTATAAAATCGATCAGGGTCCCCGTAAAGGTTCATACGCAGCAGTCATTCTTCCCATCGGTGATTTTGGCGCAATAGGCATTTCAATGTCCCTTTATGACACGAGCTTAAGGAGGTCTATCCCGTCTTGTTATATATATAACAAGACAATCAAGGAGATTTTAGGCTGGGAGAGAGACTACGATGACGACGGGCCTCGAGTTATGGATCGGAAGTTCCCGGTTATGTCTTTCGATGGCATTGAACGGGATCAAATAGGGCTGGATGGGGAATTCCGTCCCATAGGCGCAAAATATGCCTGGGTTTCCGCAAGATCTATTAGAACTTTGGAGTTCGATGCTACCATGTCCCAGATGACGCCGGGGTACGTTAGTGCAGAGAGATTCAGCACTCGATTGGATTTAATAAAGGAAAATAAGATGAAAGAAACTCAGCAAGTCTGCGATTATAATGAGCTCCCTCAGGTTACATCAGAGAGAATATCTTCAGGAGAACTACAGGAACAAGATCCCGAGAGTAGTCAAACGCAGGGGCACTCACAGGTATTAACACTTAGATACTCTGAAACTGATCAATCTCCTCATCAAAGCCAGATTATTGAGAAGGACAACGACACTATTCATGTTGCCACCGAGCCTCGTCCAAACTCCCGCTCCCAAAGAATCAACCATGAGTTCCATACTTTCGAATCAATTTACCGTGAAACATCGGAACCAGAGTTAGTGGGATCCGAAACATCGTCAGACGGCATACATAATGACGATGACCGGGATCATCAGTTAATAAGCGATCTTTTTCCAGACTCGCCAACCGCGCAGATAGGAGAGACTTCAGACAGCAATGCTGCTAGCGATGTACTACATAACGACCCAGTCGAGCCATCAAGCCCACTTACTAAGGATCAACCTATCTTGGGGTTGCCGTATGTTGCCCGTGCGATCAGACGCCCCTGGTCAGAAGATAGTGACCTTGGTCCGAATAATTCGAATGCTTCCTCCTCGCTGGTATTGGAGCCTACATCCTCGAAGACTGCGCGAGCTTTTTACACCAACATAAAAAGGTACGTTAATCAACATGAAAACGATACACCGGATTACTCGCCGCCCACCGCGCACACTTCCCCCCAGGGGCTTTTGCAAGCAACTACTGAGTTACAAGGTAGCAGAGCTCGCAACGATGAACTTGCATCAACGTCCAATCTAAACATCCAAAATACAGCTTCAACAGCACTTTCATATTTCAATACTATATATAGTAGGGAGCAGTAACCCTATAAATATGTACCTAATTTATCAAGTAAATTTTCAACATTCCTTGAGACGATATTGAATTCCAAACAAACTTTAGTATTCCTATTTTGACATAGAAGTATGAGTGAAAGCAAAAACTTTATACAACCACTACTATATGTGCTATCAAGATTAAAGAGACCAAAGATTATCAATATATAAAGGAATAAGTAGTAGGTAGGCATAAATATTTAACTAAAAATATCTAGATCACCATGAAAGAGTGCCCCTAAAAGTTTCCATCATACCTACTAAGTACCTAATCTGAGTGGTAGGTTAGGAGGTACTTATCAAATTTTCCTTGATTTTTGAATAGAGGATAAAAGTAATCAGTGAGAAAACAGTCATACATATTTGTAGACTAACAAATAATATCCCGTCTATATAATACTATAAATGTTGTACCTAAGCAATTGCAAGCTCCTAGTTTATTCAATATCGAGTTTGTTGGACAAGTCATATTCTATAACCTTCATTGCCCCTTAATGGTTGAGTCTATTTTCTAATAACGCACATTATGTCCTACGATACTAGTCATTTTATCCTGCAGCGCTAACCATTGTCAACATTTTGTCAGATACCTTAGGTACAAGAGACTTCTTCTAAGATCATCAGTTGTACTTTCAAAGACAGCTGGCGTGTCCGTTAAGAGAGTCACAACCGTAAAGGTAGGCTTTCCCCAGCAGGTTGCCAGGGGACAACAATTGTGTCCGTCCCGTGCACATGTTTGAATTGATAATATTCGTACCTTCCTTCCGTTCCTTCTTTCCCCGCACATTATTTAGTTTCCTTTACACGCGTCAAATTTCCTACTGCGGCGCCATATTCTCTAGGTTTTAATCTTTACGCACAAATTTTTATTTCTTATTGAGCACTATTCTTATTCATGCAACAACTTCACTTCTTTTAATAAACAACTCCGCGATCATGTTTTCCTCTGGTCGGCATCACGGCGCTTTTGATCAGCCTCTCGCCATGAACCAGCAGGTAAGTGGATCGATGGGCCAGGAAATCGGCGACAGCGCTGGCAACGAAATCGACACCGACTGCAACACCGAAGGCGCGTGGATTCTACGACGACCCTGGCGCGCAAAGCAGCCGTTTGATCGACTACAGATAGGCGGATCAGCTAAGCTTCCCATCTTTAGCAAGCAGGAACTCAAGGCTTTTGTTAATACTATCAAAACAGAGGCACCTAAACATGATGAGCATATTAATGATAATGCTGTGATCAGATTTGTAGCCAGGCCTCATGTAGACGCTATTCGATATGCAGTTCACGCAACAGCCACTCAACCTCCCCCATGCCATCCGCGCCTCGTTATGTTTACAGATGGATCGGTTAAACCCAAGTACAACGTTGGCTGTGGTATTACTTATATGCGTACCTACGGCACTGACCATGACTGGGTCGACGCGGCCTATGGAACAAAGGGAATTTCCAATCTCCTAGATCATGAAGCCATAGCACTGCATAGAGGGCTGTGGATAGCCTATTACGAGTTGATGGATTGGGCTGGACGAGTTGCCGCTCCTCCTAATGGTGGTCGCACTACGCCACCAACGGTAATCATCATAACTGACGGCCTTTCCGGAATCCAGCGCTTGCATTACAGCTATTGCTACACCAAGTTGGAAGTTGAACCGCTCAACAAAGCCCCAGTCCATGAATACTTGGTCCATCCTCTCGAGAAGCTTGTGAACCTCGGCAGCAAGGTCGAAATCCACTGGACACCAGGACATGTTGGTGTTGAAGGAAACTGCCGAGCTGATTCGTTAGCTTCGATAGGAGCTGACTATGCCATCAAGTATTCCCGTAAAACCGGCCTTGGCATTACAAATATGATGCTTCCGTTCTCAAACCGCTTGTTGGGTCAACAGGCAAGACCAGCGTATCCGTTTCACCTGGGCAATCCCATGAATGATTATATCCATTGGCAAAAAGAAGAAACGAGAGTGGCTATTCGAGTTGCACTAAATTCGAATGAAGAAAAAGGGGCGGTTAGTTTTGAACCATTAAGAATCATCAAGTCCCAACTAATTCGTGAACAGGAATTTGTTGCATGGCTAGCTAAAGCTAGTTTACCTACCAAGATCAGCAAGGCCACACGGAAGATGCTCAAAAAGAAGAAGATAGCCGAGAATATGGTAACCAAAAAGAATGGAGGAAAGCTCCTCAAGAAGACTGGAAAACTATTCGGAGGAGTATTTCCGCCTAAGGATAACGGCGACGGTGGCACTAGTCAGACAAAGAGAAGAGCGCATGAGGAGGCTACTGTTGACGACCTCGACGACTTGCTACCTCACCTCAAAAAGCCTAAGACCGATACTGATGGTAATGGCCAGAACTGCATTACACAATAATTCTAGGTATGTTGTTGATGACGCGTGGGACTGCGTAAGGCATGCTAATTGCTAAGTAGGGAGTTATAGCTACAAGTTCGGGAATCAGATTAGAACTCTGATAGTAGCTTAATGAAATAGTCGACACGTCACCAATTCTCAAAGGTATTCCGGATAAAACTTCAGAAAAGGTGTGAAAATCTGTTAACGTCCCACGTTGCATATCGACAAAATTCCAGAATCGGACAGCAATATGGGCTGGTGGTTTTCAATTGTATTAACACAATAAAGAATCAAAAAAGGTAAATCCACCGTGAATTTCACCAATAGGTTATCCTTTATAAAATCCGAAATATTATTAGGAGACTAATATTCTGACAGGGGACGGTGAACCAATTATAACAACATTGACCTGTTCCATTTGCAGGGTTTCATTACTTGGGAATGAAAAAAGGGGCTAGGGGGCCTCCGAACTTTGGCAGACGGGATGCTTGGCGCTTAGAAGGAACCGTCGTATTACCGTATACCTCCTGTATAATACTTTCCCAAGTGATCCCTGAATATAATGGAGCTGAGTCACAGATCTTTCCTTCAGAAGGTAGAGTGCCATTTGCCCAATACGCCGAAGTCGTTCTAATAGTGCAAGCTGAAGGAGCGGCTAACGAAGAATGCTGTTTATAAGGCGGATAGTGTCAGCATTAAATATGCTTATAATTAAAAGGTACTTGTAGTTAAGGGAGTAGAATGCTTACACCGTATCCATCGACTGTTAGCAAGGCACTTTTCTCGAATGTGGAGCTAACATTTTTGGCCGAAACAAGGGACGTGAGTCCGTCGAAAGTATTGCCAATGAAGAGGACCGGATTCTTTGTCTTCACGTTGAAGTCTCCTGTATATCGCTCTTTCGGCTCAATCTTCCATTGCGCGCAGGCGCTGTATAAGAATATCAATCCATCTCCAACTATAATCGCATGGTTAGTATTATGTGTGTGACAGACACCATGAAAAGATAAGTCGCATGACTCGGCTTATACTAAGCTACTCATACTCAGGGAGTACCAAAAGTTAGGAACTTACTAATTCTGCTGGTACTGTAAAGGCGCTGGATAGCTGGAGCGAACTCATCAAATGTCTTGCTTCGAACCATGTTATCACTACAGTGGATGGAAGGTAGTACCTGCGGCTGCTGACTCTGCTTGAATATATCAAAGGAGGCTTTAGGTATCAAGGCCTCGAAGGCGTTGTTAACTATGTCGTACTGCTCGGTCATAACCGCATTAAGTATACTAGTAATACCCGGCCAAGAGGAACTATCATAGAGACCCTGTACCAGAAGAGCCTTCACGTTGGCGTAATCGATCAGGAATGATTTGAGAGGAATCGGGTTATACTTGATAACATCGAGGAGATCCCAGATTGACTGCTCAAGCTCGGCGGCCGTCTTGTTGTTGCCCTTAGCTAACGCACAGTTCTCGCGGGCTTTCACACAGCCAGTAAACATAGCCGAGAACTCCGCATCTGCGTCTGTAAATTCTTCGAAGTCGCTGTGATAACGTCAATGGTTAATATCCTGAATCAGTGGCCGATTATTAACTTACGCCTGCGCATGGTAATACTCGTGCGGGTTTTGAACGCCGTCGAGGACCATTCTTCCTATCCTATCGGGGAACATAGCAGCTGTAGTTGCCCCTAATGTCGTACCATATGAGAAACCTAGCATGCGGTGTCAGTTCTACTATAGTTTTACACCACTGTTATATTCACCAAGAATTGACGTACCCCAGTATCGTAACATTCCATCTTCCCCAAGAGCGTCTACGATTTGCATCATATCTCTTGCCACAAAGGCAGAACTAACCAGGGTTCCGGTCTTATTATTCGTCTTAAGGCAGGCCTCGGCAAGTAGAGATGCACGTCCCCATTGCTTTCCCAACTCTGTGTCAGATACGTTTGCAGGTATTATGTCCAGATAGAATGACCAGGCGTCATATTCATTATCGAAACATTGGATGGGAATTTTCGAGCCATGAGTACCGCTACATGTTACAGGGTCGTTAGTGATGTCTTGAATATCCCAGGCCATAAATGACAAGGACACAGATGAAATCTTACCGTGGGTCGAATGCAATAAGATCAAACTGACGGCCAGTAAGTCTAAAAGAGACATCAGTATAAAAGCCTAAACCGGAGATTTAATCACATAAGCTTACGCTAATAGCTCATCCGCCAAAGTTTTAATGCCTATCTCATCTCGTGCAGTACCTCCAGGTCCACCGAAATTGAATAGAATGCTTCCTTTGGAGGGTTTAACAGGAGCGGGAATTCTGACTAGATCAAGCTGTAGCTTCTCATCGGAATCTGGCTCGGTGTAGTCGAGGGGGACCATCAGAACACTGCAGTCTACTGGGACGTCGCTAGGAACCTCGGTCTTATTGCACGGTCCCCATTGAAGTGAAGTCCCATAGGGTTGGGCAAGAGACAAAGTGATAAAGGAAAGCTGTAACGCGGCTCTGAAGGAAATCATCGTGGCTCGCGATAGGTAGATTTGATTTGGTTTAGGATTGCGATGATGGAATATTGGATTATGATACAGGACGGGAGAAGGGGTTTAAATATGAGAGAGAGGTATACATGATGCTCCTATGGACTACCTACCAAAGCAATGACGCACCAGCCAAGAAATTACAATAGTCACAATTGAGGCTGGGTTATGCGCGACGACCATCTAGTTTCTCATATATCTACATTTTAGTCGAGAAAACGCCTTGTTTAGTGGGTAAAGATACGCCGTAATACACGTAGGGCTGATGAAGCTATTCGCTGAATGGCTGGACGGTGTGGTGCTCCACTTAAGCGCATATACGCCGTGTTGTTTAAGCTTGGAAGAGCTGAAAAATAACATATTACCCTGAGGTTGTATCGACCCACTTTCCTTTTGACCCCGGAATGGGGCTTAAAGAGATGATTCCCTATAGTTTTCATTATCACAGGGTTTTTATTGTTATGTAATAACATGTTTATGCCTTTTCATTAATCCTCCACTCTTCTTGGAAGGTCGTACTTCTAGCTAGATGTTGGTTACTTAAATGTAACTATTTTAAGATCTTGCTCTTATCCTAATAGCATCTAGGCTCGGTTAGAGAAATCCGAGGCGAAGCTATCTCCGGTAGGAATACAACCGACGGTTATGACGATGGCACTGTTGGTAAGCAGTAAACTACCAACAATTTTTCTTTATATTGCTCTACTCCCTCTTCAATTTTCGTCTACTCTTCACACAAATACAAACTCAGCTTGTAATTCAATTTCATAATTAGCAAAATTCTCCATATCCAACATGTCGATTCTCCTCACTGGCGGCAGCGGCAAGACGGCTCCACGCGTCGCGGCATTGCTCGCCGCGGACAAGAAGCCCTTTCTCCTAGGCTCACGTCAAGAGCCTAGTGCTGGGTCAAATGGCCATCCCACCGTCAAATTCGACATGAGCGATGAGTCGACCTGGACGAAGCTATTTGAGAGCACACAGATCAAAGCTGTCTACATGATGGAGCCTCGGATTAGCGAACCTTGGGTGCCCATGAACAAGTTCATAGATCTTGCCAAGAAGCAAGGCGTCAATCGTTTCGTTCTATGCGCTGGAACCTCGGCCACGATTGGCAAGGACGGAATGGGCAGAGTTTGGGAGCATCTCATTGAGTCCGGTGTTGACTACTGTGTGCTTCGCCCGTCCTGGTTTATGGGTATGTGGCCCTAGCTATTAACCTTTATCAGTTCATATTCTTGAGTCGCTAATACAACCCATTTCACAGAGAACTTGATTGAACCGGGTCTTGCATTTACCATCGGCAAGCTGAATAAGATCTTCACCGCCGCTCAAGGTGGGAAGATCCCCTTCATCAGCGCGGCTGATATTGCCGAGGTGGCCTACCACGCCCTGACGGATGAGAAGTCATATAACTGTGACCTCAGGGTACTGGGGCCTGAGAACTTGACTTACGATCAGGTGCGATCACCCTTCCTATCTCTCTATCTATCTCAATAGAAAGTGACATAGCTCAGTACTAACACGACATACATCCACAGATTGCCGAGACGCTTTCCAAAGTTCTCGGGCGCAAGATCGAGCACGTGAAGCTCGACGAAGCCGGCCGGATTGATATCCTAGTCCAAGCCGGCCTGTCGGAATACTTTGCTCGATTTCTGACTCGTCTGGAGGTCTTAGCTTCTCAAGACTTTGAGAAGGGGACATCTGATGCCGTCGAAAGGGTGACAGGACACCCTCCGCAAAGCTTTGCGAAGTTTGCTGAGGAGAACAAAGCTGTCTGGTCGTCCAATTAGTTCCCTCAGCAGATTTACTATCAAATGTAAAATTAAAAAAATCGCCACTCCAATTCCAATAGGCTTATGAAATCGGCTTTACTCCGCTCTTCATGATATCTCTTTGATGTGGAGATATTCATAGTTTTATAGTCAATCATCTACTTGAGGATGTTCTGGAAGCATTAGGCTACCACCTGCTAAGTTACAGATACAATCCACACCCACCAACTTCGCCTGCAATATCATTCTCAAGCATTTCCCGAGCCTCGCGACTTACGCACTCGTGAAGCCGTGTGCTTGCGAATGTGACCGTATCCCTACCACCGAGTCGCCGCTCGATCGGAAGCTGCAAGATTGCGGGTACGGCCCGATCCAGTTCACCCTGTCGGACCACAACGAAGGTATAGAATGGGTCCCTCTTGGATAAAATACATTAGTAGATAGGATAACATAAACTCATATGTAATATCAAGTATTTGACTCAGCTAATGGCTAAAACTACGTGATTATTACGGTCAAGTTAGGATCATAAGAGTTAAATCTACTGAAAAGAAAGGGGGGTTGCACTCTGCTCGGCTCTGTTCCCACGTGCCAATTACACCCATCTCCTCAAGCAATTATTGAGTCAGTTTGGGCATTAATTCTTAATCAGCATAGTTTCACAACCCGGTCGAATGATCAGAGCGAATTTTAGTGAATTTCAATCATTACACTTAATGTGATCATATATAGTAAGTTGAATGAAATAGAGGTAATTATGATGATGCAACGAGAATCATTATTTTTCTTATTTCACTCGCCCTTCAATGATATATACTACAACATTAGGAGCCGTGTATTTGAAAAATGAGACTATACTTAAAGAGATGTGCATATGTTCAAGAATTGAAATCGTGTAAGTTGATTGGCTAATTAAATTCATGCCATTGTATGAGTTTTTACCCAGCCAACCCCTCATTGTTTAGAGTGATGCTACTCAGGTACAGATTACGATGACAGGCCTTCCAGACAGATTACCCCACAGAACAGGTGCATGCACTTGCCCACCAAAATTACAAGTAAAATGATATGACAACATAACTTCCAAAGAATACTTGTAATTTTAGGGGACCAGTACCCTAAACCCAGCATGGCGGGCGGCTGCCAGGCCATTATTGATGCCCCTAATTCAGGGTCTCTACTCAAGACTTCTTACGTAATATGAGGCTCTAAGGTCTTTGAGTATAAGGCTACCTACCTGCATAGTATGGTTGTCACTCAACAATATATTTCTTAAAGTACCCTGTATCTATACAATTTCAACATTATTAGATCCGTCTCATCTTAAAGATTACATCAATATAAATAATAGCCATTAAATACATTGTATTAGCTAAAAAATGCAGTATATATATATTACTATTTACAGATTACATGCCACTATTTAAAGATTAATTTCCATATTCACAAATTACTCTTTTAATAACTTAATTACATACGATCGCATTTAAATATAATTGATATAAATTGGTTTATCTCAAATAAACGATTTCAATAATATATAAAAAAGCCTTATATCTATTAAAATTATCGAATAACTATTGTTAACTTTCTGTAAGATTGTTAGGGTAGAAGTTGGCCGTGTCATTTTACTAGTAATTTTGGTTGCCAGCTACTTACACCTGTTCTGTGGGGTAATCTATCTGGGAGGCCCGTCATCGTAATCTGTAAGTAGCATCACTTATTGTTTAACTATTAGTATTTGGCGTGTGAGAAGGACATTGCAGCTAGGAGGTTACGTTGCCTTAATCGATTGTCTTATCCCAAAGACATCTATATGGCTATCTTAGCTATCTCTTTGAATCCGGCCTGATATCTATGAGATAGCCTTCGAAACGGATCTCGAGAATTTAAATAACGAATCTGTCACCGTGTGGGGAGCGCTAGTGCACTCTCTACGCTTACTAATCAGTTGAGCGCATATATTAAGCTCGTTACATTCGCTCCTTTCTTTTCAACCAATTTATTCATATTATATCAAGGCACCACATGACTAAGCTAAGCACGCATAATATGTGATAGAATCATATAACTACAATGAGACCTTACCACTGTAGGCTCATCGTGACACGCTATTGCTAACATTGAACGAGCTGCTGCGCACTCAGAGCCTGAAGATAGAATTGGGGCTAGATCTACAGTTCAGACAAGAAAACTGAGACGCCGCTTTTGTGTGATCTGCACGCTTACTTATGTACTGAAGTAATTATGCGGATGGCACTTGGATCTTCCCATTCTGTTGGCTGAGACAATGATCTGGGCTGATTCAAGGTTACGTCTGGTGTCTAAGTTTATCATCATATAAGAAGGTTGTAGTCTTGACAACGGATATGGTAAAATCGCTCACCGCGATTTGCGCAGCTACGTCCCTCATAGCACTTGGCTTTGGCCCCCGATCGGATGCAATGCAACTTATCTCGCCGGGCTACAATTCGTTTGAAACATCCTCATACGATATAGGATTTTGAGTAACCCGCCACATTATGTTCTAGTAACTTCGTGCGAGAGTCAAAAGTAGGAATTTGGGCTCGTGTTACCTCATCCCGCCTCCTATAGGTCATTATTGCCGTGGGGTATCATCGTTGACTGCTTGTTGGTACGAAGTGGCATTTTAGCTGCCGCAAGGCTGTACAATAATAGGTTAATAGACTTGGCCCCCAAAACTAGATGGAAGGCCATTGACTACGCCCTATGTCTGCATGTTCATCTCGGATGGGACGCCCTTTTAGGCGATGAGCAGTAGATCTGCCATTTAGTACTCGCGGCTCTCATCTCTATTTTCTTTCATCCATTCCCACAGGTCTTTAGGTATCTCGTCCCATGCTGACGGAACTAGTCAGTATCTCCACAATGGTGTCCATCGGTACCATTACCAACGATGCCTACTTGGGCGTTGGCATCTTTATGATTGTACTAGTTGCAGTTTTCATTGCATTGCGTACTATCATATCTATCCGACAGTTCAAGAAATTGCTGCTGGACGATTGTAAGTGGCCTCATCTTCAACAATACTGCACAAAATCTGAACAGATCCACCAGGGTTGTCCTTTGCGGGTTTCGCAATTCTAATCGCACTCTACGTCTTCAATGAATTTCAATATAAAAGTAAGTGTCACCATGTTTTCCTCGTGCCTCTTGGCTGTGTTGATATTGATATTATCATGTAGGTTTCTTGGTGGCAACAAGTTTGCCTTATAAGATAAATGTACAACTTTCTCTATTTCTGTGATTTTTGTCATGATTTGGGCTGATTAGAAAACCCCCTTAGACGGGTATTGCTATTCCAATTATGGCGGCCTCCTCGTTGTGGACTTCCAAAGCCCCCGTCCTGGTGCTATATATGAGGCTTTTCGGCGTGCAAACATGGATGCGATATGCCTGTTACATGGTCCTCATGATTTCAGCCCTTGGGTTCATAGGATCCTTAGTCCCCGCGTTGATTCAGTGCCGTCCGTCTGATACGCCTTATCTTCCTTACAAGTGGTCACGCTGCGGCAAGGCCAATATCGATTCTGGGGTCATTGCAGGTACCGTGTCTGTCGCGGCCGACATGTGTATCCTCCTCCTTCCTTTGCGTCCAATATTCTCACTCAATCTTTCAAGAAGAAGAAAGATTGGTATTGGAATTGTCTTCTGTTCAGGGATCTTGTAGGTGCCCCTTATCCGCCCCTCTCCTTCGATTCAATCTTATATACATCTCAGAGTAGCCGGGCTAACGAAGGAACAAAAGCGGTGTTTTGGCTTCTGTTTTGTCTCTGGTCTATAAAATCAATCTGTTCCTTGGAGCACGCGGGGATAATGGTAGCATCCTCACAACTATGCTATTGCAGTAAGCACCCCTGAATTTTATCCTCTTATCTAGCTTGACTTGCTTGTATTAATTGTGCACGGCTACCAGATTTGTCGAATGTGCGATTGCACTTATGGTCGGCTGCGTCCCAGCGATAAGGGGATTCTGGAAAGGCTATGTTGAACCATCTAAGTTCTACAACTCGGTCGGATCTTTTGGAACCAGAATTGTCTCCAACTTCCTTACACGGACGTTTAGTCACAATACTAAACCCAAGTCTGAATATCATGATCAATATTACGAAATAGACAGGTTTCGTCCGATGGGCTCTGTCAACTTCCACGGTACCGATGATGCGTATGTCCTAGTGGAATCTGTGGGAGGTAGTAGACACGACATTGGCCGGCTGTAGAGTTGAATCTTTGGTCATTTCTACGCAAACCACCTACCTAGAGTGGGATTTGGGTGATGGAAATATGTTGACTTGCTTGAAATACGTTGAGTGTACTTTACAGATAGAGCCTTGAACTATTTCTTACACTGAAAATTGTAGTCTTCAAGTATACAGAAGTCGCCTACAAAAGTTTTACCCATAGGCCAACCCCTGTCAACTTAGTAGAGTTTGGTAGTAACTGTTAGCCATGATAACGGATATACTACAACTTGTACTACATTCTTATTTATTTATTATACCTCAAATATAAAGGCTATTATATTCAAATGTATATCATATTGAATTTGCGTGTTTATGTTTCTAGTTAACTTAAAATATATATATTTATTTCTTTGTGTAGCTCCTTATACAAAAGTGGACAGGTAGATTTAATATACTTCATCGTTTTACAGAGTGCCAGGTATTTAATGGCTGCAGCCAAGGCTGACTGGCGCTTAGGTAGTATGAGTATAGGCATATATAACTTGGAGAGGCGATTTCCGTAGATTGTTCGCGTAGTTATAGGTTACATTGTTATTCCTTTTCGTGTGACACTAAAAAACCCTGTTTTAGTCAGATATGCTTAATAGACAGTCATTGGCTCATCTTAATGCATGCATGTAAGTCCACCTCTTCGGGTTACGGTCGGTAATCCTTCCGGCCTGTCTTAACGCCCCCAACGATCCACTACGGTGGTACCTACATAGGTACATACATAGGTCCACTATGCAGAGAGCGGGGTCGAAAATTGAAAATATGAGCCGCATCCCGTAGGTAGGTACCTAAATACTAAATCCTCCTAGACTTGGAACTTGTCCAATACAACAATTATTACAACAATGTGACATCCGCTGTGCCTAAATCATGCGTTAGCTCATTTACGCACCCACCGACATTGGTACACTAGCTGCTCAATAAGGGTATATTAAGGCATTGGAAGTTACCTAGGAGTTTCGATAGGCAAATATCACCAACACTGCCTCTGGCAAGGCTGAGGAGTTGGCTTGAGATAACCTGAATCATACACTACAGAGATTACCTACATACATTAGGTAGGTACCTATAGTGAAGTAACTAGGTACCTCTTAAGGTATCCGGATTCGTGCACCGTACCTTGTGTGTCGTTAATTGTCTCGGGTGATGACACCAACATGCCAACATGCCGATCGATGTGGCCAAAGATATAAGACTCGCAAGTTCGAGGTGAAACTTTTAATACGTATCTTGCACACCTGCAGCGCTTATGGTTCAAACTTGTATCTACCAATTTCAACCCAATGTTTAGCACATTTAAGCCTCTGGAATCGGGGTCGGGCAGTGGGCAGTATATTCTTGAGTCTACCGCTTCTCCTTTCGACAAACCATCGCATAAGATCTCTCGGCTAGCCTGCGTCTACTGCAGATCTAAAAAGGTTAGTCACCGCAAATACCGAAAAATGACAAGGTACCTAACTTAAGCGGGGGGGTAAGAGAGTTCATGTTAATTTTGTTAGTTAATTTATGTTAACCAAAAGTCGCTAATTTAGGTTAAATGTACAGGCGAAGAAGGTGGCTGCCAGCGATGCTTGGATAAGCAGATAGCTTGCTCATACATCAGCCCTAGCCGGACTGAAACAGACACAGTGCCGAAACGTCTTCAGCGCCTTCCACGCCTGCAACGAGTTGCTAAAGATGCGGACGGCGGCATTGTAAGCCTAGAAGATGATATTTCTACTCCACAAAGAGAATCCGAGCAGCCAACCGAGCGACCAGCCGAGCAACCAGCCGAGCAACCAATTGAGCAGTCTCTCAATGTCGAAACGCGCCAGGCTTGGGATGCCATCATAGGTGACTCTGACTTGTTGGGTATGGATTTCGATATGTCCCCGTCTGCTACGACACACGATAAGCATTCAACATACGTCAATTCTAGCAACTTGTTCTTCGACGTCTTTCAAGCTGATGAGGCAACCACTGCTACTGCTATTACCCCTATACCTGCCGACAAGAGCCCACCCGCGTATCGAGCCGAAAGGCCCAGCACCGATGACACCCCCGTCCCTCCAAGCCCGAGTTCGAGTCCGATTCCGAGCCCAAATCCCTCACATTGTCTCTGCTCTGAAATGCTTGACGTGTTTGAAGCAGTCGAGGTAAGCCTAGCATGGGCGCATCACACCATCGCGAACCCATCCGCATGCACAGTAAAGCCTAACATACCACCATCGTCTACGCCTAATGACCAGTTTATGTGCCAAAAGGAGGTGTTGAGTAGTTGTGAGAAATGGCTTAACCGGGACGCGTCCCACATCCAGTCCCGGCATGCCGTATTGATGATTTCCATCCTGGACCGGGTGTTGGCAAGCATTCTGTCGATGGCCGAGATGCCTAAAGACCGGAAGGTTGTTGATACACAAGCCTCCCCCGTACCACCCCGTAGACCCTTGAGCTACGGGCTGGAGCGGCCGCCCCGGAATCTGCTTATGTCTACTATGGAGGTGGACCACTATTTTCAGCTTGACCAGTGGAACATGAATGATGAGGAGAGAATCCACGTCTTCAAAAGCCTTTTGAACTACCGCGCTTCCCGACTTAGGGGGCTATTGGAGAGGCTAGGGGTGATAACGGCGTTAAATCGATGGCAGATGCAGACAAACATGGTGCAGTATCTTTTAGACCAGCTATCTAAACATCGTAATCTATTATAACTTGACTCTAGGGATTGCCAGCTAAAAAAAAAAAACCAATAGAACAGAACAACATGAAAAGAGGGAAGAATAAACCCCTAGTATTATTTATTCGATATTACAACGTGACTGCGTTTGTACCTATGCTCATCCCCCCGTTACGCTGCCATCTCTCATCCGACTAGCGATATCTTTCACCACGTAAATTTGGCCGTAGAGATCTGTAACGTCACAGAACATGGTCCAGACCTCCATTTGGCGACGTCTTCCAATGTCCCGCATCTCATCCCCAAGATGTCCCATGGCATCCCCAAGCCAGCTCCGCTCATATTGCGCAAGCTCGTATAGACTCTTCTTTTTAGCCACCAACGCAAATCCATCACCGAATCCACTGCCGTTCCCCTCAGAGTTCATGGCAAACTCGGGGAAGTCCACCGAGTTTAAGTTACATTCGGCCTCGTCACGGGCAATGGATCCGTAGTCATTATACATGCGGCACATGGTAGCTAGGTGTTGGCACCCGGCGGCCGCCAGGTACTTGGCTCGGGTCGTGGGGAAATTCTCGACGCCACCCAATTGCGAGCTTAACAGACAGCCGGCAAAGGCGAACGAGTATGGACAAGCAGTATGGTCACCAGAGGTGGTGCGAACCCAGCGGAAATAGCTATCGCTACCAACAGACTGCGTAGGCGGCACCAAGTCGGCTGCCTCCCTTTTCGGCTTCCTGTTTGAGCTTCTGGCACGAGCTAGGCGGATGTTATCCTCTGTCTGCGAGACGTGAGCGTGAAGGTAAGCCCAGAGCTCCCGTAGCATCGAATTACGATCCCAGGAGCTAGCCGACTGGACAGAAGGATGGCGCACGATATGTGACACGAACCGTGTCAGAATTTCACGCACTTGACCCTGTTTGTCGTTGTATTCGAGATCGGAACTAGCAGCGTTATGGATTAGACCATTGGAAGACTCACATGCTTCGTTATCCACCGGGGTTGCCGAACTCTCTTTCGTAGCGCCTGGCATAACGGCTTGCTTTTCGTTGCATACCACCACGAAGATATCGTCGATCAGCTGGCGGAGAGCATACGTGTCTCCCTCGAACGATGGCCCTGCCACGGATTCCATGAACTCGTCAGCTTGGAAGTCGAGGAAAGAGATGACCATCATCTCGTAAATAAAACGTGTTGACGCAAATGCCCCAATCCTATTGTTGCAGCTCGTCCAGGTCAGAGGAATCAGGTCAAAGTATTTATCCGGCGCCATATTCTTTCTAGGGAATACACCTAGGCGCCGACGTTGCAGCAGGGGCTGAAACAGCGAGGCCTCTAACATCGATGCTTTGATTTTCCACTCTGAAGTAGAAGCAAACAATGGTGTCTGTCTGAGCAGCTTTATGTACTTCGTGCCGCTTTCAAGGTAGGGAGCTGGGTATAAACCGGGTTCAAAGGCTACCGTACTTGTTGGACATGACGCTGCCTTGATCGCAGCAAGCTTATAGCTCTGGGTTAGGAGATGGGAACCGAAACTGACCTTCTCAATCCACACTCGATTTGCATCCAACTCAAGCTCTGAGTCTGGTATCGTATAAAGAAGATTTACTTGATCTTCTATGCACTGATCGATCCTGAACCGAATGGGGTCAAAGAAGGAGAGTCTTCGGGCTTCGCAGAGGATGAGAACACGATAAGCTATTTTTTCGATCGACCTTGAATCCGAATCGTGCATCAAAGCTCTTAGACACGCCTGAACGAGAGCAATATGGACCCGATATTGCACATCTTGGCTTAACAGTTTCAAGTCACCTTGCTTAATCTGGACGAGGAGATCCACAAACGATTGAACCAGGAGAAGCGATGGATACAAATGGCTCAAGTTCTATGTTCCACTTTTAGCTAAGAGTTTGCCTTAAGAAAATGTGGTTTAGGGGGGGACCTTACCCATTTGTCCTTGATATATTCATCGCTCTCCCACCAATAGTTGCACAAAAATTCGACAAGTTTCAAGATTTGAGCCGAGTAGTGTGATAAATTAGGTTGCACAAGCAGCGCCGAGAGGACATTACAATTCGCCGTGAAGCTGGAATTCCGCTCTGAAGCATATGTGCGGAAATGTGTTTTCGTTTCGAAACCATCAATCATCGCAGCCGGCGATACCTCTTTTTCCAATTTTCTCAGACAAATGATACACTTGGCAGTGTCATCGACATCGGCGGGTAGACCAGGTGCTATTGCCAGAGAAAGCTTTAGGTCATATTTGAGATAGTATTAGAGTCGAGTGTCTTACCAAAGCCAATGATACCTTGCCCCTGTTCAAAAGCCTGCTCTAGCAACCTGGTCATCGCATCTAACTCGGGGCAGCGAATCTCTGCGGCAGAAAACCCGGCGCGAAGCATAGTTGATAGGATCTAGGTTCATAGTTAATCAGTCGGTTCTTACACTGAAGTCGTATCGGACACACCCAAGTATACTCAAAAAACATGGAAGGAAATGCACTCGGGACAGCTCCACTGCCCTTTCCCATGCTGGCCTGGACAACATGATGCAGGTAGGATTCTGCTTCATGGTCCCAATTCGTGGCATATATGAGATATGCTGCTGTGGAAGATGGAGACCCCATCATGGAGCCGCCAGTTTTATGGTGGGCTATCTTATCGAAGTCCAGTTTCTTTCCGAATGCTTCGAGTGAATGAAGTGCTGTCGAAGGCTTGCGACCGTATAAAGAATCGGGTACGAAGCGTGACATCTTAGCGTCGTGGATTTGCCTAAGAGTTTTTTGCCCTGCAAAGTCGAAAACCATGCCAGGATCTTCCATCCTCAGCAATTCTAGCAGCTGCGGCACGATCATCTCAAAGCCAACGTGTGTCGTTGCAGCAACATCCCAGTTATTGAGTTGAGAAGCTAGCGACAACTTTGCTTTACGAATGCGCTCATCTACTCCTATGAGTAAATGGGTTGTCGTGTTGAACGGCTCCAGGCGGTGTCTCTGCAGGGAGAGGAGTGAGGCCGCCGTATTTAAGATGCCGTCGATCTGTGGTGCTGCTGTAGCCACCCCCCAGCTGCCATCATCAGACTGCGTACAGAGCAAATAGTCGAATGACTGAGGAAACAACCACAGCTTCTCGCCAGAAACTTCTTTGACTATCATGGAAATCCATGCTGTGTCATAGATAGCGCAGCTCATGCAGCCAGCACCGTAACTTTCGTCGCAGCTCATCCATGCTCGCTGAACCAAAGCAATTGCGTTCGCCCTAAGTTCATCGTCCTGGACCATATTGTACGCCATGTTAATGATATAAGTCACGGAACCTAATTTCACCTTGGCTCCATTTCTTCTTAATTTCGTGTAAATACCATTTTGTCGGATGCTTTCGGTCGACCGATTTCCAACTTGGCTACCTAACCTATCTTGACGCTCCGAATCCCTATTTTGTTTCGGCCCCTTTTACCTAGGCCCCTTTTACCTACTACTCGGGGCACCCTATTTAGGTAAGCAGATTACCGGCATAATAAATGTACCTCTTAAACATGTAAGGGAGGTTTGGCCCGCTTTCGGGCATCCCAATTAGGAACCGCCCGAGAGCCTTGCCTTGCGGGCCGGATTCTGATGTACGGAGTAAGCCGTAGCCCCGCTATGTATTCTATGTTAGGTACCTTATGACAAAATTATGTGTAACACACCTTCAGGCTCTTCCCCTGAACTAGGGCGGAGACTGTTTGCCTCCCCAGCCTCCTACTCTTTGTTGTTCAGCACATCATTCTCTCATCTCGTCGCATTATCATACTAGTATCGTGATGATCATGGCGTCCTCAAAAGCACCACAGATCATATTCGGCTGCGGCGGCCTTGGTAACGAATTTGTCGGTGAGGATGCCGTGCGAGAAGTCTTGGAATTTTTGAAGGAAGCGGGCATAGATCGGCTTGATACAGCCGCCTTGTATCCGCCCTCGGACATTGGTGCTTCGCAACGTCTCCTCGGAAAAGTCGGAGCAGCGCGACTTGGTTTCATTATTGATACCAAAGTATTGATCAGCATGTCTGGCTTCAAAGGGACTCTAGAGCCCGAGAAGATCGCCAAGTCTATCGCGGAGAGCTACGAGGCCCTGCAATTCGGAGATGGTCAACGTATCAATATCTTCTACCCTCATGCACCGGACGTAGCTACGCCCTTGAAAGATCAGGCGGCTGGTTTCGATGCACAATATAAAAAGGGATTATTTGACAAGGTAAGTGTTTCTAGACCTTGCAGAACAAGGGAAAAGAACAGTTAGGTCGATACTGATTCTAGCTATAGCTGGGTGTTTGTAACTTTCCAGCCGATATGCTTGCCGAGTTCATCGACATCTGCGAGCGTGAGGGATATGTTAAGCCGACCGTGTACCAGGGTCTCTACAACCTCATCGACCGCCGACATGAAGGGCCGGTGTTTGATCTGGTCCGTAAGCACGGCATGCAGTTTGTGGCGCACAGTCCAAACGGCAGTGGTTTTCTCCGTGGTGCCCTAACGTCCGGCCAAGTCGAGGGGACGCGCTTCGCTAAGGGTAACATCATGTCAACGGACGCACGGCGGTACGACACTGACAAAAACCACGAGGCCATCCGATTCCTCAACAAGGCGCTTGAGCCGCACGGCATCTCCAAGCCGGAAGTAGCACTACGTTGGCTCGCCTTTCATTCAAAAATAGGGCCACAAGATGCCATTATTTTCGGGTCCAGCAAGCTTGCTCAGGTCAAACAGAATGTGGAGGCAATCCAGAAAGGCCCACTCCCGGAAGATATAGTTGCAATACTGGATGACGCTTGGAATATCATCAAATAGTCTCAAGTGGTACCCAACAAGGAATACCTATAAGCTTATGATTTACTAGGCACTCTCAGAGTTTATTCTTCGCTTATAATAAACTCAATTATTTATATTAATAATTGGTGCGTAGGTAACGAGCCTAGGTGACAAAAGCCTCGGAAATAGGACATAAGCAAAGATCCTCATATATCACGTATTAAGAACCCCCCGTTCTGTAGTTCTTGAAACACCCTATCGGGATCATACCGGGACGCAGCCTCGTGCAGTTTCTTAACATTCTCTGCGCCGAAGCTGGCGAGCACATTCTGCGATGCGCCGGCAAATGTGGGAAATCGAAGTTCCAATAAGAGTCCGCTATCGACGGCTATTTTTTCGACTCGCTGCAAAACTAGGTCCAGTGCGTTCCTCACGGCTTCGTCGTCTTGGTCCTGCTTCCAGTCGCAAGCAAAGATCCAGCCTAGAACAGTAAGCTTACCTAGACATACCATTACCGCTCTTAGGAAGCCACTGGATTGAGAACTTACAGGATTGCGGAACCTTTTCTAGCCCCAAAACGTTACCGCCGCGGTCCTCCCCAGCCCTCACAGCCTCTTGAGTAAGGGGCTGAATGGTCCAGTGCAGATCAACCGTGCGAGGCAACTTCTCAACGATATCCTTCCAGAGTCGATGGCCTTTTTCGTAGAGTTCGCACGATATTTTGGTCGTCATAGTGGCATATGCATGTCTGGGTACTTTAGCACGAGCATGTAAAGCACGGTAAGCATAAGTAAAGGGATATCTGGCCTACTTCATGTCTTTCTCCTTATAGGCCCATTCCTGTAAGATCTCAGCCAGGGTGGAGAAGGTTCCATTGGACGTAGGCACCGCCGCGCCAAGAAAACTGGTTAACTTGACGATAGGATCGAAGGCACCGGGGAATTCGGCAGGCCAATCAGCGTAAAAAAGACCAACGGCGATGAAGTCCCTCCGAGTATTGATGAACATACCGATCTTGGGATCCTTTTCCATTGACTCCTGGACCTTGGCGAACGCATTAAGCACGTTCTCGTAATCAGAGGGGTCGTACATATTTATGGTGTACTGGACTTTTATGAGAGGGTACGCTTGGAGGCTTACTCCTGTGACAATTCCTGGGAGATGTGAGAATATGTCTGACAAGTCTATAAGGGATTGGGGGGGTAAGCGTCATACCGAAGTTGGAACCTCCTCCCTTGAGAACAAAATATAGATCCGGATAAGTTTCGGCATTGGAATTTACGATGGTGCCGTCTGCAAGGACTACCTATTTAACATGAAGAGGCATTGTGAGGATCAATGATTTTCAGGAGCTAGTTTTGCTAATTACTTACCTCAAAGTTCTTGACGTTATCTACACCCAAGCCGTAAAGGCTAGAGAAAACTCCTTGGCCACCTTGAGTAAACATATTCAGCTATGCAACACAGGATGTTGTTTGTGCAATAGAAGGGGGAGAATAAACGCACCACCGAGAAGAAAGCCAGAGAGTCCAACTTGGCCTTCTCGAGCGCCTACGACTGACAAATTCTTCTTTTCTAGCCAAGTGAACGTCTCGGACCAGGTATTGCCCGAACCCATACGAATGATATTGGTTTCCTCGTCCAGAGCTTTGGAATTCAACCCACGCAAGTCTAGCACGATACCCGCTTCGCTGGAACCAACACTGCTGAACCCTGGGTTTGCGTTGTGGCCTGCTGATCGAATGGCAAACTTAGATCCTGTGCTTCTAATGACTGAGAGGGCCTTGGCGACTTCTTCAGCGCTGCTTAGGCATACGTACGCTGCAGCTGGAATCCGACTGGTGACTGACCTGTTGGGAATAGAATTAACATTGGGAATCACATATAGATAATCATCGTATATACATGAAGCCACTGCATAAAAGTATCACCCATCCGCCTGGGCAAATATTTGAAGGGGGTAAGCTAGGTACCTAACTAGTAGGTAATCATCTTGGTAGGAAAACCTGGAGGTAAAATATTAAGTAATTCCACGAGTGAAATAGGACCTACCAACTACGGCGAACCTCTCCCTCGTACTCGATATCCTCTGGACAAACCACTCGCCCTGGGAATACCGCCTTGAGTTGCTCACTTGCAGCATATTCCCGAGCTAGTAGACTTGCTTCAGCAATCATCTTTGCCAGAACCCAAAGAACCATAAATCTTCTCGAGGGGTCAAGAAAGGGCAGAACGCTTCTTTGCAAAAGCTATATCAAAAATTATTAAACAGGCCTCTTAGGTCATAGCGATGACCAAGTTGAGGAGAGCTTTCTACCAAGCCAAACTCCTACGACGATGGGTCCAATAGAGTCATCCTGCAGTGATACGTAACACCATAAATACGGCCCGTTACTATTTGGGCAAGCCCGGGCCATGATTTATTCGAAACTCGGGATACTATTTATAAATCAACGTCCCTACTAAAGATCACTTTTCTTCTAGCAGACATCACCACAACTGGACGTAATGCATGGGTTTTCCAAAGGTGCTCGCTGATATCATGAACGTAAATAAATTAAAATATCCTTAAACTTGATTATGCTTTAGTCAACAGAAACCCTCCATGCTGTAGGTGTTGAAAAACCTGGTATGGATCGTAAGTTTGACTGACAGACCTCATTCTCTCCAGAGAACCATAGGATCCCAGCACATCTTGATTGGGTCCAGCGTCATTCATATAGTGAAACTTTAGATCGGTGCCAAGCTGTTGTCCCGACGCGGTGATGTCGTCTTCCAGGCTTAGTAAAGCCTGTGCTGCTTCTTCATCGTAATTGGCATCCGTCCATGTGATCATGATCTCGAGCACTGTCAATTTTTACATTAGCATATCAAACAAGCAAATACTGTGACAGCGTCGTAGATTTGTACTTACAGCAATGGGTGTCTTGTGAAAGTCCAAGGGGACTGCCCCCCTGCGCAGATGTCACTGCCACGGCAGATTTGCCGAATATCTGGGGCGCAAAATACAAGGTCGCGTTAAGTCGAGTTTGAACGTCGTTTGAGACGGTCTGGTAACGTTCATAATGATCTAGCAACGTCTTTAGGTCCCATTTGCGATCATAATCCGATATCGCGATCCTAAACACGACAAAGTAAGCCAGGTAGTAGACAAGCGGAGACATGAAAGGGGGCAGCTGGATAATGGCTCACCTTAGTGAACCAAAGGGATTTAAGGCAGATACGGCATCATGGAAATCCACCCATGTCCCTAGGGTTGAGTTAATTATAGATTGGTGGGGAATGTCGTAGAAGTCACTGAATATCTCTGGGCGCTCGGTCAAACCGTTATAACCGAGATATACTGCACCGCCGGTTGGCCCTAGGTTATAAGTAGCTGAGGCGTCGGCGTCGTCCTCGGCGGCTGCTGCGAAGTCAACGGTTACTTGTAGGAGCCTTTCATGCTGAGAGGGATCGAACAATAGCCCTTCGAACCATATCTGACCGTTTTCAACCGTTTCTACATCGAATCTCGTCACAATTCCTAATGTCGCGTTAGAAGATGGTTGGCATCAAGAAGAATTACAACATTCACTAGCATACCAAAATTAGCACCGCCGCCTTTCAACGCCCAGAACAAGTCCTCATTTGATGATTTGTTCGCATTCACTATAGAAGAATCTCCGAGGACAACCTGTATCGGGTTATGTTAGATGTGTCGTATAATAGTACTCGCTAGAAGGATTACCGCCGACATACCTCATAGTTGACGACCTTTGTGAAGGCCATTCCGTATATGCTAGACCAATAGCTCAAACCGCCACCAAGAAAAAAGCCACCAACGCCAATGTCATTGGCACGGCCTCCAACTATCATCTTGCCGCTAGAACTAAGGATCTCATACACTCTGCCCCACCGGTTTCCAGGGCCGATAGCAGCAAGCTTGCCATCTGAGCTGAGGGTTACCTCGTTCAGCCGAGCTAAGTCAATCAGCATTCCCTCTTGTCCAATGCTAGAGAAGCCGATGTTGGGATTATGGCCCCCGCTGCGGACCGAGAACTGGCTTCCAAGGAAGGACGAGATGAGTATCGCATTAGATACATCAAGCGCAGACTGGGGTTGCAGGATACATTGTGGTGTTAACCAGCAGGTCACAGACCTTGAGCACAGATATATGTGTCAATAACTGTCTCGATACGGGGTTCGGCAGTGATGGGGACTAACCAGTTATCATCGACGAGACTCTCATAGTTAGTAGAAGACGATATGTAAAGACTAGAGCCGAAAACAACCCCCCCGACACGACATGCTAAATCTGCTCTATCGGTTAAGCTGAGTTGAGCGTTATTGTCGCTGACATAGGAGGAATTTAGAATAGCGGAAACTTCGGCTCGGGACTCTTGACTAATATCTAGGCGAGATAAAAATTCCCCAATGTTTTCTATAGCGCTATAAACCCTTTGTTGCGTAGATAAAGATGCTACGGCTATAGCCGTTGCTATAATAGTTACCTGGAAAAATCGCATTGCTGGAATTCTTTGAAAACCGGGACACATACTTGCTCACACATGGCATAAGTCACATGAACTTCACATGAACTTAACATGGTTCCATATTATATGCACGCATTACGGGCATCAAAGAGTTTTCGGGAAATTGCGGCTGAGTTTGTCGTGTTGAAAGGGGTATTCTGGGTCCCATTCGGAGTCTTCTTTAGTTCTCGGTCGGAGTTGCTTCTGATTGGCTATTGCATACTTCGGGGATCTCTTTGAGGAAACCCCCAAAGTAATTCCTAAGGTAAGTTACCTTAGGTACCTATATTGTGCCTACCCCAAATTAAGGTAAGCCTTTGTCTAACAGCCACAGGCCAGCTCTTTATAGACACTATCGTCTTTACTATATGTAACCAAACCCACCGTATCCTTTCGTATTGAGATCAAACGAGCGTATGAACCATATTAAACTCTAATAGCTATAGCTATGGGTTTCAACGGCACTCATGTACAGGGCCTGCAAGAACCGGAATGGGGGTTTTTACTCAAACTTAACATGGATTTTCATGATTACGTATCATCGTCAAAGTTCATTAAGTTAACCGGGATCGTGCTTCTTTGGCTTTTGGCTATTGCCATCTTCCAGCCTAAGAGACCCAGGATTCCAGGCGCCCAAGTGCACGGGTCTAGGGGATGGTGGGAACCTTCGTTTCTACTCAAGACTCGATTCATATATGACGCGTATAATATCATCAATAGCGGATACAATAAGGTATGTCAGAGAGACTTGTTCTATATTATGCATTATAGAGTCCCTGCGGCTTCTCTGCCATATGCTTATACCAGTTTCAATATGATAGTTCAAGGATGTTCCTTTCGTGCTGCGCCGTCAAGATACCGACATCCACGTCTTGCCAATGAAGTACTTAGACGAGCTGCGGCTAATTCCAAGGAACGAACTCAATGGGAAGATGGTTCATTACAATGTGGGTGTCTCATTCATGTCCGACATCTTAGCTACTGGGTGTGTGCTTTCTGACTGGCAGGCAGAACTTATTCCGAAACTGGTCATGGGCCTCAGTAATTCGTGATTCTGACTTGCACGTCACCGTGTTAACAAAAAAGCTGAACCCAGATGTGACTAAATACGTCGATATGGCATATGAGGAACTCGAGTACGCCTGGCACATAGACGTACCCGAGCCCATCGAATGGACCGAAGTCGATATACAACACACCATTCGCATGCTTGTCGCCCGCATGTCGGCAAAAGTGTTCGTGGGCCATCCAGCGTGTCGTGATCCTACGTGGCTAAGCCTGACGCTAAACTTCTCCGTGGATCTGTTTCTGGCGAGTTTCACTTTGCGCATGTTCCCGCCATGGATGCACTTCTTGGTCAAGCCATTGATTCCAGCGCGGTGGCGTATACAGAAGCAGATCGACATCGGCACTAAGGTTGTCCGCCAATACATGCTAAAGCGCGAGGAACGGGTCAAGACAAGCCAAAGATCGGATGATGGAACGCTATTTGAGTGGATGATCGACCACGCGGTGGGAACTGAAGGCTCGTTGGAAGAACTAGCTGCCCGACAGTGCATCCTGACACTTGCGAGCATTCACACGACGGCTATGACAGTGTCCAACGCTCTATTTGACATTGTTGCTCACCCCGAGTGGATTGCCGTGCTAAGAGACGAAATCGATGAGACGCTCAAGACCCATGGTGAGCTCAATCAAAATATGCCAATCAAACCGTGGCTCAAGCATCTAGAGAAGATGGATAGCTTCATTCTCGAAAGTCAACGACATAATCCGGCGATCCTATGTAAGTACAATACTGTGTGTCCCCAAAGAAAGACATGGGACATGGTGAGCTAATGTCATCCGAAGTGACACCACAGAGGCTAGCAATGGTGCCTCTAACCTTAAAGGACGGGACTTATATCCCAAAGGGGACCCGTATCGCGTGGGCCGGTCCCCAACATGCCTTCGATCCCGTCATCACCCCGAATCCCGACGAATTTGACCCAATGAGAAGCTACCGCAAACGGCATGCCGACAACGGTGAGAATCTTCACAAGTTTATGGTAGGCCAATCTGACCCCGATAACATGTCTTTCGGCTACGGGGGGCAAGTCTGCCCAGGTCGATACTTTGCAGTCGGCGAGATCAAGCTGGTATTTATGCGGCTGCTTCAAGAATTTGATTTTGCCTCACCGAAGGGAAATAGGCATCCCCGGAGCATTCACGCTGACGAAAACGTACTCGTGAATCCCTATGTCAAGGTTATGATGAAGAAAAGAAAGGTAGTTTAAGGGAAAAGTAGACTCCAATTGTATCTATCGATTTCAAAGCGTGTCAGGAGGAATTTCCAACGGTTGTCTATAGATTCCAACTTGGTGTCTTCCTAGCACCCCGAACTATATTATAGGTACTTCTGTTAATACTATGATTTCTCGACAGTATACATAACAATACAAATAGAATATGATCATTCTTATTTTACACGCTTATTCATGATATATAGGTACTACACCTTGTTTGTGAAAGTTATTTGAATTAAAAGTCAAATTTAGATTGAGGAGTTGGAATGGTGTAAGTCGATTGGCTAATGAAATGCGGGCTACGGCACTAACATAGCCCGGATATCTTAAAACCATTAAAATAACAATATTTGTCAAGCCACCGCAAGCCACACTATCCCAGCTCTCATTTACGCGGCACAAGCTAAAACGCGTACTTCGTACAGACTACGTCATTGACACTTCAAACCAACAATTGTATGTCCATGAATTGGATGACTGACTACAACATCACTTCCAATATTATAATTTGCGCATACAATATTTAATACTGTTTACATGCTAGAAGATACTTTCGCTTCGATCCATCTCCGGATCGTTACTAATTAATAGCAACTCGTTATGTTTATATCATACATCTTAGAGTTCAAGAATCTCGGTCACTTGCTTAGACTGCGAAGAGTATAACGCGTTCTGGCTTGAGACGATCGAATCGCGAAAATGGAGTTTGATAGAATCATATATGATACTAACCAAGTTAAAGGTAGCTTAAGTGCTATGGGCGCCAAGGTAAGCATTCTTATAATTCGTGGTATACCTAGTGAGGTAGTCTCTCGTGGAGATCTTCATCTATAAACAAAACTTAACATCTCGTTCGCTATAGCCTAAAGGCTCAGCATCCCTTGCTGCTATTGTCTCTGCATTTGTCCCCACATGGGTAAGTCTATACCTAATATATCTTCAAACTTCGTACACTTGCTAAGCCAGGAAGGTTACGGGTCTCATCTTTGTTGCGATATTCATCGTCATTCGACGCTGGTATCCTAATATCTATGCTCCCCGAACCTTTATCGAAAGTATACCGGAGAAGTAAGTACATACGTCGGACTTATCACCACGATGCTAAATCTCTTATAGGGACCGGACTCCTTCTGCTGGTCGGTCGTATTTCAATTGGGTCCATACCTTGCGCAAGGTTCCGGATAAGTTCATCTTGTATCATCAGTCTCTAGATGCGTATCTCTACCTTCGTTTCCTTCGAACAGTCATCTTCGTCTGCTTCGTTGGTTGTTGTATCACGTGGCCTATTCTTATGCCGGTGAACGCAACTGGTGGTGGTTCCTCAACCGAACTGGACAAGATCGGCATTGGGAACGTCAAGAAAAGGGGACATCTATACGCCCACGCAATAATTGCTTGGGTATTTTTCAGCTTCGTTATGTTTACAATTGCTCGCGAGCGACTTTGGCTCATTGGCCTCCGTCAAGCCTGGACCCTGTCGAAGCCTGTTGCAAACCGCCTTTCTTCACGCACCGTTCTCTTCCTATCAGCCCCAAGAGATGCCCTCGACGAAGGTAATATGTATCGGTACTTTGGAGATGGAGCTTTGCGCCTTTGGCCAGCGACTAAGGTCGACACGCTAGAGCATCTGGTCTCGAAACGTAAATCAAAAATTGAGCAGCTTGAGGCAGCGGAGATGGCTCTAATCCGGAAGGCCAACCATGAAGGTAGAAAACGGATTAAATCCCGGGCACAGGATGGGCATCCGCACTACGATAATCTTGAAGATTCAGTTAAGAAATCCATAAGACCGCGCCATAAACCAGACGTCTCGCCACTAAATGAGAAAGTCGATAGTATCGAGTGGCTACGTGAAAAGATAAAAGAGGAGGAATCAAGCATCGAGAATGAGCGTAATTCATATAAAATTGGTGAGACTAACGGATCAGCTGCAGTATTCGTCGAGTTTAAGACATGTGCGGAGGCTCAGCGGGCCTGTCAGCAAGTCGCGTCTAGCAACCTATTAGCCCTTGGTCCCAGATATACCAGTGTTTCACCCCAAGAAATCATATGGAATAACCTCACCATACCTCCTGCTCGCCGCATCTCAGAAGAGGGTACTGCTCTGGCTATTGTTATAGCTCTGATAGTTTTCTGGTCTATTCCGAGTGGTATCATCGGCTTAATCTCTAACATCAGCTATCTTGCGGATAATGTCGAATGGTTGAGCTTCTTGAAGGATTTACCTGAACCAGTCATCGGCCTGCTATCTGGCTTGATACCTCCATTGGCGACAAGTTGGCTAAGCAAGCTAGTGCCTAGCATATTCAGATGTAAGGATTTAATGGCCCAGATTCAACCGTGGATAGATATGCTTACCAGTACCAGATATATTCAAATCGACTGGTAGCCCCACCAATACTGCTGCTGAACTAAAGGTCCAAAGATGGTACTACATCTTCCAAGTGACACAAGTATTTCTTGTCACTGCAGTTTTCTCCGGGGCGGCACCCGTCGCTGCACAGCTTTTGGAAAAGGCCAAAGATCCCACCTCGATCCCTGAACTACTAGCGAGACAGCTTCCGAAGGCATCAAACTTCTACCTGACGTACTTCATTATCCAGGGCACTACCTCAGCTGCTGATAACTTGCTTAACTATTCGGATCTTCTAAGTTATCTTTTCTACGGTTATTTCTTCGACAAAACTCCACGCCAGAAATTTAACCGATATACAAGTATGAAAGGGATCGCATGGGGCAAGCTGTATCCAAAGGTGAGAGGCATATTAAACCTGCACAATGAATACATATTGATCAGTGCTAACTTTATACAGTTTGCCAACTTTGCAATTATCGGTTAGTATTGAACTTGTTCTTGTCTTCGGTTTTATCCACTTACCCTTCATAGCAATTGCATACTCGTGTATTGCGCCACTAGTGCTAGGTTTCGCGGCTGTCGGACTGGCCCTGTATTACTTCTCCTACCGCTACAACCTCCTCTTCGTCATCCAGCCGAAGATAGATACCAAAGGGCAGGCTTATACACTCGCGTTGCAGCATCTTCTCACGGGTGTCTATATAGCGGAGTTGTCCTTACTAGGTCTTTTCGGCTTGAGAAGAGCAACTGGTCCATCTGTTATAACTGGTTTCTTATTCATCGCGACGATACTTTATAACGTACTAACTAACAGGTACCTTGCGCCGCTTGAACAGTTCCTACCGGCCGACTTAGCTACGCTGACCGAAAGAGACGACGAATCTACGCCGCTATTAGCTTCCGCCGAAGAAGGACAGGCACACTCAACTTCTCGGATTCAGCGTCTAGGACAACAGGCAAATATTCCGAAGCCCATCGCGCAGCGCATTCTAGACCCAATAGCACATTTCTTCGAACCGCAAGTTTTTGCCTCATACCAGGCCATGAGAGCATGGCTGCAAGACGGGGACTTATTTAACAGCGAAGAGGACGTCCCAGAGTACACGGAAGAGCAACTCCAGAAGGCATATTTAAACCCGGCCCTCACAAGTCCAACACCACTGATCTGGATCGCAAGGGATCCGATGGGCGTCAGCCAGAACGAAATTACGGAAAATGAGAAACATGGTCTCAAGGCTAGCGATCAGGGCGCCTGGCTTGATGAGAGGGGTAAACTTAGATGGAGCGTTAAAGAGTTTAAGGAGGTACCAATCTGGAAGCGAGGTGTGACATATTGAGGAAATAAGTTATTTACCTATCCAACGAAGAGATTATTTACGTCCTAATGAAGATGCTAAATTGTTCAAAACGAGAATAGGGGGTTTTACAGTGTTCAACGCAAGTTCTTAGTGGAGAATTAGGATTATGTCATTGTCCCCTTTTTTTTCTATGTGAGGCACCTAGGTACTTGAGTAAGTGCAAAAGAAAAGGGGGGGGGGAATAGTTGAATCGGATAGGTTCACAAAAAAGCGTATGTAGCATACGGATTATTTTAGGTTAACTACCTCCCATAAAATAAGTCTTCGTCTCGAGACCTCGCATTATATCATAAACTCACTTCCCTTCCGAATTCCTAAATGGTCATTAAGGAATATTATCCCTTGTCCTCCCTGCTATGGCAACCTTATACCTACGCAAAACCTGGAAATATTTTACCAATAGTCTCACTCTCACCACAGCATATACTATAGATGATATTCGCATACCCCTTGACAGTATTGCAGAGCTCAGGGGCAAGAACCCCATAAGCCTGCATCATACTCGTGAGTGCCCACAGGATATTTTCATCGGCTTCCCCCCAGCGCTTTATCTCAATCACTGCGTTTTTCCCGGCCCCCATATCCCTCGGCGGGCGGGCCTCAACGACGTATCCGAGCGTCTCTAGCCCCTTTAGAATCATCTCTAGGCCATCAATCAATTTATTTCTTGGGATCAGATCGTTGCCCGCCGCAAAGTAATACCTTGATAACTCGGAGCGCACCACCGGCGGCGCATCCCGTTCAGCTGTGTACGTCTTCTCTAAATCTTCCATCATCTTTCTCGCTCGGCTTAATTGTGCCGGCGAAAAACCGCTCTGCAATAAGAGGTTGAGGGAGAGGAATAACGCCTCACGTTTCTTAATGGTACTTTGAGGCGTGGACTTCTTGTAAAAGCACAGCGCGCAGTTGCAGGCAAACCCCCAGCCGCCTTTGAGCTTCTTCTGGGTTTGGTCATAAGTCTCGTTTAGCCCGGGGCTGCGGTACATAAAGTGCAACTCGGTGTCTGCCTTTAAGTCCTGGGTGGCCCGCACGATTTGCATGTCGCCGATGAAGGTGCGATAACAGTTGGTGACACAGGAATGGTTGATGCGTGATGCGATGGGCCAGATTCCGCACGTGGTATACCCGGCAGACTTTTCCGTTTGCTCTCCACTTTGATTAACCATGGCCAACATGGTCGACTTGTAACTGGTGCGTGGAGCTCCGAAAGAGTTTAGCTGAATTGTTTTTACAATGAGAAATCTACATCCGTGTTAGCATTTTCATCTATTCGATGCAAATTCTAGAGGACTTACGTGTCCACCACGGGGGCACCGTCAACCTCAGATATCGCAACAGGAGTATAGTCACCGTGATATAGCTCAGTGAATACTTTCCCCCCATCATGGTTACGATATAATTTCTGGACAATTTGGGTGATGAGGTTTGCTTGACCGCCCATGGACATGATATTAGTGTGCCAATTCATCAAAACAGTCGTGTTCGATTTGCCAACATTGCTATCATTACCAGCATAACTGTACGCGAAAGCTTTCTCGCATAGTAAAAGCTCCCCTGCCTTGACTACTTTTGTGGTAAACAGCCCCTTACCTCGACCAGGTGAATCACGGACGGCTACCGACCCGACATATGTTGCGCAGTCGATCAAAGGCGGAGTATCTTCAGCCTGCTTATACATGTTATTGAATTGATACGATCCTTTTTCCTCCTCACGAAGACGCTGCTTAACTCGCTTAATCTCGGCCCATGCGCCTGAGTTCTTGGGGTTAGAACGCACAAGGGTCATAAGTTTCTCCAAGCAAGAGCCAAACTTCCCCAGTGTGTAGAGAGCCTTGGCCTCTCGGAATAAAGCTTTTTCAATTAGAGAATCATCGCCCATATTTCCCTTTTGAGCATCTGCGGATGCTTTCTCTGGTCGATCGAGGTAGAGGTTGGTGAGGGACCGATTAAGGTAAGCTAGCTGCTTTTCCTTAGCAGTATTAGCAGCGCGTATCGCATCCGTATACCTATTAGTTTAATAAGTGTTCTGAACTATCAGACGTATAATGTCTCCTACGAATAATTACTCACAGGCGTTCCGCATTGGCCCAATCCTTCTTCTGAACTGCCTCGTTTCCCTCCTTTCGTATGTCCTCAGAGCTCTCATCAAGACTTATAAATCGGTTTCTCCACTCCAGAGGAATACGATTGTCGGTGTCCTCGAGCCAGATAATATCACTGACATGATCGACCCGCAAGCTATACGAACCACTATTAGTAACCTTGAAGAAAGGCTCCTTAATGATGCAAATATCTCGAGCTTTCAGAATATTCTCTTTGGCAACCTTAGATTCTTCGGGTTGGTTGTAGAGCTGAAGCAATACTGCAGTACCCTCCTCGTCTTCAACAATAGCCATGACAGCAGTCATTCGATCGGGTGGCGTCAAGACACGAACCAAAGCATAACTCCCCCGATGATGGATTTCAAGCATCATTTCTGATATCATCAGAGGCTTGAGGTCCTGGGCAGGATGGATACAAGGGGGATAATATGGTGGTACTTGCGACGTGTAGAGCTTGTGATTCATTATGTCACTCACGCCAGCGGAATGGAAAAGTTTCATTAGGAATTGTGAAACAAGAGCGCTGCGTGGTGGATGATCTCGAGGCTTTTCGCCCTTACGAAGCCGTGCTCGCTCTGCATTTTCCTTGCTCTGCTTAATGAAGGCGATATGTTTTTCAGAATCGGAAATGTCTTTGGTGTCCATCGTGACTCTAACTTAATCTTACTATTTGTATTTTTTAAGATCCTTAGCAAGTTCAAATTAGGTAGAAAGATGAAGTCAAGATTAAAGAAAGGGAGGCTAGTTCCTATAGAAAAGCACTTATGGGCGTGAAAATATATAACTACCTCCTATCATGCTCACATCCTACTTTCGAATCTAGAAATGAAAATATTCGTCGAGATATTTCGTGGCTCCAATCACTAACATATGATGGGTAGCCTGCAGGATCGTTTGCTCTAAGTTTCGTTGCCTAAGCTTATTGGGCTATGTAGGTAGCTATCCAGAAACTTGCATTTGTCTTGCAACTCGGGCTACGTCGGCCTGTCCCCGCACCAATAACGGAATAGTCACATCATATTATCGATCATCTCTCAATTTTATACACAGTACCTAGGGGTGGCTACATTGACTAATACGTACCATAATTATCCTAGGAGGCACCTTGGGTACTCAGATACATGCAATGTCAACCCCTGTCATAAAGGGGTAAAGGGGTAAACACGTCTTCAAGACCTTATGTAACATGGCTTCACACAGATCTTCAATTTCTTTCATGCTAACTCCATGCTCTATATATCAAAGATCATAGCTGTAACTGTTAACGAAACCCCTCAAGCTCCACTATGGTACGAGAAAGGAATAGAGATGAAAGTGATAAGATTGGAATGCTGATATACGAAGTTATCACAATCTCTGGTAACTCCGAACTTTTTCCATTTTATCATGGAAAGGCTGCCTAGTCGTAAGATACCTAGGCGATAAAGCCCCTTGGTTTTAAGTAGAACCCTTAGTACCCAGTATTGCAGTTAGTCGAAGGGCATATTGGATTTAATACTGATTCTCTAAGATAACGGATATATTTATGGGCTAACATTCATAATTTCGAGGGTTTCAGTAACCATAGCCCCGGTTCAATACATATATTTGATCGTCTCAACTGCAGACTGTGTATTCTCTCTAATGTACAGATCTATCTTGGGGTCTCTCGTAGAAAGTTATCAACACTTACTGGTTTTTCTCAGTCGCAGAAGATGTACAGTTACCTCCCAATTTGGGTACTATAACTAATATTGGCCTTCATATTCCTCAAGTTGTACACTAAGAGGGTTAAGTCTCATTGAAAAGCTATGGGGAGTCTGTTCCTTCTCTTTTCTTTTCTTTTTCTTCAACGGTTTGGACACGAGAGTCTTGGATTCATCAGATAACTCGAAACTTAAATCATTCAATTCGACGACTTACTCTTCAAAAATTCCAAAATCAGGCTCATTTATCTCCTCTGAAGTTGTCGAGATTGTTGTTTCGTGTACTGGCTCTTCCGGTCGCTCTGGCATAACTAAATTTAGAGCCGGTATATTCCAAGACTATTCTTGCTCAGAAGAAGATTCAGGTGTGTTGATTTCTCTTTCTAGTTTGTCCCAGAAAAGTTAAATTTACTTCAAGCTTAAGGTAAACAGTAAGGGGGAAAGAGGCACCGTTCGGCCAACTTACCAACGCTCGTACGTTTATGATATTTATTTAGGCGCTGTAGTTCCGCCATGCCACCGCTGAGAACGTTCATCTTTTCTGTGAGGAACTTTCGTTCGTCTGCCATTTCCCAACTCTCGGCAGCAATCCTACTCACGGTATCATCGCTGAGCTCAAGTACTACTTCTGGGGTAAATAACCCAGGAATCTTCGAAATAAGACAAGCCTCAACAGCCAACTTGCTAAAGTCATCTATAATTTGCTTCATTGCCACCTGTTACATGATATAAGCTTATGGCTATGAGGGTAGTAAGGGTAACTCACTTTATAATATGCCTCCATCCAGTCGATAGCGTCCGAACTTGAGACAGTCTCCATGTCTTTTTGGGTATGCTTAATAACTAGCTCCAAGCAGTTGTGAATACTTGCTTGCAGCATATCTCTTGGCCCAACTCCGGACTCCCTCAGCCCTCGCATGACATTATTCCGATAGCGATTGCTGCGAATTTTCTGGACGTTGTCTGTCAGATAGTGGTTGTATGTAATTGCGTGACCATCCTCATGAGGCCGCAGGATCTCATCCACCTTGCTATCAAGCTGATGGTTGAGCTGATCCAAACCATCGCCAATCAATTCACCCCAGAGTTTCGCCTTCGTATCCTCATCCACGATATATTCCAATGCTTCATTAACGGTTAAGTTCACAGCTTTGGATATCTCGCTGGAGAAATTTTCCAACCAACCTCTCCAAGGCTTGCACTGTTCGCGGAACAACTCGCTGATTATCAAAGGGTTGTATGTGCCTGGAAGCTCACACCCCCGAGTTCTTTTCATCAGATCCTTCACCTCTAGTAGGTAGTCATCTCGTGAAACCTCTTTAAGGTCATCTCGTGAGGCATCTGTAGCGGAATTCGTTGAGACTTCCTCGACGATCTTTCTTGCATGTCCATCAATTCGCATTGTATGGGCGAAATCAGTCAAGGTGTTCTGCACAACGGCACGCAGCCTTTTTCGGTATCCTATCTCATCTCGAGCGTTTCCAAAGAACTTATCTTGATAAACCCCATCTTTTGCTTCGGTGATGAGATTCGAGAATTGGTGGCTAGCCTTGAGCAAGTACCTGCGTTGTTCAGCAAGCGTGCTACGAGCATCGCCAAGCTTTTCAAGATGGCTCGAGCATTCGTCTAGTCCTCTCTGGATCTCTTCTAGAACTTCCGGTAGCTGCTCGAGTATTTGTTCCTTGAGTACCTCGCTCAGCCGAGTACGTAGACTTGCGGACCCTTTCTGAGATCGTGGTAGTCCAGCCCAGACGCCTTGATCGAAAAACTCCGCCTCTGCTATGTCTCGCTCCTCATTCGTGACATCTCTGCTTTTGAAATCACGGTTTCTCATAACATGCCACCCAAGCCGAAACTTGACGTCCCTATTCCGCACCAATTCGAAGTAGTCACGCTCGCTTGCCGAACCGACGTCGAGCGTGTCCGGTTTTGTGACGAGTCCCAAGGTCCTTTCACCACGAATATCTATCTCGCGTGCGTGCTGGGTAACTTCCTGTAAAGCAAAGTTGCTCTGAGCTGAAACCACAGCCAGTATAATACTCCGTGGATTCTTCATGTACGAAAGTACTAGCGATTGTACGATTGCACCATCCTCAGCCGACTGCTCCCTATTACCGGCACGAAAAAGTCCTGGCAGGTCGACAATTGTCAAATGAGGCTGAGTTGGACCGGATAGTTCGATGCGAAGAATGTCCTTGCAGAAGGTTCTACCTTGATTAGAACCAACTCCCATGGCTTCTTTAGCCTTATCCACCAAGGCTCCAATATTGAAGTCGTCAGGGATCTCGGAGTATTGGAACTTCTCAAGACGTGCCTTTTCTTCGGTCGAGCGATCAATGCCAGGAGAAATAGACACGCGACATTTCTCTTCAGTGTGTTCATTAGTATGTCGTAAGATCAATTCCGTCGCGAAACGTGTACAGAGACTGTCCTTGGTCGGAAAAGTCATGCCTGAAATTGCCTGCAAAACGGAACTTTTGCCCGATGATTGATCGCCGCAGACGACAATCTGAGGAAGATTGACATATCGGTTAATCCCCTTTGACCTCAATTTATCGATAATATCCATCAACGTCTTATGATCCTTAGATTGAAGCGGTATAACCGCTCCTTGTGATGCCATATTGAAACGTCCAATATGAAATGAAGTATCGAAGCGCTGCTGTTCACGAAGACGTTGTTCAGTGTTCTAGTTTAAAGAGGGGAGCTTGGGGCTCGACATCAATAGGAACACAAATGCGTACCTATTAACTAATCATCCCCCCTTTTCAGGTAACCCGACTTCCATGATTTCCTTCAATACGAAGAGCCTGCTTATTAGAGGTACCTATTGATGCAGGCTGCCATGGCGTTAGCATGCCACGTTGAGCACATATGCATGCTCCCGGCATGTAATAATGGTAGCCTGCTTATTTCTCAACTGACTTATCATATCTCGGTGTTAATGATGTGGCTTACAATAAGTACGGCAATAGTACATCTTTTTGCTTTTACAGCTACTTTAGCTATCAAGATCTGACATTCCCACACCGCCTACCTAACCTTAGGTAGGTACATTTGGTATCTTAGAGTTGCTGTTAAATCAGGCACTATCTATCTTCTCCCTAGAAGCGTTAAACTGTTCTGGAAACGCTGGCTCCGGCTTAGAACCGTAAGGTATCATCCGCACCATATGCCGTCTCTCTCCATCCGCAAAGTCAGGTACTGCGCTATGCGCTGCAGTCCTTTGATCCCAAACCACGACGGTTCCCCTTTCCCATTTGACCCTACAGCTAAAATCGAGACTTTTAATATGATCGTGTAGGAACTTTAGGAGGTTGTCCGACTCCTCCGGTAAGAACCCCTCGATCTTGCGAGCGATTGTCGGGTTTACAAATAACGAAGGTTTACCCGTGACAGGATGTTTAATAACTAAGGGATGTGTCGTGTTAACAGCCTCTTTCAATGCACGCTCCGTCCCGACACGAGCAACTTCTCCGACCGAAGCCGACGTATGATAGAGACTTAATCCTCCGAGGAGTTGTCTAAAGGCAGGTGACAATGCCTCATATGCTGCCGTTAGGGATGTGAAGGCCGTGTCACCACCACCAGATTCGGGAATTTCAAGAACCCAGAAAAAGGTAGTTGAAGGCACATTTGGTGTGAATGTCTGGTCGACATGCCATAGGTCGTACGCTGTGCGAGGGCCTAGAAGCGTTCTAAGATTGCCACTGCGATCGCATTAGTGTACCCAGCCTGTATCTATCTAGACTTCGCACACTTACGCGGTTTCATCCGCATACACTACATGGAATTCTGGACTTGTTCCCGCAGGATATCCCATCGTAGGATGTTTATGCAAGGGTCCGTAGTACTTCACAATGTCTCGCTGTCTTTCGAACCCAATGTCTGCGAAGTCCTGATCCCTCTGCATCTTAACGTTAGTAATGCTTTCATCGACGTCTCTGATTCGAGCCTCACAAAAACCAAGACGCCCCTCTCAGCTGCTAGTAAAGCAACTTCGTCTAGTCCTGCCGGAGGAAGCTGACTGAGCTTAACGCCAGTGATCTCTGTCCCGACCCTCGGCGTTATGTTTGTTATCTTCGCATTCGCTTTAAAAATAGCCGGCTTCAGGGGGTCGGCGCGGCTACCCGGCTCGTCCGCCTCAAATTGAGGGACATCCAAGGTAGGCATATACCCATCTGGCCTGGTTGGAAGATAAGCTGGATACAGAGGATCAGATGACATGTTGATAATTTATTCCTGACTGCGCATGTTGTTTGAAATGAAAAATCACTGGAGTGCTAGTTACTGGAGATATGTGAAAGTTCCAAGGTCCGTACCGGAGCCCAAGCTTTCTACAAACATGCTATTATCACCGTTTACCGGCCGAATTTCCCTAAAAGAATCTAGCTCGGTCTTTGCATTCCCGAAATGATATAGTAGATCTAGATCCCAGTGGGCCGTCAATCGGGCCCGACCCGGATTAGATAGGTCAGCCTCCATTACGACATCGGTATGGTAGATGACAGCATCTCAGGTTGAGTGAAAGAGAATCCAAACACTGACGGTACGGTTCCAATAGCTATGAAATATTATTACTGAAGCTATATAAATAAGGATATTTATTCTATAGGCCATACTAGTGTTAAATAGGCCAACTCTCAATGCCATGATTCTAGCTTGAATGTCACCATAAGCCGGCCCATGGTAAGTCCTTGGCTTTTTCTAGGCGGGTTCGTACAGATAATTAGCATATTTCCGATACTATACCGAGACATGTTTTAAGACTCAGTCCTCTTGAGAGTTTTAATGTCCCCCAATAATGTCTAACTGATAGTTTTTTTCTCTTTCATCCATTTTCAACACCCTCGGATGACTGCAGTCATGGCATTTACTCCATTAAGCGAAGATACGGGCAAACCAAGCCCTGACAGTCAGGCCGATGTGTTACATAACGCATCTCCAGCATGGCTCGGAAAGATACACCCTTATTTCAAGGACCCAGAGCATGTCGTAGTTTTCAAACTTGACGTCCTCCTGTTGACTTGGGCCTTCGTCGCTGGTTTGATGAAAGATATGGACCAGTCAGCAACAACGCAAGCTTATGTCTCAGGCATGAAAGAATCGCTCTCGCTCTATGGAAACGAGTTAGTCGAGTTCACCACTTATTTCTCCATTGGCTATGCGCTCTTTATCGTTCCAGCTCAGATGATACAGACCCGAGTTCGCCCCTCAATCTTTCTACCAATCTGCGAAATCATTTGGGGTGCACTCACTTTAGCGACATATAAGGCGCCCAATGCAAAAGCCATTTTTGGGTTGAGGTTCTTCTTGGGTGTTTTTGAGTCAACGTCTTGGCCCGGCCTCGTCAGTCTAATCTTCAACTGGTATACACCAAAAGAGCTTGGCAAACGACTAGCCATATTTGGTGTCAGCGGTGTGGCTGGCAATATGTTTCTAGGGATTCTACAGGCTGCGCTCTATAAAAATCTTAATGGAGTAAATGGTCTTGAGGGCTGGCAATGGTTATTCATCGTCTCTGGCGTTATGACGATGGTGTGGGGAGTTATAGGATTTATGGTCATCCCCGACTCTCCTAAGATCACTCGAGCTCTCTACTTGAACTCTTCCGAGCGAAATTTAGCATGTACAAGACTCTCTAAACAGGGAGTGACGACTTCAGAGCTAATCCCATTCGATCTTCTCGTTCGAAAGCTCCGCTCATTACTGAAAAGCCCCCTTACGTACCTGTTCATCGCAGCCTACCTTCAATTCGCCTGGTCGCAACGCGCCAACTCGTACTTCCTACTATATCTCAAAGGTGTCACGGACGCGACTGGGAAACCATTATATTCGACCTACACGGTGAACCTCATCCCTCTCGGTGGCTATGCTATCTCAATCGTCTGCAACATCGCGCTAAATGCACTTAGTGATTGGAAAGGCTGGCGGTGGCAAGTCTCATGCGGTGCCGCAGCTTTACAGCTAGTAGCAACCTCTGTTCTAGCCGGATGGCCTAATTCGCATGCTACAATCATGACCTTCTACTTCCTCACTTTTGCTACGGCTGCTTGGGGTTACGCACTCATCGCGTGGCTTGCGGAGATACTACGAAAGGAACCTGAGGCGCGGTCGATCATCGTAGCCATTGCCATTACGTTGGTCTACGTTGGGCACGCCACAATCCCGCTTCGCGCATGGCGAGTGTCTGACTCCCCTACATATCCAATTGGGTTTCCACTAGCTGCAGCATTTTGCGTAGGGAGTATAGTATTTATGCTAGGGATGCGATTTTATGTTCATAAATATCCAAACCTATTAGAATGGGGGCTAGACTGGAGAGAAAGGCAAGATGGCGCTGTTGAGGAGGCATCCGATTCCGACCATGCGAATGCGAAGCAAGTTACGAGACAAACAACAAGAGAGATTTAAGCACCAATGGTTAGGTTAAACTAGGAAGAATATGTTACTATTTATAACAAAATTTCATCTATATTTGTCGGAAATAACCGTTATAGTTCAGCAGTATCTAATGACTGCTGCTCGGAAAGATACCTATTTACCCCAAATAATCCACTCGTCTTTCTAACCTGCAGACAGCCTACGGAGTTTCTATCATGCTTAGGATTGACTTTACTCAATTATTTAATAGAGAAATACGTAAGTATGTTTCAGCTCACAGAGGACAATATGTGTGCTAAGATGGCCCCCTTACCTACCTATTCAAACCGGCCGCAGTAGAGGCTGCAAGTTTCCCTAAAGGGACAAATTTAAATGCACCATTGCGTTATTAAGAAATTGTTACACTAACAACACCACGTTCCCTACAGCCAATTAAAGTATCTCAAAGGCCAACAACGGACCGACGTCGGAATAGATAAGAGTGTTCCCTCCCACGACATGCGGCACAGCTAGCGCCACAAGCCACCGGTAGTCACCAACCCTACGGATCTAACCTTATCTTGGTGGATGGATAGACGATTTCACCCTTTACGATATTCTATATATGGGTAATAGCCGTACAAGGACGGCCCCCATCTAGATGGTCCTATAGTATGACGAGCCTTAAAGTATTAGCTATAGTAGTGCGGTGGTACGACTCAAAGATAGTAGCCCTATTGTTATTCAGTTCAGACGTATTGGTACGCCATTGTGTTTCACCAACCCTTCATATTCGGCAGCCTATGCTTTGAAGTATGCTTATCTAGTTGCTTAGGATAGGTATTAAGCCCTGCTATTCTACAACTATAAGACCTATATACTCCGGTTGATTCTACTTCTTCCGCTTAGACATTTCTAACAGCTTCCATCTTCTCAATCGATATTTACTTCCGAATAAACCTAACTAAATTATGGCAGAGGTACCTTTCTCTTCCTTAACGCCTGCTCGGCAGGATGACGCTTTGAATAGACCTGCACAACTGCCTCCGGGCGGAATACAGTCCAATTTTATAAACCCACAAAACTTCAACTATGGCGGCTTCATATTCACGTCGTTTTGCTTAGCTATTGCCACGATATTCGTAGTTACGCGGCTTTACGTGAAAGTCTTCCTCATTGGGCGGGTACGAATCGAAGACTGTATTACCTACAGCCCCCTACTAATCCGCCCTTGAATCACCTTGCTAACATAGTCTAGATTTAATAATAGCCGGATACGTACGTCATTACTTTATAGTTGATATTACCTTGTTCGACGAGTTGACAGTATTAAAAGAGCATCTTCGTAGCTACAGCCTATTGTATCTACAGATTAATTATCAACATCGGGTTCCGTATTCATCAATGGGACCTTCGTTATAGCAGTTTGAGCGAGCATCTATACGTAAGCTTCCAGCAAGACCTTCTAGACTAACTGGCGTTACTAAAGTAGATCAGGTCATGCATCTATGTATCAACCTTTATTCCGCTCACTTACTGGTTACGAAAACAGCCATCCTCCTGGAATGGATTCATATATTTGTCCCGGATGGCCATCGCAGCCCCTTCTATTGGGCCTGCTGCTGCCTTATTTGGGCCAACATCATTTTCTATGGCTCTGTGATTATAGTAGCTAATCTTGTGTGCATTCCCATGCAACGAATCTGGGATAAGACGGTTGATGGGAAATGCAATGGCGATGAGAAATTCCTTAATATTCTCTCCGCCTCGCTCAATTTGGTCTTTGATATTTCTATTCTGGTCCTCCCGCAGCACGTTATTTGGAAACTTCATATGCCGAAGACGAAGAAAATGGGTGTTTCGGTCGTTTTTGCTATTGGCATCTTGTAAGATGAGTCGTTTCTATTCATGAATTCTGTCGTATGAAGTACCTACTGAGCCTAAAATAGAGCTATTATTGCCTCTTGCTTCCGGGTTACAAATTCTATACAGTACCGCTCAGGGGACGCGACATATGTCTCTTCTGAATTAGTAATATGGTCACTGGTCGAGATGACATGTTCATTCTTGGTTTTTTGTGTGCCTATTATTCCTGGAATATGGAATGGTTCCTACACCCGAGATCTAACAGTAATGAGAATGTGGTGCAATAGATCTGTATTATCAACTTACCCCTTACATCACCCCCTACATCGGTTTCCACGAACACGTATCAACGGAGCCTTGAGCAGGTGCCGGGGTTATTGGAAGATTAACAAGATTCTCTCATTTTCCAGAGATAGCAAGTACGAAGAAAACACGGATCGCGAGTGGCCGCTGGATCAATTTCAAGGAATTGTATGCACAAGAGAAATTATAAGTACGATTGAGGATGCTTCAAGCTATAATATAGAGACGGATGGGCGGAGTGGATCTTGTCCATGGACTGAACCAATTTAGAAACCCAAACTTAGGTAGTTGCCCATGAATCAAATCAGCAGATACCTGCGTAATCCGATACTCCTTTCTATTCGTATAGTTTTTGAATAGGCTCTTCATTTATACTAGATCTATGTTCATTAGATACGAGCCTACTCCGTAATACCGTTACCTCCATGGAGAATGTCGGATCGGCAGCGATAGATACCTACATATGAAAATAGCTTTATATAGAAGTTAAGTAAGCTTAATGAACGGTAGAATAGCTATTGTTTACCCGTAGTGACAGCTAAGTTAGGTACTACAAGCTCGATCTAAACCCTAGTCTGTAAGTTGTTAACGTACCCTCTTTCAAAGTATCTATACATTTACATGACCATTTATATGACTCCTCAAAGATTTTATTCAATGCCTTAGGTAAGAATGATAAAAGTAAAATCAAAATCAGACTATGTAAAGTCCCTTTTATTGCCAACAATACTCTGTGAGATTGTGTATTACTGTAAGTTGGATCAAAGGCGCTTAGTCACTCAATAAAAAGAACTGTTTTAGTTCTAATGGGCAAGTGCGCTAAATTTAGCGTACAGAGGCTTTTTTGATTGGTTGCCTAGAAAAGAATTCTGCCGCCTATGACTGATTGTACAATTTGGACACCGCCTAAGAAGGTCCATAAATATCCAGTGTCCCTCTCCACTTCTAATTCTTCTCTTTTTCTTTTCTTCTTCATACTTACCTTGGAAGAAGAATCCTCGCTCAAGAATAAGGACTCTTAAGAGGGGAGACCTGCATTGCACATCGCGGAGTCGATCCTCTTCTATTATCCTTCGTGGATCGTAGTTTCCGCAATTTTTGCTTTTCCAATCGTTTTTCATTATGATCGATGCCTTGAGCACCGCCATGAAGAAGATGCGATGTTACCTCTTGAGAAGGAATAATTGGAGCTGAGGGATTAGACCCATAATTGAAGCTGCATTAGATACTACCTATATATTGTGGCTATGCTCTGGGAACGCGTTCTACTAGTAATGGAAGTAAATCACGATCGAACAGGCCTCCAAAGGTTATAAATTTATCTGCCTAAAGTAACAAAACACGCAGGCTACAATATTAGGCCAATTCGTAGATTTTCATAGGTGACGTGTTTCCTATTGCTTAGCTAGAGACATGCTCTAAATATTTCCTAATACATAAATTGCCGTCATGTAACGGGAGCTGAAAAGACGCGTAATTCGATGGCGAAGAGGATTACTCTAAGCATCTCCACGTAATTTAGAATGACAACTTGTTAGTCACGTACATATGAAGGCAAAATAAAATCTGCAGGTTGCAAAGACAAGGAACTTACATAACTTATATACACTTTAAATGCATATACACATTATATACCTGTTATATGTATAACTGCATGTATCCAAATATCAAGGTCCTGTGATTGGCCTCTGAACCAGTAAAGATTCACGCTGCCGCCGTTTCTTTCCCTGTTAGCTTCAGGCGCGCAAACTTCAGCCTCATAAACATTTCCGAATCTATGACCGAAAACTTTAATTATACTTGTCCGCCTCACTCGGTTTCAGCTCAGATTAAATAATCGGACATTGCCTTACGTCTTACCTACCTAGGACCTAGGTACCTAACCTATCCATCCTGAAATGGGTTACGACAAGTCTCCCCCAGGCGAGCGAGGAGCCTCACAAAGCGATGGCGACGGTGATTACGAACGCGACAGGCGGAGCCGAACTAGCCACCACGGCGATTCCCACCGACGCGAAAAACGAAGAAGGGATAGGTCTCGTGATAAATCCAGAAGTACAAGACGCCACCGACGTTCCAGGTCTCCCGATGATGCGCCTCGCCGTAGATCGACCTCTCCGGACCGTGACCGCGGTAGAGAAGGCGAACGTAGGCGACGAAGGTCACGCGATTACGATAGGCATAATGAAGGTTCACACCGCACTCGGGCGCGGGACAATGACTACAATCACCGAGACAGAGGTGCCAAGCAAATAGTGAAGCAAAGCGGTCCATTACCTTCCCAGGCTGATTCTTTCGCTGTTACGCAAGGCGAGGAGCCACCAAAACCGAAGGAGAAGCCCAACTTTGGGAACACAGGCGCATTGGCTGCTGCTTCAAACTCTATCACTCAATCTGACGGCTCCAAGATAGTGCTCAAGTACCATGAACCGCCCGAAGCCCGCAAGGCCTCTCCGAAGGACCAATGGAAATTATTTATCTTCAAGGGTGAAGATATCGTCGATACAGTCCCTCTCGGAAATCGTAGCTGCTGGTTAGTTGGTAGGGAGTTAACGGTTGTTGATCTACCTGCTGAGCACCCGAGCATCAGCAAACAGCATGCTGTCATACAGTTCCGCTACATTGAAAAGCGCAACGAATACGGCGACAAGATTGGCAAGGTAAAGCCTTACTTAATCGACCTGCAGAGCGCCAACGGAACTATGCTCAACGGAAAGAAGGTGCCCGAAAGCAGATATCTCGAACTCAGAGAGAAAGATATGATCCAGTTCGGTCAGAGCACACGGGAATATGTTCTAATGCTTGCTCCAAAGGACTAAATCTTAGGAATCCCAACAAAGAGCACAGCCTCGCGTGCCAATTCAGTGTGGGATATCATTGTTACGCTACACTGTGTGACTGTTGCCTGAGTCCCTCGACCGGGGCGCACGATGATGTAGGCAATCGCAGAATCTTCCTCGAACAGCCGCGCTTAGAAATCAGGAAATGAACATCTAGTAGATTTTCTTTTTGATCATATCTCCGCCTTCGGAGGAATGCTAGAATGGGTTTCTGTAGCCATCCGGAGTCGCCTTGACTTTCTCGGGGAAGATCAAGGAGGCTATCGTCGGTAGGAGTTAGTGAGGCAGTACCCCTTTATTGATGTTACACACCACATCCGCCCCTGTCTAAGTTGTTCAGTCTTATCACTCGTTAACCGAGTTTACGAGATGGTTGTTTAAGTTGAAATTTTTTTAAACAATCACGGGACAGTTTCATCATGCGGGTGACGGCCCTAGGATAGCATATTGTGAGGTATAGAAGTGATATTTCATAGTGATACCTCACTTCGAAAAGCGTTATGTCTCGGAACTCAGGGACCAACAGCTTATGCCGATAAATCGGCTGTGTCCCCAACTGGTAAAGCATGAGGGTGCCTGGCAGGTGGGACCGTGACGGACAAATGATGGTGGTGATGATCGATTGGCCCTATTCTAACCGCCGCGTTGCCCAACATAGACCCTTCTACATAGTCCCTTACATGATAGCTGGTAGAATTACAACCGCATACGAGCACTAGTGAAACTAACCATGTTCCACAGGATAGAGAATAGCCATAATAAAGATTTCAGCGGAGCGATCCCCGTGTAGCGGCCAGACCGCCAGATATTACAACCTCATGATACTCCCCATGTGAAACTCGTCGTATTACATGTGAAAGAAAAATATAACTTCAACCAAATTTTTTTAATCATATTAGAAACCCACCAGTCGCGTAATTAATTCCGTGATCGCGATCTAGTGCCCAGGCACACTAGAATACTTACTGGAGGGCGACCCAGGGGACGTAAGGCAAGTTGCCGTCTGCCACTCATGCAGCGTACCGTATGTACTTTGAACTAAATGCCTTTTCTTGTGTAAGTAGACTATTCGGGCGAGCGATGGAACCCGAGACAACCCTATGGGATTCATAATCAATTTTTGTTTCTAGACACAACACTTTAAGTCCGAATGTAGAGATGTTGCCCTTTTAAAATGTCTATATTTGGTGTAAATAGTAATTTAATAGCCAAGTTTGGTAGTTGACTAATACTCCGAGTTTAAATATTTGATTTTAATATGCGGATGAGAGTTTAGAATAAAACTAGTACCTAACCTAGTAGTTAGGACAGATACTTGTAAAAAAGTGCTAACGATCCCGCTGAGAGGTAATTCGCTAACCTAAGCTTATTAGTGCGAATAGTTATGTCTATAATAAAGTTTAAGCTTTTAATTCGAGCGCCGTACTGGTGGGACATCTGCACGATTATCGGTTGTCAATTTGTTCGATTGTCGTACATGTATTTTAATAAGCAACATCAGATAGGAGGAACCGTTATTCAAACAAAGTTGGTTCCTTCTACCAACATGACTGTGACGAAGGCGATTTATCCATCCAATCAACTGTTTCACCGGCCGATGTCTCGGATCTCGTTGACTCGGCCAAACGATAAATACGATCTAATTGACGTCAACTGCTTAACATCAGATTTAATATTGTAGGGCTTCTTAGGTTGTTTGCATATGTCTGTACCTAGGTATTTTTTATATGAATCTTCCTCGTTACAGCCTATCTACCTCTTAGCATCCCACTTAAGCAGGTACGCATTACTCTATTCTTACAAAACATGGAAGTGCCGAATTGTGACGCCTTCTTAGTGCATATCCTTCCCCCATGGCCCCCCCGCCAGTGGCTTCCCCCCAGATCATGACCCCTGCTTACCTATATGCGGCCCACCCGTCTTACTGCATACTTTAGCTTATTCTAGTTTAATATAGCGGTTACAGGTACCTTTACAAGGCAACTCGTCGCAACTTCGATCAAGGATAAAGTTACCTAACATTTAACCAGGTAGTTATTACCTACCTCACTACATACCTGCCTACCTGTTAAAAAAGATGTATGGGTGGTGTGGGGAAATACTTAACCTAGAGTATGACTAAACTAAAATATTGCTGAGCCTCAGACTGAGGACACCCATAAACTAACTTATCCATATACACCGAACAGCTGACGAAACTAGAAACAAGGCCCCGTGATGCTACATCCTGCTACCTCCTGCTACATCTTTTTTTCTTTCCTTCAACTTTGTACACCCTCTATTTCCTAGTGTCTCTCTACGATGTGACCTGTTCTACCAACTTTCAAATTCCGCCTCGACCGAATCTTAGCACTGTTCAATCATCCGACCTTCTCAACTTTAAGCAGGGCAACGTCGTGTTAATAGCACATGGAATAGCACATGGAGAGAAACTTGACCGTATGGGGTCTGTCTTGTAGACACTGGTCAGGCTGTACCCGAAATATACTTGCCCGTCTACCTTTTCTTCTATGACTCTTTAAAGTATACCGTATATATCCCCCCGGCTCTAATGATTTCTTGTATTCCGTGCTCAGTACTGTCATTATTGACGACTGATGTCATGCGCGACGTTGATCGCAGTGAAATCTGACCCTCCTTTATAAGTAGAGAAGCACGTCTTCCAGTTACGGATCTTACACATACACCCACTCATCACGAAAAAGGTAATAATATTGGCTTGAGTCCTCATCTTGCCTGCAAGCAAGCATGGTATGTTTAAACCTTTTCCTCTCTTTTTAATCCCTTGGCTTGAAATGTACCTGAGCGCATCTGGGGTTTGGTATATTGTCCCAACCGTTCTTCGTAGACCTGCCATCCTTCACTCTAGAGTCCTATTATGGTAATCGCTTGTATTTGGCGATGCTTCCTGATACGACTTCTAGGAGTATACCAAATCCTCAGGACTCGGACGGCCTCGTTCCTATCTACAATTATGAATGTTTTGCTAATCCCAGATTCCCAACAGGGCTCGATCAATAAACAAATCTCGCGGTACGAGACGACGGCAGTTTATACCCATCCCGACGCTAAGGTCGATATTGTTCTCGTCCACGGCCTGAACGGCGATCCGCACAAGACTTGGACGGCCAAGAATGACGTCTTCTGGCCTACCGACTTGCTACCGACTTCTCTGAGGGATGCCCGCGCGAATATCCTCGTGTACGGTTATAATGCTGATGTATACTCGAAGAAGCATGGGGCGAACCCAAGTGATAACTTCATTTACATGCATGCGCAAACCTTAGTAACGTCACTCACACACTATCGAAAAGATGAGCAAACATCTCATAATCCCATCATCTGGGTGTGTCACAGTTTGGGCGGAATCTTGGTGAAGCGTGCGCTCTTGTATTCGAACGACCTAAGATCTTCGCAGCATGAAGATTACAGATCGATATATGTAGCTACGTATGGTCTCATCTTCCTCGGTACACCGCATACAGGTTCGGATTTAGCGACATGGGGTACGATGTTACAGGCAATGTCGGACGCTGTAGTCCCAAGAACCTTCTTCCAATCGGAGTCGGTTCTTCTCAGAACCTTGAAGAGGGACAATGAAACTCTACAAAATATCAATATTCATTTTCTCGATATCTATCAGCGATTTAAGATTCTTATGGCACACGAGAATCATAAGTCAGATCTAAAGGGAACCAGGATGCTAATAGTTGACGCTCATTCCGCTAGTCCCCAACTTCCGGGCGTGACGTATTTCTCTATCGAGGCAACTCACTCCGGAATGTGCAAATTTGATAGCAGAAATGCACCGGGTTATAGAACTATAGCTACTGCCCTTAGAGATTGGGTTGCTGATGCACCGGACGTCATCGCCACACGGTGGAGGGTGGAGGAGGACGAGAAGTTGGCAAGGGCTAAACATGAAATAGAAGAGAGAATGAAGCCATGGGTATGTTGCCCCCCAAAGCCAATCACTAATTACAGTAAAATCATTTCTGACCTCGACTAGCTTGACTCACAGCGTTTTCAACAGGCTGGTCAAGGATCAAGTAGGTTACCAGCACTACCCTTTTTAGAAAATAGTTCAGACCGGTATCATGATCGGTATTTGGGAAGCTCATTGTTTGAAGATGTTCAGCTTCCTTTCGAGATTGAGGAGGTTGATGATCATTATTTACGAGAAAGCGTTAGACACCGAAGATCGAGAAGCCGTAGCTGATTGTTATTTCTTCCTGTAGTTCCGCAGCAGCTTAATGAAACATTACCTTCAACCCCAGACCCTTCGAAGATCGATCATCACCCTAGACCGCTTATTACCGGCCCAGTGACGCCCAATCAGCCATCGGAAGAAGATTATTTCCCTTCTCAACAGTCTAAATCTGATGATAACCCCCCTCAAGAGCCCCTATTCGTCAAGCCGACAGTCTTTCGTCCTAATACTTATTTTAAGGGACGGGCCAAAGAATTAAGATTACTCCATAAAATGCTAATGGATCGCAAGAGAAGATCACTCGGAACTTCGTCCGTTCTGATTCAAAGCATGCCTGGCGGTGGTAAGACGCATTTAGCACGACAGTATGTTTTTCAACATAGATACGACTATCCTGGTGGCATCTTTTGGATCAGGGCAAAATCCCTGGAGGAACTAGACTACGGTTTCTGGGACATAGCAAAAACGGTAGGATTAAACGAGATGAGGCTTCTAGACAGGAGTGGACTTATTGATACCCACAAGATGGTTAAGGCTGTTCATACATGGTTGAGCGCTAATGATAACTGGCTACTTATCTTAGATGGCATCCACTTCGACCTTGTAGGCCTTCAAGATTATATCCCCTTCACAAGAAATACCGGTATCATCTACACATCAACAGAGCGAACAACGGGCGAAGAATACCAATTTGATAATCCTCAAGTCATTGCGCTGGACGCACTGACGAAGCAAGAAGCCCAGGAGTTACTCTTCGAGGAGATGGGCAAAAGGCAGCCATATACACAAGATGACTTAAGACGTGCGGAGGAGCTGGTCGAACTAATGGATCGTTTACCTCTCATGATCCACGTCGCAGCACTACAGCTAAAGGCTACTAGAGAGCCGCTTGCGAAATATCTAAGATCGTTCCGAAGTCGCCCGAAGGTCGGTAATCTCCTTGCGTATCGGGCGGTCCGTGAGCAGCTCGAGCACAGAGGCGCTACCGCTGCGCTAAACTTAATGTCTCTACTATCTTTCTTCGGCACGCATATTCCTGTCGAGATGATAGTATTAGGTATGTAGTCATGATTTTCCTAGGTCGAGTTGCTCCCTACTAACTATCGTTCTAGGTGCAAAGGCGCTAGACAAGAGAACGCCGGTTAAAACCGCAGATCCTGAAACTCGGAGGTCTTCATTAAATAACACATTCAAGATACTAATTGCATTCGCTCTTGTTGAAAGGAATGAGAACACCGAAGCCTCTTCAGCTAGCTCACATAGTACCCGTAGTGTCGATATGGGCCAAGACAGTCTCGACATACTAAGAGTTCACGGAATTGTTCAGGCGTTTTTCATCGATGCGCTTGCAGAAGAGAAACAAGCGCCGTTTTGGTTGGAACGAGCAATATGTATCTTCTGTAAAGCATTCGATGCGAGCGACCGTCGGGCCACTGACGACCCCCAGACAGGTGTGCCTGAAGACTTCCGAAGGCTTCGGATCCACGGCGAACGATTACTAGCTCACATCAGCCGGTTTGAGAAAAGGCATCCCGATCTCACGCAGTGCCGAGAATTTGTCGAATCGCGTTTAAGCACCATCGATACGCGAATAGATGAGCTTACTAAACGGATCACAGACGCTTCTAGTCAGGGTTCCGAACCTATAGTCGTTTCCGTATTTGAGCGGACTAACAGCTTATCTGAGGAAGACTCGTTAACGCCTCCAAGCAACAATAGTATAGTCGAGCCTTACATCTTATATGATGAGAACTCGCCGTTGTCACCATTAGAATCTCCAGCGATCTACAGCGCCACCGACTACAACCCTTATCATTGGCATGTCACTTACCCACACGGAGTACCATACGACGATGTAGACCATTCAAGGACAGTAACGCCACAGCCAGCGCCAACAGAAGTTTTTGAGTCGATGTCTATGCCGGACGATGATGAAGTCACACGTAAGGTCTTTGGTCCCCATCATCGAACTATCAAAAGGCACGCTGAGCGGCGATATCGTGACCACGCTGGCTCTTGGAGAGCCGCTTCTCAGATACTAAGTGATCCACGTGTCAGCATCAGTCGCGAGACAGCGAAAGGCATCATAAACGCAACAGCAATTCAACCGACTTCTAGACCACGCTCCTCTACAGATAGCATTTCGTCGGATGCCACCAAAGCTCAATTAACTCTCGATCGCATTAATAGGGGATCGCCTTCATCGCAACAGAGAAGCGCCGAAGACAACATTGAATCAGTTAGTGATATATTTTCGGTTGCGCGTCCAAGGCTGATAGCTGGAAAGCCATCGTACGCCGACGCCAAAGCTGAGGCCGCAGTCGATGACGATTATCCCGTGTCCGTAACGTTCTCAAGTCCAGCTCCGTCGCCAAACAATGCCGCCACCTCAATCTTGAAACGAAGAGAGAATGATCGTTCTGTATCGCTCGACGGACTTGCTCCGGTCAAAATCTCTAGTCCTTTAGCCGCAACTCCACTCACTATCACATCGCCGTCAGTACCAAACCCTCCGGTCACACAGACAACTTCGTTGCCAGAAGGTGACAAGGCGACTCGCGTGCCGAAACCATCTTCGCGACCGCCCTCAAGACCTCCCTCGACGTCACCTTCACATTCTCCCTCACTGCGAGCTTCAAGGCCACCCTCGGCGGTTTTATCAAGGTCTACACGATCCAGTCCATCCCATCCTACAGGCCCCTTTGCCCCGCCACCAATTCCAATCGAAGTCAACTCCAGCAGCAGCCTACGCTCGCCACCTGCTCCTAATTTTCGTCAATGGGACTCCTCTACTCGACTCCCCCAACGTTCTATCGTTGAAGATGATGAGTATTCACACTTATCTCAGTCATTCCCCTCAATCCGAACTCCTCCAACCCTACCATATCCTCATACGGTGCACAATCCACCGGAGGGGTTTCCCGCATCGGAACATCCACCACCATGGGTAGCATCGGCCATGTCCCCCAATTTACACCCTCAAGGCTATTCTAGTCAACCAATGTCGCGCGATCCGAGCCACCAGTCTAGCCACAGCCACGGCTCGAGTAATTCTCTGAATCATACCACTTCTCCATTAGCGCATAGCTCATCGCTAGAATCTCAAGTAATGCAGAGACCTCGTTCGCGCCGCCCAAGCGTAGTAGAGACAGAACCCAGCCCGCGATTAGATGGTCTCGAGCTCGAACCCGTGGTTACTAGCTACTCGCTTTACAGCGAATCGGCTCGTGGTCGTAAACGCACCGCGTCGGGAGGATTGTCTCATTCCTCGAATTCTCCAAGTTTGCTCTCGCGATTCAAGCCGAAGAGGAGGGGAAGCGACAGCCGTCGTCATAGGTCGGCAAGTGGCCGACTAAGTAGTTTAACTAGGATCTCTAGGATCAGTCTAAGTCCGGAACTAGACTCACCTAAAGATGCTGAGCCAATGTCGCGGTCTGGTTCAGGTGGGATCCGACTGGCAGACGGTAGGGTTGTGGAGTTTGGGTCACCGCAACAAGGGGGTGAGACGTCGTCTACTCCCACAACGAGCAGCGCCAGGGCTAATGCTGGTAACGGCAACGGCAATAGCCCGCCCATATTCTCGAGCCCTTCCCGGACATTGTCCAGATTTAGCCCTCATAGACTGAGTAGAAGAGGTAGGAAAGGAAACTTGAAGGAAACAGCCACCGCTTCCGACGTTGGGCTGGGGATCCTGCAGCAGCAAAGACAATCGCCGTGATTTCTCGAGAGCAAGCAGCTCTGTATATACTATATCAAGCTGGGAGCGAGGGATATTGTTTTCGTTTGCTTACCACCGGAACTAGACTGTACATACACAGACATTTGCATAAGCATGGGGACGTCATGCATATTTGGCTTGGAAAAAGAACCCAAAAAAAAAACACATACCGAAACAAACTGCATATCTAGGGTTTTCTTATATAGCATTATAGTGGTCGAGCGTTGGGAGATTTGGAGGTAGTGGAAAGACTGATACCAGAATGGAACTTTGGGGAGAATGGCCGTCAGCTTTCTAAATGTTGGGAGATGTGTACGATATATGCTGTTATATTAGATAGCTAAGTATTGAGCATGGGTAAAATATACGGTGTCCCATACAGAATACGACCGAGTCGTGTACATGAATGAGGGAACTTGTGAGATTAACTGTCGTAACGCAAGATTATACCGGTTGGTAGGTGTGATATAACGATACGAAGTATACTATGTCGACATTAAGACTAACGGGTAGAAATGGTAGGCGACTAAACAGAACTAAACTATAAACTCGTACCTAAAGTTGTAACCCTTACGCGCAGTCGCTACACCCAAAAAGGCACATTTAAGCCTTACCTTATTTATACAAGGTCTAGCCTTGTTCACCTAAGGATTAGCACCCCATCCCAAGTTAGAAGCGAGACTACGGACACTAACATTAATGAAACTTCAACTAATTCACTTAACATGTCACTAAAACTCTTACGCTACTTCTAAACCATCAGGAACGGGGCATTTGTCAAACAAGCTAAAGATTACCTAGGTAGTCTTGTATATGGGGAGGGTGTGTTATTAAACATCGCGGGGCGGAGGGGTGGTAAGAAGAGGGTAAATTAAGAATGGCTTCTATACATGATTTCAATAACCACAACGGCAGTTTAGTCCACGCAAGATCACTTAGCTAGCAGCACCTCAAAAGCAGCTATGTAAATTAGAACACTTACCCCGGAAATCCACATAAGCAAACCTCACTACCAACCCACTACTAATTCATCTCACGCTACTTATTAAACATATTTCACAAAAAGAATAGTTAGACCGAACAGGTACTTTCGGTGGCCAATCCAAAGTATCAGACAAAGCAGTCACGTAAGTCATCACTTGATGACTAACCACCTATATAGCAACAATACTCAGAACAATTGCAAGGTTCTCAAGAGAAGCCCTCAATCATTCCATCCCCAAAGATAGCCCACGTATGAAATATAATATGTACCGACGATCCCGTCTCCCACCCCCATCTCAGCCCCCCGTTTTCGCGTATCGCGTAGAACAGATAGCAGGGCCGTCTAAAGGCGGGAGGGCAAACGGTCAATTCGCATAGAAATCCGAACCAACCCCAAGCCCCCTCCCAAATGTTCCCTCCTGGAACCGTCGGCGCGCGCCACGTGTAAAAAGATAATGACGCTTGGGACACTGGAGCAGTGTCCCGTTCAATGTACCGCATGGATTACAGAGCTTCAAGGAAGGTTCTCGCCTTGTGCTCCACCTTGCCGCGCGGAAAAGAAAGGGGATTTGATGAATGAAAGAAAAAAATATGAGGATCTGTCAAGTCAGAACTATTGACAATGTAATATGGAGTAGGGACAAAGAAAGATGACAGAGACAAGAGACGAGGGACTTTTAAAATCTAGATCACGTTTAGCAAATTCCTCATAGATGAAACATGACGATATGATAGGGTCCTTGAGTAATGCTCCCAATTACTACCTTCCATGATGAATGTCATTCCTAAACTCCCGAGCATCAGCGGGGGGTATCGTACATCATATCTAAACCCAACCCTCTTTCGGTAGTACCAGTGCAGGACGCGTTAGTCGATATGGAATGTTTGGACTTATGAGTCGAAGATAACCTTCTTACGGCCTCGGCCTCGTCCGTTATCAAGAGCATCCAATTCGCGGTCGATTTCCATTATATCCAGCATTTCTACCTCGACATCTCTTTCGTCTTCTAGTTCCTGTTGCTCGACGTCGGCCGCAGCACTCAAGCTGTCCGCAAAGGCGAATCCACCTCTCGGTCTCGTTGGCAATTGTAAAGATCTATGCTCCGCTTGGCCTTGCGCCGTAGTATCGTTCGAAGGCGATTCACCAAATAGACCCTCCATTCCAAGTTTCGAGAGCTTTCTTTTAGGACCGACAGAGAGATTGTAAGTAACACTACCCAGCTGCTGTGGTCGAGGATAGACAACGATGGCGCTATTCTCCTTTACGCGGTCGCTTGGTCTCTTCCGACGACCGATGACTCCGCCAATCTTAGTGCCGACAACCGTCTCGCTCTCCCTAACAATCACAATCCTTCCCTCACCACATACTAATAATTCGACAGGCAAGCCTTCGTTTCCAGATAGGCTTGCGCTGCCGTTCTCAACAAAGCGAACAATGGCACCAACACCGGTGCAGCGTTCACCCATTAGTCCAACGCTCAAATCATTTAATCGCACCATACGGGTTGGTTGCGCTCCACTAAAGAGGTTGACGCCACCGCCAGGACCCTTGCGAATTTGTGCATCCCAGAACTTAAGAACACCGGGTATGACAAAAATGTGTTCAGCACCTCCGATCCATAAGGCAACGCTCTCGTCAGCTGTCGTAGATGTACTGGCTGGTAGTGGCGTCACCGCGATGCCTCCCCTAACTGGTGCAAAACGCTCGGGCCCGTGGGAAATTGTGAGGGCGTCACGTCTAGAGTGAGGAGTCATAGGTACGAAATCAGAACTGCCGCTCGAACCCCGTTGGGAGGCAGGGTTTCGTAGAGGGCTTGTACCTTCAACATATCCAGAGACGTTGAATTCCGTTAATGCGTCACCGCGGATACCAGACCCAGGCTTGCCAAACAGGGCAGGTCCTTGGGGGGAAACACCATCGATATCCCAAATGCCCCATTGACCATCCGCAAGGAGAACGAGAATAGCACGACCATGGGCAATCCACGAAGCCGCAAGTATCGGTTTCCGCGACGAAGAGGGTCGGGCAAAAGGCGGATAGAACGAAATGAGCCAAGAGCCTTGCGAAGGGAATGGTCCCTCAGATAGATCGTCAGGAGGCATCGAAGCAAGCGCATAGTCGTATATCCTAACGGCCTCAGGGGACGCATTGCATAGAAGTTGGGTTGAGTGAGTAGGGTTAAAGGAGATAGAAGTAAGGGGCTTAGGTAGGAACTCGGTTTGGAACGGCTCGATCCGTCGACCTGTTTTAGATGAATCCTCTAGGGGCACATCCCATAGTCGTAGAGCGCCAGTAGCCTCGGGAGAGTGAGCGGCTACTACGACGCGAGGTAGCGCACTAGACTCGGAACGCGATCGTTCGCTCGACTTGCTACGTTCTGATACGGTCTTTGGCCTAACGAGCGTCATCGCTAAGGAATCACTGCCCTTTATTTGACCAGCTAGCAGTGTCATAGTCTCGCCCCATTTACCATTACCAGCTTTTCCAGCTAGGAGAGTCTCTTGTAGCTCAGCCCGGGCTTTGCTTAGGGGAGAGGGTGGAACAAGGGGCAAGGTAATGAGGAAGACTTCGCGGGTCGCACACGAGGCAGCGAACACTATCCTATCCTTCAACATATCCGTACCTCCCCATGAAGCATCGTCTGCTGTGCAAGGTGTTAAGGGCAATGCCGCAAGATGAAAGACGGCAGTACCGAATTCAAGGTCCAGGGTTTGAATGATTTCGGGGTATGGCGCGTCTTCGTCGAGGGATTCTTCGAACTGCGGTGCATCAACGAACAATACTCCTTTGCCAGCGGGCGCAGTATCTTCATCGTCAGAATCAATGATCATAACAGCATCTGCAGGGGGTTTGCCATTCTGCTTAGTTGCAGGGCCGCGCTCAGCTTCCTTAGACACTTCGGGTTTAAATCGCCGTCCTCCACGCCATACTATTGTAATCCCACTCTCGTGGCCATATATTAAGATAGTCGCGCCCTGGGGGGAGAGAACAGGGTAAGTCTGGACAGCATGGATGCGACGAGTAAGGGTATACCTAAGAAGCTAAGGTTAGACAGAGAGAGTGATGTGGGCCTTATATGAGAGATATACGTATACTGAGTATTTTGCGCAGTCCGGCGGACACGAGGCACTGTGGTCGGGGCCATGATGATGGAGAACAGAGCTTCAGATGTAACTGTTTCTAAAGAGTTCAAGTTTGTTGAGAGACAGGACAACAGGGAACCGGATATTTCAGTAGGCCCAGGTTCATACCCACCTATAATTTCATCACGTCATAAGGGATCTTCAATTAAGCACAAGACGTGGTATAAAATTAAGGTATGTAGATAAACAGAAGTTGTCAAGACGATTGCGGTTGTTGGAATTGAAGTCGCGATTTAGAGAATTGACTAACGCGACGAAGCTATGGCCAACTTAAAAAACTCGGGACCACGTGACTTTTAGCTATACTGACTAAGCTGGTTCCATACAAATGTACCCCATTGAATACATCTTGAAGTAAGTAGCACTTGCCCGAGCATCACATACCGGTAGCAACTTCATATATATAAACAAAGGCGCATTTAGGAAGTACATATAGTCATATGTGAACCTCCACATCAAGTCTAGTAAGAAATCTTAAAGTCAATTATATAAACTAGAACACATAAAAGAGTCCATAATTACCTCATAACTATACACATATTCGAACTAGTTTTTAAATTTCAAAACACATTCAAATAAGAAATCCACAACCCGTCGATACGTCATTACCGTATAACTGCAGATATACCAGGCCTAAAAAATGAATATATCCCAAATATAGTATAACACTCAGCGACCAAGCGGTTAAAACAACCCCGTCATACTATACTCTATCCTACCATGCCACCATTCTGCCGACACAAAAAAACACAATAGACCCATGAGCAAGAAGACGATCCCCTTCCAGATATTCATTCGCCCGGTTTCAGAATTGACGATCTCCGGCGTCATTCGCGCTTGGCTGAATTGATCGTCATTGCCAGCCGGCTGCCTCAAAAACATACCCAGCGGATACATCGCCAAAAGGCCCATCTGACTTAAACTGGTGATAGCAATTACGTATGACCGGCCAAACCTGGGGTATATGGCGTTTAAAAAACAGATATTGACGATCATCCCAGATTCGACGTAATACTACCAATAACATGACATTCACAAACTCCAATTATATTAGGTACTCACGATACTCTCGGTGTTTCACAAAATCGTATAACCAATCTTGATGAACGTCATTAGAAGAACTCATTAGAAGAATTCATTAGAAAACTTACAAAGTAACATATACAAACAGAACTACAATACACGCGTATATACCAAAGTCCACGAGCAAATGCCTAGTCATTCGGACTATCTGAATAATATACAGCAAAGTCCTCTCAATGATCACTAATGTCTAATCCGCTATCAGAACTCTTCGCGCACAGGGAGGTTACATCCGCTCAAAATCTCCCTAGGCCGCCGCTAGACCTCCGACTTCATGTTTTTTATTAACTATCTCGCGTAGCACAGCACCCAAAATGCATATCGCACGATGACGAATGCAGCCTATCTTCCTTTTGGGCCCGGGCCCTAATAGATCTCGCGAGAAATTCCGAAGTTGATGTCGAACTGCAAATTGTGACACGGCCAGTCAACAACGTGCAAAAAGAAAAAGGAGAGGACGGCGCAGGAAATTTTCGTCGGTAGTAGCAAGGCCGGGAGTATCGCCCTATTGTAACCACCCAATATGTTATTCCTTACACCTCAATACAAATAACGCCAGGGATCGTCTAGTCTGATCGATCATCCAATGACGAATGGCCACCATGAAACGCCGTTGATGCCGATGTGAATAAAAAGTGTTACAAGCGGAAGTCGTTCATCGTGATATCTGCGATGGGTTCAAGCATTGGTAACCTGAAAAATTAATTAGCCTGCGTTACTACTTAGCCGACAGAAATTCATACCCTTAGAATTCTTCGCGAGTAATCTTGGTTGTCAGCGATGCTACCGTCGCTCATTCGTCGGTTCATAACAGGGTCGAGACGAGAGTCGGTCATTGAAACACCACCGCTGCTGCTGGGAGGCTTTCCACCACTAATGAAAGCGTTAACAGCAGCATTCCGTCGGTGTTCTTCTTCAATCTCGGCGTTTCTCTTTCGGCGCAACCAGAAGAAAACTGCACCACCAAAAGCAGTTATCGCAACGACACCAACCACAACGCCAGCTGCAATACCGGCGACATTAGTTCCGGAACCCTTCTCGGGCTCGGTGGGGGCTGTTACGGTCTCGGTGGCATCTGCGATACACATTAGCACAAATTCATGATCTAATGAGGGATGGTGAATAGACACATACCAGAAGTGGTGGCTGGAGCATCTGCGACGCTTGTACTAGTCTTCGATGGAGTTGAAGAGGATGAACTAGAGGCCGGCGCCTCACCAACTGATACCCTCTTTCCGGTGTTGTAAACCGTGTAAGTGTCAAGACCACCGCCTATTGCCAAGTTAGTGTCGTACTTAATACAAGATCATTAAAATATATTACATACATGCTTGCGAGCCAAAACCGGGACATGGTTCGGTGCATTGAGCATCGTCAACTAAGTCGCCTTTGTTAGGATATTCGTCACCGCAGTAACAGTCTTCTGTGTTAGTAGCAGCCACGAGGCTACCCTTGTCGCGACATAGGGTCGTGCATGCACCCTGCGAGTTGAATTTGATTGATTGCTCAAGCTTCAATGTTCCTAATGATTTATAACATCCGTGGACGGTATCTGTCCCCGGTATTGGGGATGTTGCCGGCGACTGCAAGTTCTTCGCATTGGCAAGAGGACCTAGGGCTAGGATAGCCGCAACGGCAAATTGACGAAATGACATGATGTCGAAAATTATAAATGCCGATGTTAAGTTGCCAAAATCTGAATTCTCTCAACCCGATCAACGACTAGAGAGGATAGAAATCTAATGTAGGTTGGATTCAATCTCCTCTAGGGAGGGGGGGCCGATAATGTCCTTGTCGTATTTCGTACTGTAATCTCGATATTCGTGGGTTAATACTTGGATACGAGTCTGGATCGTAAATAAATCGTCCAGATCATGTAGATGGAGGCAGCGAATCTTTTGATAACAGTATTCGTAGAGGTGACGTCGGTTGTAATTGATTCCTACGTTGTCCCTTTGTGGTCTTTCGGCGGCGGAAACACCAATGAACAAGTGAAAGGAAGATATAAAACAATGGCCGACTAAATCAATAGTTTTCGTTAGGATCCCTTATTAAGTATCGTGTTAATCAATTCCCTTTGAAGAGACCTTGGGAAGTTTGATGAAATGCTGAATGATCAGGAACAAAGTATCTGTTCTCGGGATAACGGACGTGTATTCGGCAGTGTACCAGAGTCGAAGAAGGCGAAGGGAATTGTCGTGTAGTAGTTCTACTCACCCTCTTTTCTTTATTGGTTGAAGAGGTCAATGTCACGATGACCTGGTGAAAAGGACCTACGACGGTGCGGTGTAAAGGTGAGGGAAGGGAACAAAAAACGACGAATTCAGAAGATGAGAAATGAGAGACACGTCGAGATCGGACGAGGAAACGAGTGGACTGACTGACTGGCCTGAGTAACTTAGGGAGTGTGGGAATGGGGGTTGTTTTTGCTTTAGAGAGGCAGGTCGGGGGGTGTAGGGTCGGAAAGGGAGAGAGGGAGGAGGGAGAAAGACACGAGGATGCAGAGGTGAGTTTGTGAGAAACAGAAGCTAAGAACCCAGAACGGGATAGACCCCAGTCACAGAGGAACCAAACCCCACTTTAACGTAGGTACATCCGTTATGTATATATGGTTAATCAGGTTAATGTATTTAAAAATATGTACGTACCTGATTATGTGGTACTTGCACTGGGGGAACTTAATAGCTTGACTGGCTGATGACTGGTTAGGTACCTAAATGGTTACATGCAGTGTGGCCAGGTGTGGTAGCAATCGCGCGGTCTTTAGAAAAAAAAAGCTGGCAGGCGGCCAGCAGGTCTCGGTGGGTGGTGGGTTATGTACAGTGGAACATAACTTGGAAAAGACGGCAGGCTCCTTGCGCTCTTTACTAAAAAGAGAATATGAAGCGAGAGGATGGGAAATTACATCGGACAAGGGGGGAAATTTGTCCAAGTAAATACGCTGTAGCACCGTGCTTAATAGTTACAATTACACAGTGTCATATTTTTAATCCACTGCTTACGTGCTCCAAGTTACACAATTACCTTCAATTTTATCCCTTCTTTTTATCCTGTAAATAGGTAACTTTTGATTTTTCAACCCTTCATCTTTTAAACTTCCATTATCTATCATTAACTACCTCTAAGTTTCGTCTTTTTGTTTGCCTGTTTAGCTAATCAATTGATGGACTATTTCCCCTACTTATCCGCTTTTCCCATTGGACTTCTCACTTCTCCAGACCCCTTGCAGTAGTGTTAAGCCACTCAGCTGTAGTACTTCTTTAGTTACTTTAGTACTTAAGTTGTCACTTAACCCCTGAAACTTTCCCGGGAATATCTCTATACGTATTTCTCCATAGGTTGTGTTTTATTGGTCCGCATAATGATAGAAAAGGAGAAGACTTTACCTTTTATGGGCTTATGAATTATCCGTACCTGTATCGTCTTATACTTATGTCGGGTTTATCCGTTCATAAGCTCCAAACTGTAAGTTGGTTTATTGAAAGTGCGTGGATTTTCCTAGATAAGTTACTGTTCCTGACGCTTACCCTACTTCGCTTAATTGTGTAAGTAGTGTAAGTACCTAGTGTAAGTATATGCGGCGCTACACGTTGTGAAACTCAATTACGCACGTACACGATATGCATCGGTATATCAAGTGCATTAGGTACCTATAGCATAGTTAATACTTGCTGCAGTAAGGTGTTACAAACCTGTTCAAGGTGTTTGCTTCCACAATTGAGCTCCCGTCTCCATCCTCTTTAACAATGTTTCCGATAAGCCTTCGTCACCCATTACTATCTTTTAATAAGATCCAGTATCGCGCGCATTGTTGTTACTTCAATTCGACCAATTCAATAATTAATCTCTACCTTGAATTAACTACAAGTATATCAAAATAAGAATGGTAGCTAGATAATGACGACTCTACGGTATCAATGCTACTTTATTAAGTCTTGATCTACAGATTGACATTGCGACGTAACCTTTCTTTTTTATGCACGCTGCATAGGAAAATGATAAAACACGAGAAGAAAACCTGCCCAAGCAACCCCAAGGCAACCCAAGCAGCCAAGCAAGGCAAAGTAGCAAATTTGCCAAGCTAAACCCGAAACAAGAAACACACAGCAACAGATGGTCAAACCGTTAAGAGTAGGTAACCAGGCGGTCCGGCAACACAAAAGGAACATTATTTCGAATGCTTCCACAGCCAAGCTCTCATTACTCTCGGCACTTCTTACAGACCTGACCTACAGACCTAACTAGCAATTAATTGCTTGCCCGTGCGGTTCCAATAAGAGATTCAAGAGAGAGATTTCAGGTCTTATATCATCCACATACACCCAGATTCGTCAAATCTCGTTATTGTCAGCCTTGATACCTTGTCTCTTTTTTTCCTCGTCCAGAGTCTAGACTTCGGCCCTATGACTTGCATAATGCATGAGTGAGGCTGAACATTTGCATTTGCGCAACATTCTCCATACTTTGAAAATATTTCAACTAGGTACACACCTTATTGTTCCTTTCATTCGTATTTAAGTACATGATGGATCCTAGAATTCGGATACATTGGGTACACTACAGATATCATCAGACCATTCCATACTCACACTATTACAGTAAAGGCTTAAGTTCTTTAATAGTAATGATTCAAATCTAGGTATTCACCAACCCCAGCCTTCAATACTCCTTCGGTCAATCGTCCATCCATTCGGAATCAAACTTATATCTTCGTAACTGGGCTACGTTACTTATCCGTAACAGTAACAAATTGACGAGTTTGCTTAATCAATAGGAACAGAACAGGTCGTTTCACAACAGCATCCTCATTTTTCGCAACATAACCAAATTTGGCATGTCCAACTCCAGAGCTTCTACATCCAGTAAAAACTCGGATCCTAAAATAGGACGGCCACGCATTTAATCCTTTTAAACGCGGGGATTTTCCTATGCCGCAGCGTAGGAGCACTTAACCCAAATCTCAAAGGAATGCTCTAAATCTACATTATCGCGTGCAAAGCAAGTATCTGAGCTAGCCGACATAACACAACGTCAAGCGAACGATGTATGATGAATCCCGTTACTTGTTAGCTAGCCAATTACATGCATTTCATCGCCAGTTGAATCATACCACATTCAATCCTGGAGTATTTTCTGTTCTAAGCCCTGAGTCTTATCGTGGCACGCCAATCATTGCCAAGATCAACTATTCAATCGGGTCAGCCGGTATTCTCATCCTAGGATGGTCTGCATACCGAGGTCGGTAACAAGTCACATATATTTAGCATATTCGGGATTTTATGTACGCCCAACGAAGCGTGCTTTTTTTTTTTTTTCTTAATACGCGTATTTAGTAAAATACTACATAAATGCTTAATAACTACCTGTAGAATAAGCAATTCTGATCTATGAGTTTCGAGTACTTACTACGATAATTGAATTATCACGATTAAGGGTTTTACCAAAACTTTAGGCACATACACAGCTATTCCGCCTGTTATTAAATGCCGGACCAACAGTATAAGTTTTACTAAATTATCATTTGTCTCCTTACTTCATACACTCACACCCTAAGCTTATTTCCTTTTTCTTATAAAAAGCGTATGGGCAGAGTCAAGCGCTAGCCCCTATTTCGTCCCTTACCCCATTGTACGCCCTAAACTCTGAAAATTTCAATAAACCATTAGGTAGGTAGTTATAACAACAACAAAGTGATTGAATGATAAGAAGCTCTTAATAGATCCCAATTTTAATCATCATATCCAAGAGACGTGGAGAGTTTTGGTCAAATATGTGGTGCGCAACAGCTAGCCACAATGACCAATATATCGACCTATTGGTATTACACAATGACTTACCATATCTTACATGAGAATAGAATTACTTATATTCAGTTAGTAGCTATAAGTTTAGCCAATCAACTAACTGGGTAGGTACCTACCTAAGGTAGTTATTTAGAAGTACATACAAGGTACAATCGCATCAAAGGTATAGTTAGACAAGATTCTAAACAATTGATCTAAACAATAAACTTAACTAAACAAAGATATTATCAACATGCATAAATGCAGTAAACTTGGCAACTTAAACAACGAAAACAACTCATCATTTCTTAAATATCCAGATCTATAATATCTGGCGTAGCATCACGGCCTGCTTGCTAAGACTCGGGCGTTACTAACTACCTAACTAACAAATAGTCAGTACGGCACTCTCAGTAGTAGCACAGTCGACCTGAACAGGGTAGTAGCAGGACGTAGACCCGGGAGGGCAGTCGAGAACACACTGGCCCGCGAGCTCGGCATGGCGGTGGTGCGGGAGGAATGGGTCGCCGTCGATGGCCGACAAGTCAAACCACGACCTACCGTTCTGCACGGCCAGCTCGGCTTGGAATACACTCAGGGAACCAGATACATCGGTGCATTTCAAAACGGAGCCAACGTTGTCGTTGTAGGCTGGGAGTGGGGATGTGTAATGCCGGCCGGCGTGTACCTTGACCGACGCGCTGGAGGACCCGTCGTTCTTGGCGGCGGAACACCAGACGTGGAAGTTGCAGTTGTTCTGCACGATGAGGTCGCTTGCTATGACGGCGGGAGCTGTCAGGAGAGCGAGCAGGGTGAGCTTGAGAATGTTGAACATGGCTGCGGTAGATAGGTGAGTTGCAGGATTGCTGGAGAAGCTGTGTATCTGATATTGATGCCCTTCGAAACTGGTTAAGAATAGGGTTTATCCAGGTGAAGTTGCTTTAAGGTGCAAGGTGATGGTTGGTTGGTTGGTTGGCAGGCATTATCATCGAAGCATTGGATGAAATGTATATATAGACGGAGGATATTTTTACGTTAATGGCATTATTTCTATATAGTCACTTAACTTATATCAAGTAACTGATTGTGGGCACTTTGGATCGCAACTACATCGTCGAGGGCTTTACACTATAAGTGTTGATGTGAATCACAAAGGAGGCGTTTGGTCGAAATCCAATAGGCATGCTCGACCGAGATGATGTTACGTTTATTCAGGAGATGTCTATTTGATGGTATATCTCATGTAAATAGTTTCATTTACAAGATATGGTTGATGTTACATTGAATACTCAATCCTTAAGATCGAGCACTGGTCACATACTCTATTGTACTAGCAGCTCCGATATACGAGATACGATTAACAGTCATCTATAAGACGTAGGTAGGTAGTTACATAATACCTAATGATTGAAGAAGTGGATTGATTCACTCTAAATGCGTAAGTGTAAATCTTTCAATTCCATTCTGAGTGAATATTGGATATCCTTATTCTTGGTCAAGTCCTAATCGTCTTAATGAAAGAACGTTTAGGACCGACTTTGACTTGGAAAAAGATATAACAAGTGGAAATGTTCCTTCCGGCTTCTGGTATCTTTATACCCTATACTGGAACACCTCGATTCGAGTAACCAGCCTTGTTAACTCCTAAAAAGCACAAAGAGCAAAAGGCTGTAGCAATTCAACTAGATCCTCATATCCTCCCATCCTCGCATAGTCTAAAGCAGTCGCTCCATATATATCGACTATGTCAGTTTTGACCTTTCTCTGTTTAAGAAGAGCAACAACAACAGACCGGCTACCCCTTAGTGCCGCTAAATGCAACAGTTCTCTGTATTTTTCTATGCGACCCGATGTTGACGTCCACCCCTTTATTAAGCAACTGAAGTGCTGCGAATTCGTATCCTTCTTTAATCGCCACCCAAAGTGCGAGTTGGTATCTGCGAACCAATTGGATCTCCTGATAGAATAGGAACCTTGCCGCCTCAATGGCACAGGCCTTTAATTCGGGCCTGTACGACGGGTCTTCGTCTTCCGGGAAGTTTATCTCATCTTTTGAGAAAGGAGGGCCCTGCTCTAGTAGCTTGTTCACTTCGGCTTGGTGGAATCTGGATGCTGCTAGTTCTAGCTTCGCAACGTAGATACGCATCGCGGGCAATCTCTGGCGCATTAGAGGGGATCTGATGTAGAGCCATTTGATAGGATGCTTCAACCTGTAGCACCAGCATAGTACCTCTAAAGCCGTTCGACCATGATAACTTCGTGCCGTGATATTTGCCCCGCGACTTACTAACAGGCGTAAGATTGGTAGATCGATGTCAGCGAGGTGGAGTGCAGTGTGCTTGTCTGAGTTCTTGGCATTAATCTTAATTCCTGAGTTTAGGAGATGCTCTGTTATTGCGAATTCTCCTCTACTGACTGCGTAGTGGAGTAATGTCTGTTTTCGAGTAGCGTGGGACGCTTTGGCTCCTCTTTTCAAAAGCATTTGAACCATATCTGCATGGCGATTAGCGACAGCTACAAATATTGGTGTTTCTTCATTTGCGTTTCTGGCCTCGAGATCGGCGGAATTCTCTAATAGAATGTGCACCATACGTAGGCTCCCCATCTTCGCAGCTAGGTGTAGAGGTGTTCTGCGTTCGTTTGATTGTGCATGGACGTTCGCCCCTTTCTTGAGAAGAAATTCGATAATTGCTAAACGTCTTGCTGTAAGGTTTGATGACAAAGGGTTGTCACCAGAGCAAGCCCAGTGCAGTGGTGTCGTATCGTTATATGCTCTTGCTTCGATATCTGCACCTTGGTCGGTAAGCATCCGTACTACTGGTAGATGGCCTTGGTCGATTGCCATATACAGAGGGGTGAACTTAAACCTATCCCTAGCGTTAGGGTCGCTCCCTTCAGTAAGAAGTTCCCCTATCATTGCCGTGAGCCCAAAATGGGCTGCCAAATGTAAGTTCGTCATATGAGGGCTTCGTTGGAAAATTATACTCGTAGCTTGTATTCTGTTTTCACTTCCTAGGAAGCGTCGTGCTAAAGGGTATATTTCCTTCCATGCATTTGACAAGTCCCATGTCTCAGCATTCTCGGAATCCTTTACTGCCTTGCGCGCATGGTGGCCCCATTGTGTAACGGAGTATTTATACAAAGGGTATCCACGCAGACGGTCATTGATATCCTCCTGACTGGAAAAAGGGTCGGCCAAGGAATCATATAGCAGGTAAGTGAGGCAGCATTTGCTGATGTATGTGTTTGCGTGCTCATACCACTGTGAAAGAGTTCGTTGAAGATATTCTTGCGTGGTATAATGAACTAGAGTGACGGTCTTATCGTCCTCTATAACTGCTACGAGTCCGGCACAGTAAGACAAGACATCTTTTATAGAAGGCATGTTATCTTTGTCGAATTCTGGCGAGCCATCCTCGATTGTAAGCGCCGTCAGTAACTCTTCCTCGTGGAGTGGTTTCTCGGCGAGAGCCACCCAGGCCAAGGTCTGCTTTGCAAGTTCGACTTGGCCAGGCAGCTGCCCTTCTACGCGAACCATAGCGTCTATATACGCACGATCATATCCTTCACTTGCTGGTGGTATCTTATCAAGTACCCTGCGAAGAGTTTTAGGAGATCTTTGTCCGACTAGAGAGTCAAGATGGAATCTCGCTAGTAAGAACCTAATAATGGGGTTAGGTTCCGTTACAACTCGATGGAATTAGGTATGCTAGTATGCTTAATTTTAAATATGAAGTACGACAAGGAATAATTAAGCATATGGATAAAACGCTTACATGCCATCGATAGAGGCTGCGATCTTAGCCTTAATCGTTTCGGAGAGCTCCGGATCTTGAGCCACGAAGGTAGGAAGCCTACCTATATTCGCATCAAGGTAAGCGTGAACATCATTCTCACAGGCGCGTATTTCTAACTTCGTGCACCGAGGGCCGTTGAACCTATTTACGATATGGGGGTTTGTTCTCGATGTCGCAATAAGTCGAAACCCGGAAATCTCTTGTAGCTGAAGTATCTGGGAGATGAATAGTTCCCGGGTACCGTCATTTTCTTGACACTCATCCAAGGCGTCGATGATTACAAACACTTGTGAGTATAAGGCGAATAGTGATATAAGCGTCTTAGAAATATCTTGTGCCGTTGGACTTTCAATTCCACGTTCGCAGCATTCATCATATAATTGTGTAATGGCAGTGGGAACGGATGGCTGGTTCTTCGCTAACTGCCTCCCTAGGCTTGCTAGTAGATACTCTGGCTTATGTTTCAACCGAAAATCACAGTACATATGTGCCACTGAAACTTTCTGGTTGCCTCGAAACCTCGTCCGAAGATAGTCGATGACGGTGGCCATGAGAACTGATTTCCCTGCACCGGGAGGACCATGGCAGAACAGAATCGGTTTGCTTGTATTATCAACGAGCCAACATCTAAAAGCCGGCGACTCTATCATCCAATTACCAGTTCCGTTCTGTCGACGCGAAATGTAATCGTTATATTGCGTATTGTATTCCTCGCGAGAGAGCCAGGAGAGTGGATCTCCCTCCGACTTCTTTTGAACAGCAGAAAGAATGCGGTTTACGAGGTTGAAAAGACTGGTGTGGGACTGTTTTAGAGAAGAAAATTCTTCCGTCGAGGTATTGACCATAAGTTCGACCATGCTATGGAGCTTCGTAGCATTTTGATCGGAAGTCTTTTTTACTTCATGTATTAATTTTCTATTTTTGTTAGGTATTAGTTACTATGGATGTAGAGGATTCGACTAACCCGCAGTTGTTTGTTAACGCGAGGTTTAAGAGTCCTTTCTCGCGTTCGATGGTGTTTAATATTTCTTTGACTTCCTTCCCTTTGAAGGGCCATTTGAACGATTTTAAAAAGCTTTTGCCCTCTAGCTTTGCCTGGATGAGACTGAGACAGATATTTAGCCTGTCAAAGGGCATATGAGGTCCTTCGAGTGCCTTGATAATATTCGCCCATCCGTCATCTGGCTGTGCGACGGAGACCTCATCGTGAAGTTGCTTGAGGAGGCTGCGACAACTCAGCACAGAAAGAATGACCCGATCTCGGTCGCTACTAGCACCTCGTACTTTATTCATATAATCCACGATTTTTAAAGTAATGTCTAATATGCTAGTAATACTAGCGACACTACCGAGTATTTCCATTCGATACTTGAGGCTACGTGCAGCTTGCTCATGAGGTGTATCCTGTGGTGATAAAACCAGACTGGATCTAGAATTTAGGTCTAACAGGGAGAGAAGCATCTAATTATGTCTGGGTTGCTAGGAGTAAACCCTTATAAATGTAGTGGCTGTCCACAGGGTCTAGCTGGTCACTATTCGTGGCTCATTATGAAGCAAGATTTGAATCTACTGTGTATGAGATATATGAGAATGGTGGCTAAGCCATCTGCCTTGCTGTGCTTAGCAAAGGCCTATAAACCGTAACTGGTATTCATAACCAATCATACTTATGTATCACAAGCAATTCTATTTATATACAAGTTGAAAATTGATGGTTTTGATATGTTGTTGCTATTGTCCCCCAAACCCCCCCACTTACCCCTGATATTAAGGGGTTAGATCACAGATCTGCGTAGTACTTGGCGTGGCTTTTAGTGTGGCTTGACTTTATTTACAGGTTTAATATGAACTCGGCGCGTTTCTCTCTTTCACTTCAACTTGTCATAATCCGTTACCAAAAAAAAAAAAAAATAATAATAAAAAAGGCTACTCGTGTTATGATTATAATACTCGTTTTATCAATAGTAATTTAACGATGTAAGCACAAAGGGTTAAATGCAAAGGGTCATGATTCCTTTCCACCCCCAACCTGCTCAACGCGACACAACTTCCCATTCTGCGACCCGGGATATCCCACGGACTGGACCGCCCAACCCTCGCTCCCGACCGTCGTCGGCGCCCAGAACAAACCCCACGGGTCGGTCTGCTGCTTGATCTGCAGCAGGCGCTCGTAGTGGGTTCCGTAGAACGCCTGCTGCCAGTTCGGCTCGCCCGGGTCTCCTTCGTTCATGTACGACCCGGCATCCGGCGATACCTCGCGCAGCAGGTCCATGTACCCCTGCATCATCGTGTCGCGCTCCGTCGACTGGTCCGGCGTCTGGTCCATCAGCATCGCGTGCATGCGGTTATTGCGCCACGCCGGGTTGACTGAGCTCTCGGCACCGGGCCACCCTGCCACTTCTTCCGTCGGCGAGGTCATCGTTCCGTGGAAGTAGTAGCCTCGCTCGTAGCCTCCTTCCGTGGCCGTTCGTATCGCTTTCATCGTCTTGTTCCATAGTTCGTCGTTTTCCCAGTTCTCGCGCGGAAGTAGTCGGGACCTGTATCTGGTGTTGCCTGGCGGGGACCCGATTCCTAAACTGGGTAGTCCGTAGAGATTGGTGAAGAGGAGCGCTGGGTTAGTGATGTTGATACCAAGACCGTGTAAGTCATCGTATAATGGCTGCATGAACTTGTAAACTGCCGCTCCCGTGGTGTTTGTGAAATCCGAGCTGGTTACAAAACTGTAACTGTTATTCATCTGGGGGTAGATGTAGCTGAAACAGTAACCACCGGCATCCAATATCTTGGAGGCGAATCTATAGTAAGCACTAACCGCCTGCCAGAACTTCTCGGCGTCAGTAACTACGCCGGTGATCGGGGATGTCGTATTCCTTGGTTCTAAAAGAGTGAGACTTAACGACGTTGACGTTACGTTAACTGGTGGATGCGCTTTTAAGATAGCCGAAGTCACCACCCCATAAGTTCCTATTGCACTCGTTAATAATAAGGCAGAAAAGGGTTATCAAAATAAATTGTGAAGCATAGATTCGTACCTCCACCACCGCCGCGTAATGCGAAGAAAAGATCGGGGTTAGTATACGGATCAGCTGTTACGAACTGGCCGGAAGCAGTTACAACACCAAGAGAAAGCACTTGGTCCGCTCCCAGACCAAATGTCGAGGTAATCGTCGTGTGACCCCCCGAGCTCATCCAGCCGCCGACCCCTCCCACCGTAACCCAACCGGGCGCGACTACAGTTATGTTGTGGGCCGCCATGAAGTTGCGTTCCTCCCACGACTCAACACCGGCTCCGAACTGAGCAGCCTTCCCTTGATAAGGCCCAAGCTCATACGAAGGGATAAATTCCATAGCCTTCAGATGATGTGTCCAGATACTGAGGGATCCTGCTCCTACTGATCTGCCACCAAAATCATGTCCCGTATTTCTGTTTTTATGCTGTTAGGAGTTCTTATCCTTTGAAAGGTTTAAAGGTCTAGCTATAGGCAAGTGGACTTATCTTACTTAATTACTAGCCGGATGCGCTTGTTCCTAGCAAAGTTGACTGCTGCTTGGATCTGCTTCACGCTCGTGGCGTTAACAACGTATTCGGGGAATCCTCCACGCGTACAGTTCCCCTGAGGGTCCATGGCGAGCGCACAAGTACCACCTTGCGACCATTCTGTCAACGAAACAAGTGGCTCGTCAATCCAGAAGTGCGAAAGGGACGTATTCGTAAATAAATACGTGCACCTTTCCGAATCATAGTTATCTCCTTTGTAGCAAGCAGCAGCTGCAGGTATTGGTTTCAGAAGAGCACCCTCAAGGGTCCCATTCAACTGAGCCCACTCTTCGACAGTTGGCCAGTCGCTATCACCCGGGAAGACTTTGCAGCCGTCGACGCTGCTGTCCTCCAGTGAGGCTGTAGTCTCATCACCAAAATCTATGGCAGAGAAGTCCCCGATATCTTCTTGGGTAAGTTGAATGGAGTCCGAAAGAAGAGCCTTTGGCTTAAGCGCGATAGCCCCGGAAAGAAATACGCCCGCAAAAACGGAAGAAAGACTCGGCTTCATGATGCCGAAGATCTGTCAGTACGCACTATACTGCAGCACACCTCACAAAAGACCTCAACAAACCTCCTAATAACGTTACGGCCATAGCGGCCTATGTATATTGCTCGATTAGGCACGACCACCTACAAGAAGTGTTCTTTACCTATCGAAAATAGGGGCTAGAACTCCTCCGCGGGCAGCTTCAAGATTTACCGAGCCACTGGCAAAAACGATATCGTTCCAAGTCATCGTGAAATGGGCCGATGACTATGATTATTCATCATATAAGGTCCGTCTATAGTCTCATTTGGGGGTTACCTTGGAGACATAATATCAATCGATATTTCATCGCAGTGTAGGTTGTACTACCGATGACACCGGCGGCTCTGGTCTTGGCATATACCCGGCATTAGCGCTGGAGGACCAACCGGATGTATGTATACAGTCTTGTACCCGGATCTGAGTATCGTGTTATACATACATACGGTAACCTCGGGAATATGGGCCCATGAGAAAGCGGCGAGAGGTTTAGGCTAAATAGGGATGTGCCTGATACCTCGTGTCTTTGGTAGGATTCAAAGCCACATGATGAGGCTAGATGCCGCTTGCCTGGTACCAAAGCTTAGTCTGGCGCATCTTCTTGGCGTGCTGCTATTCTAATCACTCCCCATACCTTTTTGTTATACATACATATGTACGTTTCGCATGTGGCTTAGACTTAGGCGACGACTTTTAAGCCTTACTATGCGATCGGCACAACCCCCAATTATGACCTCAAATACATACAATATTTATTTATCATAACCACCTCTCTCTTACTAAGCGAAGCAGGCGACCTCGAACGCGTGGCTATCATACGATAAGGCCGAGCAGCGCAGCAACCCCCAACGTGGCGCATAGTCTCGAACCACGTCGATGGCGGCAGAGGAACGGATTGTTAATCAAAAATGGAGACATTTCTTCGGCACTCACTTTACCGCGGCTAAACAGTAGCTTGAAAAGGGCAATGCTAAGGATTCTGCGTAACTCACGAATTGTTAGCGCTTGTTACCGATAAACGACATGCCTTACAATACGCGGGAAACGCATGGCAGCAATATTGGGCCTTACATATGGAACTGCTAGCCTATACGTAGACGCGATGCTAGTCTAAACGTTTCTATGCCAATTCGCTATAGTATCGCGTAAAAGCCGTACTAGAAGTAGGAGGAAATATGGTTCGCCTGGGTAAAGGCTTTGAGCCTAGTGTAGATCCTCGTTAGCCGAGGCACATGGGTTGGAGAACCTCGTACAGACGGCATGGATATTCCAAAGGTAGAGAAGTATACCATAGGGCTGAGTGTTTAATGTTCATGATTCAGCTAACCCCTCGACGAGTCATGGGAACCGTTGCGTCGTATTATTGACAATTTCCCATCCCATTCTGCAAAATTCCGTCTCTAGGTGCATTCTCACCAACCCAACTACGACACATCGTAAGCCTTACACTCCATCCGATGCTTCTTCCAATCCTTCCGCTGGCATTCTGACGAGCAGTACATGACCTCCTTGCATCTTGAGCATTTCAAGAGATTCCCTCCATTCTTGCCCTCCGTCGCGTTGCAGTTGCGACACTTGTCCATGTGCAAACGCTCAAGGCTTCCTTGGACACTAAGTAAATCTAGATCTACAATATCCTCCACAAAAGGTACTGAGAAAGTCGGGCTGATTGCTACGCGGGTTGCATACTTGGATGCTGCGCTATCCCACTCCGGTAGGCTTATAAATCCCTCGGGTAGCTTGCCGTTGCCGCAGCTGCACATGAATTGCTTCCCCATCTCCGTGCTAAGCGGGATCGTGGCACGAGACTTTTTGTATTCGCATTTAGGACCGTGACTCCACGTGCGACACCGCTCGGCGAATGCAGGGAGAACTTCTTTCCAGAGCACGAGCTCTTCGTCATTGACGTTGATGGCGCATATCTGCAGTTCACGAAGGATATAAAGGAACGTCTCGATTTCTCTCGAGTCAATTAGTTGTCTGGTGATAGGGATTACCGCCGCGTCTGCCACCACGGACCCCTCTGCACCATTGATCCGTATGGCGCGGACGAAGATAAGGACTTGGTTTCCATCTACAGGGTGCTGGAGTGCGAAGAGCCCAGTATTTCCGCCTTGAAGCCCCGAAGCTAACATAAACATGGAAAAGAGCGACTCTTTGAAGTTCATACGCAATGAAGCTGGCTCAGTTGAGTCTCGCAATCTTCGCTCACGAACAGAGAACTGGTGAGACGTAAGTATGTTTAGCCATCGATTTTCCTTTTGGTGAACTTGATCTACATCGAGTATTGGCAAAGAGTCTAGGTTGACTTGTTGACTATTGAGTGGTATGGGCATGGAACTTTCCCCGAGCGTAATGGGGTAGATGAAAGACGACAACGGCCCCGAAGCCAAGGGATCTGCTAGGTGTGCAATGACTTCAATGTAACCCGACGTGCGCGCGATACGTGTCTTGGCGGTTTCCTTGAGAACCGGAGCTGGGAATGACGCGGCATGGACCAGTAGTTTATCACCGAATACGATATCTATCGAGAATGGTGACGATTGTTGCAATTCCACGGGAACGCGTTCAGCTAGGAGTTTTCGAGCCTTTTGCGAAGAAAAATCGACATGATTACATAGGGACTTGATCATGTTATTTTCAAAGTTCGCGGTAATTCGGTTGGGTAGAAGTGTGTCCGTTTGGATGGCGCCCTTAACTATAGGATTCTTGTAGCTGCCCGCCAAAGGATAACCAGTCATTCCCGGCTCATATTTCGTGACAAATACATTAGAAATATCAGTCACTGTCGTCGCGTGTAAGATCATGGTGGGTAAGAGGTGCTTGAAAGTGTGAATATTCATGGGTGTGTTCTGAACACGGAGACCAACTCGAGTATCTCTTGGTTCAACCTGAAGGCCGGTAGATGGTACATAAAATGAAGCTACTAGAGGAGACTTTCCCTGCCAGCCTAGAGGGTCTTGATGGATTGTTATTGAGAAATTCTCATTCTCGCGGCGTCCTGATGTTTCCACTTGTCCAAATACGGCGTGTACGCCAGCAAAGAAATTCTCCCAGCCCACTGGATTACTCGACTTGAGCATACCCTCGAGCGTTGGCGCGTTGAGCTTGCTCTGCTCGGTGTTGTATAATCTGTCGATATGTTTTCTCGGCACCACTACTGTGACGCAGACCACTTCTGGTATGTTGTCCCATGCGTGGAAGCCACCCGCGCTTGGTATTGATCTTACTTCTTTCTTGATCCATTCTTCGGTATATAGGCCTTGTATATGTAGTTGAGCGCCTAATTCTTGACGATAAAGACTCCGCAAGGTTCTCTTGTCTAGGTTATCTTGGTCTATCATCTGCAACAAGCGTTCCCAGAAGGCTGGCCAAGTGGTAGAAGTATTTGCCTGGATATATTTCAAGAATAGCACGAAACTGCCTCTATGGAACAGTGGATACCCCTGGCCTAGAAGTTTCCTTGCTAACTCTTCGTGATTTACCCCGAGAAGTGGCGTGGGGTCCTCACTTTCGAACATTTGTATGTAGACTTGAAATACCGCACTGGCGAGCGCATGCGGCTCCACATATAAAGCCTCAAGATCGCTGGGTAATTGCGAGAAAGACGTGCTCAATTTCCAAGCCAATCTTGAATGCGCTTGTTGGGCTCCAGTTGATGTGCCTAGAGTGTTCAACAAGATTTCATCCACGCACGACACGGACGTAGCATTGGTCCAAAAGTCGACTGGGCTTAGACCAAGAAGTGTGGATATCGTCGGGGCATGACCAGGAAGTAGAGCATCAAATTGCTGCTTTCGCGTCTTTTCTGTCTTGATCAACTTCTCTATCCATAGAGTGGAACTTGCTGATATCTTTAATAGAGGTGCGGCTGCTACTAATAGATTTAGTGTACCGAGATGGTCGGCAAGATTCGAGGTATCAATTACATCGAATTTTGTTGGTGCTGAGCCGGGCGCAGCGTAAGCTTTAGGGTCAAATTCAACAGGACCTATATCAAGTTGTCGACGAAAGAGACATGTTGGTCTGTCACTTGAAGTTGAAATGGTCTGTAGTGCATGGCTAAAGGATAAGGCATCCGATACAGCGAATCTAAGAGTCATGCTTGTTTCCGGTACCTCTCGGAATGCTGCCACCCACTCGCGGAACTGAGTCTTCGCTGCAGCAATAACATCGATAATCTCGCCGTCATCTCTTTCGGGACGAAGCGGAGACCCCGGCGCTAGATTCGCTTTAGCGGTTGCGAGATGGAATCCAAGAATGGGGTCTGTGCCATAATGAAGATACGTATTTGCAGACACAGACTCCGAGAATAGCGGATTGGGAACTGTTCCTGGGTGTTCGGAAAGACTACCATGCTTCCAGAAGCGCTCTCTAGCCTTTATAATCCCCTCCTTTGACGCGATTGATAATGGCGCCGCGGATCTGAGACCGGTTAGAATGAGCTCGGGCTGGCCCTCCGATTGGCCGCTATTAATTCTGAATAGCTTTCGAGTATTCTCGAGGTCTTTCTCGAAGCCAGCGTTGGTCTTAGGCTGGGCTGACGCGTACTTCATCCATACCTGCCTGACTTCTCGTAGCGAGTTTGCATCGCAGAACTTCAGCATCGAGCCATAACGTTCTTCGCTCCATTGATCTATACTGCCTGACAATGACACTATCTTTTGTGCTTGATCCTTGATGAGCTTCTTGGACTTTTCATCGATGCGAAAATGGAAATATATATCCCATGCGATCTTGGCACTGATACCGTCGACGAGGAAGGTAAAGAGAAGTACATTTCGCGCTAGAATAATTTAGTATAAGGGTATGTAGCCGGGAAATGCTCTGCTTACCTATTATAGCAGTTTCAACATCACAGCACGTAATGTCAAGCTTTCTTGCTGCTACTCGAGTATTAACAACATCGATGACAGAAGATGATCTACTAAGAGACTTTACAGACAATTTCCGCTCGGCACGAAATGTTGAGCTTGCCCCCTCATAGAGAAAGGAAAGACCAGATGAGAGAAATAGGGGTACTTACGGAATCCTCGTTCGGAGTACGCTGTGAATAGAATATTGCGGACGTCGCCACATCCAAGAAGAAGAATATCAGCATCTACCCCCTGAGGTAAGCCTCTCGTCAGGCTGACCGCGGGAGTATTGCCAATAGGATAGAACTGAGTAAAGTATGGAATAGTGGCCGGGAGGAACATGTTGGTAAGTAATCCTGGCAGATAGAAAGGATAAAACTTCCATAGGACTTCCTACGTGCGTACTTGAACCTGTACCCAGAGAATTTCAATATGGTGGTACTCTGATAGGAATTTGCGTTTGTAAACTTGGTATGGGAGATTAGATGTCACTTCTTGCTGTTATGGTGTAGTAGACAAGCTTGGTTGGGTATAAATATCAACCCAAATAAAAGTAGGTTTAATGAAGATGCTTAGAATTGTTGTTGTCTGATTGATTACATTTCACATATGTTCGGTTATTCTTTGGTAACTGGTGTAAGTTTAAACCTGTGTCTTTCATTCTATTTTATCATGAGAAAGGTTAGGCACTTAGGTACCTATTTAATATTCATGTTGCTTCTGTTTTCCGTAGAGATGGTTGGAGACATATAAAAGTGGGGTTGGTACTAGCGGATGCTGCCGACTGGTCATGGTTTTAGACCAATCTTTTTATCTTATACCATCAAAGGCAAGTTACAGGCAGGGATGTACCTAGCACACAGCATCAATGGTACCTACACCCACCTAACCTTAGGTATCTAATCTAAGACATGCAACATCACAGGCATCACATATTCACAAAACATACAAACAAATACTTAGCACCAGAATAAGACCTCATCTCATTATCATCCAGTGACCTAATATCCAAACGAGATCGACTACACCCCAAATAACATTTTTTCATCCTATGGAAACTCTCAAGTACCGCCCGCCAAATTAAACAGACCAGAAAATAAAATAAAAATAAAAGAAGACGGCCACCCGCGTCGGCGCTAAAACGCCCAAACATCCCATCCAATCCCGTCATGGGGGAAAAAAATTCCCTTTCACCGCGATTCCCATCTCTCGTAATTCCACATTATCGTACATGACTTCTTGGCCGAGTTTCAGAGGGGAAAAAGAAAAATAAGGGAGCTCGCAATTACGCTCCAAGGTCAAGTATAAACCCCCCCAAAATGCATTTCATTAATATGCCGTTCTAGTATGTCTCGCTTCGCTTCGAGGTAAAAGATAGATATGAAAGACGAAAGTTGTTGCTTCTCCAACTATCTCAGCTACTACCGAAAAATAAATCGTCATTATTGGTAAACATATCGACGCTGTCGAACGCCTCGTCGAACTTGCTATCAGAGCTAAGCATAAGCATGCCCGTATCGTTATTAGTGAACTGAAGCAGCATATCATCGTCAGCCTCGCTTATCCCGGAAAAGCTTGGGATGCTGGACGTCTCGACGCTGGAGCCAATCGTAATCTCCGTACCGCTTGAATTCGGCTCCGCATCGAAATATCGACTGGCGGACGGCGGAGATGACGAGCGAGACAGCTCCGGGAGTTCGTTAAACTGACTGGTGACGCTCTTTGCGGGGGATCCTGGTTGCGATGATATCGCTTCCGGTAGTAATTCTTGGTGGAGCGAGATGTGGGATAATTGAGAGACATATGAATGCACACTAGCCGCTGACGGCGAGTGCACACTCACCGGCGCATCATTACTGAGGCTGGGCATCGGCGCAGATGACGAACTTATATTCTGGAGAGAGTTTGGGTTCATCGTCGTTCCGCCCATTGATACGTCCATAATTCCGTCTAGCACATCGAAATCCGGGTCGACATATTCGGGAGAATTGCCTGCCGAGGTGTCCGAGTATCCGGACTGTGATGACATAGATGATGTGGACATATTCTTCTTGAGAGTTCGAACTGTCTTTTCCTTTCGCTCGTTCATATCTGGTCGGTGCTTGCGCGGACGCCCGCGCTTTACCACTTTTCTCGTCACGCCCTCAAATGCGCCAATGCACATACCACGTTGTTTGTGACGGGTAAGAGCATCATGACGCGCAAAGCTGTTGCCACACTCGCAAGGGTAAGGTTTTATACCCGTGTGTATCTTTGCGTGCCGTTTGAGGTCGTGCTGTCGAACGAAGCACTTATTACATGTTGGACATCTATACTGGCGGTCGTTGAGATGGGTTTGTACGTGAGACTTGATATTTTCCTTCCGACCGAACTTTTTATTGCAGTCTTCGAAAGTGCAGGTCCATTTATTGTCTCTGGGATCAGGCCCTTGGATATATTGGTGGATGTCTTCGAGTGTGATTCCTGTTGACATTTTGGTCTTCTCGATGTCAATGCTGGCGATACTCGCAGCACTTGCAATGCTAGCCATTGACTCGTTTCGACGATGGAGCGGCGTCCCCCGACGGGAAGATGCTTCTATCGAATATCCATCTTCGCTGCTGAATGCATCGGATCCTAAGTTGGGGTGTTGCATATTAGGCTTGTACTCAAAGGAACCGTTGAAATCACCCAATTGGGGCGTGATGGGAGTGGTATGCCCGGAAAGGTCTGAATTGGCGCTGATGGGATGCGAAGGCATGGGAAGCCCATCAAAAGCAGTATCAACTCTGAGGCCGCTGCCACTGATACGGCTCATATCCAAAAACTCCGCCATCGGGTCTGATGGGGGATTGAATGTCTCTAATAGAGGCATCGTGTTGGATCGGGTTGGTAATGGCATAGGGACCTGAGCTTCAGCTGCTTGTCGCATCTCATCGAAGGTCGTCCGTGACCGTCCATTTGCGGATTGCCTTGTGGGTTTCACAGTTTCCTCCATTGATTCATCGTAGCCCTCTGAGAACCTTTGAGGCGGTTGACTATGCTTTACGGTCCTGTCATGAGGTGTATCCATAGGCGTGAGTGGGAAGTAGTCTCCTCCAGGTTAGTCTCTTATTTCTCTCTCCTAACTCATGGAATATGCTCACCTGTTGCATCCTGACGGGGAGGTGTCAAAGGTCTTGGAACTTCGCTTCCCAAGTTTTCGAACTTTGAAACTCTATCCAGGATTCCGTTGCTAATACGACGGGTGGAATTTCTTCTGCTACTAGAAGTTTCTCCCTCAGAGATCCATCCAGGACCGCCCGTTGGGCTGTCTTGGAAGCTCATGAGCGTAGGTGTGGATAGAGCGCTTGGGAACTGGTCGAAGTCCTGAGACGCTGTCATGTTACTGGAGAAACTCTCCTGATTCTTTTTAATAATGACATTCATAGGTCCATTATACATGTCAAGATTGATTTGCATATCATGTTGGCTTGAAAGACCGTCAAACCCTTGTCCTTCAAAACCCTGTGCTCTTGGTGTCCCGTGAGGGGATATTAGATAGCTGTCGTCGCTTGCCAAGTTCGCGTATGCTTGCTGGGAGCCCGGGCGAGCCATGCGTTGCTGCTGCGCTTCTCGCAGCACATGCTGTGATGTGATTGATCCTGTATTGTTAGTAGCGTTACTTACCGTTGAATATTCCTGTCGTATTGGTATTGGTATTGTCGGGGATTGCATCTGTTGTTGTGGTTGTTGTCGTCGAATATCCAGACTCATGCCCCTGCGATGGGACATGCGTGATCGTTGTTGGTTCTGGTGTTGTTGATGCATGTTGGACAGGTTTGTTGCGATCTTCATTGTTTCGTATCCTGTGGGAGTCGAGTTTTGTCGTCGATGTTGTCGGTGCCGGGCGTGAAGACCGCCATGAACCGGATTGGACAGCATCGTGATGAGAGTCGAGTTCGGAAATGGGCCGATTGTCGATAGATCCTGGTTGCCGAATTGGCTATCAGTTGGTTCCGAAACTGCATCTATCCGTCAGTCATCGGGTTCCCGAGTCATCTTGTAAGATCTCACGAAGGAATTATAATGAATGTAAATCAACAGATAACTCACCTCACGCAGCGCAAGCCAGTCTGGCCGGGCAATTAAGCTCTTAGATTTTCCTCAGCAGCAGCAGGCGAACTTGGCAGACGAAAACTAGATGAGTGTAAGTGCTGCCCTTGTTCAGGCAGATGAATAGATAATAAGAGAGACGATAGTCTCGCTTAGTGGTCTGTGTGGTCTGAGTAAGTCTTCTCAGTAAAGTTAGAAAGCTTTTTTGAAGCTATTCGTTTCGAAGCTGTTGGTCTTTTACAACAAACAACAATTCAAAGTGGATAATGTTCTAGGATGAATGATCTTGTTATGCAAGATAAGGTAGAGAGGTAGGGAATGAATAAGTAAAATGTTGTAGATAGTGTTCTAAGTTGCAGAATAAAATCGCCGGGGTTTAACATAGCTCTCTGTTGACAAGAGCTGCGGTCTGTTGCTACAGCGACAAAAGTATTCGCCAATTATTCGCCAATCCTGTTGGCCGATATGGTTAGACTTATCAAGTTACGAGTTTTTGCGACAACCAATGAACATATGATGTATTTTCCTATTTAGGTTAGCGTAGTTATTGTCCCGCGTAAGCTTGGCCTAGCGCTCTGCAAGCTGCAAACTGATTGTTAATTGGGTTTAGGCTGGCATTAGCGATGAACCCGATCTTCGATTTGACATTTTTACTACTTGCATTTCAGGTACTTGCATTTTATAATCCTCAACGTCATCCCGCTAAGGTCCTTCATTAATAGCATACCTTTATTACCGTCTCCTAGGTAATATTTTCCAAAGTTCCAAATTACCTAATACCATTATATAATTCGAGACATTTGTTTGTACATTAAACGGCGAACGCTATTAAATTGCCCGTAAGGGATAAATTGAAGTAATTACTAGTTAGCCGTATTAACCTATTGCTTTTATAAGATCGATTTGGTGGTTGATTCACTTATCTTATCTTGAATAAATAGACTAGCTGGTTGGTTTAAAACGTTTATTATTCACATTTATTATCGAGATAAGCAAAAATATTTTACAGACAAGTATATCATGAGTATTGTCATAACATCATTTACTTTTGATATTTAATTAAGAATAAATAATAGGTAGCCAGACAAAAGTACGGATCCGTCTTAAGTAAGTCAAGCGTTCCAAATACATGGTAGCTAGCATGATAATAACATAACCTTACTAAACACGGACTATAAATCCACGTGTTAATGCATGCAATGTGGCGCGAACCAGGAATAGAGATGCACGTCACACGTCAATGCGGATCAGATTTGGGGTTCGCTTCTTAATTAATGCCTGTCTTCCCTAGCTATATCTGCGATGAAAACTCCACTGCATCTACACATCGCAGTTATATGATATCTGAGCAAAATACTTGTTACTCTTGGGTATAGTTAATTTCCTGGAGAGGGCAAACATCCATATCCGGAGCGTTATCATCCCGCACGAAATACCTGTTGTTTCTTGTCCGAACATCCTCAGTCCAATAATACGTATCCCAATACTGTTGTCCCTGCTTGATATCCATGCTTTCGTTCTGGCCCACGATTTTCCCGCGCACGTATCCTTCTGTCAGATTCAACTCTCTCCGAATATCAGTCATAAGAATGATCCACGAAGTACTCCGAAGAGCAATGGATTTCAGATATAGTTTGCGGAGTGTTCCTCTGTGACGATAGAAGAATGCCATCAATTCTCGCCGTTCGGTGTTAATCTGACATAGTCTAAGCATATGCAAATATGACCAGGTAAACCCTTGGGGGATAACATTGCCTAGCGACGTGCCACGAGCAAAAGGGCCAGTAACCCTCGGGTTGGGATTATTGTAGAACTTCTCGAAATCAAGATTTAATATGCGTAGCTCAGTAAAGTTGGCGAGGCGTTTTCGGATCGCACCGGCTTGCAAGATGTCGTTGCATCGGCGAACTACTCTTCCCTGATAAGGGGACCCGACCATATATACGTTGCAGAATATAAGCTCTAGACACTTGAGGTTGATGATGGGTTTAAGCAACGGCATGAGTTCGGCATCACTCGAGTCGAAAAATCCCCAATCGAGACGAGTAACTGCCAGGCCATCCAAGGTAGACTGTCTATCCACAAGTGCCTGCAACAGCATTTTCAGGGGTTGGCTCGCCTGGGTGACAATAGGGAGATTCTCGAAGTAGAAATTAATAGGCTTTCCCCTTACGAAATCGCATACGGGCTCGCCGATGTCCAGAATAATATGTCGAAGTCGTGGGAACCGGGGAAGCAGATGTAAGAAGTATAAATAATCATGCTCGTAGCCCAAAAAAAAACTCGGGTGAGGATCATGGGCTAACGGAGGCATTGGCGGATTCGGCAAACGCGCAAAGAAGTCCCCCGCGTGCAGTCTCGATATGAAAGTCGGAAGCCGAGAATACCGTATCTTCCGTACGCCTCTGGCAATATGAGGTCGACGAGAGAGATTTACTAGTTTCTGTATATTCTGACGTGTCATGTATCGGACACCAAGGCAAAGATATTCTGCTCCGATTTTTGAAAAGCTCTTGCAGACGAGACGGAATTGCCGAACACTATCGAGATCCAGATACGAGCAGATGTGGTGCACGATCTCCGTCGGAAGGTTATCCATGATGGGCTACTAGGATTCGGAGAAGAATCCTCAGAGATTGTGTAGTTTCTCAACGATGCGAGGGGTTTCAGGTTATAGGCCAAGGCTTGAGAACAAGATTGTTCTGTTAGTCTTGTAGCGAGACTGTATTTGTTGGTTGATGAGAGTAGTTTGCAAATAGTACCTATGGTGAGTCTTGCAAGTTGAAGGTTCAGCAATTTAAATAGGCAGTGTTCAAGATTAGGATTTATACGGAAAAAAATATGCAGTCTGGTTCTCTACTTAGGTACGTAAGTATTTACCTACCCAGTTGCTTAGAGACTGAAACCATGAGCAATGTATGTTGAGTACGAGTGTCATACCTTACTCAAGGTATGTGTCCATGTCAACAATTATATGTGATTGCAACAGGGTGTTGATTAAGGGGGTATAATATTTAAGCGTACCTAAGTACCTAAGCTGTCTATCTCAGGCTGTCGAATGTTATTTGCATGTGCCTCGACAAAGCTAGTGCAGACTCTCGAATGTGTCTTCTTATCAGTGAGCGAATCTAAAATCAAGCCTTCTAGAACCCTGTAGCTTGGTTGTCTTCCTGTATTCAACTTGCTGTTCTTCACTTAAAGCGTTCCATACGCGCTCTTTTTGCTTGTTTCGCCAGACATAATAAAGCTTCGTCAACAAGAAAGCAAGAATGGAAACTAAATTGATCATAAGTAGAGTCGAATTCCCACGACGGTATCGAGGCTTGTCATCGTCGCGGTAAATATAAGAAGCGTATACGTTGCCGGCTTGGACGCTCATCTGATAGATTATTAGCTTTGCCATATGTGTAGAATTGGAAGTAAGACTTACGTTATATAAAGCTGCCGAAACCGTACGCGTGCCGACATTATTAGAATTCTTGGAACACCAACCTACCAATATTGCATCTAGTAAGGCATTAGCTAGTGGTAAACACCATGTAGAGCCTTGTAGGGAATACGTACGGCAATATGGATAGGAGAGAAGAACCATCATAATTGCGTATGTACCCCATTTATCTTCAATCAGCCCTCCCCAGAATCTTAAAGCAAAAATGCAGGGCAGGGTCCAAAGAGGTTGAAAAATAGCCACCAATGATCGTTCGTTTAACCATTCAGACAGCCTGGTGACTAAAATGAGGTTGAAAATATGCATTATGTCCTTATCGAAGTTAGCAAAGATTGTCCAGGGGCGTCAAAAGATTGTTCATCTTACCGCTGGGATAGTTAGGAGGTTAGTGTTGAACGTGCTGAATCCAAGCGACCGAAGTGTAAGAGTGAGATAGGTCTTCGGGGGCGATTGCGGTACGTAAGCGCAGAAACCAATGGCGTATAGGGGCCATAAGTCGTAGTCTTTTAAAGCTTCCCATAACCTCCTGGGCGTTAATGCCTGTCGATTATGCATGTCCCCTTTCGAAGGGTCATCGCGAAGCACTCGGTTCACGACAATCGCCTCTTCTCGATCCGTGAACCAACCCTTCGGACGGAACCACGTTTTGGTCTGTACTGCGGATGCGGGCATCATGAAGAACGACGCTATTCCTATACATAAAGTTATACATCCTTCAAGTAAAAACAGCCATCGCCAACCTTCCCAACCTAGCAAGCCCCTGAGATGTAGCAACCCAAAGGCTAGCAAAGAGGTAACAATTCCCGTGATTGATACTGCATGCATTAAGTTAGTGACACCTCAACATCAGTTTTCAGTAGAGGGGTACTAATAACTCGAAGCTTACATGATGTCCAGAAGTAACTGAGTCTTATTGGCAGTTCACGTGATGTATAGAAATACGATAGCCATAACACCAGGTCGGGTATGAATCCTCCCTTTTGATAAATTAGATCGACAGCCCAAACAATATTTCAATGAGAGCATATTACCTCAAGGAATCCGAGTAAACTTCTTGTTAGTAAAAAGGAACCACGACCAGTTAGACCGCATTGTGAAATGGCGACGAATGACCATAGAACCATCTGCATCGGAATCCAGCGGTCTGGGCCCACGGCTTTTGATACGAGCTGCGAAGGAAGTTCGGCGAGCAAGAAAGATACCAAGAAGATAGAATGCCCATAGTTATAGTCTACGTGTTGTTAGTGAAATGATTATATTTATTGATAGTATATTGTGATGGGGAAAGTTGGATCATTCTGTGAAATTCGGCTGAAGTACACATTCATGATGCTCGCCAGAGATAGAAAGGTATGGGTGATGAATTCTAAATTGAATCATACCATTAGTATCTAGACCTAAGTCATCTAACATGTTGTCGGAGACTGCTTGTGAAAGATTACCGCGGTCTACTTGTAAGCCGAAGAACATTATGCACTGAAACGGACCGAGGTGTTAGCACGCCTATAGAAGTAGTAATAGGACGGCTTCGTACCGCCCATAAGCAGACTTTCCAATCAAGCTTTCGAATTAATTCTCTTTCTTCTCTGGCCGACCAGGTCAGCTTTGGATTGAAGATGTGTCTGCATTCATATTGGCAATTCTCGTAGACTTGTCGCCAATACTCTGTAGTTTCCGTGTCTAAAAAGGGGTTTTCTATTTCTACCACAGGATCCTCAATTCGAATCGTCTCGCCTAGTAAAGCCGTGGGGCTTTGGCTAGGTGTTGCATCTAATGATCCGTAGGATTTATGATCTTCCGGGTCATCTGAAGAGAGCGGTTGATAAGACATATTGGTTGAGAGCCGAGGGAGTGTAGGAAGTGTGGACTCTACGGCATTCAGGTCTAATAACTCAAAACTCAAAAAATCATCATCGTCGACGAACGAACTGCTAGACGAAGTAGAGACGACTGGTTCAGCCGAGTCGGTTTTCGAGATTGCCGAATATTTAGAAGAAGACATATCGGCTGGGCCGTACCCCTTGGGGGTACAGTATTTAACACTGGAGACAATTCATTGTGCGACAATGTGTAGAAAGGTATGTGAGAATAGGTGGGATGGATGACGTGCTACGTAGTTACTGCTCACGCGGGCTTCTAAGTGTTGCGGATAGAAGTCGGCTTTCCTTAACTAGTAGAAACACTGATCTAGCGAGAGAATTTGTTGGCTACCATCCACACACACTACCTCCATAACAGATATGTTGCATATAAGTTATGGAGACGTTGATGGGAATGTGTGTCGAGTAGTAGAATGCCATCTTCCTCTTGACTTGCTCTTGATAACCTCCATCACGAACTTGCAAGGGTATTGAGGCTGAACGAATGATACGGCGAGATAGGCGATTTGGTGATTACAGTTGGAATTTCATCATTTGAGGGACGCGCGGGTAATTCGATTATGATCCCTTCTGCACCGCCATCTTTATTAGCCACAGAATACTTTGATACTTTGATACTTAGGCTTGATATTGAATAGGTAACTGGAAGAATTAATTATCCGAATATACATAAGTACATTGAAGTATACCTGACCCCACATGCCTTGGCAATTTGTAGTTCGTATGTGACGTCAGCTTTAAGCGTCAGCTTTAAGGCTGTGGCAGGTTCCTCCAAATCCGACAGCCTTCAAAAGTTAGAAGAGTTTCAATACGAGCGCCAAGAGGGTTTCAAACTCCACCTGTAAAAGCTCTCACCCACTCATCTTTTTTACCACTGTAAATCTTTACTAAATGACCGCTAAAAACAATGGGTCTAGTTAACACAGCCCACTGTCTTCCTTGTGTTCCTGTATCAAACTCAGTAATCAACTCTGCACAATTCAACGCTGCACAGCCTAGCGATCAATGCGTTTTAAACCAAACCTCTTTGCCTCTGTCTCCGTGTCTTTTTTTTCCTTGGATAGTTTATCGTCATTTTATCGTCTTGTTTTTGTATTATCAACTTATCTAACTTATCTAGATTTTTATAGTTTGAGTCTGTTTCTTTGATTCTCTCGCTTTCTCAAACTATTGCATATACAAAATAAAATCATCTTTCGATTTACCGCTTGAATTTCCGTCTGATCCGTTTATCCTTTTTTTTGGCTGGCCAAAAGGAGTTCGATACTTTGAAAAGAAAGGTTCAATCAACTTCACAACCTCACAACTAGAACCTTATAACTACCTCCATTAAGATATTCCTATCGCCGCAACAATGCAATTCTCCACCTTCTCCCTATCCATCTTCGTCGCCTTCGCTGCGGCTCAGAACTCTACGCTTCCGGATCTAGTATCACAATTACCGCCATGCGCTGCAAGCTGTCTAGGCAGTTCTTCCGAGTCCGCTGGATGCGCGTCGACAGATTTCACATGCCTTTGCAGTGAAGATAAGCGTCAGTCCTTCATTAGTAGCATCAGTGGTTGTATTGGTCTCTCGGCCAAATGCTCTCAAGATGATATCAGCAGTAAGTGGACTTCTATAAGTGAATAGGTCCGAGCATAGCTCAACTAACACCGTACTAGAGCTTTCCACTCTAGCTCCCGAGATCTGCAATGCTGCAACATCAAACCCGGACCCCTCTGCCGTCGCGTCGGCATCGAACATTATTACCTCAGCTATTGGTCCTACCTCGACTCCCGACGCCGGTGTTAGACCTGAAATTGGAATGGGATTAGTTGGAGTTGCTGCTTTCGCGGCTTTGGCTCTTTAAACATCTCCCTAGATCTCGTCAATCGATATTAGGAGGTACTATTTCTTCTTAGGGTGGATAGACCTTACGATCTTTAATGACTCGGGATAGGGATAGGTTGTTACATCTTAGATAATAGACTGGTTGCGGATGGATTACAATCTGCAAGGTTAGGGATAATTGGGGGTTTACCAGCATATTATCAATTCTCAAGGGAGACTTAAAGGTCTTGGTCTTAGCATTATGAAAGACATTAGGGGTCTAATATGTGTTGCATATCATTCTGGTGGTACCCGGGATATCTTAGGCGTATATATTTACACATGCCCGAACCATTCATAAGTCAATTATCAGACTCTTTACATACAATGATGTTTAATATGCCAAGCACTCGCCTGTGGTCCTTATTAATGTCCAAATTACCTAATTGTTAGTAGGTACCTAGTTTAATTAGTGGATATTATAGCTCAACGACTATGAGAGACAGCCTAAGCCATGATGTCGTCTTCCCGCCCATTACCTCTCCACCTTGAATAAGCTAATATAGATACCAATGTACTATATCTTTCCCGAGGACTCCACTCAGCCTTGAAATTTTCGAACAAACTAGGACTAAGTCCTTTGTGGAAGAGACGAACATAATCTTGACTGGCTTCTTGTAGGTTCAATCCAGGTTAATATGTGTACGTCCATGTTGTACTTTATAGAAATGTCCCAATCCCCTGCTTTCAATCTTCGCTTCGAAGTCCCTGAAACACTTCTCGGAATGTGAAAGACATTGCCTATATCCATCTGGTACCTTTCGCGGATTGAACAAATCGTTCATCTGCCCGTACTCGTTTAGTTCAAAGCATCGATGTTCTTCTGGGAATACCACAGGTATTCCGAGCGAAGGTGAATCACAAGATTCAATCCTATCTTCTGTTTCGATTAAGGTTGGGCATTTCTTGTCGAGTAAGGCGTATAGGTGACCATAGTCTTGCGGAAACCAGTAAGCAAATAAATCCCTCAGGGTGAGGACCCCACCTCTTTCCCTTGCAAAGCTAACAATGTCTAGTTGATAGTCGACATATATGTCGTAGAACATTTCGAGGTCAAGCGTTGTACGTTGACAATTGGAATCGCCAGCGTGGACTCTCACAAGAAGTCGGTTGGAGCCAATTCCTTCGTAGCAAGGACCAAAAGTCAAAGTAAAATCTTCATTGGCGCCGTACCGGATAAATAGTTCGATGAGTTGGTAGTGCAACCGCCCCCCATGTTTGTTTTTGCCCTGGTATATACATGCTGCTTGCGAGTCCGTAAATACTAGTCGTCTCAACAACCAAGCCCATGGATTGCCACAACCGTTGGTTTTAGTCGAGTATATTTCTTTATACAGAGGAGTGTTAGGAGAGATCCCAGCCTTAAAAATCATCTCAAACATTTGGAACACTTTCGGATTGTGTAGCCGCCTAGACACCCCGGATAAGACAGCATGTGCTATTAGCTTCCTAAAATCTGGATCGGTCTGGGTTCGAAGCTCGCATCGGCCATCTTCAAAATACTCGAATAACAGGTGTTGCGCGGCTAGCATAGTAATGAGTTCAGCTGATGGTAACTTTAGAGTATGCATGTGACCCCTGTAGGAGCTGTCTGCGGTGACAATCAGGTTAGTCAATTGTATTTTGCACTTACTTCCCATTCCCTTTTGGAGCTCTTGGATTGCGATTTGTTCAACATTATCTAGAAACCCAAGGAATCGACTCTTCGACTTTGGACTGTATTCCGTATCGTGGAAATTAAGGCCATCATTTTTGAAAATCTCCATTATTTGTGAGATCTGAAATACAAATTCGCGAGGGGTTTGATTCTGGAGGTTTTGAACGTAAAATTCATCGATGCGTATCGACTTTATAAAAGCGAGAAATGACTGACATATTCGATCTGTCATGTCGATTCCGCTGAGATGAGATTTGATGAGATTTGTATGTTTGGAAAGAAATTCCACCACGGTCATATGCATGAATCTTACACCCTCCATGTCTTTATACACATTATTTCGAATGGAGGTTACTTCAAGGAAACCTTTACATAACCCATTGACCTGGCGCCTCGCAATATCTGCAAGTCTTCGCAGTTCCGCATTTGGTAACGGTTGTACGGGTAACTTGATTGCAAAATCTGGGTCAATCGATAGGTCATTTAGAAACTTATATTGAAGTATAGGTGTAGGGTATGGTCCACGATTGTAATAGGTAAGGCTTAGAAGCTCGCATGCCTTTTGACGGTCATAGACGGGGATTGAATCGAAGAGATGCTGATACAGATCATTTAACTCTGTTGGGAAGGCAGCTACCTTATGTTCAAGGTTTCGGAGGTCATCGCCATTAAGTACTCCTTGTTCGATAGCTGCTAGGACCACTCGAACCCAGAGGAAAACTCCTTCGGCTCTGTCAACGATTATATCAGCTAGTGAGTTGAGATCATGCTTGCTGACTAAAGGAGAGATTTCTGAGAGTTCTTCAAATCTGCCTTCAACAAAGATCTTGATGTCCTCTCGCGTCCACTGATGGATTCGAAAGCTCCGATAGTCCTTAAATCCAATCTCAAATTCATTCCACGGACGACTAGCCACACATATTTTGAGACATGTAGGATTAATTGTTGTCCAACGAATAATCTCTTGTATCAACGTAATGGGACGGCCACTGAACTCGTCCAACCCGTCTATAAAGAATACCATTTTATGATTCTCGAAAGCCCGGCCACTCCGGAGTAAAAGTTCGAATGCCTGCGTGCCGCTAGGATCGAAGGGGGTTTCGTTCTCATAACCTGACTCCCACTGTGATGGGAATGCGACTGGAATTAGCCCTGGTGCTGCTTTCAGTATTTGGTGAAGTAAGCAAGTTGCGAGTCCTGCTAGGTTCTTCTGTTCATCATCACCCAACCTCCAGAAAAAGGCCTTGGCGAAAATGAGATGTTTTTCACCTGCCCAGGCTTTCAGGTGTTTGTGTGTGATCTCACTTTGGCATAAGAACTTCATCAAAGTTGACTTCCCGGCACCTGGTTTTCCTGTGATATAGAATATGTTTTCCTTGTATGGTTCGTCAGAGGTCATGCCATGGCCAGGTATATCGACGTGAAGGCGGTCAAGCCCCCCTCGTAGCCACGTAGAAAATTCTCTATACTGTTTGTGTTTTTCTTGATTATACGTAGTAGTCAGATTGGTACCAGCTGTATTGTGGTTACCTTCTACTGTAGACTCTCGCTGCTCTTCTTTGGAAGGGGTTCCTGGACCCTCAAGAAGCCATTGAAAAGTGTTTTGATGCGCTGGGTCTACATTCTCAAATCGGTCATGCATTCTCGGATATCGGAGGCTGTGTAAGATGGCGGCCTGCTTGAATGGTATCTCTATAACTTCCTGAAGCTTTCGGGAAAATGCTATTGTACTGTCCGAGTTGGCCATGACTTGGTGTTGAAGCTTTTGTACGTGATCTCTCAAGTGTAGCATTTCCGTTTGAGACATAGACGTGGTATTCAATATATGTTCAAGCTTTTGTGCTAGGCCTGAGCTATATTAGGGTTAGGATCGGATCCATATAGAATTTATAACTAGCAGGCTCACCGAGACATAATGCTTATTTGAATCTGTAACTGTCTCCTATAGTCATCAAGGTTTGCTTGGAGTTCATTCCGCTCGTTATTCTTCCATATATTCCTCAGAACTGTGGTTATAATGTCGAGATTTCTTCCCGGTTTCTTGACTTTCAGGTTTTCGAGTAGCACCAAGAGCCTATTAGAAAGGTCGCTACACTGTTGTGCAAGCCTGCATAGAGCCTTTTCGTCCTCAGTTAGATTGGATGATGGTAAGTCTTTCATAACTCTTGTGCTCAGTTCTCGCATTTCCTGTGCCACAAAAGCAGTATTGTTATTAGATTGGATTGAATCCTGGCGAGATTCGTGTAACTCCTTCGCCATCCAAATGACTTTGTACCCACATTCGATGAGCTGGAGTACGTTAGATACCAGCCCTATAACCGCTAGGGCCTCCATTATTACCTTTTCTATTTCTTTTCTATTGAGCCTAGAGAAGTGAATATTTTGATATTATCGCCAACTAACGCGAACTCTCTTGATATTCACAATAGAAAGACCACGCAGCTTTGTAATAGTATCTTTCAACTTGGTATAAAATCATCCAAATGTCAGGCTCTTGTCAGATTGAATGAGGGTTGGTAGAGGTAGGAGGTGAGGGGGTTCTACGTGTCTGTGCTACTCTGTTACGGCAATAACCGCAAATTAGAGATGCAGAGAATGCATAGTCACTTGATTCCTATGTCGCATCTTTCAGACCTATAAATATCTCCCTACAAGATTGTCAGCCGTGCTGGGCTCTTTATGGTCGGAAGTCGGAAAATCAGATATTGAGCTGTACTAAGAAGCCTTTCATATCAGAGTCCTCTAAGGGCTAGACAAATACGGCCAAAGCAAAATTAATTTGATCATCATGCCAAATAATGCTTTGCCATCTAAGAGGTACCTAAAATGAAATGAGCAAAGTAAAATTCCTCATAGCTGGTGAATTGGGCTATCCAGCTCGACAAAGTTAATAAGAATTGTTTAATTAGAAACTAGGTACTGAGAAATATTGATGGAATAGGAGGTTGTATTGTGAAAGATTCTAACATTCCACTTTTAAGTAGTGGAAATCTTATATATGCGTTTAAGCATCGCACCTTCCCACAGTACCTATCCCCTTGGCTGGCATAAGACAGCAACTCCATAACTTTCAGTATTAGTACATAAGGCTTAACGTTATTCTTTAACATAATAGGAAAAGGTTTTGTCGACATACCGCTACACCACTAAAAAGTTATTTGGTAACAGGTTTTATTCTATTACATATTATATATATATCGGACAGGTTTCATGATTACTAGTCTTTAAAACCGCAACCTATAAATATTATTGGTCGATTTAGTGCCGCACGAGCGTTTTTTTCTTTTCTAGCCAATCCATATGTATTGATACTGAAAGTTGTGGAGTTGCTGTCTTACGCCAGCCAAGGGGATAAATTTAGGGATAACTTTATTTGTATTAATCATTTAGTAATTATGAAATTTAGGTAATCTTAAGCTTTCGACCAATGTGTAGACACTTTGGAGGAATTGAAACTTACTAAGAAAAGGGGGTTATGGCTCATTAGGCTACTAAAGCCTAGGCTCTAGGGGATTGACATCCTAACAATAGGAGTCATGCCTGTGTCGGGGAAAAAATTAGGTACTGAACTTGTTTAATATGTCCATAAGAGCATTGGCGGATTATTCATTCATCTACACGAATTAGAAGGTAGGTGATATTTGCCACTCCAAGGTTACATTGAGGCGGCATTACTGAGATTCGAATGCTTCGAATTGGGATACTTGATTGAGCGTTGCCGAGAATTTAGGAATATGACCAGGGACCTAACATAATAGCATCTATCGCAAAAACGACGCCGGAATTGCCAACTAGCAATTACGCCCTATATGTGACAGCTGATAAAATGGGAAAAGTTCGGAGTTACCAGAGATTGTGATAACTTCGTATATCAGCAACAGCATCAAATTGCGATCGCATAGCTACGAGGGAAGAATACCTCATTGTGACGTCGGGTGATCAGTGATCTACTTAGGTGCTATATGCAGGTAATATAAATGGGTATTAACTATGAGGGACTGGCCTGATGTTACTCCAGATACGAATATCTGGTGAGAACTGGAGGTTATGCTAAGTTATGATATCACGGAACGGAAATATGTATGGTACGGAAGTTACCAGGCAGAGTGAAGCTCAAATAGTTCAAATTTCCGTCAATGTTAAGTATTCGCAGTTACATTATGGAATTATGTGCCTTAATAGTTCGCGTAACACCGACTCTCACGATCATACCATGGTAGGTTCCGGGAGGCAAATATAAGTTAACCGGTGTTATATAGATCTGACCATACATTAGGAATCTAATAGATTTATGGTATTCAGGTTTAGGTAATATCCCCAGCTAGAAATGTATTATTGTAGTAGATACTTGGGTAAAAATTGGGTTCTTAAGCATTTCCCCTATAGCTATACTCGTAACATTCCCATTGACAAAGGACATTGAAGAAACTACCTAATATAAGGTAGGTATCTGGTATTCTATCACTAGATGTGGCCATGCCTAGGTAAGTTTTAATAAGTTATATATTTATTTACATCATTGTAATACTTTTCCCGTGAATCTAAAAGCTGGCAGAGATCTTAAGAATCCATCTCCTGAAGTATAAGTAGAATCGACCCTAATAGTACTTCTATATCTACTTTGAGAGTCTCTCGAATGAAATGATTGTTTTTAGTTAGCTAGGTTTGTTAGGATACTGACACAGTAACTAGCTCTCTGTATTGAATATTTTAGTAATTAGTCCATCTCATAGTTGTTGCGTGAGTAATCGTACAGCTTGGAATGAGCATCAAGTATTCGGGGGCCTACAGCGCCTGACTGTAACCCATAGCGTCACTTGACGTAGGCAGTAATATCTTACAGTGCTTGATATGGCATTGGTGTTGATAAGTTACAGATCCGCCTGGTTCTTTTCGCTGATTAGGCTCCTCTCTGTTAGTCCTATTAACATACTAGGAGAACGACGTTCCCTCAGGGCCGCCTGCATTGGATCTAAGAAGGCTATTCAGGGTGCATATCCGATTCCAATGGACAGTGTCCGTGAGCTCGTAGACGGTGAAGGATCTCCTGTACTCAGCAGCTTTGACAAACCTAGATGGAGGTGGCACGGGCCGATCATCAATATAATGTAAGATGCGCTACGATCATGGCCGTGGCTGGAATCTTCCACTGAAAGGCAGTTCTTGGCTCAATATCAATAAGGCTTGCAGACACGTTCGGTATGATCCGAGACGCATGTCATTGAGCCCCAATGCCTGTAGCTTTGATAGGCCGCCACCGAAATATTTGCATAACGCTAGCATACGTTCCGTAGAGTGCCAAGTCGGGTTCACACTGGATCGATCCAACTAGTGCGTAGGTAAAATCTACCGGAATATGTGCATGCGGAGAATAAGGCGTTTTCCGCTTCCGTTGAAGTAAGACGGAGATCACCGCCTATAGTTAAGAGAAGGTTAGAAGCATTTATTACCATGATTTTAGAGGTGCTGAAGGTTTCATAGTACTATCAAGATATAAGGTCTATCCATACCAAAGTACGACGTCCCTCCATAGTATTATATATCTACCTCTTAGGTAGGTCAAAGGATATTTGTACCCGAGTATATGAGATCTTAACGAACGACGCGGCGTTTCTTATTGGGAACAGTATATACCCCTTTCTGGAACTATCAGGTTGCCACGTGCTTAAGCTACCAAAAGTGGCTTGTTAAGTTCGTATAACTTGAACTATTCAAATTTTAATATCCAATTAAAGTACTGTGGCTGCTGAATTGTGAAACTAATGATGATCCTGTACTTGAAAATAAGACACTCCTATTTGTCCGATTTCTGGTAGGTACTTACCTAGTATTGTGTAGCACACGATCTGGGCGTGAGGTATGATCAAGCATCGCCGGGACGGATCGTTGCTTCGTACAACCGGTATCTGGAATATTTAATGCTAGATTCGCATATAAGAGCTAAGTATGCGCGCTTCCTAGATAGCGGGAGTTCATGCCACTTTGTCCTATCCGTACGGCCGACTGCATCAAGCACCGGTAGGCCGGTCTTCGTACTTAATAGATCTACTATTATATCAATGGGCTACTTGCACATGTCCGGATTTCCTCGGAGGTATCTTATCCGCTTCATATATACTTCTTGCCGTCTTATATCACTTAATAATAACTTGGTTTTAATTATGTTTTGTTATTGGTCGGAGATCGTACCCGATGCTAAGAAGCTTTCGATATGGTCTCTTATGTGTTAACCCATTGTGGAAATGTTGGATATGGCCGTACTAACAGGCTTATTCTCTAGATTTGATTTTATATATGGTCAATGTAGATATTATTCTACGGAATTCTTGAGCGGTCAGAAGATATACCACTATTTTGACTAGATAGATAGGGAAATACTAATCTAAAGTCTAAAGGCAACTACTAAACAGGGGATTTCTAGATGTACTTTGTTATTAGTACCTGTTTATCGAATATTGTAACATCTACTTAATCTCGTAATATTGAAACTGCCTCTTTAGCAGTATTACAACTAGTACTTGAGCTCTAGGAAGTAAAAGATTGCTATCATCCTATTCATAGTTAAAAGCTCGAATATGGAATCGTACTGGCGCAACTTGTTTCTCACATAAGACATATAGCCAAAGCTCCTCCCCTTACACTTAGTAACCTGATACGGCTTCTATATTTTTAACGTAAATATTGCGGACTATACTATGCCTAATGGTTCGGACAGCATTGTTGAATGCTTCCTAACGTAATCATACTAAAATAATGGTGCCCACTATTTCAGATGTAAGGAGGAAGAGGGATATATAACCCTCGCTCCAATCTGTACCTTTTCCCATAACCTAGCGCAGCTAGGAATTATTAAAAGCCCCTACAGAAGTTGCAAATAATAACTCGAGAGGTTATTTACCGACTGCAACTTCTGCAACGTCTCGATGGAACTATGGAGTGACTTCTCCACACTCTCTATCTCATTTTTTTCTAGATCTCCTTTTCGGATCTCCAGATGTGTCCGAAGCCTCACCACACTTAGATATATGGTCAGAGGCATAAACGTATGTGCCCTAAAGTAGCCAAGATACTCATGTTCCTTCGCCATTCGGGATATTTCCTGAGCTGCCCAGAGCCCTCGATCTTGATATTCCCACACAAGAGATTGGCTATGATCGCTTATGGACAGCGTCTCTATGATACGGCACAGGTACATGATAGCCGAATACGCGATCATGTACGAGTAAATAATCATCGGGTTCTCAGCCACAGTTAACGAGGGGTAGTTGACTTGCAGATTGTTAAGCCGTCGTGTAAGTATGCTGTCTAACCAGTCGTGTCTGGAAGTAAAATCGAGCGGAATGTTGCTATACAAAGTTTCTATTGTGTAGATCTGTTTGTGGGAGAGGGCCCGGCTGCAGATGGTGACGAGGATTACACATTCTGCTAATGGAGCATATGGTCTCATGTCGGCAGACGTCATGGTTTCTGCTAAGAAGGGTTCTTGTTGTACAATTCCTCTTTGGAAATCCTCATCCGGGCACGGAAGACGTGTAAATACCTATCAAAATCGAGAATAAGTTTCTTTTTCACGAGTGTCTCCTAGATTCCACCGAACTGCTGCAAGGAATACATTGGAACTCACTACTTCCTCGTTCAGCGTCATAGGAGAACCCTCGCTGACGCTAATGAACCGGTCAAGGCAATAGGCGACCCAGAATGTGCGCCTCTTTTCCTCTAGCGTAATCACATTATCATCACACTCTGTTCCTAAGACTCTGGGACTATCTAGCTCGTAGAGCTTTAGAAATTGGACTAGTCGGAAGACTCGGCCGGCGCTAAGCCACCCTCGTCGGTAATTGGTCTTAGCAAATTCATAGAATGTGATAAGAATCCACGCCTGCAGGTGCTCGATATGGCAAATTGGAGAGTCACTACCGTTTAGGTCCAGCTGATCGAGCATGAATCGAGTCTTAGCGTAGATGGCGTCTTGGAGACCGCTAAATTGGCTTGAGAAGGCCGTAGCGGATGTCAACATGGCATACTGTAGACATTGTTGAGGCTCACTTATGGTATTCGCATCGTTTATCCATCCGAAAGTTTTCGACTTGTTAAAGATGGGGGCAATTGGATGAACACGGTCAAAGTAAAGCTGTATTCTTCAAGTAGAGTAAGCTACCTGGGTCAGATTACTTTAGGGGGCAGAGAACCTACAAATCTGCTTTAGTGAGGTCTGGTATGAAAACATCGCCAACAGAAACCGGGCTCTGCTTCGGCGATGGATATGATGCTGCTATGGTGGGCATGACTGGGAGCTCAGAGAATAGCAACGGTGAGTGAGGTGCAGTCCCCGGTGGTCCCCATGCTAGGGGAATCGAGCCACTGAGAGGTTGTTCTTGTTCCCATTCAGGTACTACTACCAAAAGAGTTACTACTTTCGCTCAAAACCAAGACGCGGTTGCTGAATATGTCTCGGATATGTCGGATATAAGACCCCATCCGATATAGAGAATGGAAGAAAAGTAAAATGTAAGCTCAAGGAACATACAGGGAAATTGTGTCGAAATGCCCTCCTTTGATGGAGAGTCTGCTGCCAAACCAAGATCGTGGCCATTCGTCGTGTCGTTATCATCGGCTTGCGATGTAGAGAGACGGCGTTCTAGTGCAACTACCTCGAAATTTAGCATTGGCAAGGTATTTAGTTTATGTCGAGTATGGCATACCTATGCGACTACGAAGTGCTCCTATGCTTCCCTTTTTAGGACCGCGAGGTACGCGACGGTCGTTGACTTCGCACGGGATTTGGGCATTGGCGCATGCACCACATTGTGGACGTTGCCTGTCACATCGAAGCTTTTTCTTACGGCATTCTTTTCGAGACCATCCAGTTAGTATTGATCTTTAATAAAACATCGTCGTAGAACCCCGACCATCGACTCCAGATCATTATTCTTTCTAATCGACGAACAACGCCAAAATCCTATTTGTGCTGCCAGGGGCTGAGACGTTAGAACATACCTTCACAGGCATAGCCGGGCTGTTGGCGTGGCTCAGCCCGTCCATACATGACGCTTTGATTGCTTCACAAGACCTCGGTGTCTCGAACAAGCTCGAAGCGACCTTTGAGGATGAGAATAGTAAGCTTATTTCATAGCTCTATCTCACAGGTGGCTATTAGATCTCCATTCACAAGAATCTCATAAGAAATGCGCTAGATTGTCGATCAACAGCACTAGTTGATGAGAGAAGAATCTGGAATTAAAGTAGGGAGTTATGCTTCGCCAAGGCCATAAACAATACTTACCTATTTACGCCACCCGGAGCACATGCCGTGATGCCTATCAAGATTAGAGAGCCTCACTGAGAGCTGATAGAGTGCCATAACATAACCTACGCGTCGGAAAACCATTCATCATTGGCATTGTGTAGTAGTCAGCTCGCATCCCCTTACGCCATTTCTTAAGTAGGAACTACACATGAGGTCTATGCCTAAATTGCTTGATGGTGCCTACTTAGGTACGTTTATGATCAGTCTAATCTGCTCAAGGATTAATCCGGGAAACGGTAATCGACATGCGCCGCATGGCGCCCTGTAATCATCACTTGTGCTGCAGTAGAATTGTACAACTCTGACATGCTATCGACTACGATCCCCCCCACATGTCTACCTGAGCACGGATCTGAGGTACTATGTCATAGGTGTGTTCATCGATCCGAGATCTGATACGGGGGTAGTACAAACCATTCCCGGTAATGAAAGGGCGCCTGCATCCAAAACCCTGCTACCTTGATCCGACTACCGACATAAACCTCATTCGTCTAAGTCTACCAAGGCATCTAATGTCGTATTGATAAATCGGCAACGCTACTCCCGAGCCCCGCCGCGCTAGTCATGGTATTTGAAGATTTTGAGGGTAGTCCGAGGGTTTAGGGGGTTACTTAAGCTAATTTTTTTCATTTTAATAACATCTTATTGGATTCAAATGTCTCAGATAGGAGGTTAGATCTCTGCCACAACTTTCAATAACCAACCACTTCACTCCGATTCAGAGTCGATCTATGAATAATGGAGTCTCTCCAACCAACTAGATGCGGGAGACTTTCATCCTAGGTATGGAGGTGATTGTTCGTGGGGGTAAACCCATTTCACTATTGCAGGTCTTACCCATATGCCTAAGAATTCCGGATGGCTAGCCTGGAACCAATAGATATATACGTTTCACTGTTCTGAAATTAACCCCTGGTGCGCTACTTCATATACACTACTTGCTTTCCAAGATTCTAGAATCCTTAATATCATAAAGTGTGGGATCGACGCGCCTATCATGCGCGGCTAGGTACTAAAGGTCTTAGTTTCGAGACAAGGCTTTTAAGAACGTTGAAATTGAAGGACCTGTCTTTGACAACTATGAGTACTGATTGTATCCTATTAGGTATTAGAGATAACATACCAAGCATGGAGCTTCATTGTGGTAGCATACGCCGTGAATCATATTTAATGAAGCATGATATCAAATACATTGGATTTTATTTACACAAAATATGGTTAATAATGTAAGTGCTTGATATTTCATTATCAGATTCGGTTCTGTGGGATAACTCAAGGACTTTTGAAGGAGTGTAAGAGGCCTTGAGAAATTGTGTAGATTATGCACCTAATATATAAAGCGGGAGCTATATTCTATTCTACTCTAATAAATTGCTTAGTACTAATTACTTAAATAGATAAATCCAATTAAGTTTCAATTGCCCTGTCTCAGATGATTGGGTTATAGAAGCGGAAGCGATTCGAAGGGTCGTATTTTGCCTTAAGGTTGCGAAGCCTCTCTAGACGCCATGCTTCGTGACCGTACATCTGCTCTACGGGCTCGAAACCGTTGGCATAGTTGACATAAGCATTGGGAGCCCGTCCTGGCTGACCTTCGTTCCATTGGTCTCTGACCTCTATTGCCCATTCCCAAGCAGCTTTTTCTACGCTTGGGTTATTTTGAGGGACGACTGTTTGGAAAAGCATTAGGTGATGGTCAGCACGGAAAGGATAGGCGGAGTCGTCGGAGTTCTGAGCTGTAACAGCTTCGGTGGAATATCCTTCGTGAAGAATATTTCCTCCTGCGACGAGTACAGGATTGCTAGCGACACGGTTTTTGAAGCCATCATATATAAGACGTTCAGCCGTTACGTTATACACTTCAAGGCCTGCAGTAGCAGCGATTCTAATTTGATTTTCCTGGCAGAGGGAACTGTCCTCATCCGTGCCTTGGGCAACAGAGATCCTTGGATATGACACATCGTCGTATTCTTCATAAACCGCTTCGATAGCGTTGAATAGAGTCAAGTGCTTCTCGGCTTCTTCCGCGGATCCACGATAGGCAAAAGTCCAGAAGATAACCGGTTCCGTATCGGTTATTGTCGTGTTCATTTGGAAGTTTCCGAAGTTGAAAGCCATGTTGACGGGTGTAGTGCCGTTACCGTGGAAAATGTTGAGAGCTTTGAAGATTTCTTCAAGCTTTTCGCCTTTCCAGATGTAATTATGATAGTGCCATGTGTCCGGGCCTCGGGGGAAGATATTCATCTCAAAGCTTGTAACAATACCAAAATTGTGGCCCGCGCCCTTCATTGCCCACAGGAGATCGCTGTGTTCATTGAAATTGACACGAATAGCACTGCCATTAGCCAAAACAACATTGAGCTGAAGGATATTGTCGCTAATCATGCCATGAGTACCCTCGTGTCTCCCGTGTCCGCCGCCAAGACCTGGACCCCTTTTATTTGAAGCTTGTAAGTATTTATCTCCTAATGATAAGGGATGATAAAAGGGACAACGTACATCATACCCACACAATCGCAAGATCCAGTGGTAGTAACATATCCTCGGTCCCAAAGGTAAGTTGTGGCTTGACCATCGTAGACGCCACCTTGAAACCAAGCAGATTTACCGCTGGGTTGAATGTCAATGTTCCTAAGATTCTTCATATTGATCTGAACGCCGTTGAAGGAACCAAGACTTTGGGTATCGCCATGAGCACGATTTACAGTCAGGAAGTCGATACTGTTTTCATTACAGTATGTGACCTTGAGCCATTGTTAGCTAATAGGACTCGTGCAATAATATTTGTAACACTTACGATAGTTGAAATATCAGATTCCTCGCCAGGCTCAATGACAACTTGAATCTTAGGTACTGCAAAGATATTCCACCTTGTAGTAGCCTCAGTGAAGCGATCGTCATCTGGTCCAAAGATGGAAGTGGTGTTTGAGAGCTCACTACCAAGCTCCTTTTGAACCTGTGCAGCACTCAACTGGCGCCTGGTAAAGGCGGACGGCTGGAAGTATCTGGGAATGCTCGCACCAGTTGCGAGGGTCGCAAAAAGGGCGAGGTTATACACGAGAGAAGCAAAGTTCTTCATTTTGAAGACTATGATCAGGCAGACCTATTAAGATTGTACTGAGAAGGTGTGAATAGAATCAAAATTTACCAGAGAGACTTTGACAGAATATATATTTTAGTATCTCCTAAGTCTATCTCCTAACTCCTAAAACTTTGTATACCCAAGCATGGCAACATTCTAATCAAGAGCAAACTAACAAGGTACGTTTGTAAATCTGAGTAGCTTCTGACTTATTGAAAAGTCGTTATATCACATCAGCATCAATATCCATAACCGCAAGGGTTGTCTTGACTCTGACACCAAATAGACAAGAATCCTATTTCAAGGGTTCATGCTCTCTCTACCTGGGTAGGCATACGCATGTATTTCCCCGGGGCTGAAATGTTACTGAAATTTGATTGATCAGCCTTGAGGGCTCAGGTCAATGTGACATATCACTGAGCGGTCAGAACCTTGAAGTAGCTAAGCATAAGATCTACTACATGAATTGCGGCTGAAGGCTGTATCACAGCCACAGCATAAAACGACGTTCCATCTAGGCAGCTAGGTCGTGCAAATCAATCCTATTAGCACATTGGCTAATTTGTATAATAATTAACGAACAAGTAAGTTGTTCTATTGAGTTAGTTAAGGTCACTACGGCATCCCCAAGTATTTCTATCTAGGTACTTAAGCAGATAGTCTTACCAACACTTGGCCCAATGAATTTGGTAATATGGTATAGGATTCGGCTAGGTATCATCACGAGAATGTAAGCAGCTGCTTACTCCCTTCCTTCGGGCGTTAGCCCAAGGGGCCGCTGGCCAGACATTGGTATGTTAAATTCGCTCATATCACATAGGATGACAAGTAGCTAACCCCGGCAACGCTTCTTCCATCTAGATACGCCCGCTTATTCCAGTAAGAGTCACATTGACACGCCGCTTACTCGGGTAAGATTCACACTAATACGCTTACTTCAGTAAGATTTGCATCGAATTTGCAAGGCTGTTTATGTCCGATAAGGAAGAAACCATTGGTCCAATTCGCCTTGTTCTGATGCTATAGCAATTTTACAGTCCCATGATCTAAGCTGGCAACGGAGGATGCAATTATCTATTTCGAAGTCTTCGGGTATAAATTACCTGCATATACGGTTGACTATGATCATGTTGGGACTCAATATGCAATTTGGATCCTTAAGCCAGTATTAGTAGCAACGGTATATAAACATAATGCTTCTATATCGCTATGATACATGTACTTGGCCCACTTATATCATCAAATCAGAACTCGAGAAAGGTGTAAAATATACCACCTTAGGAATGGTGGAGAAAGACTTAACCAATCATATTGAAGTGGGCAATGTACCGTATTATGTTAGTATCCGATAGACAACCATATGTTAGGTTTTTATTACATTAACTACTACCTGAGTACCTAAGGTATCTTCTATTATTGTCTCTATGAATAGTTGCTATCATAGCGGGTTCTCAACATCGCGTATAATTCAGACGCAACGGGGTCACGGTTTAGAGATGGTCTCGGCATGATTAAAGAACATAGTATGACGGAAGAGTTTCGCGTCTGGTAACTATGCTAAGTAGGTGATAAAGATGAATTCATCCATCTGTCAGACTTTGATTCGGTCCTTCTCCAAGCCCTAGATTCTTATTGCTGACTTTCTTGAGTAGAAGGATATTCTAATATGTCACGTAAAGTTTAATGTCTAAGTCATCTTTCTTCTCGGATAGGATAGCTGATGACGGGCGACGAGTAGATATTCTAAGCAAGCCAACTGCTTCTGATGTATGCTTCAGCACCTGTGATTATCTGATCTGTTTGTTAACTGTTTCAATTGTCAATTTCTTAAAATTCCCTTATAACGGCTAGAAATTGTAGAAAAGAAGATGAATTTCATCATATCGAACTTACAAGCCTAGTAGCAGCTCAAGACATTATGATATAAAGAAATATCTAATGAGAAAAGTGCATTGTGAAAGACCAGACCGCAATTAGGCAATAAAGGAAGGCCAAGGTCTTAATTTTCAAAGCATCGCATTTCGAATACAGCACGATCACTCTATAAGTACCTAATGATGGTGTTAAGTAAATGCTTTACCAACTTATCTCGAGTCCAAAGTAAGCTGCATCTAGTATAATATAAGACACTATCAGTTACATGGAGGAGGGGAAGATTGGGTCTTTAATTTTGAAGAGATCCGTTGCAATAAACTTATTTTGATGTGACAACTACCTACCTGTTAAGAGAAAAGTTGTATATCAATATAATCCTAGTCGTCCGCAAACCATAATGCGATACTACGATGCAACCATAAAAGTGACGCAAGTCTTTTTGTCAAATACACCAGGCTTCCTATTCCCGTCTATTCCCGTTGATGGCCCAAAGCGCAGCGAAACCTCACGCGGGGCTAAATCTAACGCTATACTATGTATGGGACGATATTTAGGAATGATCATTTTTCAATCCTAACCGCTGGCTCGTGTGTAAAAATTATAGCTAGGATCTGTTGGCAAATGATATGAGCTTTGCTAGGGAGGCAGGACATACTCGACAAATTGAGCGCCAAAGCTTTTGCCGAATTTGCCTTTGAAAGAGTTAGTTGTCCCTGTTTCTTCCAGGGCGGCCTCCTATAAAAAAAGACAATTAGGTAACCTACTCAACTAGTTGGATAGGTGATATAACTTTGTACTTCCCCCTTTGTAGGATATCAGTCTAATCCTAGTGTGTAATGTTCAGATTAACATCAACATATAATAACACAACTTCCACTAAAAGAAGGGGATATTAGGTGGAAGGACGTTAGGAAGAAGTTCGTCTCAAAGCTAGGCTGAGCAACCGGGATCGATGTTGTGATTTCTCGTCGATAATTTACTTTTGATTGGGAGGCTGTTAGCAGTAACTTTGGAAAGTTGGTTAGAATACCCTTAGCCTCATAATACTGCAAAATCCGTCAAATCCCATTCGTGTAACGATCAAACTGTTAGTCAAGGATTGGAAATTGGCGATTAATGGAGGTGCCTTGGATTATCAGCGATAAATCATCTTATTGGTGGTTCTACATTGTTATTCACCTCATATCCCGAGACCACGGTTGTTGAAGGAGAAGGAGGCTGTGTAGGTAATTATGCCCTTACCCAAATGCACATCGACAGGGTTCAATATATCGGTAAAGTCTCGCGCTCGAGCAAGGTTTGACGAGCAACGAAACTATCGGCCGAACTCATTGTTATCAACAAATGCGATTAATTCGAACTGTACTCAGCTCAAGGTTTACATACTAGAAGGTAAGCAGTGTAGTTACACATTTGATTATCTCCTAACCCCTATGCCCGAGTTTATCCTATACCCTGTCATATGATGACTATTATAGGTAATCTATACTTCAAGAAGGCCTAGATGTCCATTACCAAAGACATTGCAAATCCTATACCCAGGATTCGCTTCCTTCAATAACGCCTCAAGCTCGATCTAGATTTATTGTTTAACTAACACGAGAGTTAACTAATATGACCATGCTTACCCGGCGTGCAAGTCGCTCTCAGTGGCGTGGTCAGGTACTTGGCCCTGGAATAATGATATTGTTGATGAATAAAGGTGCATTTCCGCTGCTACTTCTAAACTATAAATGAACGACGTGAAGTCTATGACGATATCGCAAGCAAGAAAGAAGTCAAATCTGTCAGGATTCTAGATGAGACATCTAGAACAAAGAACATGTTCAGTATATAGACGTAGAACCTTCTAGGTAGTTAGAGTTCCTTGCGGAACAACGAAGTTGTTTCCATGCTGTTTGGTTCCACCTCGTGACAAAATCTTTAAGAAATTGCTTCAGATCAAAGAACCAGGTATGTAGCGAAAATGTCAACGCTGTGTCGAGTAGTAAATAGGGTTAGATTCTAGTGCGCTTTGAATGGATTTGCCTTAAGAGTGACATTGTAATCGGCAGCCACTTTCAACGTCATAATATTTCCTCATGGGCTAGTATTAACTAGAAAAAGTTCAAGTCCAATATAATTTAGTGGACACCCAAGTTATAGCTTAAGTCGTAGAAAGCTCTCAACCGCTTTCTTAGACCGTTGATCGGGCATATAAGTTTTTCCGAAAATGTCAAGGTGGCATGAAGAGTGTGGCATTGTGAAGTTCCAGGCGTATCTTGAGAGTTGGGCGCGAATGTAAGCTCGGTGAACTTATTCTACTGGAAATATTGAGTCATATTCGAGGCGAGCTCAAGTATGTTCTGACGATGGTGGATTCTCCTAAGCATTTGAATCCGCTCGTTTATGCTTGATTGTTGGCTAGGTAGATAATATAGTGAGTCTTTGATGCCTCAACGAGCTAAAATGGAAACTAGAAGATATTATGACGATATTTTACATGAGCTATCATAAACCCCGCCGTGATTCTCCCCGGGTTCCCCTAACGGTGCTAAGCATTTGTGATCTTCATCCGTCACATTATATATCGAAATTTGCTCCTGATCTTATCCTTACTATTATCTTAAGTACTTCAGGTAAGGTAACATATAAGTTTTACCAAGTTATGAAGGTTGAATCATCAGGCAGTTTCTTACGAGCATAAAGCGATGATTTCGCGAGGGAACTTATATATTATTAAACTCCTAATAAATAAACTAGCAGTTCCTCTAAGTCAAAGCCTTCAAGTATGTAGTTTAATAGGTACCTAGCTATGGGGAATGGCTTATTATATGTTTTTCAAAGCAGAAAAATGATGCGAAGAAGTACAAGCACCAAATAATGATTATTCAGAGAAATTAAAGGAATATGGGTTTTTGGGTTATATGTTTGATACCTTCGACGAAAAGAAGACGTGTCATGCTCAAGGAAGTTGTACTATTGCTTCCTACTGAGCTCAACTAACCAACATACTGAGTAGCTGCCCCCCATTCCTTATCCTGCCTCAGGCCTTCTAAGTCTCTCTCACTTAAGCATACGATAACAGGCAAGTATCGGGACTCATCTTCGGGTGGTAAAGTATACATGATGCCGCCAAAAGGAGCCAGATTGGGTCGTCGAGTCATCGTGGGCTTACCCAGAACGCCAAAATCGACTAAGCCGGTCGCCAGCTGAGAAACGGATGAGGATCCGACATCAAGAGCCGGATTGAGGCCACCGCCGTATACCAGTTGCCCCTTATCAGCAACACCAGCTACAAAGGTAGCATAACTGCGCACGGCCCACTCGTTAGCCGACTGGTTGAGTTCAGCTCTTAGGCGTGATGCTATAGCCGATAATGTCAACTCCGGCGACGCCAAGTCTCGGTAGGAGAATCGTGTAATGGCGTGGTGGATCATCTGCCCCATATATCCCGGTGGGCAGCCAACAGCGGCGCGGACGTCGATAGCTCGCGAGAATTTGGACACGGATGAAGGGGTCACGCTACCATTTGCGATGCGCACGGCAGCAAGTCGCTTCCAATAGAATGCGCACAGCGCATCATTGCTGGAGATGTAGGACACCGAGCTATCAAATTCATCTTTGACAGATGCGGCTGCCTTAATCATAGGCATGGCCTTCTGGAAAACCCGGAAGCACGCCCACTTTAGAGGCGAAACTGGAAGTTTTGACGGTGGCGCGGGCGTAGGCGTAAACGCTGACTTTAGGAGATAGCTATGATCGCGAATTGGTTGTCCGGGATCTAGAAGAGGAATGACCTTGGTTCGGTCGATGTTGGCCTGGTCGATATAAGCCTGGGGAATGTCTTTGCCCTGCATTGCTATCGCAAGTAAAGAATTGAAGACGAATACCCCACTGGTATCTACCATATTATGCTGGTTGGCGGTGTTAAGGATCACACCACCCTTAATGAAGTTTGCTTGGACCGCCACCACAGGTGCAAACCCCATCTTCTCGACATCATAACTCATGGGGAAGCCGGGGAAAGGGCATAGAATATTTCCATCGAGTGAGGATATAGGGCCCCCTCGCTGTACTATGTCATCGTAAGAAGGACAGAGATTGGTACAGTCCCTCACATACAGGATATCGCTGCCAGAAATGCCTGAGGGCAATGGTCGTGTTCTGATGACGCCCGAATTGCCGAATCCTTGTCCTTCGTGGACTACCTGTTCGCCGAGCCAGGGAACCTTAGAAATTATTTGGTTTATTGCATCTTTCAGCGCAGCAACGACGGAATCCTGAGATACCTCCGGACTCAAAGGGAAAATGGCTAAGGCATGACTATATGTCTTGAGCTGAGGGAACTGGCCGATAACGTCTTGGAAGCGACTTGACGTATCGTTTATGGCGTGGGTATCTCCCAATCCCAGAGCGGATTGCGGTAGAATAGGTCCAGACTGCATAGTGACTTGAAATATTTCAAACTAGTGTCGATACGATTATACTGAAGCGATTGTATCTTAGATTTTTTTCACATTTAAATACATTATCATTTAACAGTCTTATATACTATACGTCACTATATCATCTACGACCTATGCTGACATCATTCGATTCAGCCAACATGAGAAATAAAGAAATAACTCCGGGTGCAATCCTCACTACCATAGAACGGGATGTTAGGTATACCACACTAGAATTCTCACAAAGCAATGTTGTCGAATTAGGAGCTTTCTCAATGGACCATATCCCCTCAGAGTTCCACATATCGAAACCTTCTCGGACATAACTTTGCTATGTCATCATTAGATAAACCACATTCCTCGTAAAAACATTGCTCTTAGATCTCCGTGATAGCATCTTCCGCCGAGAAGAGAGAATTAATAGTCCGAATGTCCATAAATGCTACTCTCTTCCATAGCGACATAATAAGTCTCACATTTTCTATGGAGGTGCTTACCACAATATCGATTTCCGACCACTCTTAGCTACGTGCATTGCGTAAACTGAAAAAATTGGCTTTGATTTTGCCCCTGACGCGGAACAAGCCATGGAGATGCATAGTCCCCAAGTTCGTAGAAGCCGTCGCTAGATCCCGACGAGAAATAATGGCATGTATTACTACGGAGGTAAATCCGAGTAGGAAGGTGATGTGTAAAATATATAGATGACTGAGCCGTTTCTATATAGGTTATGTAATGTGTGCAGTGGAGGTGGTCCCTATGTTGATGTCTGCAAGCGATTTCGTTACGGGAACCAGCATTTGCCTATCATATTATGGCACCTTCATTGTAGTTCGGTATAACTTCCGGTTAATAATAGTGTCATATCAAATGCATATTGTTCCTATCGGACATAGCGGTATGAGATTTCTATTAAGATACAAGTCACTCACTTCGCTCTATAGCCATGTCTGTGTGGTCAGAAACGTGATATACACTGTGGCTTACGACTATAGTGAGAATGTATATGTTCCTATTCGTATAATTAGAACTATCAATGAAATAATTGTGATGTTGCTATGAAGATCTATTCCAAATAATTACAATGGTTAACGACAATAGTCATGTCGGATATACTACTGTGGTAACATAGCTCACAAACTATGGAGATTACGGAGAGGCTTAGATACGAACTCCGAAAGTCCTATCACCAGACTTGCAACTTTATATAGCATTAGCGAGATGGGATTCATTGGGGTGGGACATGGATTATGAGAGGCACATATTATTGGTAAATAAGCTAGGTAAACTAACATACGCATTAAAAGGCCATCCCGGAGTTATATCGAACATAAAGTCCTGAATTTGTGTAACTTCACATATCCTATTCTGAGCCGCTATCTCAACCTTAGCACCTCGCTTATCCCTTGATACTTACCCCCTTGCTTCCCATTCTGTACTCTTCCCTGTACATCTCCCCGTGATATGCCCCCCTTTATCCATTTTCTCCTATCGGCGTTGTTTAGATGTAGAAAACATCCCAGAGTTAGATAAAATTCATAAAAGATGTTGGTGCAACGAAGTAAGAATATCCTGTAATTTCAAATAGCTCTTCCGCACCATAGATTACCCTGTCTTTTTAGTATTGTCGTACATAGATTAATCCAGATATTCGTATAACTGCTCGGACACTAACACGGAGCCATACGCAAAATACCCGGCTATCTCCGTAACAAAACGGATATACCTAGGTTGGTAACTTAGAAGAGTCACGGATTTCTTTCTTAGTTTCTCTATCTGGAATCGCCTCTTTCTACATTTTTATGTTTAAAATATTATCGAGAAAAAAAAAGCAGAGAATTGGCGGGCGTATTCAGTCTCTCAATACTAGGTATCTACCTATGAATCGGGAATTGAGACAAGTCCATAGGTACTGACCCTAAGATAGGTACACCGGTATTTCCATTTACCATTGTCCTTGGTAAATGCAATGGACTCCCTAGCATCGAACGATGGACCCGGTGATGATTTTGAAGAAAACAAGCGAATATCTAACATCTCGCAACAAGTAACAACTGCAACTACTACGACAGCACTACACAATGAAGCGCCTCGAACACACGAACAGGGTTTAGATGAGAATAATTCACCCAACGAAGGATCCAAAGAAGAAAAAGCTCCTAGTATAAAATCACAGGAGAAGCCATCTTCAAATGCGAAGTTTCAAGGGAAGGGTTCGACCGACTTAGGACCTGAGAAACATGAATCAACTACAGAGAACCTACAGCCAGCGACAGAGGCAAAGGAAGATGCTCAAGATAAATATATCCAGGGTCCCAGGTTGTATTTGGTAATGCTGTCAACCACAATGGTTTACTTCCTCATTATGCTAGACAACACGATCCTAGCAACCGTACGCAACATTTCATTCCTCGACGTAAACCATCCGTGTTGACTAACCTCGACAGGCGATCCCCTATATCACCGACGAATTCCATTCTTTACTAGACGTTGGGTGGTACGGTAGCGCGTACCAGCTAGCCTGTTCAGCACTACAGCCATTTGGGGGGAAAATCTACTCCAAGTTTAACTCTAAGGTAAGTCTACTAATGGACAGACGAACCGATTAAAAGGGCTCTGACTAATATTGTCCCCGAAGTGGTCTTTTATCATTTACCTCCTCATCTTCGAGGCCGGCTCCGCCGTATGTGGTGCCGCTTCGTCCTCGGCCATGCTTATCGGGGGGAGGGCGATTGCTGGAGTAGGTGGCTCGGGTCTGCTCAACGGAACACTCATCATTATGAACTCTTGCATTCCACCTCACCGCCAACCAGGTATTCTACATAACCCCAGACCCATCTTTTAGAGATATTGGCTAACAAGTCTTGAAGCTCTGGTCGGGTCTTTGATGGGCAGTAGGTATATTCGATCCCATCTCGTGGAGTAAACTAATTAAATATCTCCAGTTGGCCAGTTAGGTATCGCATTCGGTCCACTCATCGGGGGTGCTTTTACAGAATACGTGATCTGGAGATGGTGTAAGCCGTCCTCATACCAATACTCCTTTTCAGATTATTAACAGATCCAGGTTTCTATCTCAATCTCCCGATTGGCGGCGCCGTAGCCCTTATAATCGCCTTTATTCATATTCCAGACCACATTGCGAAGCCAAAGATGCAGGACGTCTTCAAAAACGCATTTCTAGACTTTGACCTGCTGGGGCTTGTGCTTTTCGCACCATCCGTCATCATGTTGCTCCTCGCGCTACAATATGGCGGGAATCAATACCGATGGGATAGCTCACAGGTCATTGGTCTTTTCTGCGGCTCGGGCGCTAATTTCATCGTGTGGTTGATCTGGGACTGGTATCAGGGTGTCAACGCTATGGTCCCGCTCTCGATGATGAGAAAGCGTGTTATGTTGGCTAGCTGCGTGTCTGGTTTATTCTTGAGCGGGACAATGTTCATTACGGCATACTATCTGCCTATTTACTTCCAGACCGTTCGCGCCGCTACGCCATTTACGAGCGGCGTGCATGTTCTCCCTAATATTCTGTCACAGATGATCTTTGGAATCTTAGCAGGGGGGTTGGGTAAGCAAAATATTCAGAATGATAATGAACTACCTAAATATTAACTAGAGTCTAGTTCAGAGGGTTGGATATTACCCTCCATTTGTCATCTTAGGTGCTATTCTGAACGCTATCGGATGCGGTCTTCTAAGTCTTCTATCACCTACCACATCCACAGGAGCTTGGATCGGATATCAAATCATATTCGGTATTGGTCGAGGTCTTGCTATGTCAATGGTATGTTTACACATAATCCAAATCCTGGTAAAATTAGGAGACTAATATCTTCGCACGATTCTAGTCCTTCCTTGCTATACAGAATCACCTTCCGAGACACATGATTCCAGCATCTATGTCGACGCTTGTATTCCTTCAGAATCTAAGTGCAGCCGTTATGACCGTCATCTCGCAGACTATTCTCACTAATAGCTTAATTGACATTATCCCACAGGATGCACCTGGGGTTAATCCCCAAGTTGTTATTAGCGCAGGTACAACGGCAGCAGCACTAGCTCAGGTCGTAGGCCAAGAACAGTTACCCGGTGTCTTGTGGGCTTACGCACATGCTTTACAACGACTCTGGTACTTTGCTGCTGGCATTGCCGTACCCACGTTTGTTGCTGGCTGGTTCTTTGGTTGGGATAATATCAAGGAGAAGGCTAAACGAGACAAGGAAGCTGAGATATTGAACGAGTGATTTGGGTATTCGGATATCCGGTTAGGGGTATCTTAAAGTATATGACATGTAATGTTTCGACAAAGGTAATTTGAATATAAGATCTTAGTGTATTAGGCGATAAGTTTTAATTAAATAGAAAATTAGCTTTCTTTCTATTATTAACAATTATTCTGAGAGATTGGATTGCATATCTCTGGATCCGTAGCAATGTCTTCCTTTTTGTCTCAACCATATTCTAGATATTGGTCTATGCGCTAAATTCAGATGGCTCACCAGCCACTGGAGCAAGTAATACATATAGTACGGAAGCCAAAAGGTACACCATAAATTTAGGGGTTACAGAAATAAAATTAACTCCGAATAGCTTCATTTTGCTGGTCGTTCGCGAATCTACTCTAACCCACGTGAGTTAGGTACACATACTCGAGCTAATGGGCGTATCAGTTTACATGAGCCTTTGTCCATTATATATTTATCAGAAACCCTATATCCTAGTGTGTAGTTCCAGCCAACCCGTTAATACAGCCAGTCAAGTACCTAATTATTACACCACATATCGCAAGTCCGAAGTCATAATCCGGCTTCATAGAGTAACCACAACTTTCGCAGCCGAAACCCCTTTCAAGTTAATATCCAACGCATCTTGAATATGTTCTAGACCCTTTCCTACAACCTGCGGCTCCGGCTTTGCCTTGTATTGCCCATAAGCAAGCGCAACAGGCAAAAAGTCATTGTAGATCATCCCGCCGACTTCGTTTGCCATGAGGTCGGTGCCCCAGATAAACTTTACCGACACGCCCTTTATCTTTGCGCGGAACGTCTTGGAGACGTTCCACCATATATAACCCATCATAGCACCGAGTAGGCCCACGATGTTCGCCGGCACCTTCGCCGCATCGAGAGGTATGCTTGCCTGCGCGACGAATTTGCGGCCGGGGACCGCGGCGACGATGTCGATGCAGGCCTCAAGTGACCCCTTGCCGATAGCGATGGCACCTGCGCAGGTCCTGTTCTTTAGCGCAGATATCATGGCGCTGGGAGTGTTTGGGTCATTGTAGTCGAAAACCTGTGATGCTCCTAGCTCTCTCACATACTCAAAGTTTCTGGGTGATGCTGTTGTGAGGACTTCGTATCCAGCGGCCTTTGCAAGCTGGATGGCGTTGGTTCCGACGCTTGTCGAGCCACCCCATACGATGAATGCAGTTAGTGACGTCTGGTCGCTAGGGTTTTCATACGGTGATATAGGATGTCTTAGTGCGACATAATCCTTCATGAAGAGGCCACAGGAGGCGGTGGAAATACCCATGGGTAGGACACAGGCCTTCTCGTATGACAGATCGTCCGGAATTTTAGCAGCTAAATGGCTCCGGAGTACGGTGTATTCTTGGAATGCGCCTTCTGATGGTTTAGATGATCGTTTATCCATGCCAACAGCATGGCCGACGACTCGATCGCCGAGTTTAAACAGCCGGGCTGCCTTTCCCCCCGTTCCAACCTCAACGACTTCGCCAGCTACATCGCTTCCGAGGATTATCGGGTATTTAAGCCAGCCGAACAAGTAGTTTCCACCCAACTGCTTGCCGTAGTCAACAGGATTGACGGCAATAGCGCCGTTCTTGACAACAATTTCATCGGGTCCAGGGGCCGTGTATGGTGCAGATTTAACTTCGAGCGGTTTGGCGCGTGGGTTCACGAGATACGCGGCGTGGTTTTCAGGAGGCATCATGTACGTGTATTGTATGGGTAATGGACCATATGTCAGCTAGCTGAACTTATGAGTTTGCCATGGAAAGGCCCAAAGTAACCCAGATTAAATAATTGTTGAAGGGGGGGGATCCAAGTTACACACTGCGGACCTGAACATGTTTCCCTTAGGCACCTCTTAGATCCGAAGGGGTTGGGGTTGGTTACCCAAGATCCCTACTGGTTTTAGGTAGGACAAAGGAGATAAACTAGGGGTTTGTAAACTAGTGGCGTTCGTTACTAGCCGTTTTAATATATGATCGGATACTGTAAGTAAGTATTTTAAATAAAAATTATTCTTCAAATTATGCAATTTTAATAGAGATTATTAGTATGCTGTTTTTGGATGTTATCTGTTGAAAGTAATGCCAGTATAAAAATGCATATTTACGATGTAGAGTTGAGAACTACCCGGAGCTATAAAAACGGATATAAATCTACTTGATCAAGAAGTACTATTTATATCATTTTAAATCCGAGACCCATCTGGGCAGCTATGTAACCTATGTAACACTAAGTTAACGTCTTTGATACATCAAATATCAAGCCCAGCTTGCTTAGAACGGATTTAGGAATTAATAAACAAGGGGTTACCATATGATGAATCTAACCACTTGAAGTTACTCCAGAGTCTAACCAGGATATATTCTCATATGCTTTTATATAACTTCATTGGTTGATAATAGAGCTTGTTTCTAATTGGGACCTTCGAGATGGACCTTCGAGTACTTAACTTAGTACTCGGTTTCCAAACCATATTTCTTCAACATCCAGTCAAAAATATAACAGGCAGTTATAGGATATTGCTTAAAGGCAAATTTTATATTTAGCTCAAGGAGGCGTAAACTTGTATCCGTTGCTAAGCTCTGTGGTTTTTGCTTTTAATAATTGAAGTTTTCTTTCGTTAAGGAAATGAATACTTTAGGTAGGTAGGTTATTATATATCAGCTCGTGACTTTATTAACCGGTTACTTATTACCATTACTACCTTCTCGTCTCCTGATTTACTCCTATGCAGAATATGGAGTAGCAAGTGATCAACATTTATACTGGCCTCAAGCTTTCTGCTAGGTGACCTTAAAATTAAATGAATACCTCCTAAGTAGAAAGGACAGCTTTATTAACAAGAATGAACGATTAATACTGTTGTTCCTCTTCTCTGCTAAGGGTATCATTATCATACTCCATCCTAATTCTGCTAGCCTATCGTAATTCACTTTCCCGCTACCGTAAGCTTGGTCGTGTGAACATGCATCACTTATACTACTTAGACACCTGGTATGAAATTCTTCATATCAATAACGAGATATACACTTAAAAGTACCTAATGCACGCAACGATCGCTTTTAGACCCAGCCCTTATAGAACATCCAATTGTGATCAGCTGCCCCAAATCTTGCTTCCCTCGAACGCCGCGCTGGATTTGCGAAGGAGTGAATGAGTTCGAGAAACGTATAAATGCTATACAAGCTCCTCCCATATATCTACATCGGGTACAAGAACAGGATTCTACCCATTCATATTTGCCGCGGCATCGACGTAGACCGGACAGTTGTTCGTTGCGTTTGGCCTAGCGCATTCAAGTACTCACTATGGAAGCTCAAGAAATCGTAACACAATAATTACCTAGTCCAAACAGTCCATAATCTAGAATAGTCCGTTATCGTCTCCAACATTACTAACATGCTTTCCGAGTTATACATCTACTGAAAAGTGCCCCTGATCTTGGCGTAAAGATTGGTATCGAAGAAGTTGTAGTCCGCATCGAGCTCACAAAACTCATGTTGTCTTAGTAGGCGTTCGGCAGTGGGGCGGTCCCTGGGATCACTGTGTCCTTGTTAGTTGATCATTTGAAAATGTAGATGAGAAGGACATACACTGTAAAACAATCCAGCATAAATCCCAGGGCATAGGGACTTATCGCCTCGCGCACATCATCTGCAATCGGTGGTATCTCGCCATTTGCAATTTTGTAAATCGCGCCGACAGCCTCCTCCTTGCTCCAGGGTCTTCTACCAGCGAACATCTCCAAGACCACACATCCCAAGCTCCAAATATCAACCTTCGCGCTGTAACCCTCACCTTGGGATCTGATCACTTCGGGGGCCATCCAGAATACTGACCCTTGCATCGAATTAGTCTTGTCGTTACCATAAATATTGTCCGTCTTCTTGCTTATTCCGAAATCGGAAATTTTGCATGTCCCATCCACGTCTAACAGAATGTTATCGGCCTTCAAGTCCCGGTGTAGAATACCTTCTCGGTGTAGATAGGCTAGACCAGAGAGTGCCTGCCGTGTTAATGAGCTCACTACCGGTTCCTCGAACTTCCCGTGTTTGCGCAGACAGGACCCAATGCTACCACCAGAAATGTACTCCAGAAAAATGCTGATGCTCGTTTCCTTCCTCTCGCAGCCAAGATACTGTACAATATTTACGTGGTCCAAGTTCTGCATTGTGTCTATTTCCTGGTCCAAGGCTTTTAGCAGCTCCTTCATTTTATTCTTATCACCAGCCGCGGCTTTCGGGTTGACTTCAACCTCTTTGACGGCTAAGAATTCACCTGTCGTTGCGTTCATGCCGAGATATACACGTCCGTATGTTCCTTTACCGATGAGCTCACCCTTGAACCACCGGAAAGTAGTCTGCCGCTTCGGTAGGACGTCTTGGGGAATCTGTGGTACAATCATCGAGCCGCGTTCAGGGCGTATTTGTACGACATTAGCGCCAAACATCTTTGTGCTTTTCCTCCGCTGGATCATCGACGATGCTCCAGCTCCAGCACCGGCCGATGACGTAGTATACCGCTTGTTCGCTTCATGTGCACCTCGAGCTACCTCTCGAATGGATTTCATTCGGCCAAGTCCGCTAGAACGCTGTATGTTCCGTGTTGCGACCGAGGCAATTGAAGGAGGACGTTCAAGTGCTTTTAAAGTAGACTCATCTGAGCCTAAGGTATCGCTTTCATTGTACACCGAAGATTTTGTAGTACCGGTTTCAGCAGCAGGCGTTAGAGGGTTGACACCCAATGTGGACGGACCTGCTTTACTCATCCCACCGGGAAATTCCTCATGCTCAGGTATAGGCGACACAGGAAGTTCATTCTCATCAAGTACAGGCTGATCAAGATCAAGTTCGGGGAAGAAAGCATCAAGGTTGCTAAGCAAAGCCTCGGGGGGTGGACGATTGGCCCATACGCCACGGTCAACAAATGATTTCCGGCGGTTGAGCTTACTATCATCAGACTGCCATTGTTCCGAACCAGGCGTAGCGGGTGTACGACGATGGGAGTCTCGTCCGCTTCGGATACTCTCCTCGTCATCTTCTAAATCGGGCGTGTTAGAAGTACCGGGCGAGTTAAACGATACAGATAGACTCTTCTTAGACCTCGAAGTCTTAACCCTCAAGTTTGGCTTTTTACTGTCGCTGGACTCCGAATCGCTGTCAAGTACGCTTGTCTCATTACGGCTCGGTTGCTTGCGCACTGCCTTCTTCGAGGGTTGTCTTCCTCTCATCGGAATAGCAAATAGACCATCATCGGAATCATCGTCACCTGAATCATCATCCAACGGTTTGGTAGATATTGATGGAGCCGAAAACTGTACGTCAGTCTCGGTAAAGTCCACATTGGGTCCGTAGGATTTGGGTCGGTTGGCTGGGGGATTTCCTGGCCCGGCAGCGGCTCCTGGAGCGGGATGGGCCGTACTCGGGCTTAGGTCGCCGGGGGACGGAACTCGTTGTGCTATGTCACGCATTTTAGTAATCGGATCAAGCTGAGATTTGCCCCGGTTGCCAAGGATTGGGGTGCCACCAGGCGAGTAGTCTGGGACGACGAATGGTATATCACCACGGCTCCATGTTAAGGAGCCGGGAGAACCAGACCTCGACCGAGAACTACTACGACCTGAGGCGGTAACGCCAAAATCAACGCTTGCCATTGCTCCCTTACCTCTTTGTTCTACCAAGTCCGTACCAACTGCAGGCGCAGAAGTATTCCGGGGGGGCGATACCGGCCGCTGTTGTAGCGGTATCGTTGACGGCCGAGCCAGTCGGCCCCAAGCACTTCCCATATTGATTAAGGCACCGAGGGCCGATCCTGCCGGCGGAGAAGGGGGCCCTGGGGACGGGTGTCCTGTCGACGGTCTCTGGCATTGTTCTGGGCTCGTTTCGCTCTTTGAAGTGGTAGGCCGCCTGGGACTAGGGAATCCATCTAGGCTGCCCTGTGACAGCCTCATATTATGGCCGGTTTTCCTGCTCAATGAATTTGCCTTGATTAGTGTGGCAGTCTCTACACCTGGAGGCGCCGGCGCTTTTCTCTGTGGGAAGAGGTCTGGCTTTTTCTCCTCGAACGGAGAGACACGCGGGTGGTCAAAGTCTACATTTCTACCGACAATTCCTGTTTGGGGAGAGTTTTCTTGTGGGGATGATTCCTTTAGGACTTGCCTTCGTTTAGCAAGATATGCAGCTTGCTGCTTTTCGACTTCAGCGCGATATTCGCTAGCTTTGGCTGCTAATTCTGGATCATTTGGTTTCGAACCAGTGGAAATGGTATTAGTTCTCGAGGAGGGGGGTGATGAACTAGATCTCGTACGGCCATTAAGGTGAGCGTAAGCGTCTTCGTTTAAATTAGAACCGGGTGTTAGTTGACCCCCTGATGGAACTACTGTGGGAATATTGCGACTATTTTCTCCAGATCTATTCAGTTTGATGAAGAATTTTAGGGAACCGTTCGCATCGCCCTTGTTGCGCTTATGAATCCATAAGCTTTGGTCTTCTAGTGCTTCATCATGTGTTTCTCGTCCTAGCTCAGTTAAAAAGATTTCAAACCCCTTCGGATCGGAAAGCCCAAGACTCATACAGACACTAGCACGCAAATCGGCAGCAGTATCACAATCGGTAACGTCGCACAGTCGGTAATTCCACCCATCTAGCGTTATAAGTATAAATACCCGGGGGCCATTTCTGCTGCGCCGGAACGTCGGGGCGGAATCTTGAACTGCTTCCGGCGGAGGAGTGCCAAATCGAGACCTTAGTAAATGGGGGCTCGTGGGCGAATCTGCATCGTCTGGGGAAGGGAATGAGCCATCCTCTTTTTGCTTATTTCTTCGCTTTAAGAAGCCCAGAAAGCTCTTGTTGTCCTTCGCAGAAGATGGTTCCGCCGAAGCAGGGCGATCACCTGGCTCCGCATGTTTCCCATCAGCATTGTAACGTCGATCGTTGCGACCGGCATGAATCATGTCCTCGATTCCATTCATACCATTCCGCCACATTTGACCGACCTCAGGAGACACGCCAGAGCCATATCTCGCTGCATTCGAAGAAAGCGAATCGGTACTGTTTCGGGATTTGTGATGAAATCTGGACGATGGCGACAGACTACCTGATGAGGGTTGCTGTAAAAATGAATTTGATAGTTTGGGGCTTGACCCAGGGCTATCGCTCCGTAGTGATACCCGATAATTTCCATCCCCATGCTCACTCAAACTTGGACTTAACTTCCGACTGCTCTCGATATCAATATTCTTTAACATGGCACGATGATTAGAATCCGAACTCATAGTGTTGTTAAGGGTCGGCATAGTCGTAGCTCGCGTTTGTGAAAATCCTCTAGTACTAGATCCTAACCTGATAGGGGTATTTGGAGAATCTACGTCTGTGCCGGCACCCTGCGTATAAGTGCCGGTAAGGGATTCTTTGCTGGCATGAGATGGTAAAGATTTCGCGCTGTCGACTGGTTTCCCAGTAACTATGCTTCGTATAAGACGGCGCATCCGTTTCCCCTCTTCCCTCTCTCGGGGCTGATCCCAAGTCGTGTTATTATTAACACACTCTTGTGCTAATCGCGGATACACAAGTTGGTGCATCATCCCGAAATTACCTCGACCGCCTTTCTGACTACCAAGCTCAAGGAATTGCGCCCCGTGGATATTAAGATTTTTGAATGTCTCCTGCCATTCTCTGGAGAAGTGATTCGCAGCTAGCCATAGTAGTACATGGTCTAGTGGCCATTTAGCTGCTAGCTCAGGGGGGAGTTCGGAATGGCTGGCTGTCGCGGTCGAAGTAGTCGACAGCATCCGGTTATGGAATGCATTGGTGTATAGCAACCCACGATTGGTGTCGTCGGTTAAGGTAGTACTTAGGGTATTTGAGCTGCTCGTCTGGCCGCTTACGGGCCAAGAGCTTTGGGTGGTCGTCGATTGCGTTCCCATGTCGTCGGGGAAGAAACCAGGTATTCCAACACCCTCTCCATATGTATCTCCACCTGGAATATATGTTGCAGATACCATTGCTTCGTTATTGTCATTTCCAGGTCTATAAGTATTCGACATAAGTTCGACTGGTGGGGGAGGGGGTATCGATAAGGTTCCATTTGAAGCTTGGGAATGTAGTTTCGGGTTATACGACGGGACGGGACCACCCGCTGGGGGAGGCGGGATCGCGAAGCTAGACTGTCCGCTATAAGTACGTCCCCAACTAGCCTGCCACGGTGGTTGAGGCCCTAGGGCGCTATTCGGTGGTGGACCAGGAGGTGGTGGTAGCACCACGCCGCCGGTGTTTGTCGGTGCACTGGGGTACCTAGGTGGAGGAGGGGGAATATTCAACATCGTGTTCAGTTGTCCAGGTTGACCAGCGACAGGAGGCGACATAGGCGGCGGCGGCGGGACCTGGAACGGCCGCGCCTGGTTCTGTTGGGTGTTCTGATACATATCGAGTATGCGAAACGGAATAGAACGGCATAAGTCGACTTAATTAGGTAGGTATATGACCGCAACAAAGCAGCAGAATTCGTATCGGGAAGCCCACGTGCGGTCAGGGTCGTAGGTCTTGGTAGATATACTAGATAATAGAAGATCAAAGACAATGCGGTTAAGAGACAACAACGCCAAGACAAGTAGAAGGCTGATGTGACAATGGGGGGTTATAAGATTAGATGGTCGAGATACGAGTCGAGGCAGGGCCTGTGGTCACGTTCGTAGTCGAAATAGGACTCGTCTTCAAGGGGATTGATCGGTCGAGAGATATCCTAACCAATAAACTAACTCATTCATAAACTCTTCTAGGTAGAAGAGCTGATATGATAACCGTTAGACAAAAAAGAATTCTGCGAAAAAACCCCCAGTCACAATCTACCTAGGTAAGATAGCGATATCAATGACAGCCAGCATTATGGCTAGCCTCTGAATTCAGTTCTCATGGTACCGAATTGAAATTGCGATTTTGACTAATGAGATTCGATATCTAAATATGATATTGTATTCGTCGCTGAAGTTTAATATATCGACGTCAGAGGCAAGTTGTCGTCGTAATTGTCGTCGCTGTAAATCTTAGCGTTAGAAACGAAGGTCAAGTTTGTTTGGTGTCAGGGCTGTTTTACTTTGGGGGTATTTTTCTATGCAGTACACTAGCGCAGTAGCGTAGAACCCTACATGGAAAACATGGGAAGCATGGGAAGTCCAGTCTGGGCCGTTAGTTACCTCCACAAGACTCCACGTCGTACCTTCGTACAGTAGCGTGTAGAAGTCGGCGGCTACGCGCTTACAGGTGATGATGGTGGGGACTACCTAGGTAGTGTGTGACTATTCGGGTTTAGTTCCACTGTTAATACATATCCGGTACCTTAGCTGCATAGAACATATCCCGATGAAACGTAGTTGATAGGTATCAGTCCAATTATTTTACTTTGCGACATCCAACATCAATTAGTTAGAACTTTTAAAACAATATTTTATAGTCCTAACATTCGCAGCGAGCTGATATGGTTTACAGCATTCGTCGAAACCTACAAGGATAGATAAATATATGAAGGAAAAGCAACACTGAAAATTTTATTATTTTTATTATTAGCAGGTAGGTATAAGATCGCATTCATACATGAAAGCTCAACGGTAATCGGCTTCATAGTTGACAACTTTTGACCAACTTGTGTGAATTTCTTGGCATTGCAAGGTTCTGTCTTCCGATGCTCCGAGCATTGAAGTTTGTATGTATGCGGTCAACAGATTGGAAACATCTCTAACCTCTTTTCCTTATATCTCCATTCTATTTATCCCCCTTTTCGAGGGGGGCTTATTGGTGTGGAGGGAGACAAAAAATGGTGTACAACAAAACACCAAAGACGCTTATCTCAATCCAGTTGTAAAAAGGTACATGAGGTTACCACTATATACAATCACAGTGCGAACAATATATTCTAAGACGTTATATAATCACATTACCCCCTCAGAAGTAAGGAGAAGGTTTACGAGAAGCAATTTCGGGACTGTGTAGCCGTGGAAGTCGGCAACCATCACGCAAGGTGCAATGCGCATCATCCCATTTGTTTAATGTGCTAGGTGCATTGCATTTGTCCACCCTCTTCGGTCCACTCTCCAATCCAAGCGCCTGCAGCGCAGCTTTAGCCCGATGTATTGATAGGCTGTTGTATGTTATGGAAAATGTTTGTATCCCGAGACTTTGAGGTGGCTTGCGCGGACAGGTGTAAATACTACATTTACATTAGTTATTACTGGTTTTACTTGGAATAGCCATTTAAAATCTATTAGGCAATGGATTTATAATAGAGACATCCCTTTGATATATATACTATATCAATTATGTCTATAAAAGCTTTTTTCAATTAATTAGTTAATACTTTGAAAAGTAACCCTAAAACGGAATTACCTCGTAAGCGGGTCAGCCGTAATAATGAGATGCCTGAAGAAGATATGATAGAATATCGAAACGGTCTTCCTTGCATGAGGCTCTCGATTCCTCCTTTTCTAACTTATAACCACGAATCAAGTACTGCCAATCAATATCATATCTCTAATATCTTTGGCCCCCAATAACATGTATGTATACCCCTGTCTAGAGCCTGCCTTTGGGGGCCATTTCAATACCCAACCTTTGGTTAATAAATGAGGTGTCTGCTGTGCCTTGCAGGATTTCGGAATTGCAGAGACATGCAGTCAAATGAATCATACACATCTTATGTACCTGACATTATAAGTTGTGTAACCTATATTCAACACCGTTACCACCGTTACCAGCCTAGATAACTTACCCGAGGTAGCTGGCATCAATAGAACAAGATTTTATTACATTGGTACCGTAGATATATACTCTCAAAACCTCGAGCATCGATTACATTACGCTGCAAGATTTAACGTCGAACCCATAAGATTGCTGGCACTGCTCTAGGTATCCAGCCTCCTCAGCCGTGCCAGTTAAAGTGTTGTGAGGCCGTATCAAGCCCGTCACTTTAAGACTCTGCTTGCCATCGCTGTGCCACCACCGGAGCTTCTGGATCCATGATTGTTCATCATCATCCGTGCTGATCTCCCATTTACCTGAGCTGACCACCACTGTGCATTGCTCCTTAGGGAAATGATACTCTGGGAGGAACACTGTCGTAGGAAAATCCGAAGGCGCACTTGTTCCATCGATATTCAATGTAAACTCGCAATTCTTCAAATCGAAAACGTAGTTTACTATAGGACCGTTTGTAACTATTGGTGCAGGTCGGACATACGCCTCCGCGGCACGGTAACCAGGTGCATTAGTCAATTCAGGATTCGGGCTAGGCGGCGTAGATGATGATATTGAAGGATTTGTTAAGGTGCGCTTCAAGTTGCTAGGCGTGACCGAGGTTTCATCTTCTACTTCTTTCCTGCTGTTAGTAGTAGCCGTTTTTAAGAGACTGGATGTTGATTGGTTAAGGTCAGGTGTTCGAGGTACCGAAGAAACAGGCAAAGTCTGGTCATCAACAGAGAAAATGGATAAATCTTCTCCGTTCCATTGGTCTCCCCGCTGGTGATCGTTCTAAGTAATTGGTTAGTAACGAACTAAAGATAGATGTGCATATATTTGAAATCTTACCGTAGCTGAGTACAGCCACAATGTATACCCTTCCATCGCTGCACCCTCCACAGCAAAGTGATTCGCATCCATAGCTGCAGATTGACTCGAATAATCTCCAGTTTTATATGCGTGTTTATCATCCATGTCATACGGAATACCAAACTCGGTAAGAATGCACGGATGGTTGCCCATATAGTCCAGGCCTTCTTTCCTCATGGACGCCAATTGATCTTTGAAGCAATTCCGAATCGCTGTCTCGCCGACCTTGATGGCGAAAGCTGGATGCCAGTAACGACCACGGAGGATGCCCATGACATCAACGTTCCACGTCCGATTCCATTTCTTAGTCATGAGAGTGATACCATCGTAGTAGTGCGGTGCATAAACCATTCTCGGGTCATCATCTGCCGTACCCTTGATATTCGGTGGTAACTCTAGGGTTGGAGGTTGACATAGCATAATCGCGTCCTTATGGATTCCTCGGATAGCATCTCGGTATTTCCGATAGAATGCCATGAAGTATATGTTCGTAAAAGCATGATAATCAAGCTTGTCGCCGCTAGTTGGGTGCTTCTCGAAGTAGTTCTTTTGCAAGAGTGCGCCTTGAGAGTCTTGAGAGGGATCCCACACTCCGTGTTGGGCCCAAAGGCATTCTCCCAATTTCCAGTCCGGATCCCGCTTCCAGCCGTATCGAGTTTCATCATAATCTGCTGGCAACCAAGCCATCTCGCCGTGGGGATCAATCAGAGCACGCCCAACCTTGTATGGGCCTAAACCTCCCATATCCCACGTATCCACTTCACATGCTCGCCCAGAACCAGTCAGGATAGCCTGCCAAAGTGTTGGACATGTACCTTTTTTGAGGTTCTGTTCGCTCGGAATAACACTCAAATCAACATGTCCAATCATGCCCCTATTTGGCTCATTAAGACTCTCCCACCCAAAGACAATATCATTCTCAATATCACCAGCTTCATGTATGCGCCTCGCGAGATGTTCACAAGCACGTATGAAATGACCTTGTAAATAGTCTTGAATATTTATGCCATCGATTATGCATTTAGGAGCGAAATCTCGACCGGCGAAAAAAAGCGTAAATATCGTTGCGGCCGCAAGTCGAACGTAGTTGGTTGACCAGATCATCTTAGGGAAACTCTCGGGCTCGGGATACGTATTATGAACTATTGCGGCCTCGGTAGCAGCGAAACTCTGGGGATTTAGTCCACAGGCATAAACTGTCCACATAGGAGCACCGGATCCGCCACAATACCTCGACCACTAATCAATTTCGACAGTTAGTATGTAGAGACATGAATACCATAAGAAGTTTTTATATAAAAACAAAACATACCACATCTTGGTGAGGGTCCATGAATATATAAAATCCATACTCTTTAGCGGCCCGTAGAACATCAATCGTGTGTTGAATCCAGACCTCGTCATACTTCCCTGGGCCGGCTGCCTCGATAGCCTCCCATGTGAATACATAGCGAATAGTATTATATCCAAAACGCTTAAGGCGGGAAAAATGTATATGTGCGTCTTCTTTCCTGAATGGTCGGCTGTGGAATTTCACATTGTCGCCGTCAAAAAAGTCTTGGGAAACATGCGAGGGTACGTCGGGTTGGCTGGGTAGCTTGGCGTCGCCTGCGACATTGATGCCTCTTAACAAGACATGTCTCCCATGCTCATCCTGAAAATGACCATCTTCAATAATCAGGCGTAGAGAAGAAGCCATGAAGGAAGAAAAAAGTAAGGGTTAAATAGGTTATTACTAGGCCGAGTGAGAGTATGTGTCTAGACTTTGGAAAAGAATAATCAAGACCAAAGTGTTAGGAATAAAAGAGACCTAACAAATGCCAATGACGTCGGTGCAAAGGTTAAACAAGAAACGAATCGGAACTTCCGGGGACAGCAGTTACAAGAAGCCGAAGGCCACCAGCTTTCATAACCTTATCGGAATCGATAAGGAAGATGTAAAGGTAAAGATTAATATATCAAGATTGAGTTTAGGTATCAGGGGTATTAGGTTAGGGAGGAGAATATCACTAGGAGGAAAAATAGGTATAGGAAACAAAGAGGTTTTATATTGCAACAATCATTTGATGCCAACCCGTTAAACATGCATTTATTTAGTGGTCCTCAGTTCCAAATAGCAAAATGCAGCTGATCCAATGTATGTAGATATAGAATTGGTTGGATAATAGTTATACGTAGAAATGTGCACAAGATGAAGTAGCCTCCACACGCGTCAGACACAGGACGAATAAGCAATGTGACGGTGCTAGGTTAGGTACCTTACCTACCACTTACCAACCTTAAGCCTTTGGTATCTATGTACCTACAGCCGATGTTTTACCTGCAGATCCCCAGTACTTTGATCAACCCGAAGTTTAGCCGAGGCCCACTTGCCGGCTGCTATGTGTGCCCGAGACACACTCTTTGCAAAACAATCATGGGCCAATACCGACCCAAACTAAAAAAAAAAAAAAGGTAATCAATGATGAAATACCAAAAAGCATCTTGATAAATTTCGTATCCTCAATCATATCAAGATATGAAATTCAGCATCCCTAGTACAACCTCTCTAAGATGGCGAGCATCAAGGCCTCATTGAAGGCTATTAACGATGCTATTCGCCAACAGAAATGGGACGACGCCTTGACACAGGCCGAAAATGTCATTAGTAGAGATGCAAATTCCTACCAAGCGTATGTAGTTAATTCTGCGGAATCCACTCTTTCGTTGAAAAATCTGACATTAGTATTAGCTACGTATTCAAGGCATTCGCCTTAGATAAGAAGAACCAGCCAGAACTAGCCGAAGATGCGTATAAGACAGCTATTAGCATTCGATCCGATGCTCAAGCATGGCAAGGCTTAGTCAAGATTTACGAGAAGCAAGGACCAAAAGCTATCCAAAAGTACCAAAAGGCTGCTCTTAAGCTTGCTGAGATCTTTAGAGATGCCAATGAGATGTACAAGTGTCAAGATGTTATTGACAAGTTCATCGACTTCGCCCGTACCCGTGGTGATCGGACTCAATACATTCAAGCCCTTCGTCTCATACTTCCTAATAGTCCCATCTATCCCGCTCTCGAGGGTCGTGTTCCTCATCCCGCCAAAACTTACGAAACGATAGCTCAAATCTTAGAGGTCGATGAAAAGAAACGGATCAATACGCTCATTGGCGAACGGCGTACGAGATTAGGCGCCAAAATCAGCGAGGTGACCGTTGAGGTTAATCGTGAAGTACTATGTCAGAGCGAGCTAGGCGAAATCTACGAGCAGCTCATCCTCTGGATTCAAGATGATGATGTTAGGCGTCAGTACGAGGAAAAGTTACTCCAATTTCGATATGACCGCCTTCTAGTTACTGCGCCACCAAACAAAGCTAGCGAGCTCCAAGTTGTGCAGAAATTAGCAAACGATATGGTTATCATCAAACACCCCTTCAAGCTCGCATGGGATATCGCAATTGAGTGGCGGGACCATAAAGAGATCAAGGATTGGGACGTCAATGTGCTCAATGAATACTGTTCCTTTTTTCCTAATTCTGACCTCTATCGTGTCTTAACTGGGTTTATGACAAGCGACTTATCTCCTTTCCCGAAAAAAGAGCCAGAAGCTCCAGCTACTGTACCTACATCCGAGGCCGATGATGAAAGCGAAGACGATGAAGACGGCGGCGCGCCAACATCGGTGGTCCCTTACACTGATGAAGATAGACTCTTGATGATGTCAGAAGGGATTTCAACTACCAATTCTTTACTCGCTCACAGATTGATGGGGGAGTACTATCAGCACTTAGAAGAACATGAAAGCAACGTTGAGCTCATGAGAAAGGCTATGAAAATCATGATCACAGAAACCGAAAAGACCGGGAAGATTTTTACGAACGCTAATCAATCTTTCATGCTCTATTTAGGCACTGCGTTAGTATTTTATCAGTCTCCCAGAAACCACGGCGAAGCAAAGTTCCTTTTCGATAAGGTACTCGAGGTAGATCCTACGTCAACTTCTGCTATGATTGGTGTTGGTCTTATCTACGAAGAAGAGGAGGAGTACGATCAAGCAATTGAGTTCTTAGAACGCGCACTCAAGGGTGACAGTGCCAATCTCCGTGTACGTGCAGAGGTTGGCTGGCTATTTTCACTGAAGGGCGACTATACACGTGGCAAGGCAGAGCTCGAATCTCTCCTACCACTCATGACGCGTGCTTCGGTTTCGAAAGATTTGTTAGCCCAGACGCAATATCGTTTAGGTTGCTGTATTTGGAATCTCGACACCTCGAAAGCTGCTAGGAAGAACCGCAACGGCGCGTATGCGTACTTTTTAGATGCGCTAAGGAGCAATTTCAGTTATGCACCGGCATACGGTAGTCTCGGGATCTACTATGAAGATTATGCGAAAGATAAGAAGAGGGCCCGAAGATGTTTTCTCAAAGCCGTAGAGCTTTCTTCCGCAGAAGTCGAGTCTGCCGAGAGGTTGGCACGGTCGTTTGCCGACGACGGAGACTGGGATCGGGTTGAGTTAGTGGCGCAGCGAGTAGTAGATTCAGGCAGAGTCAGACCACCTCCTGGATCAAAGAAGAAAGGAATCAGCTGGCCTCTTTCTGCATTAGGGGTCGCGGAACTAAATAAGCAAGATTATTCCAAGGCTATCGTTTCATTTCAACATGCTTTGCGGATAGCACCCGAAGATTACCATTCGTGGGTCGGTCTAGGGGAGAGTTATCATAGCTCCGGAAGATATATCGCCGCAACAAAAGCAATTCAGACTGCGCAGAAACTGGAAGAGAAGATGGATCACGGTAAGATCGGCGACACTTGGTTTACCAAGTATATGCTGGCTAATGTCAAGCGTGAACTTGGTGAATTCGACGAAGCCATCGCCTTGTACCATGGGGTTATTTCAACCCGACCAGAAGAGGAAGGCGTCGCAATAGCTATGATGCAGACCATGGTCGAAAATGCTTTAGATTGCGTCGAGAAAGGTATATTTGGTAAATCAATCGAACTAGCGACCGATACTTTGACTTTTGCGCTCACTGTGCCTACAAAGATCACCAGCACGTTTAATTTCTGGAAGGTGGTTGGCGATTCATGTTCCATTTTTGCTTCTGTCCAGAGTCGATTACATGATTTTCCGACTGACAACGTCCGGAAACTACTTGACCTTGGTGCAGGAGACAAGTCTGCGTACGCGATACTGCAAGATGCCGATAACGTGGGCAAAGAAGTTATTTTTGCTGAAGGCATCTTTCCAGATGATGAGCAGCTTGGGGTAGATCTTACGCGATGTCTGCATGCCACCATCTTAGCCCACAAGCGAGCAATTCATGAGTCGGCCAACGATATTCACGCTCAAGCGGTTGCATATTACAACTTGGGCTGGGCCGAAAACCGTGCACACCTTTGCCTCCCTTCGCATCTCCGAGTTCAGTCCAGTAGATACCAGAAAGCTGCTGTCCGGTGCTTTAAACGTGCAATTGAGCTAGAGGCTGGGAATCCGGAATTCTGGAACTCACTAGGTGTTGTCACGAGCGAGATAAATCCATCCGTGGCGCAGCATGCATTTGTCCGGAGCCTGTTCCTTAATGAAAGAAGCCCGCATGCATGGTCGAATCTTGGCACTCTTGCACTACTCCAGAATGACATTCAACTCGCCAATGAAGCCTTTACGCGAGCACAGTCTAATGACCCCGATTATGCCCATGCCTGGCTGGGTCAAGGCTTTGTCGCCCTTCTTTACGGTGATCCTAAAGAAGCTCGCAGTTTATTCACCCATGCAATGGATATTTCTGAGTCGTCTTCACTATTAACCAGACGCCAATACCCAATGTCTCTATTCGACTATATACTCACAAGTCCGTCAGATTTAAGTGTTTCGTCTCTAATCCAACCACTATTTGCACTCACCCAATTGCGTCGTCTCAATCCTCAAGATCTTTCGTATCAGCATCTATCGACGCTATACCAAGAGCGAACGAACGACAGCCTCAGAGCAATAGACACTCTCGAGAAGGCGTGCGAGAAATTGGAGATGAGTTACGAAGCCACCGAGTCCGCAGAGTCGCTCGGGCGGTTTGCCCTAGCCAAAACGGACCTGGCTCGATCTTATCTCTCGGCTGCTCGATACGCAGAAGCTATTGACTGCGGTGAAATGGCTTTGCAATTAAGCAGCGATGAGTCCGCAAACGAACTAACAGCCGAACAACGCAGAAAAGCTAGATTATCAGCACACTTGACGGTGGGTTTAGCAGAGTATTTCTCCAAGAACATTGATGCAGCCGTGTCGTATTTTGAAACAGCATTAAGTGAATCCAACGGCAATCCAGATGCAGTTTGCGTTCTAGCTCAAATGCTATGGGCTACGGGTACGGAACATGGTCGAGAAAGAGCCCGCACCATTCTATTTGATGTGATAGAGAAGGACTTAAGCCACGTACAATCCGTGCTTCTTCTAGGTATCATAGCATTACTTGATGAAGATGAGGAGTCTCTGGACGCCGTTGTCTCGGAACTTCAAACACTCCGTACCAATGATAAAGTTACTGATACAGAGCATTCCCAAATTGGAGAAGTATTCCGCGCCGTAGCCGCCCTATCGCAGAACAGCACAGGGGACGATATTCTTACTCAGCTTCAAAACGACGTTATGTTATACCCGCACCTCCCACATGGATGGTCGAGGTTAGCCGAGGTTAGCGGGGAAGAATATCCAGCAGATATGGCCTTGAACGTGGCATTGAAGGCTATGCCGCCGAGGGGAGAACTAGGTGCTATAGATCTTGCCGATGCATATGCCGGAACTGGCAAGGCTTCCGATGCTCAGACGGCGATCTTCGTAGCTCCTTGGAACTGCAGTGGCTGGGAGTCTCTGAGTAGTGCAGTTAACTGCTGATTGACTGCATTTTTGATTCTCGGTATGTTACACAATTCCATTTGATTTCAATTTACACCTTTCAGCTGTTATGATGATACCTATGTCAAAAATATGTTTCAAGACGGGGCTGAGATCTTCATTGATGCATAACTATCCTATCTGATGCAGCTTGTCCTTTTAATCTTCTTGATTTTCACTATCGGTTAGTAATAAGCTAACTCGATACAACTAGGTCCACGGTCTTGGTAATGTTGGCGTTCGGCATATGGCAGCATAGCAGCACTAATGTGCATGTATAATGGATAGTGAGAATGATACATGAAATGAGAAGAAATGAATGACGACAATCTGATTTGCGTGGATCATAGACATCTTCGCTATTGGCAACGGTGTTCAATGACATGGCAGATATGAAATCTCACGAGTTTAGGCATTTTAATAGGTACTTAGCAACCATAGCTCAGTCTTATAAAGAGGAATACTAAACTCTGGCCTAATCATTCCGAGGGGAAAACAAAATTTAATGACTCGTTGAATTGATTTATATATGCCGGTACAGCCTTGATAATACGTAAATTATTACGACGGCCTACTAAGTTTTTAGGGACAGCAAGCGCCAGAACTTCGTATCTCAAAGCACGTAAAAGGTACCATAGCGGCAAAGGGTGGTTTTGAGAAACGGTTACTTATACTTATAATTATTTACCTAAAAAACATCGTTTTTGTCTAGATTATCATTTTTGGGTAAAACATTGTTTCCCAACTTAAAATTAAGATTTTTTTTGATTAGATAAAATATATAATGCTGAATAATAAGACATTCTCGCGTGTATATATTAAACCCCAATTGGCCTAATAGTAAAACCCGTAACCCGTAAATCCCGTAATATATCCAAAATCCACTATTCGAATCAGCTCAAATGTAAAAAAAAAAAAAAAAAATAATAAATAAAAAAAAAAAAAAAAAATAATAAATAAAAAAAAAATAAAAGAATTAAAAAATTTTTTTTTTTTTTCGAGAAACGATTATTCGTCGAGAAATAATTCTTTAAAAAATAACGTTGCCTTTTTAATGAATAATGCATATGGGAGATACGGTACTTGGTCGAGGAATCGTTTCTCAAAACCACCTTTTGCCGCTATGGTAGGTACCTAAGGCTATACGTTGCGATTACCAGGTGATACCGAGCCATACTCGATGTAGACGAGTATAAGGAGGAATGGGATGGTTAAAGATTATGTCATAATAGGTAGGTAGCTTTAATTGAGCTGGTTTCGTCAAGTCTGGACAGTTTCCGACAATGAGACTTATGTAATACCGAGCTATAACTTAGTACCTATTGTTGACTAAAGATAGAAACCTGACTATAGGTAATCGCATGAAACAAGTAGGTATGTGCCTAAATCGCAACCCGAACCAGCGACTGGATATTACAAAATAAGTAGCTCAAGTCATACTTCACATCATTACGATGGAATGCTTCAAATCTATTGAATTTCCATTGCTAACTTCTCAACCTAGTACTTTTACTATTGGCCTACCCAGCCGCACCCTATCCACAGGAGTACCAGGAAAAAAGACCCAAGACTATCGGATAAACCGCCTGTGGTATCTCAAGAAAAGGAGTGATAAGACCACACTACCATAATCCACGTTCCATCGACGCCGCATGTTACTTTTCTGTATGAATATCCATGCACAAACGCACTTGAGCCTACCGATTTTAGTAGTAAACCATACTTCATCAGGCCCCCCTTCTAATAGACTACCTATCTTATACGCAGGCGGCGTGCACGACAATGCCACGAGCCAAATCCTGCCCGATCGAATCGCCATTTGGCAGCTAAACGCTTACAAGTGCGGCGAAATGTCGACGCAAGTCCCAAAAATGTACCTAAGGCTACGCAAATTCGGTACTCCCCAACTTAACGGTTCATGCTAAAAACTTTAGGTACGGGGACTGGAGTCTGTTTCGTTGACTGTATCGAATACTTTGATTTGTCCTGCTTCGCCTTCTTGTTGCTGGAACTACCGTTTGGTGTCTGGGGTAAGATAGGCGTTTCCTTGCTGGAGCTCGGAACTTTGGAAGATGTGGGTTTAGTGGTCTTAGGTCTCTTTGCAGACTTCTCCTGAGATCGAGGTTCTTGAACTGGAGCTGATTTGCCTTCTCCTTCAGGTTGTTTTCGCTTTAGCTTCCCATTGACAACCTCTGGTTTCTTGGACTTTTTCGAATTGGTCGCGGTAGGTAATACCGCCGAGTCTTTGTCAGATGTACTCTCCGACTCACTATCCGATTCAGATGAAGAAACTGCTCTCGTTACCACCGGTGCAGGACGAGACTCCAAGGATTGGACCTGTGGCGTAGAGCTAGGGACGCCAATAGGGGTGAAACGAGGTCTTAGACCCTGTGGCTGTTCTCGAATGGCCTTCGGTACTGGTGCATAATCCTCGGTGGCAGTAGCGCTGACAGTGCCACCAGGTCCGAATTTAGCTATGCGACGGAGATGCACAGTTGAGTCGATTCCACGATTCACTTCTGATTGTTAACTACCTTTATTTGAAATTAGGGAACTAGGAAGTGCAACTCACGAGAAGTATAGTTATCTCCTCCTTTTGAAGGGATAAGCAGCTGAATCTGTGTGCTAGTGGCATGCGACTCAAGGTCTAGGCCGTAATCGTCGCCCTTATGATTTAGTAATGTTTCTCCAGGAGTTGCCTTGGATAGATCAATCTCTATGTCTCTGAGCACAGTAATTGGTAATGACGCTGGTGCCGTGAAGTACCACACCTGCTTCCCTTCCAAGTTAGTTTTGTTAAAAAACTCTGCAACGTCTTTGGCGGGGTTGTCGGATGAAGCTTTGCGAATCGTAAATTCAGAGCTATTAAGCCAGCCAGGTCGAGAACTAAAATAACGGCATTAGCTTATAATCGGTCAAGACAGGTGCTGCAACTCCTGAACTCACACTTCAGAAGCATCATTGCCATTGACTCTAGAAATGGCGGCCTGGTCATTATCTATCTCCATGCCATGCGCTTCCTCGCTCTCATCATCGGAACTACTATCGCTAGCCTCGTCGCTAGAAGATTCAGCCTCGACAGCCTTTTGTGCACTGGGCTTTTCATCATCACTCTCGCTGTCCGATGAACTCTCTGCTTCCTTCTCATCTTTATTTCCCCCTTTTACCGCCGCGCCATTCTTAGTCGGGCCACCATCGCTAGAATCTGAGCTCTCGGAGTCGGAATCGGAATCGGAGTTAGATTCATTAGGACCTGCTGAAGCTGCTGCCTTAGTAGAAGCTTTAGATGATGATGCGCCCGCGTTCGGGATAGTCTTGGTAGGTCCAGACTTAGTAACGTTCGCTTTTGGTTCAGTAACCTTGCGCTTAGTTGCCTGCTTTGCAGCGTACTTGCTCTTGGCAGCCTCGAGGTCGTTTTCGCTATCGCTACCACTTCCGGAGCTGTCGTCGGAGCTGCTAGTGCCACTGTCATCATCGCTACTGGTATCCTTGGCTAGCTTTTGAATTTTTTGTAACTGGGTAGATCCTAGAGGTTTAGTTTTGGATGCATTCTTCTTATCGCGAACAGTTGAAGCCATGTCATTGAGTGATCCCATTGGGATGCGGGTGCGGTTCTTCGACATTGTGAATATATGCGCCGAGCGGCAACGAGGCGCTGTGAATGTAGGCTCTTGAGTGCAAAATGCGACAGGAATATAAGTTCAAAATATATTCCTCAGGCTGGCTGATGAAATGCTAGTTAGTTCAGCTAAACCTGTTCAAAAGACTACAAGAAAATTTGTTGGAGAAGTGCAAATTGAAGAGGTGGTGATGTTGAAAATATTAAAAAGGTGAATTATTAAATGTAATTGATGAACTAAATTTCACGCTCTGCTCTGATCATAGAAATTTTTTGGAGAGCTCTTAATGCTAGACGCGGCGCGCTTCCTTATCAGGGCAGTCGCGGGGCCGGGATGATGTGGGGCAATAGCTAGGTACCTGAATACTTTGATAAATCCCCTTTAGAAGGTACCTCTGTATTATATAATCGCTGATAGCCGGAAAAATATAGATCCAACACTTCACATCTGGGCAGCTTATACATGTACATTAAAATGCACAATACGAGGTACATAGATGCAACGTACCTGCATAAGCCCCACTGATGAATTGCATAGAGGAACTTTTAGAGGAACTTTTATCAACACTAACTCACTAAAGTCTCATATTTTCTTACAAACTTCAATGGCTATAAGGCGCGATGGCCATGAATAAGAAGAGGAAGCTAAATATATCAGAACCTCCATCAGGTCTGTTTAACTCTATTATTGCCTTGTCATTAATAGTTTCTATAAAATGTGGATGGAATGCTTATATATCATTAGCCATGAGCGCCTTTGCTCTTCGTAAAAGACTTCTTGGCCAGCAAATTACCACTACATCGCCGAATGTAAACGCAGCTGATGAGACTATATTAGTCCCCAAAGTCCCATCATCATTAGATACTTCGGGGACTAGCAAGACTAGAAGTCCAAAGAAGACAAGGAAGACCCCAAATGTTCAATCATTGTCAAGCGTTGATAACGAACCCAGTATCGACGTGAAAGACACATTATCAGGAAATTCATCTCCCTTTAAAGACGATACCATAATCCTTAGCTCTCCTAATGTCCCCTCTAGAAGTCCTTCGCCTTCTATAGCCGATGATGAGATATTAGTGAGGTCGGCTAAGGCATTGTCTGTCCACCTCTCTAACTTTAAGCCATCCAAAAGCAACTACCAAAAACGAAAAGATGGGAGGATACTATTAAAGCTATTGGATGGAGAGGTTTGCTTCCCCTATTCGTTGTTCCAGAAACCCAAACTCACAAATAGCAGCGCTTAGTGATTCTCGGCAGCTATGGCATACGCGTGAAATCCGGCGAGATAACCCTCAATGGCGCGATACTGAGGATTTCAGACAGGGTGCATTGGGTAAATGCGCCACATTGCCATGCACTCCCTGTCATTAGATGCTCAAATGATGCTAGCCTAGAACTACTCCCTCATCCAACCGCTTCTGGACTGAGAAGTTTAGGGAAGCTCGCTCCTCAGTTTAGGAAGCTCTGGAATGAATCTAGTATATCGTCAAACAAGAACAGTGTTTCGCCTTACACAACATTTTTAATAGTAAGGATCCTCGAGACATTTTAATGAGCTATGCAGCTGACGATGCCCATAGCTATATACTTCGGCAGATGGCCCAAAGAAAACGATTTTGCAAGATTTAGTATCCCCACCAGAGTGGAATAGGGAGATTGCTAAATTAGTCGATATTGCAAGCTCGAAACCAAGCTCGTTTATGATCACGGGCCCAAAATCTTCTGGGAAATCTACATTTGGCAAGTTACTTGCGAACCGACTTATCACAGATCAGTCAAGTAGCTCCAAACGCAGAGTCCACCGCGGAGTGGCTGTACTCGACCTTGACCCAGGACAGCCTGAATACTGCGTCGCCGGCCAAGTTGCTCTAGTATTCCTGACTGAGCCCGTGTTTAGTCCCTCGTTCTGTCGTCCCCTTCCTTGCCCGGAGTTACAGATCATTCGGTCTCATGCGCTAGCATCTATATCTCCAGCATCAGATCCTGAGTTGTATCTAGAGGCTGCAATGGACCTCATGACACATTATCGAAATGTTCTAGGGCGTTACCCCCTTATCATAAACACCCCGGGATGGATCCAAGGAACAGGGCTTGACCTTCTTACATCCCTCATCACTAGTTCACGCCCTACCGAGGTGCTATATATGTCCGAATCTGGCCCAGCTGAAGTAGTCGAGGCGCTGCAAGAATCGTGTAGGACTACTACATTTTCTACGCTCCCTTCCCAGGCCTCTCAGCTTGCCTCGAGAACAGCAGCACATCTCCGCTCAATGCAGACTATGTCATACTTCCATGCAGAATCACAAAGCTCTAGTGTTGATGGTCATTGGGTTCGGTGGAATAACAAGCCTCTAATAACCGTACCTCCTTGGCAAGTCAGCTATAAGGGTCCTGAGCGGGGGATATTCGGGATCATGTGTTATGATTACCAAACACCCATGGATTTGTTAGCCGATTCAGTTAATGGTACCATTGTCGCAGTGGTAGGAATCGAAAATGCCCAAGCGTTTAGACATCGCGAGGAGCATGATATGTTATCCAACGATACGACTTCTGATACAATGGATATAGATAGAGTTGAGGATGGACCCCAGAAATCTATGTCCTCGTCCTTTTTGGCATTGGCTAGAGATGTTATTATTACGACACCCGAAGGCATTCCATTCATCGACACGACGAACGGAATTACTCTTAACCCTAAATTTTCCCACTCTCTTGGCTTAGCCCTCGTTCGTGGCATAGACGTCAAGAATGGTGTGCTCCAACTTTTGACACCTTTAGGACCGGAGAAAATAGAAGAAATTACCTCGAGAGGGGGGGAAATCGTGCTCGTCAGTGGAAAGTTCGATACGCCGAGCTGGGCTTATACCGAAGAGCTGTATTATCGGGCTCATGAAGAGGCGGACGACGGAGAAGATGCGGATGAGACGACTAACACCAATGATGACGCTGGAGATATATCCGAGGCTGAAAATGTTGATTTAGCAGGATCCACAGATACGACCCTAGTGCCGTGGGTAGAGGTGTTACATGGAAACCAGAAACGTGGCATCGGCTCAAAAGTATGGAGAGTGAGGCGTGACCTGGGTCGCGTTGGTAATGCTACCAAATAAGATATTGAGTTCTAACACCCAATTTACTTGGCTCCAAAGTTCTCATGACATATCGACTGTATGAAATAAATGATGGTTCAATGCTGATTCTCCTCAATTGAACCATTACGAGTCTATTGTTGGTTCCGCATTAAAGCTCAGCGCTAGGCGGCATCATCGCAAGTATGCATTGGTGTTTACTATTCACAAATTACTTACCTATTCCACAGCATTTACGTGAACCAAATCACAAGCCGAGATAAGAAAACAAAAACAATGCCACGCTTAGTGCTTATATATACATAGAAGCTAGCATATTACATACATGAGACTGTCAAGAAATAAATTACAGCAAAATCCCAAGGCGATCAATCCACTACCCCCGGCGGTAGCACAGCGATATAATCCAGCGGCGCCGTCTCGCGTCCATTAGCCTTAGCATCGACGCGCACCACATCTCCCTCCTTGATCTCAACGCCCTTAAACGTAATCCTCGTTGCCGAGTGTCCATCAATGCCCCTAGTCAGCGTAAACCCAAGTTTATCCTCATTATCGCCGACCCACGACCCAATACTCTTATCGTTCAAAAACAGCTCGTACGAAGCCTTGCCTTCGTATAGATCGTAGTAAGCGACAGCCAAATCATACGTCCCAGCCGTGTAGTTGAGCGTGGCGGACACGCTGGCCGTGCTCGCGTTCCCGACGCTTTGGACGATGCGCAGACCGGAGGCTACTTCGAACGGGTTCACGGCTGTGACGCGGTACCCGCGCAGAGTCATGGACTCGGCTTCCACGCGCCATGGGTGCTTGCCTACGCGGTCTTGCGCGTCGGCGATCCCGGATAGGCTGTGGTAGAACTCGTTGATGGCGTCGCGCCAGACGATTGCGTGGCCTGCTTGGTATGTTAGTCGGAATGCCATCTCGTCGAACCGCTGCTGGTCGATTAGGCCTTGCAGCTTGGCCCATTGCGCGGGGAACGTGGCGGCTGTCACGGCGCCTGCGTAGTCTGTGATAAAGTTAGTAATTGATTTATTTCTTCGAGTGGTTTACATACGCGCATCATAGAAGTGTTGGATGACCGTCTTGCCGTTCTTCAACACGTGCGTGTAAGGGACGTGATGGAACCATAGCAAAAGGTCATCCGGTGTCGTTTCAATATCCTCAAACACAGCGGCGACCTCTGTCGGGTATTGTCCCGCGTATCCGGTGCCGTTCTTAACCGTACGATCCATCCCGATGCTAAACGCGTCAGCCCGAGTCCACTGTCCCCATGGGTTATTATCCATTGACTGCGGGTTCGGTCCGTAATGCGGTCCAGTGATATCCGTAAGTGTCTGGATCCCTAGATTACCTGTGTAATTCTCATATGCCGGCCAAGATTCCATCGACATGCGTGTAATAGTCTCGCGGATGGTATCATCCAAGCCGAAAGTTAACCGGGTCCAGTCTTCCAAGATAGCCACTTCATCAGCTGTTGGATCCCAGGCCAATCTACCATAGCCATACAAGTTAGACATGGCGAGATGTGTGCCAAGCCAAGTGGAATTTTGGCCGACGTTTACGACAGCCGCGTAACCCGTAAGGCCCTTTTTATTAAAACGCTTACCGGAAAGGATATCAGAGCCGATGATAGATTCCTCGCCATCAATGCGCAAGTCAAAGTTGAGGATCTCCTTCCAAAGCGGCGGCAGATAAACCAAGTGGCACTGCTGGCCGAGATACTCCTGCGTAACCTGAAGTTCGATAGCCGATGCCGTCTGTTTCAAATGTGCGAAAAGCGGTGATGGAGGCTCCCGTACCTGGAAGTCGATCGGTCCATACTTGACTTGGACGACGACGTTATCGTCAAATTTGTCGTCAAGGTCGCGAAAGAAATCAACGGCCGCGTTCGCTCGGTCGTCTTTCCAGTTGTTCTCGTTTAGATGCTGGTTGTCATAGACAAAAGCGCGGAACATTACAATACCGCCATGCGGCTTGACGGCTTTCGCGAACAGATTGGCACCGTCAGAAAGTGTACGATCGTACGTGAGTGGACCAGGCTGGCCCTCGGAGTTAGCCTTGACTAAGAAACCTGCCAAGTCAGGTACATGTTCGTAAAGCTTGTCCGTGATTTTAGTCCACCAGGCGATGACGGATGTGTCCAAGGGATCGAATGTATTCAATCCACCAAACGTCTGTGGCGACGCAAAGTTGAGTGAGATCCCGACTTTAACGCCCCAGGGTCTCATTGCGTCGGCAACTTTAGCCAACCCCGCCATATTTGCATCACTTAAGATCATAGCGTTCGCGTTAACGTTATTAATGATAATTCCATTAACGCGAATCGAAGCCAGGAGGCGAGCATATTCGGCGATCCGCGTTACATTAGAGACTAGAGCGTTGTTCTTGAAGAAGATAGACGGGCCAGCGTAACCACGCTCGATAGTCCCATCCATATTGTCCCATTGGTTTATCCATCGGATTGCTGCGCTGGGATTTGTAGCATAGGCGACCTCTGTAAAGTTCGCTTGGGCTATCATAGACAAATACTCGAATGCACCATAAAGCGCACCACGTTCGTTTTGGCCCACGATTTCGACCGTGTCGCCCTTAGTACTAAGCCAGAAGCCATCTTCCTCGAGTTCAGGTGTTTCGATCGAGATGCCGGAGTCGTTAAAGGCAGCGATGGTTCCGACGACTATTGAAGGGCCTTCGTTTGTCTCATGAGTCACATTAAGTGACTTACCAAGGATCCCTTTAATACCTTTTTGCAATTCTTGACCGGCGACGTAAATGGGGCTAATTTCCGTGGCGTTAAGGGCGACGATGTTAGGGGGAACAGCAGCCTGTTTGATGATATCGCATGGTAATCGAGCATATCGTAACCACGCGTTGAGTCCATCCTCTGCAGCTACAAGGCTGAGAGTAGCCAAAAACCAGAGCCCACGCATTCTACTGTACCTGACCTAATCTACCACGATCTAGGCACGCTCGGAGATCTACACTTAACAATCTATAGACATTGGGATCCCCGTGTTTATACATGACGCCTACCTAGCACGATGGGGCCTTATCTGGGCAAATTATAGACCCCATTCCCCAAGAGCCAGGTTAATGAATAAAAGTCTTTAGGCTAAATTCGGGGGCTATGAATTAGCAGATCTTATCCATAGAGAATTGGCGTGGCATTCCAATTTACGGTACTTTCGGTATATTTATATACGAATCCGTGGAGTCGCATCTCCGTCTTCCCCGCAGATTCGGAAATGAAGATCCTCCAAACAGAATAAGCTATTCCGTGCTGGACTTAAAGTTGGGGTAGCAGGGTAGATAGCCGAGTATGGGGCTAGTATCCTGGTTTCTTGGCTATATACTTACGTAGGGATTACGTTCTAGAAGACGAGTTATGTGTAAAGTGACAGGCGAACCACGGAGTTGACGGGTTGCGCAGTTCATGTTTAAAAAGGTATAGTATTAACAAAAGAAAAAAAAGTTATACATTATCATAGGCTGAAACGAACTTAGAGGCTAACTCGAGAGTGTTTCTCAAGGGATCATGTTTCTATAACACTAATCTTTTAATATTAATCCTTAAGACATTCCTGCATGATATAGTAGTGATTCGGAAAGGGTGTCGTGCCGCCCAGAGTATCCCAGCTAGTATGCATGGAGATGAGATCTGATTGGAAACCCTATAAGCGTACCTACGTAATACGATTGATGCTATAGAGCCTCATTTTGAGATTGTAACTTCATGCCTAAATGGTCTCGATCAGAAATATTTGAATTAATAATGGATAACTTATTGAGTGAACCCCTTTTCTAATTTAACATCACTTTTTCTTTCCCTCTCATCATACCCAACTTTTTCGACCTCCAGAAAAGAAAAGAAGTTATCCATTAGAAGATTTGTGCTAGTGGAATGGACCCTAAATACTAACATCATTTATGGATATCTAGTTGATCGAGGACAGTAATATAGAATCGAATGAAGCTGAACCTTTTTAGGTACCCGTATCCCAGTGTGGCACCACAAAACTCTGTTGAGCATTGTCGTAATACATGTCATTAAAAGAGTGGGATTACCCAAAGAAAGAAAAGAAATTTACAAAGCCATATATAATCTAAGAAATGTGAAAATGAAATAAATGAGGTAATAGATGGGGTAATAAATGGGATGTAATAGGTAGATAGGATGGAAAACCGTGCGCAGGATTATCAAGTTGTATTCTTATCGCCGCTAACAACTCTCATCTTGGCGTCGCTAAAATGAGTCCCTATCCTCAATACCGCAGTCTCAACTGAAGGGCGCCGTTTCGGGGTGTCAACGATGGAAGGTTCAGATTCGTCTTCTGTTGGAACTGTTCGAGTTTGTTGGCTAGTTTGTTGATTTCCACTTAAAAGGCTGTCAACAGAAGACAAAAAATCCGAATGATCCCTTCGAACCGATACGCTGAGCTGGGAAGAAGGCAGTGACACTAGGAGAACGTTGACGGGCACGGTAGTGTCCTGGGCGGATATAGACCTTGGTTTGCGTTAGACTTACTACGTGATATAGGAAGTTTATAATGACGAAGGGCCGTAGGAATAAATTCAACTAAAGTCTCAAACACAACACTTACTCGGCAGGGTTTTGGGTTGTATCGTTGATTTGATCCGTTCCCATGTTTACCAACATTAACGTAAAGGAGCTTCGAAGTTACTCGAGGAATATCGTATAGAAAGTTGAAATTTTGTAATGTAGGTCTCGAGTAAAATTAAATATAGGGGGTCTACTTAGAAGTAGTCTGACTTAGTCGGGGAGGAAGAGGGTGACTGATACTAGCTGAGGATGAGCTGTACAATGGAAAAGGTTAGGCCCTATACGCCCTTGCTTATAGATACATAATAGTATAGTACTATTGTGTAGAGATAATGTTTAAGATAATATAGAGAAGAGTGGGTTGATGCATCAAATCCCAATATTTTAAAACCGAGCAGATATTTGGGTTGGATATGAGGCAGAGTTAATAATGAGAACTGTTGTGGGAGGGTTATAAGTGGAATGAGATTTCTGAGATACTATATACTATTATATATACTTCCTAGCCGACGGAAACGAGAAAAATTGTCCAAAAGTATCTACGTAAGGTAGTAATTCTTTATTATCGAATTATATGTTTCAATTTATTTGATGGTAAACAACGTACATTAAGAGCGTGGGATTGCACCTTCAGCTACGCCTCTCTCTGGAGGTAGTAATACCCACACATAGCTTGATGTATGTGTTTGCCTACCAATCTACCTAGTGTAAAACGCATAAATATGCGTCCAGTTCCGCGGCAGTAGAAAATATTCGGGAAAAATTCGCAAATTATGACCCTGAATAAATAGCTTTGAGTAGATTCTAGGAGTCCGGATTAAGCTGAAATTCGTCCAGGTTCGACTATTATTTATTTCGACTACAAGGCTACCAGTATACTATTGGCCTAGGATATTTTAGTTTATTATGCTAATGCAAAAAAGAAAGAAGGAAATTAGAATGATAGCTCATGTATCCAGTACTCTTATTTGTGATATACGGTCACGGGTTGAGTAGCATAGGTAGGTTATGCAACCGATAGGTCTACGACAAGGGTAAAGTCAGTTGCACAGCCTATCTTCTTGTGCATATACCAACCATGTATTGGAGATGCTTAGTATTATTAGTAAGATATTTCTATCATTTTGGTTCGCTTCAGAGTAACACATGCCTCCTCTAGATCATTCCTTGGATAGCTACTTTAGAATAGTACCCATGTTTAACTTCACGACGCAATGACATTAATTCAGAGACATTGTATATCAGTATATCTAATAATATAGTAATTATCAATCATTGTTCTAACGCACAACTAGATGTAGGTATCTCGTAAAATATACTGTTCAAGTAGCAGTTTGCCTTGTAGTATCTGTTATGATCAACACACCGATGTAGTTAAACTTCTACGAATACAATATCCTGGAAGCCCAATATACTACAAGGCTAGGTACCTAAGGTACAAAATGAAGAAAATATAAGGCTGATACAGCATTACAATAATACTACGCAAGTTGTTGATCAATATCCTGCGGAAGTCAAAGGGCGTGTACTTTAGCATAACGCGGCGTAGTAAATTTAAACCTTATCACCTAGGTGATGATCAGGCTATAATAAAAATCTAGGATGAAAATAATTGTACAACTCATACACCACTCCGCCTGTCAAAGCCGCATGTAGTTCCTAATTAAGAACGTACATAGGTTTCCAGCAGGCAAATATCACAAGCCAAGAATGACTGACACAATGAACGTGACGTATATTATGATAGAAGTCTTTCCGGAGGTTGCCCTAAGGCATACAAGTAGCGAGACAGAGGCTCAGCATGTATAAAACCTTCAAATATACTTATTATTAATCCTTATAATTGGTGTGAAAGGTTAAAAGGCTGATGGGTGAAAAATACTCCTTAAAGAAAGGTGGTTTGCTACCCAATCCCCTTCAACCCGGTGAAGAGACTCGATGAATGACGTCACACCGGTATCTTTTAATCTTTCTATAAAATCCTTTCTTGCATTAGCTCTTAGGTAGTAGCCTGGTTCTGGCGAAACTTGATGCAATATGAAAACCGGTGAGCGTAAGCACACTTGAAACTATATAGACCGAATCAGCGAGTAGACATGGGTAATAAGTGGATTAACAACTTTGGAATGAATTCCGAGTAGTTGTCAACTGCTAGCCCTTTGTTGTGGGTTAGGATGAGGGTGGTGTATATGAGACTGAGGAACTCAAAGCAATGTTTACTTTAAGATTCTAGATGAGACTTCTATCATTTAATAACCACAACAACTCAGATTAAAAGTAAGTACTACATATTAATCATTCATTTCTTGGCCGTGACTTGAACCTCATTACTAACATGTGTAAATAGAGGCGTTGAGCTTAATATAGGTAGCTATGTACTCGGGTTTGGGTTTGGCGAGTGAGTGGTGAATATGCGGGAAGTGAATGCTTACCTAATTTCTTCAAAATATGTATGGTGTTTATTAAAGGCCTTGGCTTAGGATGCCCAAGTGGGATGTGCGTCTAGGTGCTTGTGCTATTTCTTCACTTGCAGGAATAAAATGTGTAGGCACGTAAGTGGACATGAGCCTATGTAGGCGAGTCAACGGACACATCTCCGAGAGGATCATATCATGGCCACTTGATATGGGGTACCTAAGAAATAGTTATCAACATATATGCGTACTCGTTAGCCTATTCAGAGCCAATGAGTACCAATGGAAGCCCGCTTGACATCTAAAGGTGAGCCGCGAACCAAGGATTCGGACCGTAGCCATAATAACCCGCGCATCCCCTTCGGTACATATACGGTATTATTGTTACCTACTACCCTCAAAAGTTACACGTCATTATTGATATAAGGACGATGAGCCGATCTTCAAGGCTTTCCCGCTCGGCTGTTGAGAATCTTCACTGATAAGAATGAGATTCGTTCGTTGCATTAGGAAAAGCTCCCGCTGCAAGTAAGATACGTGCCCAATCATCAGCTCACCGGTGCTCCTTTAGATATCTAAAACAAGAAACCTAGAAGAATAACCGACCGTCTTGAGAATGTAGAACACCACTACTGGGAAGTATATGAGCGCCCGTCTAAGTTTTCTCACACCGATGTAGTATATCAGATATGGATATTGGACAACTATCCGAAGTCCTGACTTTAGCTTTCCGCCATTTTGGCCTAATGCGTGATTTATCCTTCTCATGGTAATGTGACCTATTTCATAATACTACTTTCCTGTAACGTTCTAGCCCATAGTTAATATACCGTAGAATTCTAACTAGAATATGTCCTAGAGTATATTATGGTAGCCTCGGTGAAAGTATTTTGATACTAGAGCCTTATTAGCTTGCCATACCTACAGGATCGGCAGCTTATATCCTTGTTACTACCCTTCTATTTGATGAGCGATGTGCAAATGACATTTAAGAGTTCGTTAATTCGCTAATGGTCGTAAGGAATCAAGCCGTAAATTCCCGTCGGAGTACTTCTCTGAACTTCAGGCGGGACCGAATATTGGGCGTCTTGTTCTGCTGTACCGATGCCGGCACACGTGGCGTCTCGGTGATCGCCCAATGTTACCCTATTGTGCTAAGGTCAAGGTGATGATCCCGGAGTAAAAGACCCTTTAATATGCTGTAATTGGAAGAGATTATTCTCGTAACATACAACTATCCCCTTTCTATCAAATAAGGCCTAAGCTGGTATTGTGTTAGACTTAAGATTTATTTCCAAAATATCATTATGAATAGACTTTCATGTAGGTTAAGCAAATTAGGACAAGCGTGAAAATTTGAATGACTCGTCAGATCTGCAGGCTGGAGGGTTGAATTAGTGCTTCCGAATACTAGGATAGGATGCAGGTAAAATAAGTAGGTAGATCATAGTTCATGTCAGTAGCCCCATGCACGCCATCAGGATGGAAGTTTGGTACAGCCATTCTATTTAGGTATAGTAACGTATTAAGGCATTAGGTAGAAGGAAGTGAGCCAATGATACCAAAGCTGCCAAAGGGGGTAATGATACCCAGAACGAAGTAAACCATAGTACTTAGTTTCAGTTACAATGTCTTACTGTCTAAAAATAATAAGTTCACTAGTATTGAAAGCCAGAAAATCTTTGCCAGTCGTCAGGCACAAGTAATAAGATTCCTTTATGGGTGATATCCCTCGTGATATCCAAAGTTAGGTACCTAACCTATCATACAGGGATCAACATCGGGTTGTACCACGGGGGCAGTAGATCTCCGGATATCTACAAAACTTCTACAAAAACGTAAGCCGGTGCCGGAACTAAGCGCTTTACCTTGATTCGTTAACCGGGTCGGGTTACGATAATTACCCAAGCAGGGCGAAATGCATCTCGCAAAGCTCGTCTGTACAGTCTTGACTCTTTGTAAGCACCAATGAGAGGAATGATGTTACGACGGTATATGTATGCACTAATCGGTTGCTAGGCCGATTAAACACCACTTCAGGTGGTGAAACCATGGCAGTGTACATGGTAGTGTACCACAAGACATATCACAAGACAGCAGTGTGGTTTTCGCCATGTTCACAGTGACCAAGGATTTCGGAAATCGAGCCCCCAATCCATTAACAACAAGAAACTAAGAGCAAGCCCACCTCTACCATTTCCACTCCTATTGACGTAACTGACTAGCGTGCTGTATCTATCTCTAGCTCAAGCCACGTCCAGTCTAGACTGGTCTATAGATAGTTAAAGGTCCAAGAATGTATTAAAGCCAGAACTCATCAACAATAGCCACATGGACAAACGTATGAGGTTAATATCAGAGAGGAAATATGAAAGCCACCGAGTCATTCGAACTGTACCTATCTAAGATATTAAGATGTCACTTATGATAGCTATACAAGGTACACAGTGACCGCGACCTTCTCTCGCCGTCAATTCTTACAGCCGCATAGACACGCCGTTTTGTACCGACTTACACGACCGACGCTAATGTTGTACCCTTATATAAGGCTGAATTAAACGTATGAGTATGGGATGAAGTATATGTGATGAAGATAACGTTGAGGTCATAGAAATCATAAGCGCCAATTGATACATCAAAATAATGAAAGGTAGCCAATTGAATGTAAGGAGGTACTTATTTACTATTTATTCCCGTTCGTTTTAAACCGAGACTTGTATTAGTAAGCAGTATTAACCTATCCAAGTGTCTCCAACTCTTGCGAATATTTGACAATATTATGAAAATATTAAACTCGGTCTAGTACTTAACCTATATCAGTCAAAGGGGGATGAAAATCGAAATATAATAGAAAATAAATAAGAGAAGAAACTACAAATCAGTTATCATACTTGTAACTTAATGGTAAATGAACGGGAATGGCTTACCGTAATTTACTTATCCGAACGCCATCTCAGGGTGCACGGGTGAGATGGCTGACAACTCAATCAAGGCCACCATCCTCAATGGCTATCCTCGACGATTACTTAGACATAGCCCGACCACACTTCAGCCACATTCCTAAGTCAGAGCTCTCAGTAACCGCTTTTCATGATAGCCTTCCTCCTTTCAACCATCCGCGGACTACCTCCTCCGAGCGGCAGGCCATCGTCAACAGGCTAAAGCCGTACACCATCATCTCGTCGATGCGAGAGCGGACACCATTCCCAGGAGAACTACTCAGACAACTACCTAACCTAAAGCTTCTTCTAGCGACCGGCACGCAGTTCGAAACGTTCGATCTTACCACAGCCTCCGAGCTTGGCATTAGTATAGCCGCGGCACCCGGCAGGGGCCGCACGGACGGTAAGCTGACCAGCCGTCCAGCACGACCTAAGCTCGACATAAAAAAAGGCGGCAGCCATCCTACCACGCAGCACGCGTGGGCGCTAATCTTGGCTCTGGCGCGGAATGTGGCCGCGGACGATGCAGCCATGAAAGGCCCGAGCAAAAGCTGGCAGTCCCAGCTCGCGATCGGGCTAACGGGTGCGACGCTCGGTGTCGTTGGCCTCGGACGTCTTGGCGCTGCGGTTGCGCGGATCGGCAGCTTGGCGTGGGGCATGCGCGTGGTGTGCTGGAGCGAAAACATGACCCAGGAGAAGGCTAATCGGAAGGCCGAGGAGATGGGACTTCCGGTTTACGGCGGCTACGCCCTGGATCCCGACGCGCCGACGTTTACGGCCGTGAGCAAGGACGAGCTGTTCGCGACGGCGGATGTGGTCAGCTTGCATTACGTCCTTAGCGACCGTTCCCGGGGGATCGTTGGAAAGGCTGAGTTGGCACGCATGAAGGAGTCGGCGCTGTTGGTTAATACCTCGAGAGGACCGCTGATTGATGATACAGCGTTATATGACGCGCTGCAGACAGGTCGCATCCGAGGCGCCGGCCTAGATACCTTTGATATCGAGCCTTTACCTGCAGACAGTCCTTGGCGGTCAACTGAATGGGGTACTCAGGGGAGAAGCAACTTGATTATTACTCCGCATATGGGATATGTTGAAGATGGAATCATGCATACTTGGTATGAAGAAACTGCAGAGAATTTGGAGCGGTGGCTTCGGGGAGAAGCACTTCTTCATCGTCTCAACTAAGTAGACTCTTCTCTAGAGCCCACGATTGTATATATCCGGGCCTGAATCATAGTATCTAAGCACAATATCGGCATCATTAATGGTGTTCAAAATTCCATAACTGTTGATAGCTGCCTAATGTACCTACCTAGGTAGTAGTCACATTGATTAATACCGGATGAAATATCTATAACTAACTAATAACATGTCTTGCGATTGGTTATTCTGTAGTTTTATTAGAATCACTTTTTGAGGAGTAGACTTTGATTTACACACAATCACTATTTATATTAGTTAGGAATATAAATCAGGACAGATATCCAAAGATAAATTTAACTTGTATCATCGCTTTATTGTCCCACCAATATATATCTCCTCAAGACCATCCATACCCATCTTTCTAATGCGACTTTAATAATAGAGCGTTAATAATTTATTTCTAATCATCACATCTTTGACCCTTTCGTAATAGCTTTCCTGCTAACTAACAGACCATAATATGTTTATTTTTATCATTTACTTAACACTAAGTTGGGTACCTAGGTATTCATGATGCTCACTCATTCCCAATCACCTCGCCATAGATTGTAATTTGTATATGAATCACGAAAGGTACAGTAAATATTCAGGTGCAGACTCGAGAGGGCAATGAATTTTTAGAAATTATGAACGTACTCACCCAAAGCGTCATAGTGAAATACCTTAGTCAGGAAAACAGTGAATAAATGTCAATTCTAGGATACGGCGGGATCTTAAGATTTGGTGTTGAGAGAAGGGTATTTATACACATCAACTACCGCCTATAGAGAAGTATTTTCTTTTTTACACACCAATCCGTTTTTACCTCCCCATAAGTTCTACCAGCATAACATTTATCAGCAAATCCATCAGTCTATCTCATTATCTTTGATACGCCAAATGTCGGTAGCCCCGTCGCATACCATGGATGGGCATAGTATGGCATCTCAAAGAAAAACTGGTGATAGGGCCAGGAGGGACGTCATATCTCTACTCGAAAGATTGCGAAGCTTCCATCGACAACCACGAATGGATCAAGTAGATAAGATACGTCGATGTAGAGTGTCTCATACCGACCCGGAATCCGACCTGTCGTTGATCCTAAACCGACAAAATATTTTTAGGGGTTTACAGCAAGATGAACAAATGGAGTATGCCTGCGATTTGTATGAGTTCCGCAATTTCCACCGACTCAACAAACATGACGACAAGAATGTTCTATTCGTATGTCCACTTATAACCCAATTTATCCAGACTATTCGTGGTGGACAGTTCATTAGAACAGGTACAAACAACTGGTTCCAGTGGTTTTCAGAAACTCATGAACGCTATACCTGGGAAATGACACAGGAAGAAGAGTTGGCTCTTCAAAATCATATATTCCAATATCAAAGCTTGGGACCACAAGACCAACCAGTACAACTTCCACCAATACAACAATATCCTCTACCACAAACTTCATTGCCACCGTTGACGGATCAGTTACATCTGTCGCGGCCAGTAGACTGTCGATCGCAACCTAATGCTAGTAATGTCCAGCATAATCGTCACCACTGCTAGCATTACTATAACTATTGGTATGTGACATTATGCTGGCTGCTCAGGTTCCAGGTGGCAGCAGTTTTGTATTTAGATATGTAGTTCTTCGTAGCGTTCCCGTAGGGGAATCTTGATACTGAGAACACGACTCACTGTCTTTACGTATGAATTATATTTAATATAAATTACATTGATTATAAACCACTTAGAAAGCTGGAGTGATATATTTAAAAATTGTGTTTTTTTATGTTGCTGTTTATCTTGATCTTTTCGTGTATCCCAGCTAGACATATATATCAGTTTTTATAATGACCAGAGATTCTTCAACATGTATATTTGATTGTTACGTTAAATAACGCAATATACGATAATTAGGCCATTCCAACGTTAAATACTTTCGATTTTCATTTTTCAAACCAATATTAGTGGTTATGTGACCATGTAAACACTTACAAAGAAACCAGCGCAGAATGCCCCTTATTTCCGATTACTACAACCTAAAGCTAACTATAAAGTAAAGGTTGCGAGAGAGATAGATCGGTTCAAATTAATTCAACTGATTATATAGCTTTATTTCCGCGTTGTGATAGTGCACAATTCCAAGACGACTTTCAGTTTTCCCAATGCATATTTTTGCTCTCCACCTCTAACAAGTTCAAGTTCATTAAATTGCCTAGGTATGGCCGGAATCAGAATTACCTTTAATGCAGAAAACCATCCGAAGATAAGTCCTGATATGTTGATGTTCCAATATTAGTCAGTAAGAACGTGTATAACGCCAATTAGCTACAGCGGTGTTACATCTTGATTCAAGAAATGAATAACTCGTGAATCATTGTATGCATGGATATCTGTCACTTACAATCACATCTATGTGAAAGGTAAGCATTTATAAAACGTCCTTTATCTTTTGGAAACGCTCCTTTGCTTCCCCCGAATTAGCATTATTCTCTCCCCAAAGCACGCTCTGCATAACATACTCGAGTATAAATACTTTCTATTACCTTTAGTGAAGAAGCACCCCGAGGTTTCTGCCATAAGAGGAAGATGGATTGGTATCCAATGACTACGGTTACATCCGAGCAATACCTCGGAGATTTGCTTTACAGAATACCACGGTTCCGTCGGAGCACTAGAGCCCAGCAGCTAACCCAGTGGGCCCGAATTATGGATCAGACTAACACGACGGTACTGGACTTGCAAAGGGATTTGGATTTGGCATTAAAAGTCCATAATGATTTCCTAACCCTGCCCAGGGACCAGCAACTCTGGTATATCGATCAGTTATTGGCCTTTATCAATACCGACGCGGGTTATAGAACATTCGGCAAGGTACCTACCTGGCCTGTAATCTTTCAACTTCCTAACCTATATTATTTCATACGTACCACCCAGCCTGGAGGTAGATATACATCAACTAGTCTCGGCAACTGGTTTTTATGGGCTGAGCAAAGTGTTAGGGACTAAAGGGGGGGGAGAGGGGGGCATCGAGGAGTCACGTGACATCATAGATGAATAGTTGAATCATTAAATTGGAGACGTTGAAAGGTGCGATTCAACTATTCATCTGAGAAATGTGGAAGGTAGAATGACTATAAAAAGGGAGGATCTCCCTGTGTATTTAGTTATTCATTCTACAGTTATCAATTTAAGTCCAAGTCTAAGCCTAGTATCTACTTACTACTTAGAGGAAGGACTCTAAGCTTTGCTAACGAACACTTAATATTATCAGTTCTACCACCTTGACTCGTATTGTTACTATTACCTTAAAATCAAGAACCCATCAGCACTATACTTTAACATACCTAAGTATAGGTTCGTCACACAAAGCACTTTACACGATCCATTACTGTCACACGGACAACACGGCTGAGACTTGTTGGTTATAATACGAGCAGCCAAGATCTACTCAGGCGGTTAGGATAACTTTGTTATATTTATTGGATAGAACACATCACGAGGAGATGCAGGTAGAACGCAGGATAACCAACACGCATATGAGGGGCGGTTAGGACTTAAGATACGTACTATCAGATTATCTACAAACAGGCCTTGATTCCCCAGGAGGAATTAGGAATGATCAACGACCTTGAGACCTTAGACAATTATTAGTACCTTGAATATACGTTCCAAGCCCTTACAGACCTTGTTACAATTACAAACGCCAGAAATGGAGTTAGAAGAGTAAATACTCTAATAGGAGACATGGAAGCTATTCTTAGAGTAGAGTTTCTAATATCTATCACTAGAGTTTACACCAAATGATATGAATTAAAATGAAATGTGTTTCTTTTTCTCGGGGAAATTAAACAGGGGGGATTTTAAATTTTTGTTTGGCTTAGTCATCCAATATAATAGAGCCTAAAATCAGCCCCTAAATCCCCCCTATTAATACTAGTTGCCTCTGTAGTAAAAGCCTTAACAGTATTGATTTTAGACGAGACTTGCACATTATACGAGCTAGTAATATTGAAGTATGATGGCTACGAGGCTAGCTTAGCTTGGAGGCATAGGGACACCCTTGTGATATCTGGTTAGACCAAGTATCAAGTTGAGCCTGCAAAATGCCTAACCAACCCAGTCTACCCAGCGCTCTTAACAAGCCAAGTCAAGCAAATTTTTACTAAAAACCTGGCCGCCCCCAATTCAAGTCAAATATATGACTTTTTTTATTTAACTGGCGATATTTAAAGACTGGCTTAGGTCTTTGGGCCGGATAACCTTTCTTCCAGGATCCTGCACGGACCAATCTTAGGGAATTAGCAAATGTTCAATTTTTATATATTAAATATGCTTTTCCTCATACAAATTTGGTTTAAAGTTTTATGTACTGTATAAATCCCGATATTGAAGTGTTATCTACCTATTATTTGCCTATTTAGGCAATTTGGAGGCGTTCGGACCATGTTTAGCCACATTTAGCCACATCTCTTGCCACCCCGCTTTAACCAACCAATCGTAATATATATCCATCCAATCATATCATGTAAATATATATATATATGGGCATATATACCCTTGATTTAACTGGCAACTAGCCAAATAAAATAAAAAAATATTTGACTCATTAAAATATCTAAAAATTTGATATCTGGCCAAGTCAGGTCAAGCCAGTGCAAGTCAGGTCAAATAATTAACTGGCTTGTTGAGACCGCTGAGTCTACCTAACCTACCAACTACTTACGTACGTTGCACTCAATGTGCACATAGGCATTTCCATATATTGTGTTGCGAGGCTGCATAGCATTTTCCAGTACTGTCTACACAGCAAAGTCTTACAATCCGGACGGTTAATAATCAACTGTAAAAACTTAAGTGTATTACAGCCCCCGGCCAGATGTAAACATGTTTCATTTAGTATATAGCTACTTATCTCCTAGCCCTAAAGTCGGTAGTTATTCCCTGATTCCCCAACGTACATCGAATCTTGACCATTATTCTAATCTCGCAACAATACTTACATCTATACCAATTCAGTTGCACTCGTTGTACAGCTTTATGAAGATATTCAGCAATTCGATTCGGAACCCTAGGACTCGAGAAATTACCCTAGCTACATCAATTGTCATGGAGAGCTTACTCGGACTACTTCCAGTAACTTTCCCGGATCCCCCGTCGAAAACTATGTTGTCTTTTACTACCGATAATGGCCTCTTGTGGGAAAGCTTTCTCAAGGAGGGGTGATATCCATCTGAACTTTCACGGCTTTCTAAAACACGTGATAAACGTAATATTCCTCTCGAAAGAATAAATCAAAACATAAAGATACTAGGTCGCATTAACTATTCTAAGTACCCAATTGCGAGAGATTTCTCAACTACCTCCCCATAGTCAGTGCAGAGCCGTTGTCTCTTAGCTATAATCTCAACAGGCAGCGACGGTCTCTTATGACTACTTCCTTCACTATCAGAGCCCTCACCCGACCCCGTCGTTATAGGGGTTAGCGGGAGAGAGTTCTCAATAGAAACAGACGCCAGAAGAAGATCTTCGGAGGGTATAGTGGAGCCCGGCGAGTCTATCCCGGCTTCCCTGACTACCTCTAAGCTGTCCTTGACTGCGACAAAGTCGAGCAATGATTTATCCTCAGTCATAGACACCGGTCTTTCTATAACTGAAGCTATTCCCGTCTGCGGGAGATGCGGCTCATCGAAGAGGGTCCCGTACCAGGCCTCTCGGACGGCGAGGCCAAGAGCTACTGATACCTGCCGCGCGACGCTGTTGCCGACAATACGCCATTGAGTCACCGGCGGTCCAACAATCATGTCGTCATCGGGAAACCCCTGTGCGCGTCTGATTTCCAGGGTAGTCAGCGGGCGGCCTTGTTCCCAGTGATTTATAGTGCCCATGCGAGCGTCCGTCGGTGGACATCTTGTAGCGATAGTGCCAAATAAGCCGTTTGGATTAATACGACCCCAGCCTCGAGATGGCCTCATTATCCTGTCTGCAGGCATGGGAGGAAACATGTGATTGCGGTCCAACTCGCTCAGCACGGGAGGAATATCAGGTCGACCATACCAGGCTTTGCTGAAGTTCATGCCCCACGGGTAGATCGGAATATAGGATAGTTGTTTTCTAATACGAGGTGTCAAGCCAATGGAAAGCCGGTGGTCCGGAAAGCCGACGCAGAAATCCGGTTTTGCGTCTCGAATATCAGGCAAATCCCCCGTAGACTCTCTAGCGCTCATGTATCGAAACGGGGTCGACAATAGTATCCTACTATCGAAGGGCCGTCCGCAAGACATCTCGCCAAGCTTTGTTAGACGCGTACCAGGTGGATGCGAATGTGACGGTGTCGGGACTTTAGGCATTCGGAAACCAGGGGCGCTAAAGACGAGAAATACTCGGCTGCGAGACTGCGATGCACCAAATGACCATGCGTCTAGGAACATAACTTGGACCTGATACCTCAAGCCGACAAGTGCGCACACAAGTTGGGAGAAGACGCATGTGTCACGGAAATGTCTCGAATTTACCATTTGTGGTACATTCTCCAGGATTCCGTAGTATGGGCGGTACAAGTCAACATAGGATGCGAAAGACGCAACAAGCGACTGGTTTTTTCGTTGGTCATTCGTGGTCCTATCGGGGGTTAATATAGAAAAGCCCGGACAAGGTGAGCCGGCTGAAATGAACTGGACATCTCCAGGTTGAGGCACTTTGCTATTGTTACCCTGGAGTGCTTGAAAAAGAAGGTCATCAACAGAACCTAAAAAGGGGGTGCATGTGTCTAGCTTGCAATTCGCCATATATGTATGAATAGCCTCACTCCAGATATCGTTAACCCACCGCATCTCGATGGCGCCGCCGTCTTCCAGGCCGCGTCCGAAATTCCCGCCGCCGCAGAACAGATCAAGACCTTGGAGCTTCTGTGATCTATGCCCTTGGGAGGGGTCGAACCCCATCCGTAGGCCGTGCACTAGGTTCATATCGAGAGGGACATAAGCCAATTGGCCCTCTTCAGTCTCGATTTCTTGATGGGTCATAAAAAAGAGGTCTCCAGTCCCATTAAAATCATAAGGTCTAGGTACATTTTCTTCCAATCCGAATGCCCTGACTAGACAATGTCGAAAGATTCTGCGAGAAGAAATCTCCACTAGTTGGTTCGTATAAACGAGTTCGTTTGGGGGCGCGTTGGAGGCAACTTTGTCGACGTCTCTCCTCCGGAGAAGTCTTCTTAATCTAACGTAATGCTTCTTGCCCTCGTCGAAGAATCCTTCTACGATGAATGTCTCCAGCTGCAGTGCTTTCGGGTCGGTTTCAACGAGGACGGCATCTCCAATATTATAAGATGTCTTTTCATGGAACCTGTCCTCCTCACACGTAAGGTGTTCTCTCTTTAGGGTAGTCCATCGGCAATCATCAGAGAGATAGGTCTGACGAACGAAGAACTCCGCTGTTGTGGAGGGATTCCCAAACCATTCGACGCCGTGCGTGGAGAGAATCTGATCTGCTTTTACCCTTGCTGTGCCGTGATGGCACGTGCAATTATTTGATAGGAAGAGCTCATTATTCCAGGGATACTTCATGATCCCGCAGGGGGTATCGATCGGTTGATACAACCAGATTACATCAAAAGAACGTCTCCCTTTAGGCAATCGGTGGATTTTCTGCACTAAACCAAACCACAAATGTTCTCCCTCGCAATGCTTCGACTTTTGTTGCTTCCATTTTGTGTTAGTGTTCTCGTCATCTGGCCTGGTAGATATGACATCTCCCTGTCGAATCGAAGCAATAAATGAGCCATGATCATCCGCGTTCCGCTTGACCGCAGGCGGACTCGTCTTCTCGTTTGGACGACTGGTCTCCACGAAAGCTGCTCGCTTTCTCTCAATGGAAGTCGATGGGCTTACTTGCTTAAGCATGTTCCCAAATGTCATATGAGAGAAAAGATCATGGACATACGATGTCACAATTGTCGGAGATACTGGGCCGTTTCTTCTCGGCTTCGAAGGTCTGCGGTCTATCACATTACTATCGTCAGATATTGCTTGGCCTATCTCGAGATTCGGCTTATACCGGTCTAACGTTTTGATCTCAGCCCAAAATCTATGCCACGAAACGGTTTTCGAATCTAAACCATGGGCTTCTTTCCAGATAAATTCCATATTGGCAATTAGGGCTCCCCGAAAGTCGCTACTCCTGTTGGCAGAATACCATCGTTTAAACGCTGCCGATTTACTATGGGTTCGTTGAGCCCACATGCTGAAGTCCGATTTAAAGTCATACAAAACAGCCCTACGGCCGCTCTCCTGTAAATAGTCGCAATAGTCAAGCACATGCTTGGCAAGGTCGACGATCCAGAGGAATGGCTCGTGGAACCTTATATACTCGGTTGACGGGGCCCTCAACTTGTAGTAAATTTCCCGGCTCCTCTTTTCATTATATTCCGAGCGTATCCAGATTTGATCGCCCACGGTATGTTCCTCGCTCCCATAATTTCCGATAGGGAGTTCTCGGAAAGGTATCTTCTTAAGAAAAAAACGCTGTTCACCGTATCCAAGGACCCCATCAAAATAGAAGTAGTCAGAAAATTGGCGAGTTGCGAGATGCTGTAGAGACCTCAGCTCATAAGGGTAGAGCTCAGAGTCGAGGTATATGGAAAAATCATGCAGATCGAACTCGACGTAGTCTTCAAGAGGCTGTTGATCCTTTATAGCTTCCAATAATATTGGCAACGCGTCTGGTTCCTTAAGCGGGGTGGCAGGTGGAATATAACCTTGGAAAAGAGATCTTGGTTGGGTCAGGGTCGATTGGGGAATTTCTACGATAATAGGTCTCTCTCTAAGCGTGTTTGTGATTGGTAGATCCGGAGCTGTTTCCCAGCCTTCGTAAGGATTTGCCTCCAGCTCGCTAGAGGACGTATCTAACCTCGTAGTACCAGCCTCCAATTGTTGGCATGGATAATTATTGTCGATTTTATCTGATTCGAATCTATGATTGTGTGTATTCGACAAGTCGTCTCTCAAGTCATTTGTGTCATCTTTTTCGATGCTTGAGATGATCGCATGGTCTGAAGGTAGGGACGGGGTATTAAATAATGTTTGATCATTGTCTAATTCAGGCGTTGAAATTAAATCAGCGGGCTGATCAGGAACTGTGAGGCACTGCCAATTGGAAAGATCCTGCTCGTCTATATCCATCCTTGTTCCAACCCGTAGAGTCTGTGCCCTAACAGCACAATCCGTAAACTTAAATATAGAACGAGATCCATTTACAATGACATTATACCGGATGAAAATGTAAATGAAATTGTACCAAAGGGAAAAAGGGGGGCAAACGTATTAGTGTCGGAAGTAGGGGGCAAGTTTCCATGCAATCCTGCTGAAATAGGAATAACTAAGAGAATGGCTTCACATTCCAATAGCCGCTTGACATGTCTGACAAATAGTATAAGGCCGGGTAGATTTTCCGATAAGTTTGCCAGTGTAGAAAGCCACGAAAACCTGAAGATAGAATCTATCAACAACTGTAAGTTGAACCTATGTAAATAAACATAAAATGCTCTATCTAATAATATAAAAAACAGGTTGAAAAGTACAGAAATCAAAGCAGCGGATTTCGATAGTATTGAACATAGTGCTAAACTAGGACCATCGCACTGGAATGAGGCTATCTCAGACATCTTTGCCGTTTGCGAAATAGCCGCGCATGGACGCGACGAAGAAATGAACGTGCACTAGAACAATTGAATCGGAAGCATCAGCCAATTAAATGCAACAATTGTGCGTAGGTGGGTCAGCATATTGTTAGTCTTGCTGTTTGCGTCAAGTCACATTGGAAGTGTCGTTTATGTGGTTAAATTAATTCACTTCTATAAACTAATTTATTGTTTAGTACAATGTAGCCTTGTCTTTGAACTTACTCCTTTTCAGAGTTTCCAGAAAACTGTTCCGTCTGGATGATAACCTATAATGGACTTATAAGCATCTGACCAACCCCCACATACTCTGCCAAATACTTTGAGGTGGTGTCTTGACTTTATGTTAAAGTCACCATCAACTTCGAAATGTTCATATAGGAAAGACTTGACAGACGGTTCAAGGGTTATCCTACATGAGAATCTAAATAGTAGCGAGTCACATAGGCAATATCGAGTAAGATCCCGGGGTGCCACTTTTTCCTTCCGGACCCGAACGGAATCCACATCGGTTAGCGATCCACAGCAAATTCACCCGATTGCCTTAATCGCAAAGACAAGTCAATTGAGAGCAATGATCAATTCATCTAGCTTCATTAAAATACTAGTAGTACTTAACGTTCCTCATTAGCAAGTTCTAGAAGCACCAATATTTTCATAGCTGTTGGTATCAACTCTAACCCGCTCATTACCGTAAACTCCGGTTTTTTGCAAAGCCTGCAAAGCCAACGACGCCCGTTTTTAAACATAATCCCCACCCAGATGATAAACACGAAATAGTCGATCCGACAAGCTCCGAAGATAGAGCCTTTATTATAGTCCTAAGATGACTAAATCACTACGCACCACCGCGAGGCTTCGCCTTGGCTTTGGCCTTCTCTTTCTTTTCTTCCTTCAGCTTCTTCTTTTTAGCTTCGTTCTGCTCCTCGAGTTTTCGCTTGTGTACGGCTTTCTCCTCATCTGTTTTAGGGATCACCTTGAAAAAGCCCTCTAGTCGGGCCTGTTGTGAACTCTTGGTGGCTTTTTCTAACCGTGCGCCACCTGCGCGGACCCTGTCTTCGTTAAAACCCTTGTCGGTCACTAGAAACTTGACTAGTCCTTCAATATCTGGCTTATCCCATTTGAAATCACAAAGGGGATCATCTGCCTTGCGAACGTCTGGTTCAAAAAACAAAGCTCGCGCATCCTCAAAGGGCCAATCTTCAGGTAGTGTATACTTCGAGTCACTCTTGATGTATTCAACCACCTTCTCAAGTGTGCCGCACTGGCGTATTAGCTTCAAAGCAGTGCTAGGCCCGACTTTGGGAATAGGATCGAGATAGTCACAACCAAGTAAAATGCAGAAATCGACGAACTGTTTCGATTAGTACTTTGTCTAATATGTGAATGCGAACCAAGGAAAGGCTTGACTGACTTGTTTGCGATCCATATTTAATCCCTCGAGGACCTTATCAACGTGAATTTCCTGGATTGGCTCTTTTCTCTGCTCACTGAAGGTTAGGTGTCGTAGCAAGACTGGGCTATCAAAGCATAGCGTGTCCATATCCTCGCTGGCTGCTGCAAAAACCTTTCCAGCTCTAGCAAGGGCAGCGCACTGTGCTTCGGCTTCAGTTGGCGCAATAATGTAAGGTATACCCATGAATTTCAACAACTGCTGGCATTCTGAATTGTGCTCCTTGGTGACTCGGACTGTTCGGCGAGAGAACTTTTCCACATCTTCAGCTGTACCAGTTTCCTTGGCCTCTTCGAGTCCCTCTTTAGCCTCGGCCTTACGCTGGAAACGACGAGCAAGTTCACCCGACTTTAGTTTGGGGGGTGCGCCATCGAATACATAGAGAGGTTTGATGCCGTTATCGACCATTCGTAGAGTTCGATAAAACATGCCCATGAGATGGGAGGTAGTATCGCCCGATTCGTTCGTCAGTTGCTGACCGTCGGAGCGGACTGCGATCAGGAAGCTGTAGATGCTCATGGAACTGGTTGTGAATTAGTTTCTACTTCCCGTATTAGAATAAAAATGAAGTTACACATACGCATCCTGTTGTTATAAGATTAGCATGTCAACAACTAGATCCTTTGTCTTTAGAAGTACTCACTATAGCAACTTTGCGACCAAATTGACTTTTAATGTCACCCTCTTTAATGGCGGCAGGAGCCTCATCTTTGATGATGGGGAATAGGCCTTTAATACCCATGATTAAGATATTTTTGAAGCAGCCTGTTATGAGTGGTTGTGGGAATTGAAGACTAAAAAGAATTGAAGGTATATGGGTATTTTGTTATGTGTGGAAGAAGATGAAGTAGTAAGAAAGATTATAGTGGGTGATGTCACGAGAAATGCGAAACTGACGCGCCCTAAATCAATTAACTGAAAGCTTGACGCGCCTTCTAATCGCGAAAAGTGGGGTGGATCCGAAAGCAAGTGTGAGGTGGTCAGTGCTTACCTCTTATATCTGTAACAAACTTTGTGCTAGCCACTTCAAACACTTCAATACTCTAAGCTATGCAGGTTGTTGCATGTAAACGTAAATCAATTTGAATAGAGTTTGAATTATTAATAATTTTATGCCTTTCGCGACTAGTTGCATTCATTAGCGTTTATCTTATGATATGGAACCAGCAATAAGATGAATAATATTTCAACTTCAAATTCAGTCAATTAAATTATATATCAGTTAAGCTATCTTAAATAGTATACTTATATCTCGGACTTTCATCACCAAGTTCGGCAAGTTCATCTTCAGATAAGTTCTCATGTGCTGGCGCAAGAGGTCCCTCGGCACGTTTCTTGTTCTCTCTATCGAACCAATACCACAAGAACCCGAAAAGACAAGCTGCCATACCTACCAAAGATAGAGAGACGGCATTTCCCACAATGTAACGTGGTCCATCAGCACTAGGACTAGGGAATTGTTAAACACTGAGTAACTAACGTTAACATGTTATAGGTTATTAGACTTACTAGATAAATGATGACATGATGCCAGCAGCATTACCTGAAGTGAGTTGCATGCCATTGGCTGTCGTGCGCTTGCCATATCGCGGCGTATTACTCGGTAGCTAGGTAGATTCAAGTTGTTAACTATCCGAAATATAATCCGAATCAACACTAAAAACTTACCCAAGCCAGTGGTAAACCAACTGTGACATAAAGTCCAGTAGCGACTAGGAAACAACTTAAAGATTGTTAGTTATATCTCCAAAAACCGAATCAGTAACCAGACATACCCAAAATAATGGACGCCAGCCGATGAGTTCGAGAGCAGCACACCATATCCAACAACGCTAACAACACCAAAAGCCACAGTGAAGAGGCCGCGCATCTGCATTCGATCCGATAAAAATGCGATTCCCATATAAGTCATAGCGCCAACGAAATAGCACGGAATAGTGAGCAACTGGATCTCTGCAGTCGACCACTGTCCTAAACCACGGATAATCGTTGGCAAGAACGTAGAGTAGCCTAAATTAAGTATGTTAGAATCATGTCTATAAAAGTTATAAATTTCAAGACCGAAAAGCTTACCATAAAGTAAAGTGTCTACGCCGAATTGGCCGAGACAGAACATCCAAACCTTCCAATCCTTAAATGCAGCTAACATGTCGGTTTTGCTAAACTTTTGCGCGCTCTCGGTGGACCCGTAGTGGCGGAAGTGTCGCTCATTCGCTAATTTCTTCTCCTCGGGGGTCAAGAAGTAGGCATGATCGATATCGTTGGGGAGGAAAAAGAAGGCAATGACACCTAGGACGATACTCGGGAGACCTTCGATGATAAATATCCATCTCCACCCCTTATACCCAGAAATTCCATCCATCTGGCCAATGCCATAAGCTAATAATCCGCCCAAAGCACCTGCAATAGCGGCGCTAACGAAGAGGTAACCGACACGAAGAGCAAGTTCTTGCTTCGTATAGAAGAACGTTAGATAAACGTTTAGCCCCGGGAAGAGTCCAGCCTCGACAACACCAAGGATTACACGCACGGCAATGAGTGCTCCATAACTATGAACAAACCCCGTACACGTTGCAATAATTCCCCAGCCGAAAGCGATGAAAGCGATATATCGAGAAGGCGTCAAGGGTTTTAGTACTAAGTTTGAAGGCACTTCAAAGAATAGGTCTGCGAGCCTTGAACAGTTAGATCTAAACGGACTAAAACACCTCTATATCTTAAGATATTATAACTTTTACTTAAAAAAAAGGATGACTAACACGTGACGAAGAAGATAGAGACAGCTACTTGGAACTGATTCCCTACCAGCCCAAGATCTGTCTCTAAACCGTAAAGACGTGCATTACCAATGTTCACACTAGAGCCAGTTAGAAGCCAATCCCTAAGCTGGATGAATGATTGGCGGAGTATATACCGGTCCAAGAAACTAAATGTGTCTGCACAATCTGACGTTAGTTGCTACGAATTTTATAATAACAAATAACAATAACTTAAACAGACACACCGGTGAAAGGTTTAATAAAAGCATTAGTTATATTACTTACAAAGGAGCATAACAAGAGGTATTATGTGTAAATCAAGCTTGCGCAAAAGTTTCTTCTCATCTGCGGCAAACGTCGGGTCCGTCGCGGTCTCGGCCACCCCATCCTGCGCCTTAATATTTGAGTCGGACATATTCGTAATGTCGTCTACCATCGAGCAATAAGAAACGGCGGATTTCGGTAGGATCGCAGACACAAGGCCGAATTAATAATACCTAAGTATCCGGCCCGGTCCAGAAAGAAGCCGGATGAATTGATTGAGTCTCGAGGAACGTATATCGGATCGGACTGTGGCGATATGTTTAAGATCGAAAAACCCGTTCAGCTCCACCGGAATCGCCTCTTGTGGTGCGGACTAGGAATTAGTCTTGTTTTACGTCAGTCTTGTCTTATCAACTATCAACCGTGCCTGGAGCTAGAGATAAGCTATCTCCTCGTTATCTCATGTTACTCTTAAATATTTGATGGCGAGTCCACAACTATCGTATCCATAACGTGTGGTAGAGTAGAGGAGAGTAACAAGAAAGGAAATAATATAGAATATATACCCAGGTATGTATATAACTATTTAACAATTAAAGAAAATGTTACTCTTTACCATTATCGAGCTTCCCAGACCCTTGATTCGGGCCTATCACTTTGCATGCTCCCCAGCAAGCTGAGCTGCATCCCAAACCCCCAGCCTGCTGATAACTTACGACCCGAAATTATTAAGCAGGTAAGCAAGCGAGCTGCACATGGCGGTAGAGAACCAGGTGAAGGACAACGTTGGAAATGAGGGTTTCATCAAAGAGCCAGCTCTCACGTGAGCCCAGGATTTTCCCAAGACCACCGGTGAACCATAACCGTCAATTGGCACGGATTCAGCCAATTGAAGGTAAACGGAGTCTTGTAAGGACAAGATATGTCGACTCGTAGATTACGACACAGGTGGTAGCCCGGACTAGCGGGAAGAGCCGATTGGGATTTTAGGTCCTTCGCAAAAGCACATGTATCTCCGCCGAGACCTGAAGACAAGGGCTGAAGCCAGGGTCGGATAAGATAAACGTCAGGAGTGGGGGTTGTATTTTCTAGTAACTATGTAAAGCTCAATATCTTTCACCGAAACTAAAACTAGAACATGTAAATCAGAGATACCCATTTCTTGGCTAAATAGGCCGATTATCACGATGACGAAATCCAACCCCCAAGTATGAATTTTTAAACCTTTAGGTAGTGTACATAGAAGACCTGAAGCTCTCTCCAATGTTAAAATGGGGCAGAAGGGCGTCAAAAAAGGTGGCGCTTCCTACCAAAATATACCAAAAACACTCTAACTTCTAACGGCTATAATTCAGCCAATTTAAGACTAGATTAATTATAGAATATACTATTCGATAGCCCTGATAATGGCCTATTTTACTATATTTTTTATTTAGTCTAAGATTAGGAAATAAGCCTTTAAATAAAAGTAGTTTTATATTAATATTTAATATTTTTACAATAATAATATAACTTATAATTACGTACCAACTTAGGTTAATATAAGTAATAAAAAAATCATCTGATTATATTTAATAGCTTAATTTTATTATAATAATTTATTTTTATTTTTAAAGGTAGGTTTGGGTATAGAATAACTTTTTGAAATATAATACTTTTATATGCGTTGGTAGTGGGTGCGCCACCTTTTTTGACGCCTTTCTGTGGGGGCAAGGGGGTGCGGCATCGATTTGATCAGGGGTATCCCAATCACCGATATTCTCGGCGATAACGTCGTGTAACTAATTTAAATCGATGCTAAATCCGTAAGCGTTCCATAGGGCTGGCGCCGAGGTAGCACAATAGATTTTAGCCTTTATATTAATAATAGGCAACATCACCGCTACGAAGCTTGTATATTACGGGAGCATTCTCCATGTCCAGATAACAAGTGGCTCATCCATTCATTCAATACATCTCATCATACCCCGAAACGCGAATCTCACCATCTAGTTCGCGTTTAAGATCGGCGACGGTACGAGTAGGACGAAGTGGACCGGCCGGATTTATCAAGGCGTTTGGGTCCTGTACTTCAAGAATATGACGGTTCGGGATCGTGATGTGCCCCCCACAATGGCCGAGGCTGATGAGGTACGGATGTATCGATTCATCGCTAGCCATAGCGATGCCGCGTGATCGGTCTACTTCGTTGACGCTTTTGACCGCGTCGAAGTCCCCGACAATAACACTAGGTTCCTCGGGTAGATCGAAAAACGGGAGCCCCTGGGCAGCATAAGTCGCTGCGGTAACAGGAGAGGGTGGCGGGCTTCGCCCCGTGACAGATCGGAAGCTAGCGCTGTTGAGTATCTGTACCGGAATCGTCATCGTCATGTGCTTGAGCCATCGGGAATCGGGTTCGATGTCCATTTCAATGCTCTGCTCGATCTTACCTCCCGCCGCAACGCCCATGGAATGATCACCTATAGGCGTGTCGTCTAAATTTACACCACCGCCAAAAAGACGTACACACAAATGAATAGTGGCTTCCTGGCACTGGAGTTAGATTCAAAGTTCTAAACCTCATTTTGCTTTCACGCTTCAGGTTTCCCTGCTAGTATATAAGTATCACTCACCGGTTCGATATGGTAGTTAGCAAGTGTCAAGCCGTCTATATGGATATTAACACCAATGCTCTAGGTAGTAACTTAGGTAGGTTGGGTACCTATCTACATACCGCATAACTCTCTGCCCGCAGATATAAGCCGCTGTTCATTAACCGGAACCCTTACAAAACTGTATATCAAATTCTTAACAGAGCGGATCGTATATGGGGGTAAGCATTTGAGTAAGATTGTCTTGCCAGCGAGCGTCTTAAGGAATAAATGTATAGACTTTGCGGGAGCCGATGATGTAATCTCGAATTGTAGGCCGCCGATAACATCCATTCCAGTGAGCTGTGCTTCGACGCTGTAGCCTTGTCCCATTGGCATAGCGACAAACTGTCTCACCAACCCTAACTCTAACCTTTTCTATCTTTTTCTGTTTACCTCGAATCGCTTTCACTAGAAAATTTGGAACCAGTTACCCATCAGAAAGCAGGTGTTTCTGTCGGCGATTGCTTGAGAACTGACCTCTATCGATGTTTCACTTTTGATAGGAACGCCCATCATCTTCATCTACGTAAAATATTAGAGAGAATATTTACAGGTTTATATAAAGAAATCTAATTACCAAGAAAAACACGTATATATGGACAGACTCAAAAGAGGTTCACGAAATTAATACCTGTTATTTTCTATAAAAGGTAATATATGATATGATTGGTCTACTCCGGACGCCATGTCTATGCCCAAGGTATCAATCTATAATATGACACTCTCCCATATTTATCGGCAAGTGTATCCGCCATCAATAACAATATCAGCGCCGGTCGTGTACGTGCTAGCGTCGCTAATCAAGTACACATAGGCCGCCTTCAACTCCTTTGCCAGGCCGGGACGGCCCATGGGAACCATGGAGTACCACAAGTCCTGCGTCTTCTTCTCGATGAAGTCCGATAGGCCGGTATCGATGTACCCGGGCGAGATGGAGTTGACCCGAGCGAAGTCGCGCCATTCATTAGCCAGGGACCGGGCCATGTGGATGCAGCCGGCCTTGGCGACGTTATAGGAGGTTTGCTCCTGCGGGAAGTTGGCGACGTGGCCGGACATGGAAGCGGTGATGATGAAGGAGCCGTGGCCCTGTTTTTTGAAGTGAGGACCGACTGCCTTAGCGCAGTATGCCGTACCGTTTAGGTCGACCTGAATGACCTTGTCCCAATCCTCTCTCGAGGCATCAATCACGCCGCCATCAGCAGTAGCACCAGCATTGGCGATAAAGCCGTCAATATGGCCGAAGTCCTTCACGACGTCACGGACGAGCTGCTCGCAATTGGCGAACTCAGCTATGTCACACTTGTAAGCCTTGACCTTGACGCCATAGGTCTTGCTTAACTCCTCCACATTCTTGTCAGCTCCCTCCTTGCGTGAGGAATATGTGATAGCAAGTTCAGCGCCCATCTCAGCGCAACCACGAGCGGCCTCAATGCCCATTCCTCGAGGGCCGGAGGCACCGGTAATAACGATGACCTTGCCCTTCAGACTGAAGAGGTCGATTAAGCTGTCCGACTTGGGGATTGGCTGAGGCATGTTTACGGTGGAATATGTTAGATATTTTCAGGGGGTGGGTGCTAGTATATCGGAATAATATGTATGAAAACAAGAGACCGAGAAGCTCTGAATAATGGGATGGGGTCAGAGGAGAAGTAGAGACACTACCCAGATTATCTGGACTCTTATATATTCTCGAACAAGAATATGTCTGGTAGGAATAAGGTGGGTATAGGTGGATATAAGTGGATATGAGATAGAAAAGTCAAGGCCGTCAGAAATGTTAGATGATGTCATAATAGCATTCATACCCGGATATGATAAACCTAGGTAAACCACTTACATTCGAGACGGCGGGTATACTTTTCCCGCTTTCATACTCAGCGTAATGCATATGTTGGTCTCACTACCTACAAGGGGTAAAGTGGTGTGAGTAAGAGTAAGTAAGTGAAAATCGTCAGTTTGGGTCTTGTGTCTCCCGAGTTTTACGGTTACTACCGCGGTCGGGAACTCGGAGGACCCGGATGACCTTTTCTGTGCAATTGGGTGTGTAAGCTTCGATTATCGGGTTACTAATATTCTTGCCTTTCTCGGTCGACGCGGCTTCAGATCGTGACATTGAAGCTTAGACTTACATAAAGTACCTAGGTAAACTTTGAAATTATATACATGTTAGGTACATGCATCGGCCAACTTCGGCACGACCACGGTGTCTAAGATAACCCCACAGAGGAGCGGGGCAGGGGCCGATTATCCCCCCCACGTCCCCGGATATACTTAACCCCAAGTTACCGGTTACGGTGCCAATTCAAGAATAGGCACCTACCTGCACGCTACCTAATTATGGTAACTCCGAAGTTCGACGTCCTCCGATCAGCGAAGAGAATTTGGCAAAGGGACATCTTAGTTAAATATATAATTGCTACCATTTAGAAGTCATTTTATAGCTGAGGAGTTTTTGAATTGATTTTGGTTTATGGTGCTTTACTATTATATTCAACACACTCCTAATTGCCCTTATTCAGTACAAAAGGCAATACAGTTCGACATTTCATATGCCTACATTCTACACAATTGTCACCATACATGTATGAATTATTATTACCCAAGCTATAATTACCTATACTTCATATTCGTTTCCCACACAAAGAGGATATTGAGATGGTTCCCAGCTCAAACATGCTTAGGGTTCATCCCCTACACCCCTACTTCCGCCTCCACTTCTCCTGGTCGTGCTCCGGTTATCTGCTCGTGGCATGCTAACTACAGGAGCTGTCTCCTTATCTGGCCTGGCTGAGTTTTCACTCATTGTGCTTCCGGTAGGCGCGGTTGAAGCAGTGGCAGTAGTTTGAGCAGTATGAGTAGTCGAGCTCTCGCCTATTGTCTGTCTTATAGTACGAAAAGCCAATCTACGAGGAGGTGACACGACAGAGACCGCAAGCTGTTCCTGGTGAATAGCAACGTGTTTCATAAACTGTGCCCTTGCTACCAGCAGTTTTCCATCTGTTATAACTACAGACTTGTCTTCTGCATGGGTCGTAGATCTGAGTGATGCGGCCCATTCAAAACAGAATGGACAGTCGTGGGCCTGAAAGTAAGTTGGTACCACTCGCCCTGTGTCGGTGAGTGCTTTAATCTGCTCAGTCTGGAATATACCATGGACAGAACTAATATGCGATTCGGTGATAGCCCTGCTGCCAATATGCTCGCAACATAAAACGCATGTATATCTGGACCGATGAAATAGTAACTCATGATCAGCCCATGCATCACGGCTACTAAACATCTTACCCATACATTCGGATTCTGCCGCTGTGCATACATACGCCCTAAGGTCGCTAAGCGCATGAAACCTATAACATATTAGATTTGGCTTAGTTATACAAAGAACTAAACCAATTGTAGCTTACACCCAATCCTCCTCGCTCTGAAAAGACTGGCTGGTAGCGCATATGGGGCACTCAAACGACATTCCATCTAAAGCCAGCATCGTTAAACTTGGCAATCCAAGACTTCTCGCAGATTCTAAATCCAGAGGTCTATTCGTTGATGATGTTTCGGTTCTTTCTTGTACTGTATTGGATTTTAGCCGTGTTCAGTGTTTATAAAATTTTGGCTTTACCTGGTGCTCTTTTCATATGCATTTCTGGTTTTGCTTTACGATCATGCCAATATACTATTTGTCGCCTCCTTTTCGCATTAGCAGTCCCTAGTCGTTCAGCCAACCATTTCGTTTGTCCAAAACTTAGTAACTTAAACTGGCGTTGGATATGTGTCGTTTCATTTGATGCCTCTATGGTATCCCATTCCTGGAAACTTTGTAGGGACTGGCTCTTGTGGATCTCCTCTTGGACCAGGTCGCTCATCCTGAATAGCGATCGGATGCATAGAGATACAACTTCGATCATGACCTGAGTCTCTTCATCAGATGAATGATAGTCCAGTGCGGGTTTTAGCTCGCGTTGCAGATTCCTCGCAGTCATATTAGTTTGGTCAAGCTGATTAACAAGTAGTTTATCTCTCCCTAAGGGGTCTGTGAGCTATTGCTAGTAAGAGTAGATGTATATATCGTACATTCATCGATAGCGTCAAGAAGGTCGCTCAAGAAGCCGTATATCTGGTCTCGGACTTCTGGAATAACAGACAGAAGACGTTCAAGCGAAAACTGGTTCGTTGGCGGATTAAAAACACCTATATTTCCAGCCCACAATAAGTACCGGTCCAAAATATCACCAATGACATTCGGCTGTGTACGTAACCGATCGCTTTGGGCCTTATTTTCGACTTCATCTTTCAATATTTCGAGTCTTTTGTTTACTTCGCGGCACCGTTCAAAGATACTTGTGTGGTGCGTAGGCAGAGACATTTTTTGCTAAGAGCTATCGACACGAGAATTTGTGGAAAGACGTATTGGCGTCATCGAATTTCCTCACGTAAATCTCTTGGAGATACGACCACCATTACAGAATTGAAGAAGTATCATTGGACTATGTCTCTGCATTTAAAATATTCCGAGGGGGTACAAACTGCATCCGAAACCCCTCATCTTTCCGTAGTTACATTGAAATCTCACCCCCCTTACATTCTTCAACTACCTGACCTCGAGAAATTGTTTTCTAATGTCTACCTTTGAAGTCGTCGGGCTCGCTTTAGGTGCTTTCTCGGGGGCAATTGAAGCCTGCAAGCTGTTGCGAGAGACCTATAAGCGTATCCAGATTGCCCGCAGAATTCGCATTGAATATATAGATTGTGAACAAACCCTGAAATGTCAGAAGGCAGCATTCCTAGGACGTCTCAGACGACTATTGCTGCCCCTAGCTAGAGATGGTATACAAATAAACGACTTATTATCGGATCCTAGAGGGAGTATTTGGAAAGACAGGAGAGTTGCAGACCACATCGAAAATCGCTTGGGTAAGGAAAAATATGAGCTAGTTATGCACCATATTCAAAAGTCACACGAAGTTATAGAAGTACTCAGAGACGTACTGAGACTAGACTCGGCATCATTGCACGATTATCTCATAAACCGCGTATGTTATGGAAATTTTCCGTAATGGCTTACTGCTGATAACATTTATTAGAACTCTTCGACTCCGTATTTATCTAAAGAGTGGATCGATGCACAGATATATACGGTTAGCTTTTGCAATGGAGGAACTTCCCGAGCCGAACTATTTGGGGAGCTTGAACAGCTCAATGCTCGGCTTGGAGAACTGTTAGGCGAAACAGATGTTGAAACAGAATATGGACGACTAATAACTAATAATTCGGATATATGCAGTTTTGGGGCAAACGCAGATACGTTTTTCACAGCAATCACGTCGGTATGGGATGAGTGCTGCAAAAAGGAGCATCTGGCCAGGTTATTACTGCAACACAGAACCAGCCGGGATACCGATTTCAATATGTTTTTCGTTAAGCAGTCGCCTTCATATTGGCTATTACAAGAAACTCGAATCACCCAAAGTAGACGTGAAGTAAAACAACAGTATGTTATCGCCCCATGCTCAATTTATAAGAGCTAATATAACATCAGACACGATACAGCACCTGTAACTAGATCATCAACTGTCTCGTTCAGTCGCGCCAACCTAATTTCCTGTATCTGTACTTCACTCAAGAACGAGAACAGCGAGTATTATGGTTATCTTCCCAGCAAAAGCGGTGCCTACTACATGTACAAGGAATTACAAAGTCAAGTACAAGATCTCAAAAGTATGACCATAGACGAGATCCTTCGTGGAGGAGCGGGACCAACGCCCAGCCGGCGGCAACGATACGTTCTTTCGCTTGTCCTAGCATCTTCCTTTGTCCAGTTACATGAAACGCCATGGCTTCCAGTTTCCTGGAAAAAATCAGATATCGTTTTCATCGCTGCTGAAAACTCTGGCGTGTCTTTCCTAGATCAACCTTGTTTGAACCGCGAACTCGTAGCCACCGCTCCGGCTAAGGGTAAAGAACACCAGCAAATGTCTTCGCCAGCCACAACTGGTAATGGAAGAATCGAAAAGGCATACCGATCTTTGGAGCTTCTAGGTATAGTCCTTTTAGAGTTGTGCTTTGGCCAACTTCTTGAAGAACAGACATTTCGTCGGGCGTATGAAACCCCTGGGCTCACTGAAATACAAAGGTACGCATTTGACGCTGCTGCCGCCCGGCAGTGGAGCAGTAAAGTGAAGGACGAGGCAGGGCCTGATTTTAATGAGGCGGTCAGATGGTGTCTCGATGGGTGCCGTGTCATCCCGACGGAGGATTTGAGGAGAGAAATGTTACGACAGGTCGTTTGGCCTCTCGAAAGATGCCACAAATATCTTTTCGAGAGATAGCAAAAACATAGCCTTCTATATGGTGACTAGAAGGGGTACAGGAGAAATCTACCTTACTCTATATTGCAAGTCTTACTACTTACCTAGGTAGGTGGCTAGGGCACATAGAACGCCTGCTCTCCTCAGGCCAGTACGGGGTTCGATTAAATTATTGTGTAGTTTTAATACATTCATTCAAAGTGGCTACATCCTATCCTAGGTATCTATCAG